TTCTTTACGCGGGGGGTTATGGGATGGGGAGTATAGTATAGGTACCGTGAAGATTATCATGGGACAATGAGGTTCGCTGACTGGGAAACGCGATGGATTCGGAGTTTAGCGGATGACCGTGGTTGTATTCGTTCACCTATGTATACAATGGTTCGTATCCCGAGATATCCGGCGTCTCGGTTTTCTATGACCTCCCTAAATGGCATTCAACAATGAACATATGACCTGGCTCATCCATCATCAGCGGCTGATCATGGTGACGCGGGTGCGTGATGTGGTGGTTGGTCACGGAATACGGAATACGGGAGGGCAGATCTCTCATGTTAGGCATCAGAAGAGGAGTGCTTGTGGTGTTGACAGGGTCCGGAAGGAAACCAGGAAATGGATCGTATAATAGTAGATGCTATGACGTCGTGTATTAATAAGAAAGTGAAGTGAAATCCGCCCAACTCCAGGAACAAGTGAATCTTACGACTTGGAATTATGATTCCGCCTTGGACATCCAGGAGGAACGCCCGGACTATCGATATTCACCATTCCAATGTGTTCATGCTGTGTCCTGCAGGTCGGCGTGGGATGTTCGGCTGTACGATAGAGTGGTAGCATAAAGTACTATAACATTCAACAATTCAATAATACCTATTCCGGATTCCCTACATTAGATCCCCCCAAGGCGGGCCCTCCAATGATCCAATCCTCTATGACTATCGACATCCCACGTCGATGCAAGGAGGATGCAAGACTGCCATCAGAGTGCCCTGCCATGCCTGCGCTGGGCCGTCGGGCTGCCGGAACCAGCAATCGGGTTATATGGCTAAATATCTCGAGTCTGAGTGGAGGAATTGCCTTTTTATGACTGGGCAGTTGGAAGGGATGACGACCCGTTCCATTTCCTGTCGTAGCCAAATTGACAAAGGGATTCTTCCACACACATGTTTAACGGCCTTTCATTTGGTCTTTAACTTCCCGATGGCACTCCATCCATTGTTCTCCCCTCCAACACTTCCATTTCTTTGACACCTTCGTCCACTTTCCCGTTTCATAAATGCTATTTTGCGCTACTCGAATCGTTGGAAGGTTTGGGTTAGACTTAATCCACGGCACTCCCCTTGGGATCCAATTACGACTGACGACACGAGACGAGACCAATCTACCGACTGAGCCCGCAGCCCGCATCCGCATCCGCATCCTTTGGACATCCCCGAAACGCCGAAACCAGCCTGCATCAACACCATTCTCCGCCACCAAAACGCCGCAGCACCGGAATAAAACGCTAAAGCAACATCGCCCCTCCTCCTCCTTCTTCTCTGCTATCCGTCCTCCGTTCTCTCCATCGCAATTCGCTCCGCGCATCCGGCAATGGGCTGATTCCAGCGTGTCCTGCGATTTCGACACCTGCTCCGAACTAGATACGCCAACGGAGTGCACCATTGACCTCGGAGACCTTACGTCCGCCTAATACGCTTGCAATTAGAGGAGCCCATGGCCGCCGCAATGCACCACCTTTTGCCGCACGGCATTCACGGGAAGAGCGCGAAGGGCGCGAAGGACTCATCCAGCGATCTCGAGAGGACGGAGACCGATGCGCCGTCCAACCCTTCTCGACCGGAGCCACAATCACAACATACGCAACAGCGACCGCCTCAGCCGCAGCAATCGCTTCATTCGCACCACCCGGCTCACCCACAACATAGTCATACGTCCTCGCCACAGCAGTACATTTCGCATCCATGTCCTCCGTCCAGCCATCCCCATGAACCTCCCTCCCACACCCACTCGCCCCACCATCCGTCCTCCCACCGCGGTGCCTCTCCCATGTCCTACCCCTCCCCCCTCCAATACCACCCGGACTCCCACGACAGCATCCCTTCCACCTACACCTACCGGCCCTCCTACTCCTCCAGCTCCTCCTCCCGCTCCGCCGAGACTCTCGCCCGCGACCACGAACAGCTCCTCATCTCCCATTGGCCTCCCTCCCACCGCTCCTCGGGCAGCCTCTCCCCCAACCGCCTCCTCGACAAACCCACCTCCGCCCGCCCCATCGGCAACTCCCTCAAGCACCTCCGCCCCGCCGATTTCGACCAGATCAAGACCCTCGGCACCGGCACCTTCGCCCGCGTCTGGCTCACCCGATGGACCCACCCCCACGACGAGCGCTCTGCCCACCAGGTCTACGCGCTCAAGATCCTCCACAAGGTCGACGTTATCCGGCTAAAGCAGGTCGAGCACGTGCGCAACGAGCGGAACGTGCTGGCCGCCGTGGCAGGGCATCCATTCATCACGACGCTGGTGGCGAGCTTCCAGGACGAGGAGTCGCTGTACATGCTACTGGACTACTGTCCCGGCGGGGAGGTGTTCAGCTACCTGCGGCGGGCGCGCCGGTTCAACGAGCCGACGAGCCGGTTCTACGCCGCGGAGATCGTGCTGATTCTGGAGTATCTGCATGAGAAGGAGGGCGTTGCGTACCGGGATCTGAAGCCGGAGAATATCTTGATCGACGCGGATGGGCATTTGAAGTTGGTGGATTTCGGGTTCGCGAAGACGGTGGGGAATCGTACGTCCTAATTAGCTCCGATCTAGATCGATGAATAATACTGACGCGATCATAGGGGAGACGTACACGCTCTGTGGCACCCCGGAATACCTCGCCCCCGAAGTCATCCGAAACACCGGCCACGGCTGCGCAGTCGACTGGTGGGCCTTTGGCATCCTCATCTACGAGTTCCTCGTCGGTCAACCCCCCTTCTGGGACCAAAACCCCATGAAGATCTACGAGCAGTAAGTCCCCCTTCCCCTTCCCTCCCACCTCTCCAAATCCTCATTCTTTTCTCCTAGAATCATCGAAGGCAACATCCGCTACCCCTCCGCCATGTCCCCCGACGCGCGCGACCTCATCGCCAAGCTCTGCACGGTCGACACGTCGAAGCGGCTCGGCAACATCCGCGGGCGCGCCGCGGCCGTCAAGGCGCACCCATGGTTCCGGGGGGTCGACTGGGACGCGGTCTTCCATCGGAAGATGCAGGGGCCGATCGTCCCCCAGCTGCAGGGGCCGGCAGACACGCGGCATTTCGATGAGTATGAGCCCGAGCCGGAGAAGCAGGAGGTGTATACGAGGGAGTTGAGGGAGAAGTATGAGGAGGCGTTTAAGGATTTTTAATTGATGGAGGGGTGAGACCGAGGGGATGTTTTGAGGTTCGGAGGCGGCGATTGAAGCGATATGCGGCGAGATGGGATGGGAGGGTGTTTATTGCATTTGACCGAGCGACGGACCACTCGGTGTATCCCAGACGAGACGGTGATGAGATGATGACGGATGTCTACAACGCGCCACGATTCCCCCCTCTGCTGCTCTGCATCTTTCGTTCTTCCGCACGCATTCCCGCCATTTGTTGCATTTTCGCGCCCTTCGTTTGCTCCCCATTCCCATCGTCCTCAAGTCCGAGCGCCACGTCGCTTGATCCCGTATGTTCTCAGCGCGCATCTGCGTCCGTCGTTGGATTGGCGGCTTTGGTTTTGGCACGGTCGTTGCGCGTGTGTCCGTTCATGCACGATACACTGGGGAGGTGACCTTTTTATTTGTGGAGGGGGATGGTGGTGTCGGAGCGCCTAGCGATGCGGGATGATTTTATGGGGGTTATATGCATGTATCTATTCGCTGATACGACCATATATGGTGTCTTATATACCTTTACACTGCTTACAGTGTCTTACCTCTGCCGTCTGGGACTGGTGCTACATCAATGAATTGGGGGGGCCCTGGTTGGGTTCTGATGCCGCTTTCAAAAGATTTCCTACCTAAATGTATTACGGAGATCATCAATGATGTCCTCTAGTATATGATATTACTCCTTTTCTTTCGTAGCTCTGTCTTCTACCTCCGTTATTCAGGAGTACAGTCACTCCAGAGTCCAGACCGATTGCATGCATTCGTAAGCATCGCTGGGCTTTCATTTGCATCATGTGATCTTATCGATAACTGCCTCGTTCGACAACGGCTTTGTTCCTGACCAATCAAGTGCGTCGGATGTTGCTTCGCCCCGCTCGCATTATGACGCCTTGTTGCCTCACATATGGCAGTTTCTGCCTCATAGCCTGGCAGCCTTGGTTCGGAGGCTGAGGGTTGGTTTCTGTGACGGTATCCGGGTCATCCCTTCAGTCCACCCTTCCTCTCCTCATGCTTCATCCTATCCCTCCGACCTAACCGCTCCCCAAAAGACCCGACATATCACATACGACATACCACCTCCATCGAACCGCCCGCTGCATGCGCAAACCTACGATGGCGCCCAACACCAAATACCAACCCGTCCCCGTCGACGAGCCGCTCGAGAGCTCGTATAGCCAGCCGCCACCGTCATATCAAGCCGAGTCGTCGGATCCACTGGCGCCGCGGACGGAGGATGATAATCTGCCGGATGATTTCAAGGTATGTGTTGGGATGGAAGGAGATGGGAAGGAGATGCGGAAGACTGACGTGGGATGTAGTTCGGCGGTGTAGTCGCGGAGGCGACGTTGGATATTCGGATGCAGTTTATTCGGAAGGTGTATGCGATTCTGTAAGTCGATACGATATCAGGAGGATACTCTAGATAGAGGGAACAGTACTGACATTCCCAGCACCGTCCAACTCCTCGCCACCACGATCCTCGCCTCCATCTCCTTCTTCTCCCCCGCCTACAAGACCTGGATCCAATCCAACGCCTGGATGATGTGGACGACGCTCATCGGCACCTTCGTCTTCCTCGGCCTCACCTTCTGGAAGCGCAAATCCTACCCGATGAACCTCGTCTTCCTCGCCGGGTTCACCGCCCTCGAAGCCTACGCTATCAGCGTCATCACCTCCTTCTACGACTCCCGCATCGTGCTGCAGGCCCTCATCTTCACCCTCGGCATCTTCGTCGCGCTGAGTTTGTTCGCGTGCCAGACGAAGTACGACTTCACGTCCTGGATGCCCTACCTGTTCGGTGCGCTGTGGGTGCTGATCCTGTTCGGGTTCATGACGATGTTCTTCGGGCGGAGCAGCACGACGGAGTTGGTGTACGGCGTGCTAGCGGCGCTAGTGTTCAGTGGGTATATCCTCGTGGACACACAGCTGATCATGCGTCACTATCATGTGGAGGAGGAGATCGCGGCTGCGATCTCATTGTATTTGGATATCATTAATTTGTTCTTGGCGATTCTGAGGATCCTTAATAGCCAGAGCAGTAACTGAGCGATGGCGTGGGCGGAAAGAGCATGGTTAGGATGTGATTGGACTGGGGATGTGGTTAGGGAGATGAGTTTGCGTTAAACATTTGTGGTATTATTGCCATCGTCCCTGCTCCGAGCTGGGTATTACCTGTCTTCCCTAAGTATTCGGCCTTCAATCAGAACCGAAGAGCGAGCATGTTATTCAATCTCGCCACCTAATTGGTTCATCTGTCTAACTCGCTTTAACACAACTCTTCTTTAAGCGGAAACTGAGTAAGGTCACCCCGCAATCATTGCTTTTTGCTCGGACGCCGATTGCTAAATCCACCCCGAACGCGAGAATCCCATCTCCTGAGCCACCGCGAAACCAAAACCATTCGCAATTACGCTAGTTAGACTATGCCGGCTTCTAATAATTGTATCATATAAACCACCAGCCAATGAAAATATAAGCGTAAACATTAGTGGCCGCATCCAGTCCCTTCAGATTTCAGAACAACACCCACCTCGCCGCCACTCTCCCCTCAAAGATCCCACTTCTTTGGCGCCGTTCGCTCCATCCATGCCTGCTAACCGTCTCCATCGACGGTTTCATTATATTCGCAAATTCCCAATTTCGGGATACCATCCTGCACCCTCCCAGTCCAAAATCCCGCACACATGGGCCTCCTCGTCCACCATGATATTCTGCGGTGCGATGTCAGCATGCGTGAATACGGAAATGGATGATCGGGGGAGCATGGTGGGGAGATCTTTGGCGTAGCGACGGCCGTTGAAGCGGTAGCAGCCCCGGTAGATGCGTTGACGAAGGGAGTCGGCGGTAGCTAGGGGAGCGGGGTCTGCGTTCTTGAGGTGTAGAGCGGTAATTAGGACGTCGCTGGATACGGTGCCGTCCGCGACTCGGCGTTGCATTGGAAGTGGTGATGGAATTCGGGCGGCTTAGAGACCAAGTTTCCTGGCAGACGCACTCCTTGATGGCGTCGTCGAGGTCGTTCCAGTAGGTTTCTAATTCTAATCCCGGCATGAGACTCATCGTGATACAGCCTTCATCGGCGGTGTATGATGAATGATATTATGATATATTCTGGGAACTGGGATATCTGTGTAGTGCTGGACGAGTTTGATAGCGGCTTTTTCGTTGGGCTTCACTCGGTGGCCCCTCTTCTGCACGATGTTGCCGCGAATAGGTAATGGTTGCGCCGCTCTGTCGGCTCACAAGGCGCATTGGATTTTCTTCTACAAATAGGGTTAAGCTAAGATCTAATCGGTTCAAGCCTTTGGTTTGAATGAGAAGTTACCAGAATCCGACATGGTGAGAGTCAACGATATATACCTAGCTTGGCTGCCTGGAGAGCTGTCGCCAGATCGTACTACGTATGTGCGGTGTATTACCAGCAATTTAGCATCCAATGGTACCCTCGATTTATTAAAAATCCCACTTAAAGATATCATTTAAAACACCACGCTAAACCATATACGGGACGGTGTGTTAGGATCAAAGCCCACGGCCACACAGGGCACCCCGTTACTCCGTTCACTTCTACGGAGTGCACTTCCAACATAGTACGGAATACTATTCTACCAATACCATTCTACCAATTTTTGGCCCTCTCCTCCATCTTCCACTCTTCCGCCACTCGTTGCACCGTATTCTTCGCATTTCTCTGCGGAATCACCGCAGAGCCCGACCATTCGTTACTTTGATTTACAATTGGCAGCCGGGAGATTCCTCAACGCTGCTTCGTTCGTTTCGGTCGACCGTATCCCCTGTTCTAAACCATCACATAGAGCACGGCAACGGGTAGACTGCCAACATCAGACCACCCGAACAACTGTCCAAGCGGCAGACGCAGCAATTGCCCAACTCGATAATGGCCGTCAGAACGTTGTCGACAAGCAATGGCACAATCAAGACATCCAACCCCAAACTAACCCGTCCCTTCAGGATCCCCAGCGAGGATCTATCACCATCATGCCATCGCGGACCCGTAGCTCGTCTCTGCGCATGGCTCGTCGACCACCAAATCCGTACGTCAATGGCACCCCTCCTCCCACCGCATCCCCTTCCTACGTCCGCACATCTAACGCCAAACGCTAACACCACCGCAGACATCTCCCTCACCTACCTCCTCACCGTCTTCTTCATCCACGCCAACTTCCCTGCCGCCCGCCGACGCACCCGTCCGCTCTTCGTCCTCCCCCACAACGACCCATCCACAGGGAAATATATCCGCGGATGGGACGACCTAGCCTTCGTGGCGTCGTGGACCATGGTAATCATGGGGCTGCGGGTGGCGATGATGGAGTACGTCCTAAAGCCGTTCGCCTCGGCGGGAGGCGTGTACAAGACGAAGGAGCTGGTTCGGTTCGCCGAGCAGGCGTGGTTGGTGGTGTATTATTCGATTAGTTGGCCGATGGGGATGGTGAGTTGGCATTTCTTTCCTTCCTGCCTGTTTGAGGAGACGTCCGAGGGGCGGCCGCTTGAGGGGTATATTCGTGAGAGGTCGATTGCTAACGGGTTCCGGGATAGTATATCATGTACCACTCGAAATACTGGCTGAACCTCGACGAGATGTGGACCGACTTCCCGAACCGGGAGATGGGCGGCCTGCTGAAGTGGTATTACCTCGTACAATTCGCCTTCTGGCTACAGCAGATTGTCGTGGTGCACATCGAAGAGCGAAGGAAAGATCATTGGCAAATGTTCGCCCACCACATCGTCACTTGCACCCTGGTCTTGGCAAGCTACATGTCTTACCAGCTGAATGTTGGAAACGTGGTGTTGTGCCTCATGGATTTGTCGGACATTTTCCTCTCGGTACGTGGTCCCCTTGAAATGCAAGGAGAGACCCGCGCAGAACCTAATCATATACTGACATAACGGAAATAGGCCGCCAAAAACCTCCGATACCTCAAATATCAAACCGCCTGCGACGCCTGCTTCGGCGTCTTCATCATCACCTGGCTCTTCACCCGCCACCTCTGCTACCTCATCGTCTGCTACTCCATCTACTCGCAGACAATCAGCATCGGCTGCTACGACAGCGCCACCGGCGCCCGCCTCAGCTACGACGGCGGTACCGACATCGTCAAGAACCTCTTCCAAGCCTACGTCGATCCCGACGGCCCCGTCTGCTACAACGACCCCATCCGATATTGGTTCCTCGGCCTGCTGCTCTCCCTACAGCTACTACTAATCATCTGGTTCGGCATGATCGTCCGCGTCGCCTTGAGCGTGTTGCGTGGCAAGCCCGCGGACGATTCCCGGAGCGACGACGAGGGCGACGACGACGAGGAAGGGGAGGAAGAGGAGGAGGACAACTTGGTGGAGAAGATGGTGGAGGACGTGGAGGCGAAGGCGATCCGGTCGCGGGTGGACGGTACGAATGGCTCGCTGACGCTGGGGTCGGCGCCACCCCAGCCGTACGTCGAGGAGGAGGTCGGCGCCGAGGCGCTGCGGTTCGTGCGGCAAAACAGCCCGCCGGCGTCGCGGCCGTATCGGAAATCGAGTGGACGGGCGACGGGCATCTCGATCCCGGGTCATGGGGATCGGAAGGAGTTGCTGGGTCGAATCGGGTGCGACAAGCCGGCTTGATGAGGGTCCAGTCGGCGACCGCTTTTTTTTCCCGTTGCTTTTTTCCTCTTGACGAGTTTCATTTCTTCGGGGGTTTCTACCATCATAGCATCTTCCTGCGATGCACGTTTGTACGGGCGGTGATGCGATTTGCGTTTCCGACTACACTAGCATGGTCCGGACGGAAAGACGTCGCTGGATTGCCGAAACATATATTTACATGCTACACTCGGCATCTTGATGCATTTACTTGGTTTTCGTTATGTCAGATCGAATTTTTGATTTGGGGCAATCCTTCACGCTAGATACCCTGGTACTTTCTCATCCGTATATGGAACAAGAAGCAACCGAAACGGTCATTTTCTCATGGACCCTTTCTCTCATCCCGTCGTCACCTCTCCTAGTTTCCACGCCGGCAGTGAGTTACGATTTACGAACCCTTCGCACATCGGGTCGATTAGCTATGGGTGATCCGCTAGGTCAAAGCGTCGATCTTACCACCGGCTCCCCTTCTCCCTGCTGAATCATCTTCCGTCGAATCGCCTCGAGGTCGGCCCGCGGGAGCTTCACGAAGTCCAGGAGATATTTCTCCGCGCTGCCATATTCGCGGCGGAGCAAGTCGAGGGTCGCGAGCATGTTTTCCTTCCTACATGATTCCACAACGTTAGCATTTCCCTTCCTTCCCGCGCCACTCCTAACTCTCCACACCATGTCCGTCCCAATCTTCATGCCCGAAACACGGTGACTCCCAAACAAACCCCATCACATACCTGCTCGTCGTCATATTCTCCGCCCCCTCCCTCCCATTCGGCACCTGGAACACCTCATGCTCCATCAACCGCGCGATGAACGTCGGCTTCGCCTCCGCCAACCCCACCTCCGTCAGCGCGTACTCGTCCGCCACATCGTCGTCTGATACCCCCAGCGCCGACAGCAGCACCGCACTGAACACCCCCGTCCGGTCCTTGCCCGCCGAGCAGTGCACCAGGATGGCGCGGGCATCCGGACGCGCGAAGTGCGTGAGGATGCGGTGGAACGACGGGGCGCCGTTTTTCAGGATGGCGGCATACGCAATGGCGAAGCCCTGAAGCAGTTAGCTATGTCGCTCCGTCTCGATATCTCCCCCGCCACATCGTCGCTGTGAACATGAAAAGAGAGGTGTCGCAACCCACCTCCGTCCCATTAAATGCATAATTCTTAAACCGCAACGCGATCGTCTCCGGCCCATAATCCTGCTCCTCGAACACCGGCGTCCACCGCCGCTCCACCACGCCCCCTGTCGCCGCCAGCAAGCGCTCCAGCTCCTCCACGCCGCCGGTGCGCTCGATCTCCGGCACGGCGCGCAGGTCGAAGATGACGCCGAGGCCGAGCGATTGGAGTTTGGCGACACCGGCGGCGTCGAGGGTGGTGGTGTTGGCGGCGCGGTAGACGAGGCCGCGGCGGACGGTGAGGGGGGTGGTGGAAGAGGAGGAAATGGGAAGGCCGCCGATATCACGGAGGTTATTGATGGAGGGGAGGGGGATGAAAGGGGGGGAGGGGAGGGCTGCCATTGAGAGGTTGAGATTAAGTTGTTGGGTGCGGAGGGGTGGTTCAGGTCTTTGGTGCTTGGGACGACTTGCGATGGGTGCGTTATGGATGGATAGCGGGGAAGGCTGGCGGTGCTTAAGTTATTGTTTTATGTTGCCCCAAGAAACCTGGATGTATTGTTCGTATAATCTATTGATCTATCAATATACAAATAAGCATTAAGTAGATCTTTGTTTTTACCGTACTCGGTAGGTTGCTCACTGGCGCCATCCCGCAACCGGGCACTGACTGCCGAGGTTGCTTGACGGCGTTGACGCCGTTTTTCGAGGTATTTCCCCTTATGTAGGCCAAGCGTTCTCGTGTGCACAATTTGGCCAAGGCGGTTTATTATCAACCTAATTGACCAATTCATCTCAGCCGCATCTTTTCGGAACTACATACTAGCATTCTCACTCTGCCCGCCGCTTAGCTAAAGCTGTGGACGATGGCAGGATATATGGGTTATCAAGTCCTAAGATTCGCTTCTGCAGCTGCGCACACTCCTCTATAAGATTCACAGCCTCAGTTTCTCTGCCAGTTTCTTTCCACATGCGAGCAAGGTTGTTCATGCTGATTAGCGTATAGGGGTGCTTTACGCCAAGCACCCTTTTCGTCATCTCTAGCACTTGTTCCTCCAGTTCCTGCTCAGTATTCGTTTCTTTTACTACCTATTCGCTAGGACCATAGTAAGAAACGCCTGTCATATTTCTTAGCTGTTCGAGGACCGCACTCTCTCCAGATGCCTCAAAACCGCTGGCCTCGTCTCCCTTCAGTATCCGTGAAGTAGATGCTTTGCTGATTTATCAAGCAATTGCTAACCGAGAGAGCATCCAGGTCGAACTCAAGCAGATCATGCATCACAGACACCCAACAGTTCCCTTCGACGTCGGCTTCGATCTCTCCCTCCAGGTTCCTGAGGTTGATGCTGAAGTCGCGTAGGAAAAGTGCCTCCAGACTCTTCCTATGGTTGGAAAGGAGTCGCCGCAAGGACTTGGCACTTCCAGAGCATTTCCTCAAATGGAGTGATCGCAGTCCAGGGAGGTGCAGTCCCTCTGCAAGTTGGGAAATCAGTTTGTCGCAATTGCCGGTATGTTCCGTGAAAAGGACATCAAGATTCCCCAGGTCAGGACTGAGCAGTATGGTGTTTTCTAGAGGGAATTCCTTAGTCTTATTTTTTTCTCCATACATGCCATTTGAATCAAACGTGAGAGACCAGCAAGTCCGGATGTCGCCAACTTCAAATTGGTATCGAAACGTCTCGACGATTTGAGTGACCGAACGAATGAATTGCAAGTAGTTCTTCTTGAGTGAGATATCGCTTGGGTTTATCGAATTGAAAAGCATGCGAAGTGTGGGCTCGCTCTGTGAACCGAGTGCAATCGTTTCTGCATCGTCGGATATATTTCGTGACCACCACTTTTCAGAGCCCAAAGCCCTTTCCAGTCTACTGAATCCCCATGGAGCAAATGCCATGGGCAGTGTCCAAATCAGATCATCAGAGCGGACGAAGTTTACCAATTTGCAATTGGTAAGGGACAACAGAGCGCAGTACACTATCCACGTCTCGTCGTGGCATAGATCGGTAACGTGCGCTTCGTCGTGAGCGTCGATGAGAATATTCAGGGCTTGGACAGCATTCGCAAGAATAGGATGTTCGGAAATTTCCGTTAGTTGATCCAGATACCTCCTTCTTAGGGAAAAAGTGCGGGTTCTGAAATATCGATCCCCTAAGACAAGCTAGCTACAGTCTCGCAAAGTTCGACAGGACGAGCGGAACGCGAATATATCTTTTGGGCGTTCCCGAGATGCTGTGACCATGTCGAGGAGTTCCATTGGAAGGGATAGGAGAGAGCCCATTGTGGTTCATGTATTGGTTGCCTGGGTTCTCAGTTAGTGGAAAGATATATATGTCAAAATCCAACCGGAATCGTAAAATAGCTAACATACTGTGTGGTGCTCGCCCCTGAAGCTCCGCTGTGAGGCCTGTTAAAACTTAAAAGCCTGAAATGGGAGCACTCTGATGATTGACAAATTCAAGAGCTCAGTCAAAGCACAAGTGGAATATCATGGCAAAACGAACTCCAAAGGAGGAATGTTTTAAATCTGTGGATTAATGGAGTGAGATCAAAAACTAATGGTGATTCACGATAGCCGTGCTGGCAACTTTCGTGTCCTACGTGGCACCCAGCGCGAGCGTGGACATCTCCCTAACCAAATGGAATATCATGTGAATAATTAAACTGGCAAAAAACAATTCGAGTTTCAAGACTTCGTGCTCATTACTTCAACCCCAGTTTATAGTCAAAAAGGTCAAAAAACAAAGTGTCCCAGCTACTAAGACTCGAACTTAGAACCTTGCGGTGTCAAATAACAGCCGCACGCGCTAGCCAATTGCGCCATAGCTGGTGGGGGTTTTTTTAAGTTTCTCGCAAACAACCTATGAGCAGAAAATATGTCTACTGTTCCTCTTTGTTATTATTTTGTCGCCACGGTTTTACAATCGTTAAACTAGAGAGAGGCTAAGGTATATTCCCGATCTCGAACTGCTCTATCATTTCCATATTCCTGAACACCCAGAAAGGACGCCGTCCAACCTCTCATGAACTGTTTATCTTTCCACCCAGGCTACTCTATGCGAAGTCGTTGTTGGTCCTCGCATTGACTCGACTTGGCAATGTGATGGCAAGGAAGTAGGAGACGAGTTTAGGAGAGTGGTTCTATCAATTATAACACCCTTGAGCTAATCTCCATCCCTCTAGCAGTCAAATAGGAACCCAAACAGTATCACGATTCCTCTCTGACGAGCATCTATCGGACCCAAATGATCCTATAATTAGAATTTAATAGTACTTTTAGTCCACAAGATCGATTATCCGCTCTCCCGCTCCGCCACAGGACTTAAACGACTCGAGGTCCCAGCATTTTTCTCCACATCCGCGACATCTCTGGCATTTGCGACTGACGCGGACCCTTCAGAGGTGGACCCTTCAGAGCTTGACCGAGCCTTTTGCGACAACTCATGTTCTTCCTTTTTGACGGAACGGAAAAGAGGGCGCCAGAAAGCTGTCTTTTCCCAGTGGATGATGCCCTCATCCTCGTCAAGCCTCCGGACATATTCACCGAATGATATGCCTTCCTTCTTCGCTTTCCCACGGGCATTGAACCACCAATAACCATGCCAGATCACAAAGCCGAGTTCCATCCCCATGCTGAAGAGAAGTCAATTGGGTCCGATCGGATAGATAACTGGGAACTTACACGATAAGATACAAAGTGCCACCGAACACGTCGAACTGTTTCCGGACCGCTGCGAATGGCCTAATCAATATCTGCTTTCGAAAAATTGTGGAATCACAACGCACCCATGGCCAAGAAAGAGAATAATGCACCGGCTAGATCCACGGCGAGGAATCCCCAGCTAAATCCAAGGTTCCTCCCCTGGCGTTTGAACTGCTGCACGTATTGCGGGATGAGACCCACGACGAGACCTGCCGCAGCGAAAGCCCAGACGACCTTGATTGGCATGGTGCGTCCGGCTAGAAATCCAGGCTTTCGTTCAGTCAGCATCGTCATTTTACAAACACTAGTTACGATAACCTACTCGAAGGGTCCAGATGAGCAAGAACTGTCCAACTGCCATGACAGCAGCCAGTAAGAACGGCCAGAAGGTTGCCCAGAGCTTCGAGCATTTTCTGCAGCACTGTTAGCACAGTCATCATCTCCTATCATGAAAACCAACATACCCAGAAAGCCACAGACACTGTCCCCAGCACACCAGACACAACACGCCAAAGATCTGCGGCTGCAGCTGTATCGCCATTGCGTGGTCCTGAACGATCACGTACGCCCCGAACGGCACCTCAGAGATGGCCCAGATGAACACCGTCAGGGCCGGGAACGCGATACAGTTGCCGCGCCGGTAGTTTTGCCAGATTTGGGGCAGGAGCTGGACGCACCAGCAGATTGTGCCGATGGTGGCGAGCACCTGGGCCGCGAGAGGGACGTCCTGTTGGATGGCCATTGTGGACGAATTCGGTACTCAAGCTAATACCACTACCGTTTGGAGAGAATAAGGATGAGGGGGTCACAGGGTAATACGGGCAGAGAAGGATTGATAGATTAGGACCCTTGAAGGAAATCAAGAAGAAGATATAAGATACATCTAGGATTTGGATAAGAGCTTGCAAAAGGGACTTCCGGTGGGAAGAGCCCGTTCGATAGGAATCGCTCGGAGCGGATCCGATACAGTAGGGAGTGAGGTAAAGCGCAACAGTTGCATGGTTCTACGTTCCAGGGGCCGGGAGGTCCTCTGGTTCGGACAACCGTGGATGGCCATCTCGATCGGTTTACCCAATCGCACGAGGAGAAGCCAGAACGGCAGACCGAAGATGGAGGAGGATGGTATACCATTGATGGCATCATTTATATTTTACTTGACGCTGTTTATTCTCGAAGCGCGCGTTCCGCCTCTTACGTGACGGACTCAACATATTGATAGCCAAGACACGAAGGAAACAAGGATGAACTGAGATCGGGTGGAATTATGAACGACATGAAAGACCCCTGGACGCTTTTCACGAACCATAGCTTTATTCGGTAATCCGGTCGGACGTAAAACCGGGATCATAGTTATATTGGCACGTTCTTGGTGACGCAGAAGGTGAACATGGAAAAGACGATGCGGTTCCAACAAGGATTGATAAACGCTTTTGGGAGCGAGGCCTACAGTACCAGAGAACGGTCTAGATTAGGTGCGGCTGAAAATGGACTCTAAAGGGGGTCTACCGTACCATAGTACATGGAACGAAGGGCCATGGTAAGTCGACCGCATGTCCATCATCGCAATGTATCTTTATTGGTCCCTTCCATGTCGAGTGGCCCCGCTGAGTTGTGAAGCCACTGTACTCTACTGCACGTCATATTCAACAACAACCGGCAGATGAAGCGCCGAGCGGTTAGAAATATCAACCTCCATTCCGCCCAATGGTCGCCCCGGAATCGCAACCTTTCCGGCGGCATCTACGCGTCCGTTCAAAAGCCACCAACCTCCAAGCCGCCAAGCTGAGATCGCTGCCTCCTCAATGGCGGAGATCACTCAGCGACAATCGGAATCGAGAGGTTGTGATCGGCGATGGGCCTCAACCAGACTCTTTGAAATATGGGGAGTGAAACCGAGGCGGAGGAAGCCATGATGGCTGATGCAGGCACACCATCGTCGTGAATGGAAAAGCGAAGCGAAGCGTGCACCAGGAGGGCAATGTTGTGCGCACATTTCACGTGCACGCTGCATTTTGGGTAATCAGACGCGGCAAGGATCAGACCGGTTCACGGTGAAGGATGCCGCTTGCATGTCACTACGATTCTGGTCATAAATCGAAGTCTAACTGCACTTCACCACCTTCGCCTGAGGAGGGCGGGCTCATCCACTTAGGACGACGGCTGGCGGTTGGCGCGGAAAGCACACGTCAGTGGCAGGGAGTGAGCGAGATAGAGGATCGATCCATTCGGGGAACGCAGGCGCAAATCATGAGGTGATATCCGCGGTGGTGGATTTAATCGATGTGAAGATGTGATGTTGAACGTGGCGCTTGGGCCAATCACGATGGATGATTGGACGGCGAGGGAGCGAGTTGGCGATAGCTCACATTCTCTCGCGCCGGGGTTTTATGCGCGTCATGCGCGTCATCCGCGAAATACTAGGACTGCGAGATGGAGCGGTAGGGGAGGCCGGGCAGAACGGTTAGTCAGCGGTGCGCTGTAGGTGGCACTGGATGCAGTAGGGATTACCAGGATGTCGAATATGGTTGGTGGTGCGCGATAAGCGCCTTGGAGGATCTATCACATCGAATTGGTGAGGCGAAGTCGCATCTGGGCTAGGATGAGGGTTCCACATTTCTACATCCGGATGGAGAACGGGTGAAGACTGAGAGGTGAGGATGGCGGCGTTTTTGGCAACATTGATATGCAGCTAAGCAACGCAGATGGGGATGCCCATCCGGGAAAGAGGATAGGTCCATGGTGAATCCGGCTAACGCGACTACGTGAGACGAACGGTTTGGGGACATGGATCGAGCGCTTGCAGCGGCCAAGCTTTGCGTGCGTCGAGCTATAAGGCTGCCCGAAGTCTATCGAATGCATACGCGGCTAATATATTCACGTTGATGGACAGGGCCAATGGCGCATTGGGGGCGGCGGGGGAACAGCTCAGGCTGGTAACGCTCGACTTCATTAGAACTTTGCTACATGCAGAACTTGTGGGGAATAAGACGTATCGAAACGCATGTGAAAGTGAAGTTTAGAAACGTGAATGGAACAAAGGAGAACAGAAGAGGGAGGAGGTCTTTTTGCTTGGTGGAGAAATGCAGGCGGAGGGGACAAATCAGACACCTCTATCCAGTAGTCCGGTAAGATATGAAAAGCCCACACACACCCTATTCCATGACCCGCTTGGCAGGATCCGCAATCACGCTCGAACTGGAACAACAAACATGAGGAGCTTTTTGGTGCACATCGAAAACGAGGTATAGGACTCCAACAGCGGGAAATTGGCCAGGGCTGCCGGAGCAGAACCGCCCTGCCAGATGCACCAGCCGCTCTCAAACGAACCCTCTGTACCCGATATTTGCGCCGTGAGAAAGTTCTTTTCGACACACTCATGCCTCCTCGTCGCGCAGCTCGGGCGACGCCATGTTCGAGACCGCCAGCTGCTCGCGGTGCATCCGGGCCTCGATCTCCTTGAGCTGGCTCTCGCGTGCAAGCAGCTCCTGTCGTTTCTCCTGGATCTCGCGCTGCACCTTGGATTCGATCTCGCGCAGTTTCTCCTCTTCGCGGCGGAGTTGCTCCTCCTTGAGCCGGACGGATTGGGAGGCGAGATCCTCGGGGTTCATGGATGAATCTCTGTGACGCGGTTAGATTGGGGCCCGAAATGCATGATGGGAACAGAATACGTACGCTGCGGCACCACCCTCCACACTCTTGCTGAGCTTTTCGGTACGATAGTTCTCGTACAGGAAGTCATGGGTGATTTCCTTGAGATCGGCAAGATGGCTGTGCAGCAGGGCACTACGAACGGCCAGGAAATCGGAGTGTCGGGGATTGTCGACCTCAACGATACCCCACGGGTACTGTCTCGCGCGGACCTTCCGGCCGTGCACTTCCACGATATCTTCCGATCCGACAATGGCGAATGGCATCAAGCCTCGGAGCTCTGCATTCTCCTCCACGGTGTCCTCGTCATCCTCCTCGATGTCGTAGGGGAAGTTGTATACCGGGATGCGATAGTGCTCGATGTCCTCCATGACCAATCGCTTGGACTCGGCCAACTCGGCGGGAGTGAGCGAATCGGCCTTGCCGATGACAGGGATGACATTGACGCGGGGCGAGAGGCGCTTCATGAGTTCGATGTCGAGTTCACGGAGACTGTTCCACGTGGCTTAGCAAACTGATGATCGCATGCTGATTCGTGGTCACTTACCCATGACCAGTTGGGGTGATGAAGTAAAGGAGAACATGGACTCGATTGTCTCGGAATCGAGGATTACGCTTGATCCTTGACTCTTCGGCGAGAATGTCGTCATATTGCCTCTCGAGATACCCAACGATTTCGGAGAAGCTGTTTTGGTCAGTCAGCTCCTTCCTCGTCCGATGCTACGGCGAGCACTGACCTTGCTTCGTTGTCGATTTGGTCACCAAATCCCGGAGTGTCGACGATTGTCAATGAAATGCGCGTCCCCTCCTCATCGAGCTCTAGTTCTGGGCGATTTATGTCAGCGTACTGCTGCAAGCCACGTGTGCGGTGTTTCAAAAGGTGTCCGTATCGGCAAGGTTCCATGGAATACGATGTTGCGTACCGACGGTGATTGGCTTGATCTTCACACCCTCTTCAACATGAGCAGTAGTGGGATCTTCACAGTCCAAGTGCTCAAGGACCTTCTTGCCGCAGAGGGTATTGACGAAGGTTGTTCTGCCTGAATTGCGGGCGACTGATTAGCAAACAGGTTATCGGGCAACGGAGGAACATGGCTTACCTGTGCCCGAGGCACCGCACACCATCAGGCAGAACTGAATGCCCTTCTTGACATTTTTCTTCCTGCGGATCTTGATCTATATTCCCGAACATTAGAATCCGGGCTAACCTCCACGAAGCTTCGAGGAGCAAGGGATGGCGCATGGGACGTACCGCATTCATTGGAGAAGACATGACACGATAGTAACGGATTCGGAGTGTGAAAGGTACGCGACAAACGCGGTTACGGTTGACTGAATGGTGAACAGGATGGGTGGAGAGGGGATAGAGGGAGTGGAGGGAAAATGACAGCTTGAAGCAACAACAGAAATCTGGAGAGCCAGGAGAGAAACATGAAGTTGCACGGTCTAAGGGGTTCAATTGCACCTTCCCCTTTTCGGACGGGCTCTGGAGAGCTCGGCTGGGGAGAATCTGTTGTTCCAGCGCCCATGGAAACCTGGGACCCCGGAAGAGATGAGTAGAGATCCGTGCGCGACGTGCACGTGCCAGTGCCATATGTAAGGCGATAAGGCAGTAAGGTTGCATTAAGGGGATTAGCTCAGCAGCCCTGAGCTCGTGGTTGCTCTCCTTGGCTCCGTCATGGGCTCATGCCTCTATCAGGCGGACGTCGGTGCTTCTTAGTGAATTCGACCTTCAATTCATCTTTGTATTCTTGTTTCTTCCTTTCAACTATTATGACTGCTTCACCATTCATACCAATCGCTATTTATCCCCTAGGCTTTTATCCTTTGGGCTAGAATTGAACAAGATGGTTCCAGTCGCATATATCTTTCCCGCAACTGAAGACGAACCTGAATGTGAGCGACATTCGTCGGCCTGGGACTATACCTGACCGCTCCCGCCTGGCCACTTCTTCAATTATATCCTATTATACCTCTTCTTTATTTGCATACCTATAGAGACATCTACTGCATACTCGGAGCCTTCCCACCTCGTGCACATCTCCATGATGAACACTAGACATCCCATTAACCAAGCCTTAGGCCCGGTAGTCAACAATGTCTTATTCAATGACACCTGGGAGGTCTTCACAGCCGCCCTGGAGGATGGATATCGCAGTATGTCTGGCCCTATCTCCGTCGTGTCCAACAGCACGATATTGACCGTTTGTAGTGTACGAGACCAAGACATGCGAGAACCTCGCCGACGTCGGTTCGTTGTACGCCGTGTCCGCTGCGGTACATCCAATGTTGACGATACTGTAGAATTCGATGGCGGACTTGGACATGTCCGGCTCCTCAGGCGCACCCAATATATAATACTGGTTGGAGGTGGAAAGAACCCGCAATTTCCTCCGAACCGAGTGAGTGCTTGCCTGTCATACCATGGAAGCATTGGACTGACTGTCGCGCAGATCCAAGTCATCAACAATATTACAGGAAAGATCTTCCTCTTTATGGAGTTCGGCGCAACCGTTCTCGGCGTTCGATTGTCAGGAGAGTACTTGGTGGTCATATTCGAGGGCGGCATGACTCTCTACACGTTTAAAGATCGCCCAGAACTCCTGCAATCTTTGGACACGGCGAGTAATCCTTTGGGGTTATGCTGCCTTGGCAAGCGGCTCTACGCGTTCCCTGCAAGCACTTCTGGCCAAATCCGTCTTGTCGATCTCAAAACACGCAATGTTAGCATCATCCCCGCCCACAACAGCGCCCTCCAGGCCATCAGCTTGAGCAACGACGAGGAGATCTTGGTGTCGGCTAGCAAAACTGGCACCCTCATCCGCGTGTGGTCGACTTCGAACTGCAGCAAGCTCGCGGAACTCCGTCGCGGAGTGGAGTATTCCACCATCTTCTCCCTGGCCATTTCTCCGTCAAACAAGTACCTTGCGGTGACCTCGGACAAGTCGACCTTGCACATCTTCGATCTGGAGGAGGTCCTCAGCCCAGGAGCGAATACTGAAGCTGTTCGACAACGATCGGGATCGGCTACCAAACGTTCGGCTTCCCCATCGGCCGCGTCATATACGTCCAGTGGAGATGGAGTGATCATCGATGCTCCAGGTCCTTCAGAAACGCAACAGAAATACGGGCTTCTGGCACAGATACCCGGGATGCCACGGCTTTTTTCGGACCACTATTCCTTTGCAACCGCGCATTTCGAAAGCGTGGATGAGGAAGAGGAGTTCGTGGGTGCCATGAAAAACAAGCGGGAATGGTGCGGACCTGGAATCAAACCGGTCAAAGGACTCATTGGATGGACGACCGATGAGGATCTGCACGTGGTTGGCGCCGGGTTTGATGCTCGATGGGAGAAGTACGCCATTAGAGTAGGCGCGGAGAATAAGCGCACTTGTGTTCGGCTTGGCTGGAGGAGGTACATGGACTTGTAACTCTTTCGCTGTATTTGTACTCCAGGAAAGTGGTGGTCTACTCCTCGATCACCTCGCCATTAACCATAAGAATTCGACCGCTTCTATCCACCACCCGGTGGAAGAACTCGCTCTTTACCACCCCGTCCTCATCCCCCTCACTCAAGATGACATCGTTCTCGCTCCTCCAAAACTTCAACCCCGCCTTCAACGCCTTCTCCAAATCCACAAAGATCAACACCGCCACCGACCGCCGCATCCCCGAAATCACCTGCGGCAAATCCACATCTCCCTCCTTCCCCCCTACCCCACCCGTCTCTCCCTTTTCCAGCAAATGTGCCAAGTCCCCCGTCACCCCCGTCGCGAAATGCACGTGCACCCGCCCCATCCGCTTCAGACCCCCGCTCGCCAGGATCAGCTCCCACGCCGCCTGCGACGTCCCGTGCACCACCATCGGCGGCCAGTCGTCTCGCGGGCCCCCCGTCGCACTCAACTCTACCGGCCGTAGTAGATGCTCGCTGTTCACTTGCAGGCTGTGACCTTGGTTCGCGCGGAGGAGGTAGTTCCGCGGGTCGGTGGGTGCGAGCGCGGGGGTCGCGGCGGCGGGAGAGGGGGGGGGGGAGGGGTCGTCGTGGGGCGCGGGGGGCGCGGGGGCTTGCTGCGGGGTGGTGGAAGGAGTGGTGGATTGCACGGTAATGGTGGGCGAGTCGGTGGTGTCGGTGGAGGGGGAGGATGACGTGCTGCTAGGGCCTTCGGCGACGGGAATGAGGGAGAAGCGCTGCTTGTCGGAGGTGGCGACGGCAGTTTGGAGTTCGTCGAAGGTGACTTTGAGGGATTTAAGGCAGCGGGTGTTGAGCTGGGAAAGTTAGTTGGGGGTCGGTAACGGGTTTGCCGTCTCTGGGTTTGATTGAGATGTTTCTGGCGAATATATGGGGGCGATGCTGGATCCGCGCATATAAAAGCAGCAACCCAGGGACTTGACACAACATTGCTGAATATTCAAACGCAATTGACAGAAAAATAAAAATAAAATGAACGGCCTTCTCTAAAAGACCCGAAATGATTTCCACGAAAATCTTCCGCAACTTACCGCATCAGCAGCGTTCACGTATCCGCCCACGCCCAACTTCAATCCCTCCTTTTCTGCCCCGTGCCGTAACAGCCAGCTGAGTTTCTTCGAGACCATCATCTCACGACTCGGCGGCCCACCGCCTGCGGCTTCGCGCCTGCGATTATCCCGGCCTTTACCCATCTGAATTGATAGACTCCTGAAGCTTCGTTATAGGTGATTGAAGGGCTGAGGTCGCACGATGACTGGTGCGAAGAGAGGTCCGGCGGGACACCTGAAAGCTTTGCGGGCGATGACACTTTAGTACGGAGTAGAATGGAATTCTCTATTGATCCGATTCGATTTTTATGCTTAGCGGAATGACTGGCCACTGTTTAGGGGAGATGTAAATTGAGGCTGAAGGTGTCGGATCTTGGACAGTGGAATTTTACGTCTCATCAAGTTGGTGCCTCAAACTTCAGGTACCGTACGTCACACATCATGTTGACTTCACCAATCGACGGTTTCGATAAATAGGCACAACAAATGGTTAGAGGGTTATTGAATTATATTTATAAGCTTATAATCCATAGGATTCTATTTCTTAAGGTCACTGTCCATATTACAAGACAGTGACACCCATTCGATACATGTATGCAGCGAGAATTGCTCGATCACATGACCAATGTTCTTATTATGTCTCCTAACATACAAAACCCCTTAATATTGCTCTCTTCTGTTTATACACTCGATATTCCGCTATGCTAAGTCTATCAAGTATTTACTGCATGAGAATCAATCTTAGTTCCCCAACAGCGCTGTAGTAGCTATATAAAGCCTTGAAAATTGCTGTCAACTCTTGACCATCTTTGGACTCTCTTGCAAGGAGGCACTTCAGAGCAAGACGATGATCAGCACAAAGGCCAAATCCCAATCGAACGTACCTGGATTGGGCGGTATGAGCAAAGCTATTAGCTGCTAGCTTATAGTAAGCTGGATCATCTCGCATGCCAAAAGGGACGATACTCCTAGACTTGCACCGTACTAGTGGTCTCAGTCAGATGCAATCAAATGCCGAACGCTACAACACAATGATTCCATGGCCCCAATCTAGGGAATTGGTAGACTGAACTATTCAGAAACTTAAAACAACGAGGGTGAGAAAATGGGCTCAAACGTAGACACAGAAGTATGAATATCAAACGACGAAACAAATGAGTGATTCGACATGTATATAGGACAAGGAAACCTGATTTTTTGATAAGTTTAAGGCCTGTAAGTTGATACGAAAATCTTGAAGGAAGATAGTGAGTCAAGTCTATGAACGAAAGACTCTGGAGGAAAGAGAAGAAAAGACTTTGAATGGGATAGATACCGTACGCTCCGTTCGGTGACCGGAAGCAAGTCCAAAATATGAAGGGAAGAAAGGCACGGTCGGGTTTTTGCGTCTTACTCCTCCTTCTCCTTTGCCGGACACTAACATATTCGGAAGGGTTGGGGTCATTGTTGCCGTACCCATGCCTAGGTCGGTGGCATTTGAAGCATTCCCTTCTCCCGTTCTGCTTTAGCTGCCAGGTCGCACTGGAGATGTGAACCATAAGATACATGTCTCTCGATGTATACAAGCGATCAGAGCAATTTAGGGTACTATTCGCTAGGTGCTTAGTGACTTGTAATAAAATATTATGGTCAATAAAGGCGAGGTGATGGTGAAAGATCCTGATAGCATGAGAGTGAGGAAGAGAGGAAGCATGTGATTCCACGTCTGTTTGGGGTCCGGAGTCCAGAGTCCAGGCACTCCCCCTTTTTAACCCCCCTGTACGAAATATATTTGAGGAAAAGAGGGCCATTCAATTCTGGCGGAAAATGACTTCGTGGCAGTGTAAATCCCTAAGGTAGCTTTTCAAAGATCAACAACCCTGAACCCAAGATAATTTATAATTATATGCATGGTCATACAATACATACCGGGGTGCATATTTCGTGGTTTGTGTTCCCACCATGTTTTCAGGGAAGGGCATACGTCGTGTTATTCAATCTCCTAAGCACTGCATGCCTATAATTTTCTGGCCTGTGTCGGATGTGTTGGTGTGCTGCTGGTCGCGCCCATTTGATACATACATTTGACAAGATGTTGTGGAATCTACCTCCTGTGAACACTCACTACCAGAGTCCTCAAACCCAAAGTCGCTCAGCAGGGACTACTCTGCGTTTCTGCTGTCGACAAGCGCAGTAGAGCTTGAGATTGGCTGCGAACGAGGACTTCGATACCATGATTGTAGGACCTAGTGACGTGATGGGGAAGGGATCGTGGAGAGAGGTATCCTCTCCGGATATGGTCCAAACCAGGCATTAGGCGGAAACCAAAGTCATGTCAAATGCGTACCGATTGCGGGCGATACATGGATTGCTCGAGTCTCCCGCCATCTCATGTGGTGTTAAACTGGCCTTGCTCGGAAAGATTGCAGGGAATGACGGCGACACATCACACAGCCATAGAAGCTGTACAAGCGAGAAGTGTTGAGACGCCGTCGGTATCCCCAGTGACGTATGTTCCCAGCCACAATATTGACATCGTCTATGGCGGACGCATCCGAACTCTGATTAAGCGAAGCTGAAATCAAGGACGCTAGCATAAAGAAAGAGAATATGATATCAAATGGACACCGAGCAGAGGACTTGATAGATGGTAGCAGTCAATGATATGAAAAACAAAGGCCTGGCTTCATATTATTGAGACAAAGCAATAGGTACAAAAACAACAACAACCAAACATTCCTTGTTATCGGAGATTACATGAGACGTGCGAATGAGAAGGTGGAATTGGGGATGTAGAAACGAATCGGTCGAAACGGCCATATCGATGTTCAAACGAGGCATGTTTCAACCACTATCACGCCCACCTCCATCACCTTGAATCAATAGTTCCCTCCATCCGATGTCTCATCCCGTACTACCAAAGTTTGACTTGTAATTTACCAAACTCGACAAAGGTGACAGAGAGGCGCCATGGCAAAGCGACAAATGGAATGACTGGTGGATATGACGGGCGCTTGTGACGTGTAGAATTTCATCCTCATTAGTATGATGTAGAGTTGGAACAAGCATGAGCCGCTAATCTGGTCTGAAAGGTCTGTGCGACAAATGGCAAAACAAGTTGCCATGAATCCGTGATGAACGATCTGATGAAATGGGATCTTCCGGAATAACTTAGGGTAAGACCGGAGGCATGATGCTAGATGCATCCAGATGACAAGGAGGCTCGGGAATTGATCCGAAGATTTGCCCTTCGCAGGGAGAAATTAATTACCGGACAGGCGGACACCCAGTCCGATGCGTATTTTGTCGCATGAAAATGGCCATGAAGCCCTTTGTTTTCCGAACGAACCGGACTATATGAGGGTGTGATATGGCATAGAAATTTGGAACAGAAGCGCCGCTGGACTTCGTCATTTCGTCATTTCGTCCGGCGAAATCTGGCTGACGACTGACGAGGCCTGCTTCAGCACCAACAGCTAACGTCCAATGCTGCTGATGGACCCATCGGTTTTTGCCAAAGAGAACCTGGGAGGTATGAAACTTACCATGGTAGAAAAAGAAGAAATGGGACTGGAGTAAGAAATATACGTACCCTACACTGATGAATCTGGGATCCTTGATGGAGAATTGGAGCACTGTGAGAGAGAGTCCGAGAAATCGTGTTAGTGGAAACTTGATTCCCCATCAACCCCCAACTTTTTCCTTCTCCCAACGATTCACAGCGGCAACCAGCGACCCAGTAAGCAACCCGCGTGGCTTGCTCCTCAATCTTCTTGTCTCCTCTACTGCCGATCAGAAACAAAGCCCTGCAGCGGAGTGCAGAACAGTGTTGAAGCCCGCCTGAACTACGAAAAAGACCACATGAGGGCCCCTGTAGATCCAAGGAGGGACTTGCTGGCTGCAGACGCCATGTGTTTCAAGATCGATCCTCCACCAGTCAGCGTTGCGAATCGGCACATCTGTGGGGTATTTCCGGACAAATGTCTTGGGAACAGTTAAGAACAGTTAGGCTGTGCGGCAGGCTGTCCACTGAGCGAGTCCACTCATCATTTCCCTCACGAATCACGACTCCAGTTCTGGGGACGTAGATATTCGTTTGCTGCTGGCCTGCCGCAACGTGCATACGAAGCCAGACCAGGCGGTCCCCTCCCCCTGGCAGTCAGCAATTAAAGTCTGCAGGCCTGGGTGCAGGAAGAGTGCAGGCTGTGCCCTGTCGTTATCAAACTTTGTCATGCGGTGGCGTTTCGTGTAACTGTAGCGTCAACGACATCAGGTCGCTTTACCCAACCTCAACCTTCCACCACTTTGTCCGTTACGCTTCTCGTTCGAAGGTCAAGGCCGTCATTCTCTTTCAGACCCTCTCCTTTGCCGTTCAATGTGTCCGGTGATACCTTTTTTACATTCATTTGATTCATTCGGTTCCAGTGTGGTCGTCATCGTTGACGACGATCCCCCTCTCTACCTCGAACCATCCCTCCCTTTCCGGACCAGCCATCTTCTCCCTTTCATGTCCCAGGCTCTTCGTGGAAAGATCGAATATATCAGAAGACTCCAGGAGGTCTTCCCTTATCAAGAACGGCCCGGTGCCATTTCGATCGATCTCGACCGCATACAATTCCCTTTCTGTCGTTCCGGTTTTACTTTCATGACGACCAGTGCTGACCTAGAGTGAGTGCCATCCAACTGTGTCGCTGTGCTTTTACCCCATCGGTTCCGACTCAATGCATGTTTCCAATATCTCAAATGTATATGGTATGGCCGCATGAAACCATTCAAGTGAAGACACATGCTGGTGCCGCCGAGCTTCATTACTTCACACACGTGTTGTTTGGTGTGATGGTGAATGACAACTGATTACGAATACAGGTCGACATTCACTCTTCAGACACTCATTTGAACCGATATACAAATTCACAGCCCAGGCTTGGCTTGCAGGAAATCGAAGAGTCAAATCTCTTGGATCGTGATCGTGGCTTGAGTCTCTTTGATTCATTCCTGTAATCCAGAGCCGAGTGTCAACAGCCACATACCGATCCCTTGCGTCCTTCAAATCCTCAACCTTCGTTACGTTGCTGCGCTTCAACAGCTTAAAGATATCACGATCCTTCAAAACACACATGAGGAAGTGAAATTGCACCCACTTGGTCCAAATTACCCTCGGACTTCCTCCTTCCTTCTTCCTCCCTTTACACAATCGAAGTGCTCCTCGAATCGCCCAGTCTCAGGATGTCTTCAATGCTCAAAGTTGCTTCGGCACTTCTGTGCTTCTCCAGCACAGTCGTGCTCGCCAGCGGCGGCTCTAGCGGTGGCGGCGGCGGCCATGACAATACAATCACACCCGCCGACACTCTGAACAGGAGTCTCGTGAAAGACATGTATATTGCTTGGTCGAGCATTATCCTTGCCCTCGCCATCTTTACGGTCGTCCTCTTCTCAAGCCGATATATGCGCCTGATAGCGTCCGTGGGCACGAACCAGCAAGCATTCTTCCTTCTTCGAAATACCACCTGGGGAAGCGTCAAACGCCACCTACTGGACGCGCCTTTATTCCGGAAGCGACATCATCGAGAGTTCAAGCTGTCGTCAGTAATGAATATGGGCACATTACCGAGCCGGTTCCAAATGCTTTTCCTGATCGGCTATTTCAGTTTCCAGATGCTCTTCTGCTTCTACAATATCGAGTGGCACGCCGGACAGGAGACGATCCTGAAGCAACTTATTAGTCGGACGGGGATATTGTCGGTCATGAACATGCTCCCACTGTTCCTGTTGGCAGGGAGAAACAACCCCCTCATCCCTCTTTGCGGAATCACATTCGACACGTTCAACCTGATCCATCGGTGGATCGGGCGCATTTCGATCATTCAAGCAGTCATTCATACGGTGGCTTGGATGGCGAAGAAGGTCCTAACAAATGGGTGGCCAGCGGTTCAGGCGTCCATGTCTTCGATGAAGATGATTTCTGGCACAATCGTACGTATCCACGAAAGGATGGAAAGATATCGCACATACTAACGGGAACAGGCAATGTCCGGCTTCCTATGGATCCTGTTCACCTCTCCTTCTGCGGTTCGACACGCATTCTACGAAACCTTCCTTCATTTTCATATCATTGCAGCTGCCATGGCCCTCGGTGCCTTGTGGTATCACATCGCAAAAGAGGTTTGGCTGAGGAATATCCTCATCGGCTTGATGATCATCTGGATTGGCGAGGTGCGTCGTAAATCGCCCCAATATGGCTTATATGCACGACTGACATTCGCTAGCGCACATTACGAATCTTCCGTATCATCTACCGCAACTTCGGAAATGGAGGTACCCAAACGACTCTCGAGCTCCTCCCAGGCGATGCCTGCCGCGTCACCGTCCGCCTCGCCCGTCCATGGGCCTTCCGCCCGGGCCAACACGCCTACCTCTACATCCCCTCCATCGGCCTCTGGACCTCCCACCCCTTCACCGTCGCCTGGTCCGACGAAGAAGTCGTCGGCGTGACTGACGAAGCCGGCGCATCCAACACCAGCAGCATGACGACCCTCGGCGAAAAAGTCCTCCCCATCACCAGCTCCGAAGTCCTCTCCGTCCACGCCACCACATTCTCCTTTATCTGCCGCAAACGCACGGGCTTCACCGAGAAAATGTACCGCCGTGTCCAGCGCGAGCCCTCCGGCTTCATCCACACGTGGGGCATCGTTGAAGGCCCCTACGGCTCCCAGGACCTCCGTTCGTACGGCACCGTCCTCCTCTTCGCCGCCGGCGTCGGCATCACGCACCAAGTGCCGCACGTGCGCGATCTAGTGGCAGCGTACGGCAACGGCACCTGCGCGACCCGCAAGGTGACGCTCGTGTGGGTGATCCAATCACCAGAACACCTCGAGTGGATCCGCAAGTGGATGACGATGATCCTAGCGCTGCCGAAACGACGTGACATCCTAAAGATCCTGCTGTTCATCACGCGGCCGAAGAGCAATCGGGAGATCCACTCGCCGAGCAGCTCCGTGCAGATGATGCCGGGCCGCCCGGACATCCGGCGGCTGATCACGCAGGAGGTGGACACTGCGATCGGCGCGGTTGGGGTGACGTGCTGCGGGGTGGGCGAGCTCGCGGACGACGTGCGAGCGGCGTGTCGGCCGTACATGACGGATCGGTCAGTGACGTTTATGGAGGAGAGCTTTAGCTGGTAGACGTTAGTGAGGGGCGGAAAACGATACAGACAACTACAGGTATCGGGGCTACAGGTGTTACGGCCATGGATTTTCGGGTGCATATGCCCTCAAGGGTTGCTAAAGTCGGGGCTCAGCGCGGTGCTTTTTACTCTTCGGTTGTGTATAGCTTTTCATTCTCTGGGGATGCAGGATTTACTATCGTGGAAATATGGTCGCATCCTGGAGAAGGACGATGAATGTCATGGAACGACAAATTAAAACATTATTAGAACTTCGATGACATGTACATGATCACGCTGACACCACCGACTGTATTGAAGTCGTGACTCGTAAAAATGTTCGATATGCTATCAAAATCCTGGCATTGGTGTATTAGATCTTTAATGCTTCGCTAATCTGAACCTGTTCCCATCTCGCCCGCAGTTCCCCGAGTTTGACGACCGATATAAAGGAGAAGAAGTCTAATAAACGAGGGTTACTTTCATCGTACACATGAATCATGACTCCGTTTACGCAAGCAACAATGAAATTCATACTATGCCCTAGGGCCCAACGAGGTCCATTACCCCCTCGGCGTATTCATACCCAGCACCTCTAAATCAAAAGGATCACTTTTCCCTTTTGTCGTCCTCTCGCTGAAATATCCACTCAATTCCTTTCCATTCGGCGTGCCAGTCCAATCTGGTGTCCGCTCGGCGTGTAGGATAGTCTTCCTCGCCATTCCAAGACCGCCGTTCGGACGCAAGAGACGTTGCTGATTTGATGGGATATTAGTATAATCGGATGCACTCGACGCAGTGGAACCGATGGTAGCAGGTTCATTTGTGCTTGATTGATCGGAAATTGCGCTGCGAAGCGTGGATGGGACAGTGCTGATGGGGGGCGTTTCAGCAGACAGCGACGGTTTGTGAGCGTGGGTTGCAGAAGGCTTGCGAGAGAAGTTCGTCGTGGTTGTGGTGCGCATGTCATCAAGCCTGCGTGTGGCTGTGTAGACAGATGATGACGTGATCGATGGCTTGCGTTGATGCTGCGTGACCCACTGCTGCATCGCTTGTGTCGACGGACTGTCTCTAGACGGGTCTATGCCGTACTTCGCCGAACTTGAGTTCCTAGGATCGGAAAGGTCGACGAACGGATTTGTTGGGATGGCGGAATAGGTATCTCTGTTATTCTTTTCAGGAGGATGGGATTGCAGCGCAAGGCTAGCGCTCCGAGTGCGAGAATGGGATGATGTAGATGTATGCGCCGACCGGGGCTGGTCAGGAAGCGAGTTCGACTGTATAATGAATCCCGAACCGCTACTATGTGATGACTTCGGAAGAGCAGCCGCAGCGAATGTATTTTCCCGGCCTGGAAGCAGTGCCGACCATGCCGCTTCGGGATCGGGGTCTCTGAAGGGGTCGATCGGGTTATTCAACGATAGGGAACGGGCGTGCGAGCCTGGACTCGATTCTTTGGAGCCTGCTTGGACTCCCAATGGAGACGGTCTACTGGGGTCGAGATTATCTGTCGAATTCGGAGTGCTCGAAGGATCAGGGTTCATGAGCCTCAGTAGAGGAGGGAGTCGTTCGGGAGAGTCGAGGAATGGGTCCTCTGGCAAGAGAGCACGCTGAACCATTGCAGGAGTATACGGTTCGATTGGTGACTCCGAGCCATTTGCTGGTGACGTTGTTCGATTTTGCACTGGAATGGGTGCGATTGGTGCCACTTGTCTTTTGTCTTTCCACCACGGCAATTTAGAGAAACTGCCCCCTAACCTAGTTTTTAGACCAGCCGTAGGGGAGCTGTGAGATCGATTTCGAAAGGCTGCTCCAGCAGCCTGGGATAGAAAGCCGTTGTTCTGATGTTGGTAAACGGCACCTTTCTCTTTCAACCACGGCACCTTGTCCCTAGCTCTTCTAGAGGAGACCGAGGCCTTGTTAAAGAGTCCCAACACTGTTGACGAAAGGCCTCGACGGTCGGGTTCAAATGAGAACCGGCTTTGGGATGGCCCAGATGACGCAGACTTGCGCCTCCTCCTTCGAAGACAAAACCATAATAGGGTTATAATGGATAACGCAGCAACCCCACCGAGTGTGCCGGCAATTGTTGCAGCGAGTGGGAAGCCGCTACCTTTACCATGATGTGACCCTCCCGTATGGTCGCCCCCTGAGACATGGCCACCTCCCGAGACATGGCCATCTTCGGGACTGTCAATAGGTAAAGCAGGACCGGCAGTTGGGAGGATATGAAGACTCGAACTTCTCGTTGAGATAGGCGTGGAGTCGGAGAAAGGGGTAAATGGTTGCGAAGGAGACGGAATGACGGATTCGGGCGATTCTTGGATGGGCGTTGATGATGGATTCACCGTAGTCGGGTTGCTTGTAGGCGATGGCTCTTTGGCTGGGTCAGTGATGACCGGAGGTTCTTCGCGAGGTTAGCTGCTGTTGATGCCCAAAGGTCTCTACGAACTGACCGGTTGGAGGCACTAGGGGTGTTGGTGTGGCCGACGAAGATTCTAGCACAGGTGGAGGTAATATAGGAGATGGCTCGGACGACGGGGCTGGCTGAAGAGTCACATCAACGGGAGGTGGTACTACGGCCGTCGTAGTCGTTTGGGTCGTTGGAGGGTCTTCATTGCGGTTCTCTGACGAAGAAGTTTGCGTAGTCGTCGACGTAGTGCTTGGGGATGTTGCGGACGAAGAGCTCTCAATCGAGATAGAGCTGGTTCTGCGGACTTTCGTACACTTCTTCCCACGGAACGTGGTGGTCCTGTTGCTGTCTCTGTCCATCCATGCAACGCTTCAAAAGTATTCATCTCATATGGAATGTATCTAACCGTATATCGAACGGATATTTCATGAACAGAAAGGTCCTGGATATTATGACATAGCGGAGAACATGGCAAAGAGGAGAGCAAAGGAAACATGAACACTTGAATATCAGAGAACGACTCGAATTGTCATACACGGAGGAGAAGACGGAACACGATAGTCTACTTTCGATACGATCAAACCGAAGGCTCGACGAAAAACTGGAACAGAAACGAATACAAGTCGCCATGTTCGAACATTGTCGGGAGTGGGGGAAGCCGTCGCATTGCGGTGCATGGCTGATGGAACATGAGGCTCATATGGTTTCAAGCTTGCCGCTGTCGAGACGTGGGCGCTACAAACCTGAAGCATTGCAACCAGCCAAGCTCTCCTGGCCGCCTCGGTCCCACACAGAACAACCCTAGCCTCGCCGATCGCCAGGAAAGGGTGTCTTCTGAGGCCACACGTCTCACTGCGTGCATGCAATATTATTGAAAGCGATCACGATAAACCAGACGTTGACATGCCATCTCGAAGTGTGGTGCATGATGCCGTGACGGGAAACGCGGGAGGTTGGGGGTAGTGGAGCTGTAGAGGTTGCTATGGCCTTTGTTGTGTCTGACTCTCAGGCCCCTCTGCACTCTGCAAGCGCCGAGGTCCACGCCTTGCACTCTTGCTTGCGATGACCAAACAATACCTTATTCAATGTTAACGTTGCCAATGGCAAATTCCATGTTTAGGGAACGCTTTAGGTTCCCGGTAGAGAACTAATCTTTACAAAAACGTATTCAGATAGACGAGGGAGAACCAGAGTAGGACCAAAGGAACAAGTCTATCACGTGACTGGATAGCCTGTGCTTACTAATATCAAACCTCTAGGCTCTGGGCCTCTGGACTCTGTCGTCTCTGGTTGTCAACGAATGCACGTGACCACTACCAATATTTCACTGGCAACATGATTATTAATAATTCCTACAGGCTACAAGGCTACAAAGTACAATCTCCCTGACGCCTCACGCCTGACGGCGTAACAGTCACCTCTCAATGAACTGATTTCATACCGATACCAGCACGAACATTCGATTGTAGTCTACACTTTCCTCTATTTAATGCTTTGTGCTGATGATATTGATTGGTCCTGGTCCGAAAATCCTGCTTGATTAAATAACTGCTCTACGGGTCTCTACCCCCCAACCTCCTTTCACTCTCTACCTCGCCATTGGACGGTTCCCCAGGACCGACTCGTCCATCCCTCGTCCATCCTCGTCCCTGTCCGCTTCTTGAGTCGCGTGTGGTACTTAGAATCCAGCTCGATAGCTGCATGTAGACGTTCCAAGGACGGTCAAGCGTCGCTGGCATTCAACAGAACCGGCTCCCCGGGAAAGCTTCCTACGCAATCGCTTAGGCTCGATTATCTGGCGAAGGTACTTCCTGGCTCCCGCTAGCTTTGCTGCTTGAGAGCTCTGAACACCTTCCTGTTGTTGCATTCGAAGAACTCCGAAGACAGCCCGGCCCTCACTTTACATCTTCCCAGGGACAATAAACCCTCACTCCTACGTAATTCAATGGCTAAGCAGCTCCGATCTGGACCGTTGCAGATATGTTTGGCTTCACTGTGTCGAGCATAAACAGTATGTTACCAGCTTCCTTTCCTTCAGTATTCCAGTGTCTCCTTCTCGATGTTCCCTTGTATGGATGACCCTCTTGAGCCCTGGGAATACCCTATCTGCCTTGAAACCAAACATGCTGTCTGGCAATGGAGCGGTTGCTATTTCATTTTATGAATTTCATACGAAACCAAGCTTTGGATCCTTGGTCCATGGATATTGGTATATCTATACGGAGCCGATGTTACACCGCCTGAGTCCTTGGTGTCAGGAAAGAACAAGAGTGCATCGGCCCAGATCGCTCGAATGGATATCCGAGTGTCAAGAATGCGACATATACTACCAATAATAGACCATTGGTCCCGTCACCGTACCGCATTCGAAATCCACCGAAAGTAGTCCCAGGCTCCAATCACCACGTGTTTATTTCCTTGTCGTCCAAGTCTGCAAGTTCTCTGCGAGTTCATATCAGCTAGTGGAGAGGCGATGAGCATTTTTGAAAATATTCTAATAAAACCAAACAGGTTCTCTAATTGCCTCTCGCTATGATCCGGAACAGGAACGAGCAGCTCCCGCTCTGCCGCGTGAAATATTCCTTCCTCGTCACCGTTCGGTCCAGTTACAGGCTGCTTCATGGACAGCAGAATCCCACCCAGATGTAGCAAGGTCGTTTTCCAATGTCCGGAAGCCATCGGACATAGGCGAGGAACATCTGAAGACGCTCAATCTTTCGTGGACGCAGGTGGAAAAGATCGAGCAGATATGCAATTCTCCATCAATCCCGCCAGTGGAATGGCTGGGGCCGCCCCAGCCTGCATCAACGCCTTCTACACATTCACCACGGCTTAGTGATGGTCGTACGGCGCCGCAGCATCGAGACTTCCATGGCAGGATTAAAGAATTCCAGGTACCGAACAGTACAGCGTACTCCGTCCTGTCAAGGAAAGCCCAGGGAGGAGCTCCAGCGCCGCGACTTAGTCATAGTCGCCGCTTTTGGGAAGCTCTCGACGAGAGTGCCTATTATTGGGACACTACTCAGGATCATTACATCCCCCCAAGGGGGGAACTAGACGGGAGCCATGAGGCTTCTCCGCCTGGCTCCACTGTTGGCGCTGAAGACTCTAGTACCGAAGCGACAGCGCAGGCGTCTGATATCCATCCCCAGAAAAAGCAAAAACCGTCGCCTGTGACTCCGTCACCTAGCGCAACGCAAAGCCCATTTCCTCCCCTTACCGCCCTTAATTCGAATGCAAGTACGCCCTCCGGGCCGTCGTCGGGCACAACTTCCCACCAAGCAGTCGCTGCGAGAGGCCTGCCTCGTGGTACAATGTATACGGGCTACCGTATCTCCTCGCCTACAGAAGTCCCCATGAACGCACTGCCCGCTCTTATTCGGGGCTTCATGGAGCCTATTGCCTGGGCTCATGGCCTGTCGGTGACAACCCCGCGCCGTGCTCCTGTTGTGAAGCTGGGATCTGTGCTCTGGCCCGTGCGCCTCACACACGGCATCTACCGGCCCGATACGGATCGAGTCCGAGCCAGGGCTGGTTGGATTAAAGGACCTATTATAGGCGTAAGATGCGCGGACGCTGGCGAGAGTTGGTTTGGTAAGCAGATCATTCCGAAGGAGCTCGAGGGCTTGGTTGAGGAGCTTCAAAAGGATCAAGACCAAACCGATGGCCTTTCTTCGAAGGAAGAAATCCTGGAGCTCGTCCGCGACTTCGGTGTCCTACTACTACTCGCTCAAGAGCGCGCTAGGGAGAAAGATTGGGAAGGGAAGCGACCTGGCGAGGGGATGTGGTGGACGACCACCCCGCGCTGGGGTGGGGGGCCTGGTGGCGAAATGGGGGAAGGGTTAAGTGACGAGGAAATCAAGAATGGAGCCACGGAAGCTGGCGCCGGCGCTGCAAACAACGAGAAATCGAGCTCGGATGCTAAAGCAGCGGAGAAGCAAAAGAAATCCCAATCTGCGGCGGAGAGGCGCAAGCTGGCAGCATTAGAGGCTTGGAAGACCTTGAGGCCTAGCCAACCATATTGGGACATCAAAACGGTGTACGAGGCGATCGGGAAGCCAGACGAGAAGGATTGGGACGAGGTAAGGCCGCACCCAGTTCCGCTTGCATCCATCCCATCCCGTTCAACCTACGATATTCGGCTGACATTTCATCGATAGGTCTACCTCCTCTCTGCGGTTCACTCGCACATTTCGATCCTGCGTCTCCGCGTGCATCGGGCTTACGTCGCGTTCTTGACCTCCGGCCAATTCCCGAACCCGGTGCCTGAAGATCCAGATTGGTGCCGACCCACGCTGAAACGCACGCAATGGTTCGACATGTTCAACATGGTCGAGCGAATCGAAGCAGTGAGAGCGACGTGGGGTGTTTTGAGTTGGCTGACGCGGAGTCGGGAGGATAGTGACGTGGAGATGAAGGGTACTTGAGGGGAACGGCACATGTAAGGACTCTGGAGATGGGTGGAGAGATTTCGGATATCTATTGTTAGCTAATATCCTGCAGTTGTGATTATAAATTATCACTAAATTCCGTAGATTGAAGCACCTCCCTCATCAGGTCTCGTATCCCCGGTAAGCTCTCTTGGAAGAATAACTAAATATATGTTTCTGGTTTCTGCGCAGCTTCGGCCTTTGCAAGCGTCCCTGACTTTTCAACGAATCATTATATCAGTCAGCAAACCGAAGGTCCCGTCGTTTGTCTCGTCCTCAGGGTCTTGACGAACAGAAACACGTTTGGAACACACGCTAACCAGAACGGGGCATTGCAATCCTTGCTCATACATCCTCGGTGTGCCTCCACTACTTTTTGCTGTCCAAAACAAAATGCAAGATATCGCTTTGCATATTAGCTGTGTACAATGCTTAGTGAATAGGTAATCATTTGTTATGTCTAGTTATGATAATCCTTCTCCGCGGCGAGGAGCCGTCCTCGTGCTATATAACTGTCCTCGAACATGTCCTAGCCTTCAACGTCTCACTATTCAAGTTGGCAATTCTTACATCTTAACTATTAGTCACCAATTGGTCCTACTATCATACTCCACTATCATATTTCACTATCAACCATGAAGGCTATCGTCGTGGAAGAGTTTGGCGGCCCAGACCGCCTGGTCATGAAAGCCGTCCCCACCCCCGAGCCCAAAGCAGGCTTCGTCCTCATCAAGATCCGAGCCTTCGGCCTCAACCACGCCGAAATGTACATGCGACGCGGCGATTGGGCCGAAGCCATGCCCATCATCGGCATAGAGTGCGTCGGAACTGTCGCCGCCTGTCCCGGGAGTGAATTTCAGCTCGGTACCGCCGTCGTTAGCCTGATGGGAGGACTCGGCCGCACCATCAACGGTAGCTATGCGGAGTACACGAACGCGAGTGTCGCAACCGTCGTTGAGCTTGGCACAGTCGACTCGCTTCCTTTGCCCTGGGACCAGCTCGCGGCCATCCCCGAGACCTACGCGACGGCATGGACATGCCTGTTTCAGAACCTCGAACTCCGCGCTGGACAGACATTACTCGTCCGCGGCGCTACCTCCGCGCTGGGGAAGGCGGCGGTCAAGTTAGCCGTGAACAAGGGGGTCAAGGTCTTCGCGACGACGCGGAAAGCGCAGCGCCATAACGAACTGATTGCGCTGGGCGTCGAGAGAGTCGAGCAGGAAGGCCCGGGCCTGCCGGAGCGGCTTAGTATCGCGTGTCATAAGCCGTCGAAATTCGATGCTGTTTTAGAGTTGATCGGGAACAGCACGTTGTTGGAATCGCTGACGGTTATCCGGCGCGGAGGGCGGCTGTGCCTGGCTGGATTCCTTGGAGGGCTCGAGCCGATTGTAGATTTCAATCCGCTGCTTCAAATGGCTAGCGGGGTGCATTTCAGCTTTTTCGGAAGCTTTGTATATGGAACGTTGGAGTTTCCGCTGGCTGATGTGCCGTTGCTGGAGATTTTCCAGACGGTTGCCGATGGGAAGATCGAGGAGAAACCGGTTAGGGTGTTCCGATTTGAGGAAAAGGAGATCCGTGAAGCGCACCGGGCGATGGAAGGTAGTGCGGCAAATGGGAAGATGGTGGTTCTTGTAGATTAGCTCTGGAGATATCCGGTTATGACAGAATTGTCAGCGCCAGAGATAGGTTCACTGAATAAACGTGCGGCTTTAGTGCTCTATTCATGACTTAACCGTACTGATATTGCAACCCCAAGCCGCCATCGGTTCCTTGTGTGGAGAATATATATCCTCAGTAGACATCGACCCCTTCATTGTAAGGCGTCAGAAGTGGCGGATGTAGGACCAACATGAAGCGTATCAGTAGGCCTGTTCGTTTGATGAGACCCGAGCAACTTGCATGCATGTGCAGGGTCAACGAGTCCTATCCGAGTCTAGTCGTCTTCACATTTTACCTGTAACCTTCCTAGCTTCTTTCGTGCATTACTACCTACTGAGTAATATTACTCAGCGAGAGAGTCTCTACAACACTCGCTTTGCACTGCTGAGCGGGGGCCTACTCTATACTGTCATGGTCCCCAATCCTATTTTCCACACTCTATATCGGGCTTAATATCTGTTTAGAAGAGCTGAGACAATAGTGTTCGACTATCAGGACAGGAAGGAAAGAACCAGTGCTGTACTCTTCCAACAGGCATGGATGACAATGGAGGGACGTCCCACTTCCGCCGTTGGTAGCCAGGAGTTGAAGTTCATAACTTTCAGTGACCCAACAAGCTCCAGAAGTACACAAAACCGGCAAATTGTTCGCAGCCATGCGATCAAGGGATACCATCGTCGAAGGATCGCTGACCGGCAAAGCATGAATCGAATTGAACTAGATGTTGCCCCTCTCTTTTATCGTCACCTTAATCCTGATCACTCTGCTATACAGAAGGACGAACAACTGTTGAACATTGAACAAAGCACCAGCAGCAACATCCCTAGCCCTCGTCCAGTGACGGTGCTTGATACTGGGCTTATGGATCCGTTTTTCCAGTATCCAATCCGTATGGGTGGACATGAGCAAGAGTTGTACAATCACTGTATGTCCCCTCTTGTCTTCAGATCGTGTCGCACGGTCATATGTGCCTATTTTGCTATACGTGATAGTTCTCATTGATAAGTAGTGTACGATGGAACTTGCATCATGTTCCGAACGATGCGAGACTTCGGATTCCTCAATCAAGTCCGACAGTCCTCTGCATTCTGCCAAACAATGGCAATGTCATCCTGGCACCTTGCCCATCTTAGATCGAGCGGAAGCAAATCAGATCACCTTCGGTACTCAATGAGCGCCGTGCGGAGACTCCAGCAGCAGTTAGACCACCCACAGGACTCCTTCACGGATGAGGCGATATGTGCTATTTTAGCCTTTGCATGTGGTGCAGTACGGCAAACAGTGGTGATAGTGAGAATCGCGCTGACGGTGATAGCAGAACCTTGTAAAGGACTCTCGGGCGTTGAATGTGCATCTGGATGGCTTAGCCAGCGTTCTTCGAAGAAGAGGGGGCCTTCAGACTTTGGACACCAATCCTTTACTGAGGGTTATGTTATATTGGTGAGATCTATACTCTTCATCAGTCCTCTTGATGCTGGAATAGCAACATGTAGAAGCTGAGGATGAAACAGGGTCGACGTGAACGGATCATATATCCAGGATATAGTACCACGTTTCCTTCCGCCCTTTCATTTGGTTCCAAGCGCGCAAAGCATCCACGAAGCAAATCTGCCACCCCAAACCGCTGACACTCCGATTTTATCTTGTATACACGCGTCTGATAAGCCCCTAGTGATGCGAATACATGAAGCTATCAAAGCTGCGCAGACTCTGATGCGCACTGAAAGCAAGATACGAGATCTTTGGAGCGACACTATCTTCCCTGGATTCCACATTTCGCCTATTCTCCACGACCTCCTATCCATGCACCGACCTGCAGATGGAAGCCAAACGGCTCTGGTAACTGAGGTATTCAGACTTGGTGCGATACTTTATATCACTCAATTGAGGGGAAAGTTCGGGATCGACATTATCCCTGGCCGATTGTACGCGGACAAGCTCCGAGACATTGCAAGATCCACGGTCATCGAGGGGAGGAGTGCCAGGCTGATCTTGATCTGGAGTCTGACCGTAGCGTCGGTCTCGTCGTCTTTGTCTCTTGGAAGTCGAACATCGTTTGCTGACTTGCTAAAGGAAGCAGCGAGGACTCTGGATATCGACACATATGAGGATCTCAGGGCTTCTGTGACACAGTTCCTTTGGGATGAAGAGCTTCTAAAGGGCCAGTTAGGGAGCTTGGTGTACCTATATCCAACCTGACGCGTGGATGCTGCTGATAATGACATTACATGTTGAGTCTATTCGGCTAGGATAGTTCTAGTAATACCAATTGAAGTTCCGAGCTTCATACGGACAAGTTGAGATCTCGATATGGCATCAATTTATTCGATTGTCAAACTATCATATGGGTGTTATGTCCCAGTTAACTGTTGGTTATAATTACCATCAACAATTTGCCTGATCGAGTTTAGCGCTCGTTGCTCCGGATTTATGCCATCGAAATTTTGCCCTGTGCCTCTAAACTCCGACCTCCTCCGGGCTTTCTCCCTCTGTCCAACCTTCTCCTTTAACACCGTCTTATTAAATAGTGGATGTCCGGAGTTAACTGGTTCTGAAACAGGAAATACGGCCATAAGGACTAGAGCTCCGGATCATATTGACTGGAGATTGGAGATGGATGGCTGTGGAGATGTAGAAGTATATAAGATCGTAGGAATCATGCCAATGTCGCAATCGACTTCAGACTCACCATCAGGAGAAACTAGCCAAGTCATACCGCTCACAACTGGACCTCACTCAATCTTCAATAACCAGACCAGTCGAACTTAACTATTGTTACCACGGAGAGCTGCCGTCAAGATGACTCAATTCGGTTTCCACACCACCGGCCAGCAGGTTGTCGAGGCATTCCCAGAGCAGGCCAAAGGCAGGACCTGTAGGTACCTCCCTCTGTATGGCCCTTAACCGTATATTGACCTCAACAGTCGCCGTCACTGGCGCCAGCGAGAATGGACTCGGAGCCACCACCGCCACCTCCCTGGCCCACGGGCACCCCGCCGCCATCTTCCTCCTCGCGCGTAGCGAATCCAAAATCACACCCGTCATCCAGAAGATCCACGCGATCGATCCGTCGATCAAAGCCGTCTTCGTGAACGTCGACCTCACCGACCTCGACTCCATCCGCGCCGCCGCCTCTGCGATCCAATCGCAAACCTCTAAACTTGACGTCCTCATCAATAACGCCGGCGTGATGGCAATCATGGACTACACGCTCAACAAAGCCGGTATCGAATACTAATTCGCGGCGAACCACGTGGGCCACTTCCTCTTCACCGCCCTCCTTACCCCGCTGCTCCTCGCCGCCGGCAACGGCAGCCGTATCGTCAACCTCAGCAGCGCCGGGCACCAAAACGCGCCTGTCCGATTCGACGACTACAACTTCTCCGACGGCAAGGCATACAGCCCCTGGGAGAGCTACGGGCAGAGCAAGGCCGCCAACATCCTCTTCAGCCTGGAGCTCGCGAAGCGGGGCGCGGCCAGGGGACTCCTCGCGTTTAGCGTGCACCCGGGAAGTATTTACGAGACAAACCTCGTGGCCCATCTTACCCAGGAGCAGGTCCAGAACATTGGTGAGATGGCGAAGTCGTATGGTTTTGAGATCGACCCGCGGAAGACGAAAGAGGAGGGATGCGCGACGTCGTTGGTGGCGGCGTTGGATCCGCGGGTGGAGAGCCAGAGCGGGAAGTATTTTGTGGATTGCGCGGTGAAGCAGCAGAAGGCCTGGGCGGCGGATCCGGAGGATGCGGCGAGGTTGTGGACGTTGAGTGAGGAGCTTGTGGGGCAGAAGTTTGAGTTGTGAGAGGGCGGACGGATGGGGGGCGGCCACCTTTTTGGCTTCGTTTCTTCAGGGACCAATAATGAATAGCAGAATGACAAGAGCTCGCATATATAGATCCTGGATTTGAATTAATTTCCTTGGGGCAATAAAAATTTCACATTTTCAACATTGCTATGCTATCGCATCGTAAGAATTTGTGAACCAGAACGCGCTCTTTGACAACTCAACTACGAATAAGCGATCATCCAACCTCCCACTCTTCTAGTGCATGCCTCTCTCATAAGTATTCATCAAGCTGCCGATGAACGACAAGACCAGCCGGCTCCGCACTTGGCAAATATCCTCCGGCACCAACCAAATCGTCGCGCCCATCTTTCTCGCAATGCTAATGGCCAACTTCGCATTCGCATACGCCTCCTCATCCGTTCGGCCCGGCGCCACGAGGTCATAGTCGACGTAACTGCTCTTCATCCCATTGAGCACATCCAGGAGGAAGATGCCATTCCCCAGCGACTGATCCTTAAACGACCGAATCGTTGAGCTCCTTCCTCCCTTCTTAGCCATGTCGTTTGCCCACCGTACCATATCCGTATCCGTAATCTCTCGCTTTCCCATCTGCTGCGCTAGCGACGATAGTGTCGACACGATGTCCTTCCGCATGAGCTGCCACACCAACCCGAGCGTCAGCGTACGCTGCCCGTCCGTGATGTCCGCCCCCTGCACGCCCACGAGGCTGAACTGGTTCTGCTTGCCCAGCTCGAGCGCGTAGTTAGTGTTCTCCAGCGCCTTGAACCGCATCAGCTCGCCGCCGCTCACCGGTGCCTTGTTCACGTGCCGCCAGTTGACCGTGCCCGGGATCACCTTGTCGAACGCCTGCAGTAGCACGACGCCGTCACGCAGGTCGTCGAAGAAGGAGACCACTGTCGGTTGCACGTCGAGGGAGTTGAGCCACAGGGTGAAGACGCGGGCTTCGCGCTCGCCCTCGGCGTCGAAGTCGTCGATGTCGGCTTTTTCTTCCTCGGTGATCGGGTCGAGGCCGGGGTGCGTGTTGAAGAGGTTCGCGACGAACGCGAGGTTGAGCTTCGGGTTGCCGGCGACAAGGGAGGTGGGGGTCAGGAATTTGCGGCATTCCAGCTTGTCGGCGTTGTCGAGGACTTGCTCGGCGCGTTGGAGGAGATCGCGAGTCTGGAGGGGGCCGCGGGAGCATACATCGGGGGCGAGTTGGTTGAGGAGGACGGTGTAGTTCTCGCCATCTTTGACGTCGGTGGAGAAGTTGGAGACGCTATTCGAGTCAGTTTTGGTATGGTGGCACTGAGGCGTGTCACTTACGTCCTATTCCATTTGGCGTTCTTAAGGTGGTAGTTGAACCAACGCAATAAGATCTGCTCCGGTGGAAGTCGTAGGAACTGTTCCAGAGTCTCATCCTCGTCCAGCAATCGGTACAGCTCCGGATGCAGTTTGATATCGATTTTTCCAAGCAAACCTCTCCGGATGATCTGCCAAATCAATCCAAGAATCAAATGCTCCCGAACCTCGATGATATCGCCGCTACCAATGTTGACCACCGAGCAGCCAATACCCTTCGCCGAGTTGATGACGATATTGTTGTTTTCAGTCATATGGAACGCATTCAACGTCTTGATCTTCACCCCCGGTCGGTTCAGCACGCGCTCGTCGATCGTGTCCGGAACGCTATCGTTGATCAACTTAGCAAGCACCAACCCATCCTTGCAATCGTCGAACATCTCGAACGTATCGGTCGCGAACGGCAGCCGGTGCCCGATATCCGGATCGCCAGCGAGGACGGCGTTGATGTGCCGGGTGAACTCCGTCCTTTCATCCTCGTTGATCGTATGCGTTACGTTCGAGGACGAGCCCTGGACTTGTATACGTCCGCCACCATGGCTGCCCTTGTGCGCATGCCCGGATGCGGCAGGCAACGCACTCCCTGCACCGGAGAGTCCTCTCGACCGTTGGGGGCCGGTCGACATGCGCTGTTGCGCGGGAGAGGATTCTCGTAATTTCGAGATGAGCTGTACCGCAATACCGTCAGCAGTTGCGGAGGATACAGACTGGCAGGGAATGACATACATCGACATAGTCCTCGAGCTCCACCCTTCTTGAGCTATCTAGCTCGACCTCCTTAAGCGCCTGGCGCACGACGTCATACGGCTGTCGCTCCGTGGTTTGCGTGGCCTTGATCACGGTGGCCTCGTCGAGGTAGCCTTTGTCGTCCACGTCGAGTTTACGGAAGGCATTTTGGAGGTCGAAGATCTCATTCTGGGGGAATTGAGGATACTTCCTGAAGAGGTGCAGTGAGTATTAGCTTCCTGCGCCATACTAAGGCGTATTATACGCACCTCTGTAGCTTTATGACATTCATGATGAATGATGTTTGTCCTTAGTGCCGGTAGCGAAACCGAAGGAGAGGGCGCAGGCGGGGATGTGCGGATCTCGCAGAATGGACGGAAACCCAGGAAACCTTTTGTATCCGGCTGTTGCCTTGTCCTGAAAATAGAAGATCCAGGCACGCGAATTGATTGATAGAGGATCGGAACCCGGAATTGCGTGGACACTCGGGGAGAATGATACTGTTGGTTGTTGGTTGCGTGGGCAAGTGACGTTGACGTCTTCATCACTAGGGCTCGTGCCGCTCGTCAGGCTGTCAGGCTAAATGGGTGGCGGGGCAGAGCAGACATTGATTCCTGTCAGCCTGAGGCAGTACCGCACCGCAAGCCCGGTTTTTACTCCCCAGCTGCCCCTATCACCAGTCTAGACAACATCTACTGTCGGTACATAGGAACAATATTAATAAATCTGGCCTGCATTCCTCTGCGCCGTTTACGAGTACAGGTAGATCTAAAGATCTATATGAATTATGAACCATCCCTTTTACATTAATCTCGTTCAGAGCTGTGGTTCCACAGGTACACCAACCTCATCAACCGCGCATCATTTTCTGCCCTGCTGTGCATCTAATGGTTAGCACCATCCCGATTTCTGTCCCCCAGGACTCCGTTTTCTATCTTAGGTAGTGCCGAGATCAGTTAGGTATTTAGTTTGAATATGATAGGCCGCATAAATATCAGATCACATCCGGAATACTCCCCATCTCCCGCCCCTTTCCCTCCACCGCTCCTCTCCCCCTAATCTCCAATCGCTATTCGCATACGCCGCTCTCAATCCCACCCCCAAGTACTGCCTGGTCTGCACCGGCGGCAAGATCCCATCATCCCACAATCTCGCACTCCCAAACACCGCCCGACTCTCCCTCTCGATCCGATCCCGCAGCCCCGTATCCACCTGTTTCCCCACCGCCTCCATCACCGACGTCAACTGATCCGGCCCCATCACGCTCGTCCGCGCATTCGGCCACGTAAATAGCAACCGCGGCGAATATGCCCGCCCACACATCCCGTAGTTCCCCGCTCCCGCCGACGAACCCACCACGACCGTGAACTTCGGCACGTCGGCACACGCCACCGCGGTCACCAGCTTCGCCCCATCCTTCGCGATGCCACCCTTCTCCGCCTCCTTCCCGACCATGAACCCTGAGATGTTCTGCAGGAACACTAGCGGGATGCGTCGGCTCGCGCATAGCTGGATGAAATGCGCGCCTTTCACGGACGACGAGCTGAAGAGGATGCCGTTGTTCGCGAGTATGCCGACGGGGAAGCCATGGATGAATGCGAAGCCTGTGACCAGTGTCGAGCCGTAGGAAGGCTTGAATTCGGCGAACTCGGAGCCGTCGACGAGGCGCGCGATAATTTCGTGGATGGGGATCTGTTTGCGGAGGTTGGCGCCGACGATGCCGTGGAGCTCGGTGGGGTCGTAGAGTGGCTCTTTGAACTCGGTGGTGAGGTTGGATGGGCGGTCGAGGCCGCTTAGGATTTCTTCACCGCTGCGGTTGGGAGGGAGTCGGCCGAGGTTCAGGTTCGAGACGGACCGTCGGGCGAGAACGATGGCGTGCGCGTCGTCGACAGCAAGATAGTCCGCGACGCCGCTCTCTTCGGTGTGTAGCCTTCCACCGCCCAGATCTTCGGCGCTGACCACTTCCCCGGTCGCCGCTTTCACGAGGGGTGGGCCGGCGAGGAAAATGTGCCCCTGTTCCTGCACGATGATGGATTCATCGGACATAGCTGGCACGTATGCACCACCTGCCGTACATGGGCCCATGACAATGGAGATCTGCGGGATGCCTTTGGAAGACATGCGGGCCTGGTTGAAGAATATGCGGCCGAAGTGGTCGCGGTCGGGGAAGACGTCGGCTTGATGTGGGAGGTTGGCCCCGCCGGAGTCGACCAGGTAGATGCATGGTAATCTGTTTTCTTCGGCCACGGCTTGCGCTCGGAGATGCTTCTTTACGGTGATGGGATAGTATGTTCCTCCTTTTACTGTGCTGTCGTTCGCTACGATCATGCATGTTACGCCTTCAACGACACCAATCCCGGTGATTATCCCTCCGGAGGGGACATCCTCTCCGGGATAGACTTCATGCCCAGCAAGAGGCGACAACTCGAGGAATTCAGTTCCCGGATCTATCAGGGAAGTAACGCGGTCTCGGGGTAGCATCTTCCCTCGCGCAACATGCTTATCCCTCGCCTTCTGTGTTCCACCTTCTGATATTTTGACGTGCAATTGCTTCATTTCCTCCACCAGCTCATCCATCTGGCGTGCATTTTCCTTGAAATCCCCGGAAGATGTGTCGACCGCGGTCGGCAGGACGGAAATGGCATTCGCATGGTGGGAATGTGTATGTGTCGCGATGGTTCGTCTCGTCGTATTAGGGTGTCTCAATGAGCGACTGCGTAGTGAAGCGGTCCGAAATGACCTTCGCACGCACGAAGGGAGGGTAGAAGAAGACATTGTGTCTTGAGGGTCACTGCATATCCAAAATTCGCATGGAATATCCAGAATACAGGAGAAGGTCATTCAACTCCAGCAAATCTTGAGGGTGTGGTTGCTCTGACGTTGGAGACCCGTTAGGCCGATGCAAACCGGGACTGTGGAGGGGTTGGTCCCCTGTAACTGCAAATCCGGGGCATCGGACTTTCGAGCAGAAGCCGAGACATGAAAGATGCGGATGCAGGATATGATGGTAGAAACTTATCTTTAAGAGCTAGGAACAGTTATTCAACTTCATCGCTTTTAGTCTACTTAGGCAACGAACGTTCTTTGGTGCCGTCGTAGCAGCAATGGCATCCCGCACCACCCCCATACGCTTTGCAAACAGCATCCGACTAGCCTGTCGTCCACGGCGAAGAAGGGCCGGCATTTCGCTCCAATTCGCACGAGCGGCGTCAACGAAACATCCGAAAGGGTTCGTTCCGCCGTCCAAAGAAGATCTCGAAGAACTACGGGAGAGAGTACAGGAGTTCACCCGTACGCCCCCGGCGGACACTTCCCAGCGTAACCTAACCGGTTTCTAGGACGAGAGATCCCCGAAGAGGTCGCGACGAAGACCGATCGCGATAATGAGTTCCCGGCAGATATGTGGAAGAAACTCGGGGATGCGGGGCTCCTTGGGATCACAGCGGACGAGGAATACGGCGGGCTAGGGATGGGATATCAGGCCCATTGTGTGGTGATGGAGGAGCTCAGTCGGGCATCTGGTATGCATATGACGTCGTCCCTGAATTCAAACAAGGTATACTGATTGATCCAGGCAGCATTGGACTTTCATACGCCGCGCATTCCCAGCTATGTGTGAACCAGCTCATGCTGAACGGAACGCAGGAGCAGAAAGTAGAGTGGCTCCCTAGACTGTTGTCCGGGGATGCAATCGGCGCGTTGGCTATGTCAGAGCATTCGGCGGGCTCAGATGTCGTGAGCATGAAGATGACGGCCAAGGAAGTCGACGGGGGCTATCTTCTCAACGGCACCAAGATGTGGATCACCAACGTACGTCACCCCTCATTGGCACTCTATCTACTATCACGCGGTCTCCCGACAATGACTTAAACTAACATCCCTCCCCTAGGGCCCCGACGCCGACCTCGTCATCGTCTACGCCAAAACCAACCCCTCCGCCGCTAGCAAAGGCATCACTGCCTTCCTCGTCCCCACCACCACCGCCGGCTTCTCCTGCGCCCGCAAGCTCGACAAGCTCGGCATGCGCGGCAGCAACACCGGCGAGCTCCTCCTCACCGACGTCTTCGTCCCCGCAACCCACGTGCTCGGCCGCGTCGACGCCGGTGTGCGCGTCCTCATGGAAGGCCTCGACCTCGAGCGCCTGGTCCTCTCGGCGGGCCCGCTGGGGATCATGCAGGCGTGTTTGGATAATGCGCTGCCGTACACGCATCAGCGGAAGCAGTTCGGGGTGCCGATCGCGACGAATCAGCTGGTGCAGGGTAAGTTAGCGGATATGTACACGCGGTGGCGGGCGAGTAGCGCGTTTACGTATGCGGTGGCGGAGGCGGTGGATCGGACGGCTGGGAGCGAGACGGGGGCGGTGGTGAGGACGCAGGATTGCGCGGGGGCGATCCTGTATGCGGCGGAGAGGGCGACGGAGTGTGCGTTGGATGCGATTCAGTTGATGGGGGGGACCGGGTATGTGAATGAGGTGCCGGTGGGACGGTTGTTGAGGGATGCAAAGTTGTATGAGATTGGGGCGGGGACGAGCGAGGTGCGGAGGATCGTAATTGGGAGGGCGTTTAATAAGGAGTATAGTGAGAGCAGATAAAAATGTGAATATCATGCGCTGTTTTGATGCAACGCGCGGTTGGGAGTCGTACATGGTTCGTTCACTATCCATCTCTAGTGATGCGCTATTGAGTCCGAAAAGATACACACTATTGTTCTATTGTTGAAGCCAAAGCCGAATGTACCTGTGGAGAGCGCCGTACCCACCCCTCCGTCATCCTTATATCGTCCATTGAGAAAAAGTCGCTTTTCGCATCCACGCCATCGATCATAAAATCGTACATCTCTGATCCCTCTTCCGATGAGCCCTCCTCCGCAACCCTTGCGACGAGTTCCCATACCCATCATGGTACCAATCCTTCTGTCTCCTCCCCATCCCATTCGCACCCCCCACCGTCCGCCCGCCCGAAGCCCGCAACCCATACCCCGGCCCCCCACTGCCACTATACCGCGTCGCATTCAACTCCATATCCTTCCTCAGAATCTGGCGGCACAGATCCCGAAACACCTCGTCGACGTTCGCACGCCGCCGGGCGCTGGTCTCGTAATACGGGGCGTTGCCCCAGTTCTGCGAGACCTGGAAGGCGCGGGTGCGCGAGACGGCGCGCTCGTCCTCGAGGTCGGATTTGTTGCCGACGAGGACGATGGGGACGCGCGGGTCATCTTTGATGCGGATGATTTGGTCGCGGAGGTCGGAGAGTTCGGCGAGGGAGGAGAGGGAGGTGATGGAGAAGACGAGGAGGAAGCCTTGGCCGGTTTTCATGTAGAGTTCGCGCATGGCGGCTGGTCGGTGATTAGGCGGATGGTCCGGTTGTTGGAATGAGGGACTCACTAAACTGTTCCGTGCCTGCGGTGTCGAGAATCTCGAGCACGACCTGCCGGCCGTCGACGTCTATGGTCTTTCGGTATGAGTCTTCGATGGTGGGGTCGTAGCTTTCGATCCACACATTTTGAACGAACTGGGCCGTGAGACAACTTTTCCCTACACCACCCGACCCTAGAACGACGATGTTGTATTCCGGCATGGTGTCAACTCAGCCTGGAGTTGGAATCGTAGATCTCAGCTACCTGCGGATGCTCCAGAACATCTCAAGCCCGAAGGACGTTTGGGGATGAGATACAAACAAAGACAAGATATCTAACAAGAAAATAAACACTGGACTCGCGTCTCTTTTGCTCTAGATTGTATCCACTACCAGCACCGAGCTGAGAATGTCTAATGTAAGGAATATGACGTTATATGGCTGGCAAAGTCCACGCCTGGCTGTGATCGATAGCCTAAACGAATTGGAGCGTCCAAATCGGTCTTGACCTCTTGATTATCCTGCACAGGGACGCAACGGTGCGTCACGGAGACGGAAACTCTAAAGCTTAAACCGCTAAGGGAATGGCTAGCGAGGGTAATTAGCTGCAAGTAATTGACCTGCAGAAGAAGCTCTACGGAGTGTGGAAGACGTGTAAAGTAGCCCACTTCCCCAGAGATATGGAAAGTCTAGAAACAAGGTTTCAGAAGACGGTTCCGCGGGGATAACCCGGTCGAATGGGTACCCAGCCAGAGCACTGGAACAGACTCAACCAGGAAGTACTGTGTCTCCTCGTGGAAGATCGGCGGGGACAATATGACGCGTGTAAAGTGCGTTGTATATGGAAGGCGGTAAACAAATGGGTAACGATAGTGGGGACGTTCGGTCGGAGAGGGTCAATCAAAGCCGCTTGCCGATTCAGGGAGACGAAAGGGCCATTATTTATGCCAAATTTCCGTCTCAATCAAATGGTCGTCTGGAACTTAGGAGGGCCGAGTTTAGGATTGCGTTGTTCAACGGGGCGCGGGCGATCAGGCAACAACCGCGTCCGAGCCGGCTTGGACAGGAATATTCGAGGGGGATATAGGGCGAGCGGGAAGGAGGAACAAAGCAAAAGGTCTGCATCACAGTTCACATTTAGCACATGGATTGACGAGATAAATTGACGTTGCGATTGACGTAGATTGGGCCGGATGGACCCTCCAACCAAACCAAGACAAGACAACGACGGGACGGGACGAGGATCCATTGCTGGGCTCCAATTCGCCTCGTCGGCTCGGGAAAGCAATCAAACAGGACGAATTTCCAATATGAGAATGGGTGGTCGGTGCAGGCCGAGGAAGTTAGGGTTGGGGGTGAAGGATGATTGTGCGAAATGCTATGTTGCAGAAGGGGGAAAGGAAAACGCATTGGGCATCATTTGGGCATTTGGGCATTTGGGCATGGCATATGTATGATATGAGACGCGGCGTATAGCTCCTTTGTAACCAAAGGATTTGAGACGTGTTCTGCTGATCCTTCGACACGTACCTTGGGGCCGAAAGGCTTGTCTGATGTTTGTTCTTCCTGTCGGACGCCGCGGAAGACGCCAATGGTTGTCGTGGAGGGGAAGGGATATGTGCGGGAATCCTAATGCCGTTCCGAGGACCTTGGGCTTTCCGTGTGAATGTTTCGGTTGCAGAGGTGATGGTTGATGGGCTTCTGGGGGGCTCGCTCGGTTGGAGAGGTTTCTTCAGCCTTCAGGAGCCCTATTAATCAATGGACGAGAGAGAAAGAGAGGAACAGTCGTCAGTCCGGCAATTGGAGAGGAGCAGGAAACAGCCGTCAGTCCGGGAACGCAGCTACCTAGGGATTCCTGCAGAGAATTGCGGCGATTGAGCAATGGGCAGAGGATTGGGACTTTAAGCGACTGGCGATCGTGTAGACTGGGGACTGGAGAGACGTGGGGCAGGAGGGATGAGCGGCGAAGCGATCCAGACTGATAACTAATAGGACTTACGGCTGCGTCTAAGAGGAGTGGAGTGGACAATAGTATGAAATATCAAGAAATTCGCCGGATTTTTGGCTTTAGACTCTCAACAGCGCGGGTCGTCTAATCGTCGTCTAACTGTATTTACTGCAGCCACGCGGGACGGACATCTACTGCGTTGCTATTACTCTGGTACAGGCTACTTTGGTACGGATACGTCCCTATGCTAGACCATTACGTTAAACCGTCCACAATGACGCCTTTATCAATCACAATCGTCTTCCCATACTGGATCCGTGTATCCTCGTGCCTCTGTGCCGCACTCTCTCTTCAATTCTGACCAAGGGCAGCGGTCGTTGATTCAATTTTCCTTGCGGCTCGTCCTGCAGTGTGATGAGCCCCGAGGTTAGGATCTCTCCATCGCGCATGCACATGCGGTATCTAATCCCCGAACTACGTATCCTCCGTCGCCAAGTTGTTCCAACCTGGACTGTCTAACATGAATGAACTCCCGCTGGAGGCCTGGAGCGCTTACGTTGGTTCTTCGTGGTTCCAAGCATGTGTGGTTTCCCCCATTCCGGTAAGAGTCCGACTCCCAGGCGGTGTCGTCGAGCGTCCATGAGTTCCAATTGGTCGTCTTGTGGCCCAGTGCTTTCGCCGTTTCTCGAGTCGTCGCTGATGCTACTCGTGTGCTGCAACTAAAGTCGCCTGCCTTCGGTGCTGTCGGGCCTATCGCATCGTCAAGACCGTAAGGCGCTGTTCTCTGCAGCTGTGTTCCCATGTCAAGGGATGGCACCAATCAAGGCGGTCCCTGAGTCCTTGTTCTCTCCAGCACACAAAGGTTCCAGCTGTCAAACGCGACAGAACATTCTCTTGCGACAGCCGAGGGTGCTACCAAGTCGATCTCTTTTACCTTTTGTTGTATGACAAATATGTCATTCTGCTCCTTGTCCGTCAGACATCTGGCTTATTCCAGCAATTGACACCTCCACAGGGAACCGACAGGCTGTCATGAGCTATGGGGCATTCCCGTGATGATGGAGTGTATGCATGCAGAGAGTATGCAGGCAATGACAAGACGGGGGATCACCAACTCATGTTCCTTGCTCGTGGCACCCTCGTTTGTCGCTTTCGAAACACGCCGCATCCATGCGAGATCCATGCAAATTGGATGGCCGGGTCGCCTTAATGCATGCCTAACTGGACGAAGGTTCTCCGGTCCGTATCCGCGACCATGGTATGGGAGTATTTGGCATTCTGTCAGAGTGCCATGTTGCCAGGAGCTGCATCATCATCAGATGAACGATCTAGAATTGGACAAGCTGTTGGGTTCAAAAGGCACGGCAGAAATGCACGGCAATACGGAATAATACACGGCAGAATTGCGCGTTACCGTTTCTCTTGTCCATGGAAATTTGACAGGTTATGCTGCACTGATGTCGGAGCTTTTGTCAGCAGCATGCCTGGCCACAAGCTTTAAGTCAATCAGACGCTCATCCTGTCTTCAAGGATAGCTTAAAACTGAGGTCTCTTATTGCTTCCTACTTGAATAGGCAAGTCGGATCAATAGCATAAATGTGAACGAGGCTAGAACACCCGGACCTTTCAAGCACTTTGGCCCGTGTCGCCAGTCCAGCTTTTGGAGATACTATACTTCCATGCCTTCGTCTCCAGTCTATCACAACTCATTTAGTCCAATATCATATTTGTCAGAGTTGATCTATCGCTACAGTCAAACGCTCTTCCAGCTAATCTGCTGCGTGCCGTTTCCATTCCATTACGTTTGACATGGCATCGGGCGATGACGTAAATCCTCGCCTAGCATATCATCATTATACCTCTTGCAGAATATAATATGCGCTGCTTCTTCTTTCCGACGACTTTGCTCTCCTCCCAGTTCTCATACTATTCATCACCTTCTAGAGTTGTAGCCAAGCGTCATCCCCTATGTTTGTCCTCGCGCAGAGTCTCGTATATATCTGGCATTTCGCCTGTTTCGCTCGTGCAATTGGCTACAGTGTAACCTCAACTACACCAAGAATATTAACAATTCTCTCTTCAGAACTGCCAGGGGGGCTATAGTAACATCTATTGGCACTCCGACATCCTCGCCTGACGGATATTCTATTTGCCATCCACTCGTAATCCTGATTCCATACTTTTGGGCCAGAGGCCGGAAACTTCTTCGACAAACGTCAGATGTTTCTCCCCTATGATTTCTTATGGGGAAGGAGATAGAAGAGGCCATTCGAATGGCCTAGAAGGCCAACTTTGTCTAGAGAAGCGAGGAATAGGTACAACGATTCCATCGTTTTTATACTGTCCAACACGCCTCTATTGCGTCGTTACTTTCCGTTCGTTTCGAAGGTTCTTCCTAAATCAGTTGAAACCTAGCTTCGCACCGCTCCTGGTACCTTAGTCAACAAGTTCATCGGAACCTGCGAGAGAATCGTTAGCGCTTGGAATGAGCTAGCTATAGAGAACAATCCGAACAAACGCGGCAGCAGTTGTTTATCAGCAGGGATTGGGGGGAGTATGGAAGCAGTTAGCCTACGCCCTCGATTTCAGGAACAACAGTGCACACTTGACGCATGGGGACGAGTCAGTGGGGGTGATACCTTCAAGCAATGGTGCGGAAGCAACCTCTGCAATGTATCCAGGCTCTGGAAATGCCGCCATGTAAACTGCAAAGTTGAGGGTGCAACGTCCCGAATATCTGACTCCGCTACTGGGCAAGCTCAGCTATCTCATCGAGGATGTTTGCTTCCCCGGGGCCATCCTGAATGCGCGATTGGTGGACACAATCAATAGAGGCAACGACCTGGTCCAAAGTATGAATCAATTGATCATCTATCAAATGGACGGTGGCTGGATTGCAGACGCCAGCCTTGCAGCCAATGCAAGTACGGCATGGACGAGATTCCAGGTGTCATTCAGGCGGTTCTATAGAGCGGAGTATCAATGGTTCACCGGCAGCACAATGGTTTAGAAGTACTCACTATCACCTACCGCGTCATTACCAACTTACCTCTCCCTTCCGGCACCTTACATATTGCCCCCCTTAATCATATATTGGTAGTTAAGATACCCACACAATACCCCGAGATAGCCTCACTGTGCTGTTGAGGTTTTACACTGCGGCCGCCAACGTTCGGCAAAAAAGCAGCAAAACCCAACGCGATCGACATCAAAATGACCACCATCAATTTCGCATCCACTGCTGCTACTTCCCCTCACCCAAATCGAAATGGCTGGCATATTCTGTAGACTTTTGAGCGACAGTGGAGTTGGAATGTAGACGCTATGCTTGAACAGTTCCGAAGCTCGAAAAAGAGTACGGAGCGGCAGGCGACTTGTGACTGAGGTTCTGTTTAGATATGGATTGACGGCAATCATGGATCTCTTATTGGTACGGCGGATTGTGTAGCTAATTATATCAATCAAGTATTTTATCACCAATGCATATGTTCCTATGCATCAAGCCGATGCATACTGCGTTTCTCCTGCTTCTCCATAACCGAGGTTCCCCATCCTCTTGTGTGAGCAAAGCGATACTAAAGTCCCATGAACGTAGATATACAGTGGCTGAATATTAAATCTAATATCTCCGCTCTCAAGGTCCTCAAATGATTGACGTGGTGAGCTTTTTGATATAAATCCAACAATGCCAACTGGAGGATGCCTCTGTGGCGCCGTGCGCTATTCTATCGTTGATAGCACGGAGCCAATCTACAACGTCATCTGCCACTGCGACAACTGCAAGAAAGCCAGCGGAAGCTTGATTAAGTGTGCGAGCATCTATCCCAAAGCGGTGCGTCTATCCTGTCTTTGCCCTTGTCTGCTGTCTGTTTGCCATACCAGCCTCTTCAGAGCCGTTATGCACAGCACCTACAGCTAGGGCACTAATCCTAAACCACTCTCCACTCCAAGTCATGGGTAGACTAATCCTGAATTCAATCTAGAGCTTCGAGATCGTTGCAGGCATACCCAAGCAGTACAGAGACGGCGCAACCGACTCCACGAAGCCACTGTTCCGGCACTTCTGCGGCGACTGCGGCGGCGCTTTATTCTCGCTGACGCCACTGAATGAACAAATTGTATCCGTTTCAGTGGGTTCGATGGATGGATCAAGTGAGACGTGGCGGCCGAATAAAGGTAACTAGTTTCGATGAAACCAGCTGGCTGCGAGCACTTCACAGCAGGAACGTGGACTGATTCGACTGACATCACTTAGAACAATACATTGAAACCAAGTCGCACTGGCTTCCAGACTTTAAATTGGCCAAGAAATCCGAAATTCCCGAGAAACACCGCAGGGGACCAGTGTCACCACCGCCAACAGGTCGGATATAGTCCCGAAGTCAGGGAGCGGATAGAAGGCTTTGCAGGTCACAAACCTAGACGCCTTTCTGTAGATAAATTGACATTCAAAACCAGTCAGACCAGAGCGTCATTATGTGTATGTCCACAATGCCGGTAGTTCATAATCAAGAGCGTCTGCTCAAGTCGCAATAGAATATTTGCCACACAAGGCTGGGCATGAAGGGCATTGGAGCCTTTAACATCGATGCTTTCTTATTAATATGAGCCGAAAATGTGCTCTGCCCACCTAACCACCGGGCGTATAACATATACTCCAATATATCCTTTACCAGTTCCATGGTCCGGTTCGCCTTGCCCAGATGACTGCGACGTAGGCGACGCAGAGCCAGCTAAATCCATCTCCCTCAACTCTCCCAGTTGAGTTGGACAGGCCAGATTCCCTAAAGCCCTTGCAACGCGCATCGGCCCTGATGATCCAGCAAGTGTTGCGCCCATCTCCGCTGCCTTCTCCTCTTCCCTCAGGTAGGAGAATCGAGAATCTCCCTACACTTCATTATCTTCTCTTCGGATTCAGCAAGCGTTCCGACCAGCAACTTGTTCGGGTCCTTTTTCAATCCTGCGAGAACTGGGATGTTGGGGAAAATTTGGAGCGATGGGAGAGACCTAGGGAGGTAAAAGAGAATGAGAGGAGTGGGAGAGAATGAGAGGAACGAGAGAACTGGAGTAATGGGAGAGAAGAAGGAGAGGAGAGAACAATAGGAGAGGAATTAAGGTTCATAACCACTTTTCGAGACCTCAAATGGAAGACGAATGAGAAATGACACTTTGGATCCTTGAGATGAGATCCCAGTACTGTACGATTAGTTGAAAGCTACGATTAACTAGGAGATTTGGGTATTTGGTAGTTCATCTACAACTGGCCCAACTCTTCATGAGGCTCAAGGAGTTTTGCCAGCCTTGTCCAATGGCACTCATATCGGAGTTCAAAGCGAATTGACAGGGTTGATATCCTTACACGATCAACAATAGGACCAAAACGTAGGTTGTAGTATCGAGGTTGGGTTTTGAATGGAAGTGAAGGTTGTCAGATTCGTCAACATGAAATTCAGTCTGTCAACAATGGCCTCATAACTACATACCTAAGAGTGCTAAGACACCACTGCAAGCATTCTGTCTTCCAGTGTTACTGCCTTAGGCATAAATTATGCACGTGACTAGTATCGTATGTGTGTACTCAGACGGGATCTGCAAGATGCTTGTGGCGGTGCAGACATATTTCAGATGCCGTCTGAGGGAGCATTTTGGTGGTCGCTGGGGGCGCGTAGGTCAAAAGAGCGGATTTGGCCCCTACGGTGCACTAAATCCCACCAAAATTCTCGACTGGAATCTCCTCAAAAGTTCAACTACGCGTGCCCTTACCGTCTGAGCTTGCTGAGATAACCTCCATGCGTGCGTCCATGCGACCATGCTGTCCATGGCTCCATGCCCTGGGACTGTGTCACGTGCACCCAATACATGTAGGTTGTTTCAGCCTGATTGCCTCACCGACGCCTCAGCCTCTGCCTCAGCCTCACCTCAGCCTTATCGTCGTGTCGTCTCCAGAGTCCAGGCCATATTGTGAAACTCACCGAAAATGATAATGATGATCCCTGGCTCTACGAACAAGTCATTACCCAACCCCCTCTCGTACATGGACCATAGTTCCCCCTTAAAATTGGCCGTCACACATCCCGATCCCGTGTAGCCACAGTGTTATGCTCATGTGAGCCGACGAGGATCCGTACCTGCCCCTCTGGCAGCTCGGAGCATTTTCACACGCCAACTCTGGACAGCGATTCACTTCTACCAGGCAGTCGCTACCACTCCTGCTTTGCTGTGTACGCGACGGGAAGATCCTATAGTTTACCGGACTTCTTCTTCTTGATCCATGCGCTGAAGATCATTGAGACCGATGGGTTAACCTACACACGATCAACGACTCTCATTGAATCCAAGCGGATCGAATTGATCGTGGTTGGATTGAGCAAGCTTCATGATGACCTTACTTTGCTTCGTAACTTCAGCTTTCGAGCTGTGCTATGGCTTATACGGTCTGTCGATGATCTCCTTGGTCACGATATTAACCGGAGAAATGTTTCGACGGGCGAAGCCGCATGAGAGAGAGGAACTAGCCGATGGTGAGAGTCCGCGCAGCATATCCCCAGGTGGTTAGTTCTTACTAATTTATTATGGCAGCAAGAAATAACCTCTGGTCACTGAACAAGCAACCATTCGGGCTTAAGCACCAGTTCTGTACTTTGAACCACGGCCTCCGACTGCACTACGTCATCCGAGAACCCACCAACAAGCCCCGCCATTCGAACATCGTGATCTTCATCCACGGATTCCCCGACTCCTGGGCCGTTTGGAAGCATCAGCTCACTTCGGAGATGCTGTACGATGCGACTCTGATCGCTGTCGATGTCCCGGGATCTGGTGGAAGCGATGGTTTGGATCGGTACAATGCCACCAGCGTCTTGGAGGCTGTGTCGCAGTTTATCGTCAAGATGCGGGACATCTATTTGAGAAACACGTCCGGAGACAACAGAGACGGCCAGGTGATTGTTGTGGCTCATGATTGGGGCGCAATTATTGCGTTCCGTCTTGCGTCGGAGGCACCGCAGCTGGCAGACCGCTTCATCATGACCAACAGCATTCACGTATGTCCCCTCTCCCATCTACGTATGTTCGGGACCTCCCACGCTAACAACCCCCAGCCCAGCCTCACCCTCTCCAACGTCATCTCCCGTGTCGCCTCCGCCAAACTCATGCTCAAAACCTGGACCCGCTCCCCCCGCTCCATTTCCCTCCTCCGCAAAGCCTTCGCCAACCTCCTCCCCATCCTCTCCCAGATCCTCAAATCCTGGTACATCTTCGTGTTCCGTCTCCCCATGCCCCTCGCTGCCTCTGTCGGCTGCATCGGCGACTTCTCGTTCTTCCGCTTCCTGAGCGCCACCGCGCACTCACAAAAGTCGCCGCGGATTCCCGGGCCGAAGGGCGCGGAGGCGCTGGCGGAGACGGTTGGACCGGGCGAGGCGGAGTGTGTGGTGGTGGAGGGAGGGCATCCGACGCACACGTATGGACCGGATGTGAAAGCGCGAGCTCGCACGGGCGGATGGGCGACGAGGATCCGGTTGTATCGTGAGGGGTTGTTTTCTGGTCCGTGGGAGAAGTCGCTGGAGACGATGTGGAAGCTGGAGCAACTGGAGGAAGCGCGGACGCGATCGTCGTCAGCGGGGGGGAGTTGTGGGGGTTTGTTCAATACAGGGCCGGTGGGCGCGCTTATGCAGTCGTCGACGGTAGTGTGGGGGATGGAGGATCCGGCGTTGGATTCGCGGCTGAACTTGGAGGGTATGGGGGATTATATGTCGGCCAAGGGGAGTCAGGTGGTGCAGGTGAAGGGGGTGGGGCACTGGACGCCGATAGAGGAGGGGTGCAGAGAGGTGTTGGTGGAGGTGGTTGCGTGGGCGGTGGGCGGAGAGAAGAGGGGGAAGTTGAGTGAGGTTTTGTCTAGCAAAAGCAGGATGGATCATGTCAAGGTCGCCATTGAGAAATGATGGAACTTTTAAGGGATCTGGCACAGATGATTGAACAGCGACACTCGTTGTGTGGTGTTCATATGGGTTCTTGCCTCCCTGGACGCGAATAGGTTATGAGACTACGTCTGTACGATATCATCGATGACATTGCTAGCTTCAGGGACGGGTATTTTCGGCGTAACGATTTCCTATCCCACTCACACGGATAGAGATAGCGGTATTACATGTACGTTGCAACCATGTATGAATTCCGAGGGAATCGAAGAGACGCAGTTTGGTACACAACCTGGTGATACGAGCTCGTTGGCGAATCTATTGTTTCGGTTTGACGCCACCCCAATTCTTGTGTATTTACCACCTCGACTTATTGTTTGATTACGATGATGATTTTGACATTTCTCCATTGTATTATGTATACAGCAATTGAGCTGCCGTACATGGCAGACTTCTCTCGATAGAGATGTTGAATGACCTGGTGCAATTTGTGGTTCATGTCATTTGCTTCCGTCCTTGGCTTGGTGGAGGTGGAGGAACGCACCACGAAATTCACGATGCATGTTCCCAGCTACGACCGTTATTGGCGGCACTCATTCCCCTGTCAAGTGTCAACAACCAGCATCTCCGCAAGGTTCTTAATGTGGTCCGCACGCCGATTTAATTGAACGAAGCGGGATGGACCGATGATCATGGATGATGGATGCCATGGCAATGGGGGCAGCTGTGTCCCACCACTCAACGTTTCTTTCCTCTACGGATTGATATTAAAATTCTTCCTCCATTCTCAACAATATCAATCATATTAAGTCCCTATGAAGAAGGGAAGAATCGGAGGGATGCCATCGTTGTTCCGTCGCTTTTCATTCCCCCTTTCGGTGTCACCCTCCTGCATGACGTCGCCTGCGTGATTGGCCTCTAGCAAGCCAGATCCTCGTTTGAACGCGGGGAAGCTGTCGAGTCGAAGCGCTGTGTGCGCTGCTAATTGCTTTCTGCAACGACACCGACCCACCCTCCAGCACGAGGAGTGTTGTTGTATTGCCGTCATCGTGGGGATCGGCGAATTGTCTCACGAGCCCCTCGCCCATAAACCGGACAAGAGACGGCTGTTGCCCGCTTTTGAGTTTTGGTGGATGCAGGTTCAACGTCGTCGTTTTTTGTTACATATATCTTTGACGTCGTTTAGCTGAGGTGCAGCATGGCGGGCGCCGGAGAAGATGTCTACTGCACGGTATGAGCTGCTCGCTTTGATGAGAAGATTCGGATTGAGCATGAAATAGCTGACGTTGATGACCGATGCAGTTGGTTATGTCCGACTCCTACTTGCCAGGTATGATGAATTGATCCACGTTGCCGAGAGTGTTGGCTAAAGAATATATCAGGAGCGGCGGTTCTAGCCCATTCCTTGCGAGATGCGGGCACGACGAAGAAGCTGGCTTGCTTAATTACCCTCGACACGCTGGCAGCGGACACAATATCAAAGCTTGATGTATGACAGACTCAAGGAATGCCTCCATGGCTCCGGCTAACGCACTTCTTAGAGCCTTTATGACTACTTAATACCCGTCGAACGAACCGCCAATCCCACCCCTTCCAACCTCTATTTAATGGGACGCCCGGACCTATTGTTCACCTTCACCAAGATTGCCCTTTGGCGCCAGACACGGTTCCGCAAGATCGTGTACATCGATGCCGATGTCGTGGCGCTGCGAGCTCCCGACGAACTGTTTGACATTGACGCTCCGTTCGCCGCCGCCCCGGATATCGGTTGGCCTGACGCCTTCAACACCGGTGTCATGGTCATTTCACCGAATATGGGCGAATACTGGGCCTTGCATACCATGGCATCGAGCGGAGACAGCTTCGATGGCGCGGATCAGGGCTTGCTCAATCAGTACTACGAGCACAAGAAGTGGCATCGACTCAGCTTCACATACAATTGCACGCCAAATGCCGAGTACCAGTGGGAACCTGCGTACAGGCACTACAAGAGCCATATTAGCATGGTTCACTTCATCGGCAAGAACAAACCTTGGACTAAGGCCAGGAACCAGGGTAGTGGTGTGTATAGCGAGTTGTTGGCTCGATGGTGGGCGGTGCATGACCGGCATTTGAAGGAATCTGCCTCGGAGTTAGTCGTCCAGACCCAGACATCAGCTGCCCAACCACCAATTGCCCGACCACCAACTGCCCAACCACATGTTGAAAAAGAAGTTGAACAAAAAGTTGAACAAGAAGTTGAAAAAGGAGATAGGAGTACCGGTTTCGAGCACCCTGCTCTCGGATACACCGATCACATCCCGACAACCGTCGTACGTGCAGCACCGACCACGACGCCTGAAACGCCGGCCACAGAAGTGCCTATGACGGAGCCTGGAGAGCCTGCGGAGAACATCGAGCAAGGAGTCACGCAACCAACTCCAACCGTCGAGCAACGTCGTTTCAGCGCACCTCATGCGGAATGGGATGCTACCAGGTAGGATTTCCGAGCTACTCAGGTGTCTTTGCTAATCCACCTTTTAGAAACGCACCTCCTCCAGAATCCAAACCGGAAGCGGCGAATTTCCCAAACCAGGTATATACCTTTAGTGACGAACAATCGCTATTCCAACCACCCTCATCATATCCGGAACCTCCAAAAGATATGTGGTACCAGGTACCCGAATCCAAACCGAAAACTCAGGAGAAACCCAAGCCAATCTTCCCATGGGAGATGGGCCGCGAAACCCCGAAGCCAACGCGAGTGTTCCTTGACGACCTACCCACCCCACCCCAACCTGAACCAGAGTCCGACCTGGCCCCATCCTTCTCATACGAAAAATTCGGCCGTGAACCCTCCCCTACCCACGAACCCACCGAACCCGACGAATACTCCACCCAACCCTTCGCCCCCACCGCCAACGCCTGGGACTCTGTCGCCGGCATCGACCGGTACGTCCGCGCCGTCATGGAGGCACAAGCCCGCCGGGGGATCAAGTCCCCCTCCACCGCACCAGCGCCCGGCGCCATCGAGGAGCTCCTCTCCCCCATCGCCCAGCAATCCGACCCGACCCGACGCGAGAGCCTGATCCTCACGGACTTCCCGTCCGCGATCGAACGACCGTCACTGCCGGTGACGCCGGCGCCGATCCGCCGGCCGATGTTTTGGGGGGAGGAGCGGGATGCGGCAGGGGAGTTGCCGATGGCAGAGGGGGTGCCGGATCAGGCTGAATGGGTATGTCCACGCTGCGGGTTCGGAACCCGGGACCCGCGGCGATTCATGAGCGAGTCTGTTCGTCGTGCGTTTGATGATGCGTATGCCGCGTCTGAGAGCGTTACTGCTGTTGTTTCTTCACCATCATCACCACCACCACCTGTACAACCTGCACAACCACAACTTTCATCATCACCTGCCCCTCCTCTTCCCAGTGTTCAGCATCCTCGTGCTTTCAATGTTGCGTCTTCTCCTCGTCCTTCGCGGCCTGGGTGGCGGCAATTTGAAATGGGCACGGTAGGGAGGTCAGATCCCGGTTGGAACATACCGCCGCCGCTACCACGGCATCTACAGTATAGACAGAGGCCGGGTGTAGTACCGGGGGTTCCTTCGACCACTACGGTCGTGGAACCAGCGACGACTGTCTGTGGGTGAGAGAAAGGGGAAATCAAATTATCGTCGGCGGCGGCGGCATTGTTTAAGGGCTAGTAGGCTGCTGATCTCCACTGTGCAACGATCTAGGAGCGGCCATATTTGATCCCTTCATTCACCCTGTTATTATATCTAGCGCATCCATATCATATCCGCATACTAATGCCATACTCTGCGTCTACTTTGTTCCCCTTCTTCCCCTGTTCGCTCGCTGCCCGTTCTCCTCCATCCGCACCTTGAATCAACCCTCCCTATCGTACCGAACGTTCGCTAACCATCCCCGCTTCCTTCAAGAACCCCGACCAACAACTCGAACAACTTCGTCGCTCGTCGCTCCTCGAGTTCGAACATCTCCGCCATCCGTCCGAGTCGTCGAAGGAGATTCCGCAGCGCGCGATGCCGGGTGACGGGACGGTCGAGGCGGAAGGAAGGGAGTCTGCGGAGACGGGTGCAGATACAACTACAACTACTGGGACTAAGGATACGGGGACGAGTGCTGTGGAGGGACAAGCGTCAGTCGGTGCAGAACAGTCGCCAGCCGAAGAATCGCCAGCGGCAGAGTCGCCAGCAGAAGACCCGCCAGTAGAAGAGTCGCCAGCGGCAGAGGCGGAGCCGGTTTGCTCGCCGCCTGGTGGCATGCAGTTTCGGGCCATCGATTTCGGAAAGGGGAAGGATGCGGCTAGTGGAGAAGAGGATGCATCAGAGGAGACGTTAGGGGGGGATGTAGAGTCTGAGGAGCACGAAGAAGGGGTGATGAGCCCGAGCGAGAGAGAGGGAGGGGTGAAGACGTCGTTGTAGGTACAGCAAAGACAAAGCGTGGACGTAGACGGGCACGGAGTCGATATTGCTAGCCTCCCCGCACACCGCCCCAAGAGCAGAATAAGAGGCTGTCCGAATTCATTCCGAGGGTCGATAACGAGGAAGGTGGGAGCGGAAGATGAAGAGCTTGATGCCACACAGACGACTAACTGCCTTCCACTCTCTCCATAGATCCGATCCTCCGCTCTTCGGATACTACGTCTGCTTCGGGCTGTTTCTCTTCCTTTCGGCGCGCGATCTGCTACTTACAAGCGCGGCGATGGGTTTGCTGTTGTCAGTCTGCTTGTGGGTATATGGGGTGGCGGGATGAGGACCTTAGTTGAGGAGCTTCTTTGGTCCTGACTGTACGCTGGGGGGGATGGCCATGGTTTGTCGGTTCATATGCATGTTTGGAGGGAGGGGGCGAGGGTGTGGAGGTTTCCTATTACGATTGTTATTGATTAATTGCCCGATTGCTTGGGGAGGATGAATTGTATATATGATTAACGTATGTATTTACTGGTGATGAGCGAAACATAATGGAAACATAATGGATGGAGGCTATCTTGACTATTCGGCTCACCCCAGGGGCATGATATCCCTCTAAAGAAGCGTGTAGTTGGACTCTTATTATTCACACTGGCATATAAGATCGTTGGCTTCAGTCTATTCTGCCATTGATCATACAGGCACCTTTGTGCTAACTTCTTCATTGCACTCCGGTCCTTTACTGGGAATTCTAATAATCGTCAACAGTATTCTCGGTCCCAGACTTAGATCAGGCAATCAGGCATTCAGGCCACTGCTGTTTGTGGCAACAACACTTTCTCTGGGCAGGAGCAGCGAATGGCGATTGCCACATGAGTTCACTTTTCACTCACCCTCACAACACACGACCCTCCGCCTCTGCAGTTGCATCGCTTGCTCCTTCCTTCTTCACTTCCCATGATTCCCCATTAAATTCCCTCTACCATTTTCCCTCTTCCTCCAACAAACAACAAACATCAACATCTCTTTTCCCGATAATTCTCCATCCATTAAATCTCCTTTTCCGTAGAACAAGCAACGGAAGGAAGACAGATAGGCGACTAGAGTCCAGGCATCCATCGCCACCTTTTTTCCCGAACCATCCGTCCGCACCAGCCTGCCGCCTCCCCAGTCCCCACCACCCTCGTCGCGTACATAACACGACTTCCGCCGCAACGATCGCCCGGCGCCCCGCTCTTTTTCGCTCTTTTTCTCTCTTTTACGGTCTTCTGCGCGGCTGCGCCTGATCGATCCATCAAATCTTGTTGCCCACTAGCCACCGTTTACCAAATTCCCAGCCACCGTTTACCATTTGATCATTCACCATTCCGCCATTCGCACAAATCCCGACCCAACGAATCATCATTCACTACTCCGCGCCGTTTCAGCTCTTACACACAAGGCACTCACTCACCCATTGTCCCATTGAACGATTCATTCAGGAATTTCGGTTTGCAAAAGGACCAGGGGGCACCACGTGCCATTGATCTTTGCTCCATCGCCACTAAGGTTTCATTTCGTGGTGTGTCGTTGGGGTGTTGTGCCCATGTTGCATCCCACCCGCAGAGCCACCGTTTGAGATTCCTGTCCGACGCCTCTATTTGAGAGAGAGAAACCACACGGTCCACCTGGCTTCTCCTCCTCTCCTCAACTGATCGCCCCGATTGTGCATCCTTATCCTGTTAGGTATGCTGGAACCTTGAGTCGCTCATTTGCATTGATATGCGCATTTTGACACGGTTGTTGCATTCTTGCTGACATCAACGGATTAGAAACCCTCATTGGAAAGGAGCAGCACCCACCCTAAACACAATGCCGCCTTCCGGTCGACGTGGAGTTCGACGGCGGGATGTCGATCAGTCCGACATGGACTCTCCGGATATGCATCAGACGCCTGTAAGGAAGCGTAGGAAGGTAAACACATGGCAACCATCTCTTCGGAAAATATTCATCACTGACTAAGACCGCCAGGTTAACGACGACGCTCCTACCTCCGCAGCCAAACCACCCAAACGTGTGCTATCGAACCAGAGTACCGACACAGCGAAGGCCGATTATCCCGACGTCCAAGTCGCCCTGAAAACGCCCATGGAGAAAGCCGATGCGGTTGTCCGCGCGCTCAAAGTCGCGAATTATGAAGTCGGTGCGTCATTCGATTACGCGAACCAAATCCTCACCCAAGACACGCAAACCGCGTACGCGCGCATCTCCGGACGGAATTGGACCTTTTTCGTCCACCAGACAAGAGTCATTATCGGCAGACCGATCAAGAAGGAGAAGAAAGATGACGTGGGATCGGCGGGAGGGTCGGCGGGACAGCAGCTCAAGGATGACGAATGGGCCGTGGATATCGATCTTGGACCGGAACAGCAGATCTCACGAGTACACGCCGAAATTGCGTACGAAGGGTCGCACTGGGTCTTGGTCGTCAACGGCCGCAATGGGCTGTACCTGAACGAACAGAAGCTGGAACGAGGGAACAAGGTTATCCTGGAATCGGGCAATGTGATCAGTATCTTGGGCACCCAGATGATGTTCCTTCTCCCCGGATTCGATCAGGAGCTGAAAATCCACCCAACCATCCTGAAGCAAGCGGCACTTGGTGCTGACGACGACGAGACGGACGGCATGAACGAAGACGAAAACATGCCGCCGCAAGAGCGAAAGCGCACTGATGGACTTGTGCAACCTCGTTCGGCGCCCGCCTACGCACAGCAGTCGTCGAACTTCAACGACCGACGCTTCGATCATCTGCAGAAATCTCCCGACACCCCGATCGCTCGTGGATCGTTCAAGTCCCAGAACTCCCCTGCTTACTCGCGTGGATTGCTACTTGAAAGCACCGAGGATATCGACTATAGCCTCGACAGTGCCAAGGATTTGAAACCGCCGCACAGCTATGCGCAGATGATCGGTCAGGCCATTCTATCAAGCCCGGAGGAGAAGTGCACGCTTGCGAAGATCTACGAGTTCATCAAGGAGCGGTATGCGTTCTATCGCCATAGCGGTGGAGGCTGGCAGGTGTGTCGCATTTTCTGATACCACTCATCATTACTAACTAACCGTTCCGCAGAATTCGATCCGTCACAACCTGTCCCTCAGCAAGTGTTTCGAGAAAGTCGCCCGTCGCACCGACGAACCCGGCAAAGGAATGAAATGGCAGATTGTCCCCGAGCAGCGTGAAGAGTTCATGAAGAAGTCGTTGACGGGCAATCGGAAGGGTTTGAGGCCTATCAGTTCGTCAGGACCTACATCACCTGCAAACAGAGAGATTCCAGCTATGGTTGCGGCAGGCCGGCTTATGGAAATTACAGGGCAGCGTGACGGTGCCAACGACGAGCGCCAGCGACGACGAGGAACGAATCGCTCGGTCACCCCTCCTCTGGCTTCCTATCCTGTCGCAAACGAGTCGTTTACGCCCGATCGTGGTTCTCGTCCTATACAGTATCCTTCAAGTGCGAATACGCCCGCGACAATGACGCCTTCTTATGGCCGTGGTGCGCACAATGGTATCGATATGCTTGCCGAAGCCTCCGGCAAAGCCAAGCACATGGGCAGCGCCGGCTATATGTTCGGCCACGGTGGATCCAACTCCCCCACCGGCCCGAACCCCTTCCATACGAACCCTTCCAACACCATGGACACGCCGCTGATCGCTCGCCAACACCCGCTTCTCGCGCCCCCAAGCACCGCCCATCCACCCAGCAAGTACCTCCAACTCAGCAGTCCTGCACCCTTCTGGAATTTCCTGGAGATGCAGAACTCCACTCCGGCTCGTGGCGGTGACATCGATCCGACTACGAGCCCGCTTAAGGGCCGTCGCGCCAGCATCAGCGGCACCGACCAAGACGACGCGGACGAAGGAATGCAGTCGGAGAACCTGCCCAGCGAACGTCCTCGTTCCGCAGACGACGCCACCGAGACGCAACAAGGAGCTTCTGTTGCGCGTGCCACTACCACCGAACCGACACGCCAGTTCCGTGACCCGAACGTTACGCCCACCCCCAAGCTCTCGAAGAAGCACAATCTCGACACGGCGATCGCGCAGCCATCCAGCCCGCCAGCGTTTCACACTGGTGACAAGTCATCGCCCCTCCCCATCCGCCACGTCAGCGCCGGGTCGGCCATCATCCAACCGGCTACCGAAACCAACACAGTTGCTCCCACTGCCGATAATGAGAACCCCACTGCACCGACCGATGCGGACGCTATGGACGCCATGGAGCCCAGTCCCAGTCGCACGATTTCGCGGACCGTCAGCGTAGGTGTCGGGAATCAGAGCAACGTGAAGGAGAATGGCGGGAATGTGGCGAGCGTATCCAAACTACCTTCGAATTCGAATCCAAATATAAACGGAAACGCGAGCTCGATACCCCCAGGGCTCGGGATGGGCAAGGCTAAGCCGCCGATGCTACAAAGTGGGTTCCGGTCGAGTTTCGGTGCCGGCATAGGAGGGATGGGTGGACCGATGGGACGGGCCGAGGAGGAAGAGGAGGAAGGGATTGATTTGGCGAAGGGGTTCGAGACGATCGGGAGCTTCCATCGGAATATGACCGCGAATGGGATCCGGGGAGCTTAGTCCCGGATCACCTGCTTCAACATACGTCCAACATAGCATCCGGCTCTGGTCTTCTCTCCGGATATCGTTCACTCCCCGCTTATTTAACTCGTGGACATTTTCTCTCGGAGAGATCAACATGCCATTTCAACGGCTTTGCTAAACGACACGACACGAAACGAGAACGGAACACGCAATTCGAATATTCGCATTCCTCGATTTCTTACCAACTTGCATCACGGACGGACTCATGGATCCAATACCCACCCTCCACTCCTCCGTTGCTTTTCCATATTACATTGCATCATCACGAGGTGGGAACCGCCACCGCGATTCGTCTCCCTGCTTTCATCTGATTTCAACAGTTCCTGACCGCTCGCTGGGTGCGAGCCGAACTGCATTGCAATGGTGGCTACGGATGGCGTCCCTTTGCTTTACTCTACTCTACTTTGCCTTGCAGTTTTGTTTATTTTCCTGCCCTTTCGCGGGTTTACGGCCTGCATCGCCGCATGCTTTTCATCGCATCACACTATTCCACATTTCATTGCGATGAGATGAAGAGGGGATGGGATGGTTGATGCTCGGATATTCTCATCTCTATCTGGCGGGCATTCCAAGGATCGGATAGGATAACACTCGGGGAGCAGTTCTCGATGTGAGGAGATCTGGATGGTCTGCTTGACCATACCGAGAGAGAGGATATTCGGCACCATGGCACGACAGCGTTCACAGTGCGTGGAGGTAGCATGCATAATCGGCATATTATGCATGTGCGCAAACACCTGGAGGTGTTGATGGAGAGATACAGGATAGAAAAGTTTCCAGGTTAGCTGAGGGAAGGAATGGATAGTGATGCAATGCGATGATATGAGATGATTTTCACTGTTCTCGGTGATGCTAGCTGTTCGCTATGCTGGGCCTATGTGTGTGCTCTTTCGTTGTGAGGTCCAAGGAAGAGAATACACAGGGTCATCCTAGCTTGGCAGTAAGTCGTCCAGCATCGATTCTCCGGATCTGACGACACTCCATCTGGACACTATGACTGCATATCTACACCCATCACCAACCAGCACATCTCGCACAGAAATCTATACAACTTCATTCCCAGCATTATGTATTACCTACCATTACCTCCTCCGTTCAATACATTACTATCTATCTATCTCTCCCCCTATCCACGCAGCTTTCGCAGCTCATGCCGTCCATGCCACAGCGCAGCGTGATGTTCTAGTTGTCCGATACCCGCGTCCCGGGCACTCGATGTGACGCCGCCGCCGACGATGACAACGCTCAGTGGTGGCTGCTCTTGTGGCCGTTGCCGTTGCCGTTCTTGTAGCCATTGCTATTGCCATTGCTGTGGCCGTTGCTGTAGCCATTGCCATTGCTGTGGCTGCTGCCGTAGCCATTGCCATTGCTGTGGCTGCTGCCGTAGCCATTGCCATTACCGTTGCCGTTGCTATAGCTCTTGCTATGGTAGCCGTTGCCGTTGCCGTTGCCGTTGCTGTTGCTATGGCCGTTGTTATGGCCATTGCTATGGCCGTTGCCGTTGCCGTTGCCGTTGTTATAGCTCTTGCTGTCGTGGCCGTTGCCGTAGCCGCTGCTGTAGCCATTGCTATGACCGTTGCCGCTGCTGGACCTCTTGTGGTGGCCGCTCTTATGGCCGTTGCCGTTGCCGTTACTATGTCCGTTGTTGTAGCCGTTGCCGTTGCCGTTGCTGTAGCCGTTGCCGTTGCTGTTGCCGTTGCCATTTCCGTTTTTATGGCTGTTACCATTGCTGTGGCCGTTGCTGTAGCCGTTGCCATTTCCGTTCTTATGGCTGTTACCGTTGCTGTGGCCGTTGCTGTGGCCGTTGCTGTGGCCGTTGCTGTGGCCGTTGCTGTGGCCGTTGCTGTGGCCGTTGCCGTTGCCGTTGCCGTTGCCGTTGCCGTTGTGGCCGTTGTGGCCGTTGTGGCCGTTGCCGTCGCTGGACCTCTTGTGGTGGCCGTTCTTGTAGCCGTTGCCATTCTTATAGCCATTGCCATTACCATTGCCATTCTTGTAGCCGTTACCATTGCCGTTGCCATTCCTGTAGCCATTGGCATTGCCGTTGCCATTCTTGTAGCTGTTGCTGTTGCCACGCTTCACGTAGCCTTTGCCGTCGTCTTGATGGTCGCCATCCTTGTCGCCCTCCTTGTCGCCCTCCTTGTCGCCCTCCTTGTCGCCCTCCTTGTCGCCCTCCTTGTCACCATCCTTGTCGCCATTGCTGTCGCCGTTGGAGCCGCCGTTAGTGCTGCCGCCATTGGTGCTGCCGCCATTGGTGCTGTCGCCATTGGTGCTGTCGCCATTGGTGCTGTCGCCATTGGTGCTGTCGCCATTGGTGTCTGGGAGGGAGGTCTCAGAGGGCTGCTCCGATGCTGAAGTGCCAGTCTCGGCGGGGGTAGTAGCCTCCGAAGTTCCGGTCTCCGAGGTGATAGCGGATTCCGAAGTGTCAGTCTCCGTGGGGAAAGATGGCGCCGTAGTGCCAGTTTCCGAGGTGCCAGTCTCCGCGGGGGTAGATTCTTCGGAACTTCCAGTCTCCGTGGGGAAAGTCGGCGTCGAAGTTGCGATCGCTGTGGGCTCAGACGTCTCAACCTCGGTGCGAGTCTCGGTGACAGTCACGGTCTGAGTCTCGAACTGAATCTCGGTCTCGAACTGAGTCTGAGTCTCGAACTGAGTCTCGGTCTCGAACTGAGTCTCGGTCTCGAACTGGGTCTGAGTCTCGAACTGGGTCTGAGTCTCGAATTGAGTCTGAGTCTCGACCTGAGTCTGAGTCTCGACCTGAGTCTGAGTCTCGAACTGAGTCTGAGTCTCGACCTGAGTCTCGTAGTTCGTCTGGGTCTGAGTCTCGTAGAGCGTCTGGGTCTGAGTCACGTAGTGCGTCTCAGTCTTTCCGCCCTCGTAGTGGCCATTTTGGTTAGACTCCCAGCCATTGTCACCACGGCTGTTGTGACGATGACCAGTCTTAGCCCAAACGGCGTGATGATCGTCCTTTCGCTTGAAGGCGTTCATAATGCCGCCAATGAACGGCAACTTGCTCTCCGACCTGGTGACAGGCTCTTCGACCTGACGATTCTCGGGCACAGCGGCGCCGCTGGCCGTTATGACCGCACAGGCCAGGGTAGCGATGCCGGCGACTTTCATGGTGGTTAAGTATACAATGAGATTATAATAAATTCGATGGAATTGGGGGGACTATCTCAGCGTAGCCAAAGGGGGTGAAGGTTGGAAGTCGAGTCGATCCAGATCCCAAGGGCGGCAGTTTAAGTTCTTCAGCGATGATATCCATGACTGCAGATTGACGACACTCATATCTCAGCCGTGTTCATAGCATGAATGCGGTTCAACAATCCCAGGACCGTTTTCTTCGGTGTACCCTTCCAATGTATAGAAATCGTCGAACCATTGTCATCTTTGTGTGCCTGAACATGGCATATATGGGTGACTAGCCACGAGGTGTCCCTTGGTGGCCTTCGAGGCTGAACGACAATGGACAGTTGATGATGAAACTCATTGACGAAGGAACTCGCTAGCCTGCAGGCCGGTTGATTCCGTTTCTTCAGAGAAGTTGGACGCTCAGCTTCGTGTTTAAAGTGGAGGTTTGATCGTTCTTCGCCTTTATGAGGCTGGAAAACGTGGTTTCAGCTCGACCGGAGCTACCAATGACAACATGGAATATTACAGTCGTGCCTGAAAATACTTGAATCTAACTACGAAAGGAAAGGTGTTGTAGGAATTCCTAGATTGTACCTGACGAAAATTGGAGAACAAATCTGTGCTGAAAAAGACTGGTTTGATATTCGACAGAAACGAGGGCAAGGCAGCTGAAAAGGGCTCGTCGAATTGCGCAAGAATACACAATGGAATCTCACCAAAAGGAAAACTTCAGTAGTGTATCAATCCCCATACCCCTCTGCCCGCTTGTCCCAAATGATGGACAGAACTAAAGGTGCCATTCTTGATGATACCTAGATTTCAAGTTCGTGATGCAATCGTTGCTGGTGAGCTGCAAGATTTCGAAGGAGTCTGAGCAGAGGCCACATCATGCTTCAACAAAAGTCTGTAGAAGGTTGCATCATATTAACATAATATTAGCACTGTATATCCCATCCAGCTCATATCCATAGAGAGTGCCTTCACTTCGTCTTGGCGGACGTTCATTGCTGATGTGGTGTGTTGGTATGGCCAATACCTTAAGCACAACGCTGATCATCGTGCTGAAGAGGATGAAAGTGCCTCTTTTAACACTAAACCTATTCAGGCTCATCACGGGACTCGCAAAAGACGCGCCGATGGATGATTTTGAAGTTAAACTCGTTGATCGAAGAAGACTGATGTATTCGTGCCGAAGTCTCAACATCGCGTCGTCGTCGAGTCGTGGAGACGATGCGTCTTGGCAGTTGGACTGGTCTGGTAGGCAGCCTGAGGCACCAACTTCATATCACGACATGGAGCGTAGCGAGTTACTTAAGTGGTATCCGTGCCCCATGGCCGCCCCACAACCTCTGGTTGTGGGTGCTCCCACACCAAAAGTCAAACCCACGCCAAAAGTACAATTTTACTACCATCATCTATATATCAGAACTCAGGATGTAAATCGATAAAAAAACCGAGATCCTCCGTACTAGTAGGTTGATCGAGTACAGGAGATGGTTCCTGCTGGTTTTCCTGTTGTTTTTCCCGCCGCCAGTCCCGCTGTGCCTTCCTAATTGCCGCCTCCCGCTCCTTCTGACCACGCGCTTCAACGTAGCGCTTCGCCTCACTAGCATATAATGATCCGGTCTGGCTAAGTCCTGTTTTAACCTGGCGGCGACTCTTTTTGGTTTGCTGGCGTTGTGTGGCCGAAACGGACCCCTTATACGCCTCGATCTCTTCGACTGCCTTGATCAATGACTCCGTAGCTTGGCGAACGCGACGTTGGTATTTCCGACTAGAAAGTAGGGCCTCAGGCGTATTTATGATCTTCTGTTGTCTCCGGCGTACCGTACGGATGGTATTTGGTGGAGATGCACTCGGTGTTGCCGTAATACTTGACGTTGGTGGCGTGCCATTAAATATCCGAAGCTCCTCTGCCTCTTGGTCAACCTGTTGCCGAAGGGTTGGTAAAATCTGCTCAGGATCCCATGGCCAAAGACCCCTCTCTTTAAAAGCGTGTCGAATCGTACGCGATTTGAAGGCGTTTTGGCGGATTTGGGGCATTTCTGTAAGGAATGAGGCCTTGTCCGCTGCGTCGAATCCCCACCGTGAGATATGCGTATTTGTCTGCCGGAAGTAGTGTTTCAACGCAAGAAACGGCTTCCCATCGAGCGGCTGAAGGAAATGGGTCGTATGCGGGGGAAATGGGAAAAGAATAATATCAACTTTTTCGCAGAATTCAATGAACTCATGGGTAAGATGCGAAGCGTGGTTATCCATTAAGAGCAGTCGTTTCCCCTTCTCAGCCCGGTGTCTTGTATACCGATGGAAATGCTGGATCCAATCGAAGGCAATAAGGTCGTTTGACCACCCAGACTTAGAGATATTGATACAGTAATCGTCTGGAATCTGGCCTTCGTACCATCGTTCAAGATGGTTCTCGCCCTTTAGGATAAAGTAGGGTGGAAGAACAAAACCATCAGCAGCGATACACTCGATATCCGTAACCGATTCGCCTGACTCCGTACTAGGACTGCCTCGTTTTGCCCCCGGTCGGAAACTGACTACTTTTTGGCGCTTCCCTTCACCAAGGCGGAAGCCACTTTCGTCGAAATTATATATATTCCGGGCCTCGATTCCATGTTCTTGAATCTGCTCCTGAAGGAGTTGAAACCAATGCTGTATATGTCCAAGATCCTCAGCACGTAGGCGGTCGTCTTTAACTGGTTTTTGGTCGATAAGCGGAAGGGTATGGCGCTTAATAAACTTGTATTTCCAGTTCTTGCTAACGTGGGGTGGTGGCTGGGTTGTATCGAGCGCGTTTCTTCGGAGCATAGAGTTGGCGCACGCTTCGATTTCTGTAGGCGTAGGAGGCGCTCCCCACTCATCAAGCTGGTGGATCCAAGCTAGGAGAGCCTTTTCTTGTAGCTGATCGAGTTTGGTCGCTTGTACGAACGGAGAACGGTTGGAATAGGATGTTTTCCCTTGAAGGCGACCTCGAAGGACGAACTGGCTGATTTGGAATTCACGCGCTAACGCTGAAACGTTAACCGATTTTCCTGCTTTTTTTTGCTCTGTAGCCTTCTTGAGTGCTTTCTGTATAGTCTCTTCTGGATATTTGACGCGTTTAGGCATGTTTGGTGGTATAGATTTGAAGATGATGGTAAAATTGTACTTTTGGCGTGGGTTTTACTTTTGGTGTGGGAGCACCCACAACCAGAGGTTGTGGGGCGGCCATGGGGCACGGATATTGGTAGAATCAACTTTTTTTGGGGCCCTCTGATTGGCTAGGCAGGGATTCGCGAACTTAAACCACGTGACCTTTTACATATCTCTCTCCTTCCTCGCCCTACCATTCCTCATCTACCTAGATCACCCCACATGGGCCTCGCAGAGAGGCCTAACGGGCGTATGAATCTCTCTACCTTGATCACTCCATTATTACGCCTCCGGCATGTCATCTTCTGGAGACCCCGGTGGCAGCGTATGCGCGAACTGCAGATCCTGGAGGGTTGATAAGGAGTTTACTTCGAAGCGTCGCCGACTACTAGTCAAGACATGCTGGCGATGTCGTTACGGTCATGATCATGGTGACTCTGTAGGTAGAGTAAATGATTCGAATACGTTGAAGCTTATATCATTAGCCCCCCGTCTTCGATCTGCCGCTACGTCTATACGAGACGCCTCGTCCTCGTAATAAACCGATATCGAGGACGAGGCGTCTTGGAGGCGGGAGGCTTCCCTATTCCACCGTGCTGGGATACATAGCCAGGATGATGGGGATAGAGCCGCTGCTCGTAGAGAGTATAACGCTATGTCACGGGCTCATCGCGCTGCTACTCGTCTACACCGTCATGTCCAGCCGCTACCAACGTTCGGGAATTATCTCCGGCAACGGAAGCTATCACCTTTACATCAACCGCAAGCAAGTCAAGATGCTCCTGATGATGTCGACAGCGGGGTTAGGCGTCTAAGTCCTATCTCCTTGGCCGGGTTATCCCAAATTCAGGGCGATGAGCAACCACGTACATGTCATCAGGAAGATGAGCAACGCGATCGTACCCGTCAGCGGACAGATGAGCAAAGCGATCGTACCCGTCAACGGACAGATGAGCAAAACGATCGTACACGTCAACGGAGAGATGAGCAATGTAATCGTACACGTCAACAGCGAGATAATGGTTGTATAGAAGCACTTCAGCGCGGAGATGTTCGCCTCGATCCCCGGTCCCAGGATTTCAGCATCCAGGATGCCAATCTTTCCGAGCAGGATTGGGCATACGTTAAGGCCTTCCACCGCGAGATGGCTAGTTTAAACCTCGAGCACTGCGCCCAATGTGACGAGAAATGGTTTGATATGCGTCTCGTGGTAGGGCTGGACACGAATATTCGACTATTCGTATTCGTACGAATATTCGTAGTCGAATACGAATAAAATTTAGAATTTCCGCTTACTAATATTCGTACGAATAATATTCGCATTATTCGTAATTATTCGTAATTATTCGTAATTATTCGTCCATCTCTGAAGCTATTTCCATGTATCTCGCATCGGAGAGATGGTCGACAGAGAGCTTTGAGCTGGGGTCACTTGGCTTGCTGAATCGTCAGGAGTGATCAATTCGACGCTATTGATATGCTTTGTATCTCTTAGAGCTCAAATCCTCCACATCGTGTTCGGGTAAACAAAAGTCGCGACTGCTGGGCATTCACTCATTGGCTCGGCTTTTGCCGAATAAGTCTTGGCATTATTTACGAATATTCGCGAATAATACGAATAAAACGTCTCAAAACTTAGTCGAATACGAATAATCGTTCAAGAGGAAAAGTCGAATACGAATAGCCAAAATCCTTATTCGTGTCCAGCCCTATCTCGTGGATGGTATATGTCATCGATGCAGGACCGACGATAGGAAACGTGGCGATTTACTACCGCTGTATTCCGCAGAGAATCATTTAAATCTTGGACTAGGCCCGTCTTATTACAATCTTCCTGAGTTATCTCAAGTAGAGGAGCTCCTTATCGCCCGTGTCCATTGTGCTGTAGAGGTTCGAAAGGTTAACGGTCTTCAGTACCGTTATACAGGCCATATTATCAACTTTATGAGAGACGTGGGGCGCGTATACAATCGACTACCTCTCCTTCCGAAAGACTTAGAGATCGTCGTCCTTCGCCCTACGAATTGGGATCAGGATCCCCGTATGCAGCGCCAGTTTCGACGGGACTACCGTGTTCGCCGTACTGTCATCGAGCAGTGGCTAACCCATCTCAAGGTTTAACCCCCTAGATATCTGTCGTGAGCAGTGGCTAACCTATCTAAAGATTCACCACCCTGGATATCGCGATGTCGCCGTCGACCCTAGTCGCCTACAGTATCTTCCTATTGATGAGAGTATTATGGACGAGGTCGGCGTCCAGACTGTTGAGGATTCTTAGCTAGGAGGTGGCGATGATGATACAGGAGAAGAGGCGGAATACGTCGTCGTAGTCCCGGATCTCCTCGAGCCCTATACTAAGACGGAGCGACTTCGTCAGCATGTCGATGATGCTTAGGAACGTCGACGTGAGCATCTGACGATGCCTGAGTTTAGATTGACCCCTCTATCTGAGTTTAACCACTCTCAGGCTCTTCTAAGCCTGGCGTTCCCAAGTTGCTTCCCCTGCGGTGTTGGGGACTTTGTTCATCCCCGTCTCCGGAAGGTAGAGTATCATGAATATATTAAGCATCTGATGAGGTTCCACGATGGTCGCTTTGCGAAGCATCCACGCCTACGATATGTCCTTTTCAATACTCTTTTCCGGAAACAGGTCAGTACCCGTATATCTTACTTCGTTCGTCAACGTCCTGAGCAGAGTGATCTATCTCTTGAAGACCTCCATGCTGCCTTTGCGGATGACTCTCCTGAAGCCCAGGCCCTGCTGAACTCTATTGTCCGTTTTTCGGGGAGTCTACGCGGCACACGGCCCTATTGGATTGGGCGTGGCAAGCAGCTTGAAGCTACCGTGCAATGGATCGAATCTCCTAATGTCTTTTTGACGCTGTCGGCCGCCGATTACCACTGGAATGATCTGCAGCGTCATTTACCTTATATGAGGAGTGGCGTAATGGATCTCCAGCGGAGCGGATCTCAATATCACGCCGCAACCTCCGAGACTATCCCCACATCGCCGCATTCCTCTTTCATCGGCGCTGCGAGGCTCTATTTAAGACCTTGGTGAATCCTAAGTTTAACCTCCGCGATCAATGGGGCCGATACGAGTGGCAAGGTCGCGGCTCGTCGCACTCACATTTCCTTCTCTGGTTAGACCGTGCCTGCCCTAACAGCGAGCTTGATCGTATCCCTAGGGAGGATCTCCCTGCTACCCTTGAGAAATTTGCGCGGTTCTGGGGCGGTCATATCACGGCGTTGAACCCCGAACCTTCTCGTCGGGTACGACCAGAGGATAAGCGGAGTGCCATCGCGCTAAGTCCTAATACCCAGGAGAATATGCTGGCCCATTACTCCGCCATCATTAACCGTGTACAGAGGTACCACTGCACTGATGCGTACTGCCTCCGCACGAATAAATGTACTGACCGGAAGGAGTGTCGTTTCTACGCCCCGTGGCGGACCCGGGATATGACTGTGGTTACGAAGGACGAAAGTAACCCTGGGTTCTTCAACTTTCGCGGTATCCGGAACGATGATAAAACTAGAGAAGAAGACGGATACCTTTCACGATATCCTGAAACATGTCCTAACGGTCGTTCCCGAACATACGCGCCGGTCATTCCTTTCGCTGACCACGAAGATCATGAATCGTCTGATTGGTGAGCGGGATTGGTCAGCCCAGGAGATTTCCCATATTCTTCTTGATCTCCCCCTCCAAGTCTCTTCACGCGTGGTGATTTCCGTCGATTGTCGCCCGCGGTGGAGCAGCCCCAAGGAATTGAAATCCAGGACGATGGGACTATCCAGAGCGGCCTCTCCCCTCTTTAAAAGTATAAGCAACGACCTGAAGCGTTTAAAGCCATTTCCTATCTTGAGTTTCTACATTGCTATGAATTCGCACGGGTAACTTAATTCGGAAGAGAGGAGAAGGGAAGGAACGGGCGTTGAATTACTTCCCCCGGTATTCATCGGTCGGCGATACCCGCGAAGACTGGTATCGCGTTAAACTGATGCTATATCACCCCTTTCGCCGTATAGATGACCTCCTCCGGCCCGAGCTTGATGGTCCCCTTTTTGCGTTGTATTCTGAGGCGTATTCTGCGTCTTGCGTGAATGGTCAGCATAACCATCCGGTGGATCATTACGACCCTATTATTCTTGCGGACGAGGATGAGTTCGAAGAAGGTGCCAATGAGGAGGAGGATCAGCAAGGGAGCTGGGATGAGCTCGCCGGTCAGCTGCCTGGTCGCGATAGAACCGTACTAGAGGACCCAGATACCCTTGGTCAACGACCTCTTGACCGTGAGTACGATTAGGCGTCCCATGTCGGGAAGTATGAGATTACGAAGGAGTGGTGGGCTACTGCGAAGGCCCAGTATCCCTATATTCATGAAGCTGTTCCCTTCGCACCTGATACCGTTGAAAAGCTGAACGCTAAACAACGTATAACATACGATATCCTGACGACCCACTTTGCACACGTTATTGCGACAGGCACCCCTGGGCCTCAGCTTCTGATTAACGTTGATGGCGAGGCGGGTACAGGGAAGTCTTTTGTTATTCAGCTGATCTCCTCGCATCTCCAGGAGGCGGCATCACGGCATGGATTACCGAACCCTGTTCTTCGTGCCGCGCCTACGGGCGTCGCAGCTCATAGTCTCTCCGCGTCGACACTACATACTCTTTTTCGTCTTCCTGTTCAGAATATCAATTCTCTCGATCCCCTCCGGCCGGCTGCTCTTCAAGCCGCTTAGGCCACTTTCCGGGGTATATGGTATCTGATTATCGACGAAAAATCTATGATCGGTCTTCGCCAGCTCTCCTATATTGACCGTCGTTGTCGCGAAATCTTTCTGGCGTATATATAAGTCTTTCGGTGGTCTCTGTATTCTCCTCTGTGGCGACTTCTTCTAGCTTCCTCCGGTCTTGGCAACTGCTCTTTATAACCAGAAGAACCATCTAAATATAGATGAACGGCATGGGCGTAATATCTACTACCAATTCGAGCGAACGATCAAACTTGATAAAGTCGTGCGGCAGCAGGGTAATGAAGTTGAGTCGATTCAGTTCCGCCAGGCTCTCTATCACCTGCGGATGGGCTCTGTAACTCGTGACGACTGGACACTGCTTAGTATACGAGTACAGACCATGCTTCCTTCTGAGGAGGTAGCATCTTTCCGGGACACTTTCCGTATCTTCGGTAAGAAAGCGCCTGTCGCTGTGTATAACTACCATCGTTTACGCGATCTCCATTCTCCTGTTATGATATGTCGAGCAATTCACGAAGGAGGGGCAAAGGCAGAAAAAGTTCCGACCAATGAGGCAGGGAGTCTCCATTCAGAGATTCCGATGGCGCTGGGAACCCGTATTATGTTGACAGAGAATCTCTGGACCGAACGAGGCTTGGTGAACGGTGCGATGGGAACAGTGCGTGATATTAGCTGGCAGGCTGGTGCTGATATCTATAAGGATCCTCCTTCCGTACTCCTCGTTTAATTCGATCGGTATGATGGACCGACGTTGGACGTAGGCGGCATTGGCTTGGTCCTAATCCTCCTATCACGCCGCGAGTTCTATATCGAGAATACTTCCTACTCACGTTCACAGTTCCCGCTGACCATCGCCTATGCTATTACAACGCATAAGTCGCAGGGAATGACTCTAGAACGGGCTGTGCTGGACATTTCAGAGCGGGAGTTCGCGCCTGGCCCGACCTACGTGGCAGTCTCCCATATGAAAAGCCTTAGAGGGATCATGTTTGAGGCTCCATTCGACTTGCAGGATTTGAACCCTCGCACGGAGAGCGAGACGATGAGGTTCCGGAAGGAGGATGTACAGAGGGAGAACCAGCATATCACGGCAGAGGTTTGTTTACAATATTTGAATCAATCGCACGGTGTTGACATAGTGTAGGATATCCGACGGGCAATCGGATCGTCATCCTCAATTCCGCTTCCTTCATAGGAGGCGCTGTAGGGACAGAGTTCATAGCTGGGTGGCGTGGATGCAAAGGATTTCCGGAATGTGGTTGGTTATGTGGCGCGAGATCAGGATCAAAACATCACTATACGATCAGACGATCAGATTAGAAAAGGGGAACATTTGATATCCTAGTTAGGAAGTATGCACCCGTTGCGAAGATGTTGTTTTTGAGCGATTCAGCTATTTACGCCTTTCCTCCCAATGATTACGAATACCCTGATCAATAAACCTACAGGGGGTGATTCTATACATTGTACTCTAGGAAGGAGAGATCACGTGCCAGCTACGCTCGTGATGATTTGGGGCAGAAAGGTTCCCTTTATGCACCACTGGCCTATTTTATAGCATAGGGCATCAAGATTCGTATCAAATCAATGCATGAACAAATAGACGGACATGCAGGCTTGGTGGAATGTTCAATTACGGAAAGGAAAATGTTCTCATTATTATTATGTCCTATCAGCGTATCTGGGCGCTAGCGGGAATATTATCGCTCATATCCATCCGTTCGGTTAATCACCCGATCCGCCAAAGCAAGCCATTGATCATCCCATCCGTTATGCCCCCCTCAGAACCGTAGCACCTGCTTCAAAGGCAACGACCGACTACTCCCCCCCACATACACCGTCTTCGTAAAGTTCGTAATCACCCAGTTCTGGCTGCCCGTATCCCAGTTACTAAGATCCCGCCTCGTCAAGTCCGCTTCAAACACAGCGGACCCCTTCGGTTGGATGCTCACCCGGTCGAAGCCCCGGAGCACCCGCACCGCATCGCGTGGACCCCCGAGACACACGTATAGCTGCGCGATCTCCTCGGCCGGCACATCGCCATCGTTCGTGATTGTCGCGCGCACGGTGAATAGCACGTCGTACAGGGCGGGGTTGCCGCCGGGCGCTCCGCCGGCGGGGATCTTGGGCTGCGAGGACCCGTCGGTGGCGTGGGGTGGGAGGTATTCGTCGTTGGGGAGGCCGTAGTCTGCGCCACCAGCGGCGGTGCCGAGGTCGGTGGAGTTAAGATATGGGTAGATGTAGCCGAGGACGTAGGTGAGGTTGGCAGGCCATTGCGCGGTGGAAGGATCGACGGTTCCGTTAGTCCCGTTGCCGGAGAGGGAGGGGGCAGGGTTGGTCCGGCCTCTAGTGGGTTTGTAGGGGTCGACGCGGTGGTGTTGGATCTGGAGGTTCGAGTAAGTGAAGGTGGTGTAAGTGAGGCCGAAACCAAATTCATAATCTGGAGCGATGTTCATCTTGTCGAAGTAGCGGTAGTCGATGAGGATGCCTTCGTTGAATTCATCTTGAGGCGCCTCATCGCCATTATTAGGCTCGTAAAGGATGTCGACGCCGTAGTCTTCACGTTTGGCTCCCATCGTGAATGGGAGCTTGCCGCCGGGAATCTCATCTCCGTAGAGGATGTCGACGATGGAGTTGCCGGATTGCTGTCCAGGAAGGCCGGCCCAAAGTATCGCTGTAACATTGGGATTGTCCTTGAAAGAGCTGACGATAACAGGGCCAACTGAGTGGATCACGACGATGGTGTTATTGCAATCTGCAGCGACTTTTTGGATCAACGTCTCGCCGTCCGCCCATAGTTTGAGATCCTTGCGGTCTCCTTCATTTCGATCAACGGAGATATACCCTTCTCCACTATCTGCATTGACGAAAGCGATACAGACAGAAGCCTGGCGGGCAGCAAAGGCGATTTTACCGTACGCATAATTGTCGGTGACGAACTGGATGTTCTTGTCGTTCTCGAGGAGTTTGGCCTGGATCGCCGTCAATGGGCTGATTAGGTACGGGTACTCCGCTGTTCCGGATCCCCATCCCATAGCCAATGTCCCTTTGTTGCAGCCGCGATCGGGACATCCGTTCGGACCCCACGGCGCATCATCGGCGTCATGGCCGAAGACGGCTGTGAACTTCTCATTCCCCGTTAAAGGAAGGACACCTTTGTTCTTCAGCAATACGGTGGATCGAGCTGCCTGTTTTCGAATACCTCGACCATGCTCGTCGCGAACATCAACATGCTGATTGATCAGACCATAGTCGGTCTGACCGTACTCATGTCGGAAACCGAAAGTATCGCGAGTCCATGAGTTGAAGTTGGTGGGGATTGAGGTCTTGTCGCGACCGACATAGTACCAAGAAGCCATAACACGCGTCGCCATATCGTCAAGACGCCATTCAGGGATGGATCCATTGAGAATAGCGACTGAGAGATTGGTACCCCAGTACGAAACTCCCGTCAGGAAGCTCGTATCACCAGGCATGGACATATCCATCCCAGCAAGAGCCGAGGACACTCCTGAATGCTGCGCTTGCCAATCGCTCATGACAAAGCCTTGGAAGCCAAGTTCGCCCTTCAACAAATAATTCATGGTGTAGCTGTTCTGGCACCCATAGCTGTTGTTGATCTGCTGGTATGAGCACATGATCGCTCCGGTTCCAGCTCGTACGGCATCAGCAAATGGCCTGGAAAAGTTAGTACCAGGAGCATAGTTAATGTGTAAGGAACCATACCAGAGATACAACTCATGCATAGCCACGTCATCAAGATTCGAGCTCGAGCTCTCCTTAATGCTATATCCATAGCCCGCAGCCTCTGGGGTTTGGCGGAAATGCTCCTGCTCGTTCACGATGTAATGCTTGGTGCAGGCAATCACCCCGGCATCCTGAATCCCTTTGACCGTTTGAGCGACAGCAACGCCCGAAAGGACTGGATCGGGACTGAAGCCTTCCCAATTTCGGCCGCCTGCGGGAATGCGTCCAAGAGGGCCGACAACAGGGCCGAGTTGCACGTCGATACCTTTGTCCCGAAATTCGCTTCCCATCATATAGCCGCGCTGTCGAAAGAGTTGTCGATCCCAGGACGCAGCGACAGTGCCGCCAGCAGAGAAAGCCGATACATAGTCGACTGCGATATGATTAGCATAGATCTTCGGCTGTGCATGTAGAGCGATTCGCACCATTTCGGACACCCAAAGGGGCATCATGCATGCAGAGCGAACGAAATCCTAGGCGGGGGATTGCGCCGACGTTGCCCACGCATTCCTCGCCTTGCCATCTGCCGGGTATTTAGCAACGTGTTCAGAGCACGAAAAGGTTTGTAGCGCCATACCCGACTCCCGTGGTGAGATTCACCTTCTCCAGCAACGTCAACTGCTTGACGAACTTTTGTGCCTTGCGATATGCTTCCTCCCAGCCTCCAGAACCATCCATCCATGGAGAGGGGTAGAAGGGTGGAGAGCTCACTCCCCAGAGGGGACCCCGATGGTCTGGATTCGGAGAAGTGCCATTTCCGGACTGATTAAGGGAAAGTCAGTGTCAATTGCTCAGGACAACATATGCCAACCGCGCAAAGAGAAGAACCGAGAGACTCTTTACATCAGCGGGGTTCCCATCATCCCGGTTCCGTAGAACGATGGGTAAAGTAATGACTAGAATCAATATCACCGGAAGGGGGAAGATAGGACACCAAAGCATGGCGTAAAGATTCCATCCTTAAGAAACTAAACGGAGGTGACAAAATGAAAGTAAGGATTCCTGAGGAGGTTCTGCATGCGGTATTGATGTCATGGACTGATGATGTTTTGATTGCCCCTGAACGCCCATATGCACGTACCGTTTGCGTGAGACAGCTAGTGGACGCCACGCCGAGGGCCAGCAAGGCTTGTTTAAGCCACATCCCGATCGTCCCGTTCGGCGTTGGCTCGACAACTACACAGACCTGACGTCGTTTGTTCAAAATCGATGCTGATGAAACGAAGTCTGTCGATCAATATAAGGTCGATCTGTATCGAAAAGCCGTTGAATTATGGTGATGGACGATGCGATGCGATGCGATGCGAGAAACTAAACTGGAAATGCAAGGTGAAATCGATGCTCGGAATTGACCTGATGAATGACATTCACTGCTATAACAACCGATTGTCTTTTCATTGACATGTCTCCTCTCTTTAAATCTCACCTTCTCTCGGTGCAAAATTGATGTCACAGTTTGAAAAAAGGGTGAGAGCGGCCATGCACAACCTGCAAGGGCTTCCTGCAGCTATATATCCTCCTCACTTCCCCAGTGTCTCCGAATCCGTCCCGGCTTCAAATGCAACGGAGAGACTAACGTAGCCAAGGTCATGCCATTATCTAATCCTGCAATTACCAGAAACATCGGCATGGCACCGCAACGATCTCCGCCGACAGCGATGGGTCTGGGGTGGCATCCGCACACAACGTTGAATGCAACGCCGTCATTTGGATGGAGAAATATGGTACCTAGACCCTCTGCTATATCGTCATATCAAGCTACCCCGGACTTTCAACTAAGAAACCTGCAAGGATTGGTCTGAACTTGTTGAGATGTTCCGCAGAAAGCTCTGCTTTCTGTGCTTATCCGACGGAAGCTCGCGCGGAGGTAGCTAGGGTCATCGCGGCATTCGGTGTTCCTCTGGTGACCACAGCATACCTTTGAAGGGATGAAAGCCCAACTGCCGGCGTCCTTCCGTGCGATGATGGCAAAATTTGTTTGTCAGATGCCAAAATGCGCATCGCCGGGGCTTCCTAGCTATGCCGGTCGCATCGGATATGAATCCCTTGGTTGTAAGGTATTGCGACGTTCTTGGTTTGTGCTCAGCTGAAGAACTCGAATGGTTTCAAAGGCTACAAATGCGCTCACTTGACTAGCTCACGATCAAGCTACTGGACCTGCTGTATCAACTGATGAGGCTCAAAGATGTCTCATATTTTCTCCTCTTTGCCGTCCACTCTCCAGGTCTCGCAGATGAAAGACATGGAATGGCAATTTCGGATGTTTGAGTAGCTAGCGACTCGAACCATCCCGGTGACATTTTATTAACTCAAAGTGCGCCGGTTGATTCTCCACCGGACCTGAAGTGCGCTCAGTGACAAACCTCAACTTCAACCAGATACGGTCAATTAGATTTTCCCCGGAAGCGGCATCAAAGATCCAAATGCAATTTGGCAATCCCCTTGCACTGGTACTTTGGATTGAGCAGTTCAACTGAAACTCTCCCCAAGGCTCCGAGCTAGATACGGCAGTGATCGAACACAATCCTGACCGTCATTATGTACGCCCGGTAGGATGTGACCCAAATTTCCAACCAGCTTCTTAATTATCACCATATATTTTTTCAAATAGCCTGAATGCGGAGAAACCTTCCTACATTGGCAAGGAATTCGACGACTGGGCAGCGCTGAGCGGGGTAAGTTACACTTGGACGTTGTAACTCGTTGCTTCATTATTTTTTACGAATTATTTCTTTTAACCGAAGTCATCTCCGCTCTTCTAGGCATTTAGTCTAGTCCTCAGTTTAAGTTTGTCGGTTATGATCTCTGCTGCACATGCGCATGCACGCCACAGTTGATCTCAAAATGGTCGGCAGCATCCATCAGGACACCACTGGGCGAACAGTGGAGGCCGGTCTATATGACACATCCGAACCGATATCAGGAATCGGGTGTATCCTTGGCGAGATATTAAGAGCAAGGATTTATGAGCACCGATGAGGAGACAGGATTACGAGACTTCGATCGTACTTACCCGGCTGATGGTGACATCACCGGAAATGCGCTCTCGCTGGAAAAGATACCCTAAAGGTTGTTCAACAGTCTCAGCATCCCCGAGCTTCCGGGTTGTAGAAGATCAATCGTTTTCTTCCGTCAAACAACTGAATTTGGGATGACATGCAGCGGCCAATGTGTAGCACCATCCTCTCGTCGTGCAGTGGCGACATTATGTCTCCAAGGAGATCGACATGTCTTTCAGCCATTACTGCTTCGAGTCATGGATCCATTCTGTTCCTCATTTCTTTTTGGAACACAGATACCCAGTGTGAGCCTGGGATGAGGCTGAGAACTAGTCAGCAAGAATATTCCAGCATTCTTACCTCTGAGTAATTCTCAGGGGGTTCTGCTGCTGCGTATCTAAGTCTTCCAGGTCCTTTTAATTTTACATTACTGTTCTAGGCGTTCTTAATAGGCTCTGTCAAATTTTAAGCCATTTATGCTGGTGGCCTTCACTCTCGTCAAGGTTGCCCTGTAAGGTCAGTTAAGGCAGAGTCTTCTCTTGACATCACTAACAAGTCCAATTCAAGTCATCTAAGTTTAAAAGAAGTCAACGACTCAAACATGAAACTTAGCCACTTAAAATCACAACACTCTAATTATGTTGGAAATCACAGGTTATCGCACATGTAGCTTACATAAGCATGGGTATATCTAACCTGCGACGTATTCTACCTTTCACAAAATACAAGCATCACATTGCCTCTGAACAGGAATCCCATTTGCTTCCGTGATTGACGACACGCCAAAACTTTTAACAAATTAAGGCTACTACGTCTAGTTATCCGAAAATCGATTGAGGAATCCTCGCAGTCTACCGCCATTATTGGCAGCACCAGTTGCTCCATTACCAGTCGCCGCACAATTCGCGACAGCACCGCCGGCGGTATCATTGCCAGTCGCCGCACCACCAGCGGCAGCGCCTCCACTAGTGGCAGCATCACCGCCAGCGGTAGCATCGCCCCCAGCGGCAGCACCGCCCCCAGCGGCAGCATCGCCCCCAGCGGCAGCATCGCCCCCAGCGGCAGCGTCCCCACCGGCGGTATCATCACCACCCGCAGTATCATCACCACCAGCGGCAGCATCACCACCAGCGGCAGCCATCCGGTCGACTAAGAACTGCGCTCCCTCCTCAATAGTCCCATCTCGACCGTACGCCAGATGGCCTGCGGTAACCCTGAGGTTCCCATCACAAACGCCATCATCCTGCCTGCAGAAGACCTCCAAGTTCTCCGGTGGAAATCCCGGAAGCTCCCCGTTATTCTGCGCGTTTTTCGTGTATCCATAGAACACCCCCCCAACAACCATATTCGAGACTGCGGCGTCCAACTGCGGCACCGCATTGAGCATGACGGCTGAGCCCTGCGAGTAGCCCGCGAACATGATCTTTGAGTCAGGACAGTTCTGGACAGCTTGGTTGAACGTGTCGATGCCCGCTTGAATCGAAGCTTCATCGGTACCCTCTGGGAGGGCATTTGGGGCGAGTTGTGCGCGGTAACCACCTCCTACACCTTGGCAGGCAACGTCTCCATTCATTGCTTCTTTCAATGCTGCGCAGAGAGGCCCTCCGACGACAGCTCCCTGCGTTGGTCTTAGCTCAAGTCCCGAAGCCAGCTTCAATGAAGCAATAAGAAGGAAGGCCAACCATGTTTCCTCTTTCCGTCGACCCACGAGCCATAATGAAGGAGACAGACTTGCATTGTCCATCCGCGACCTCGTTAGAGGTAATTCCTTGCCTCCTCTCGAGGTTTGGTGGGACAGCTACCGCCAACGAGGCAAATAAGGTGAGTTTAAGGGCGGGATACATGCTAATTGGAAAGTATAGTTACGATCAACGTAACAAAATTGTCCTAGAGAATGATCGAATCGAAATGGATTGCTTGCAATGGGGGCAGTCGACAGAAATGAGGGAAGACAAACACCATAGCAAGAAGGCCACAGAGAATAAGCCGATGCGTCGATTATAAGTGAGCTAAATACTCCGTCTACGCATTATTCTTCAAGGGAAGCATTGTGAGATGCCTACGTTATGCAAGAGACGGCATGAATCCCACTATTGATCTCTTCTAATACCTCCAATCATCGTGCTCAATTTGCGTCTCCCGAGACTGCCAATGTCATGTCTGACACGTCTTCGCCAATATTGTCTTGAAAATCTTCACTTTCAACTATTTTCGCCGGTATAGACACCTGACGTCTTGCACGCATAAATAACTACTATCTATCTGAGCGGCATCACGGACTGACAGGGGGCCATAACCCCTGCACAGGGAACGACAGGGCGCCATCACTCGCCGATCTTGTTGCCCCATGACCGCCTGAAACGATTCGAGACAGGACCAAGGGGCCGGCGCTTGAGGCGCAGACTACCCCAGAGCTTCTAGAAACCCATCACGTCTGATGCCATGGGTGTCGTATCTGGTCGCATCTACGGTACAGCTATACTGATACTCAAGATGCCTGACCGATGGTCTACTACATTTGCTCCTGGCGTTCCAGGAACCGGCATGTGGATCGAAAAGGTGTGAGATAGATTGCTGAGCAGTGGCGTTTGTGCCTATCGACTGACTGGCGTCCTCTACCGTTCTCTTGGATTCCCTAGATCTCGTCGGACGACGCATCGTCGAACATGTCGTGGGCGTGTGTTTGAGTCTAGAATCTTAGAACTACAAGCAAGGATGCGCATGAAAGTCTCACTGTATCTGATGGTCTATAATGCTTTGCATCCGGCTTGGACACTGCCGCTTCTGGCATCCTTCTAGAACAAGTCATCAGTCCCCCGGTTGTTCTCGCTGCTACCCAGCTGTGATCACGGTTTTTCCCGCAGTCAACAGTCTCTGATGGTGTTTGAAAAGGATCTTTCACCTCAGGAAGATGTCTTCCGGCTGTTCTGTCCCGGTTATTATGCCCTCCACGCCTTCGGCCCCGCACATTTGCCTCGCCGATCAAAAAATGACAACCACCGTCCTTCCTGTGAAAAACTGGAGTAGAACACCCAAGAAGGACGTAGATTCTGTCGCCCTTGACGACTCCCTGTGACCCGAGACCAAAGCCGGAATGGCCTTCCGGGCGTTTCAAATCCAGATCTGTCCCATTTCGCAATGAAATATAGGAAAACACCCGTCGATTGTATTGAAAGAGGAAAACCAACCATCCCTCCAAAGCGATTGTTTCGGCTAAACCGCTATGATCGTTGACACTAGATTGCCTAGGCGTCGTCTTGTCGATGTTAGTGACCTCCACAGCCGCAATGAGGTCGTCCTTTGCCGCACTGTCTTCATGAATGTTGAAATCACGGCAGAGGAAGTCCACGTATTCCTTGATTTTGGACCCGGGAACTTCAGACGCGCGGCTCATCCTGTCTAATTCGGTAAACGCAACCGACTCAATGCCGAACGATGCTACGGACTCGACGATCCCAATAGCTACCCCATGCAAATGTAAGATATCCGTTAGATCCAGGAAGTGGTAAAAAGCTGGTAACTGCCCACTGGCGCAGATGTCTTTTTGGGTCGCGGGCGATGACCTGCGAGCCGTAGCCCAGTGGGGGACCCAAGATGGCAGTGAGAGTGTTTTGTCGCAAATTTTTAAGATGATATCTAGGCTCTTTGACTCCTCGATAAAAATTCGGGTCATACGCGTCCATATCTCTTCTACAGGTTTATAGTAGTCCACTGCTATCAGTGAGCGTACTGCGGGTGGAAAGCATCCGTGATAGGCGAACACAGTGTCCCGGAGATCACTCGCATGTTTCCAGGGTATGAAGTTCTGCCAGTCATATAAGGATATATATTTCCCTTCTAGAGCTGAGCCGGCTTGAGGAAGTGCGTTGGGCCCAAAGCGCATCATTCTCGCTGAGATCTCCGCAACTCTCGTTAAGAGAGTCGAGGTGGGGTTGTTCAGACGTGTAGGGAGGTATTTGAATTTCTCACATAAACGAGACCAGAGGTCCGAAAAAGCGTGATACTCTATTGCACGTGCTCCATAGCGAATAGTCACATCGTGAGAGAACATCACCTCCTGCGTAACCCAAACTCTGCGCCAGTAACTGAGATTGGAGATACTCAGAGTGCAACTCAATACCCAGAGCGGAACTTCCTCGAGGTGGACCTGATCAATCAGGAGCTTGTTCGATGCGATAAGGTTTGCCAGGTTGATATAGAGTGCAACCAGCGGGTCATCAAAGGGAGTCAACCAGATAATAGTCCGCTCGGCACCGGAGTATATCCTCTGCATAATCGAAACTTGGTTGTTCCGCTCTTGGATGTTGTTTTGGTTGATAGCGAGAGCATCTACCCATAATAGAACGTTTCGCGAGCGATCTCGAAGGTGGAGCAAGGCTGACTCCAGGTTTTGAGTAATCTTCCATGGAGTCCCATTGAGATGGATTGTCCTTGGGTCACTTTGACCCCCCCTACACCGTTGTTAGCCGTAGTTTATTAGAAATCGCCTGAAATACTTGCAGACATAAGATATGGCAACGTATTCCGATCCAGCTGATTTCTTAACGTTCAAGAGGGAGCACTGAATGGGGCATTCATCAGTCTCGGGATGTAGTCTCACCAGCCTTATCTCACCCTCTTTCAGTGGCGTGTATATAGCTGCCGCCCCTTCCGAGTTTAGCAGTTCCAATGGAGGACATTGCTTTTGATCTTCTGTAGCTGGCTCTTCTGATTCTGGGTCGATTGGGCCGAAGTTTTCAGGCACAGAGTAGCCTCTTCCCAACCGTTCCAGTACTCCACCCACCTCTTCTGCCGCGGAGTGGGCTAGCAAGTGCTCCAGCACTTTCGCCAGATCCTGTTCTGCTGCCGACATACCGTCGGATTGACTTCCTGTACTCATAAATAAAACGAGATTGCCCCAAAGGGCTGTCACAAAATGTTACACGGAGAAGCGAGCAAAAGTGCAGAATTTTGGACGCTTCCATCGCTTCTTAAAGCTAGGGTAGCCTTGTTGTAGTTAACACTGCCTGGTTGGCAAAGACTTGCGCCACAGATGCATGAGCGACAGGGACAGGGACATCAGTTGGATCTCGTATACGAAGTGGGTTATAATATGTTAATCACTAGGCTATATACGCCCACAATAAAATTAGCGTAGTCAAAGAAAGGAGAACATCGTCAGGGACACCATAAAAGACTCGAGACCTATATCCAGAATCGGACAACCCAGTGTCCCAAAAATCGCGTTGTTGCTCTGCTTCGTATGATATATCTGATATCACGGTTAGAGGCAGCTAAATGTGGTTGGACTACCAATTGGTCGTAAACAAGGCATGTATGTACCGTAGTTATAAATATCTACAGTTAATATTGTAATGCCAGACCGCAAAAATGGTTAGGTTAGGCGTGCAAACATTTGCTCCCTGCAAATAACTTTCCTGGCATCATTAAGACAAAAGGCTACAGCTTCAGGGCCTCAGAAAGGCAATCGCCGCAATATTCGTTCCACCAGCCCTTCAAGCCTTCGAATTCGGCATCGCCATCGCCGGTCTCGTTGGCGTCAAGCACCTTCTGCATTCCCCGACACTTTTCGCTCTCACCAAGAAGCCATCGTTCCCACTCGGCCTGGACGACCTGCTGCTCGACTCGACCGACTAGTCGTAATGAAACAAGGAGGTCGTGGCGATATGATCCAAGTCGGTTCATCGAGCTTTGAAAATTGGTTGATAGCGCGGCATCAATGGCGGCACGGTCGGCGACGGTATCTAAAAGGAGGGCTTGATAGGATGAGCGGCTATGGACGAGGCGTTAGAAGGATTGTGCGTCCACATCGAACGGTTTCATAAACTGCGCGTGACTTACCAACTCTGGCCAGCTGCGGCATCGGAAAACGTAACGTTGTGGGAATCGTGAATCATATCCATCATCTCGTGAACCCGAACGGATTTCTGAAGCACAACGCCGGGATGTACCCCAATTTCCTTCATATAACTGCGGGCGTTCCGCTCCACGTACCATTGCCAACCATCCCGTGAAACAAAGAAGAAATTGAAAACCAGACATATAAGAAGAGAAAGCACCAGAACTTTGTGAGCAGACAATGCAGTGATCCAGTTGCACATGCCTGTCCAGAACGAGCTGCCGAACGTCCCGGCTGCACAGGAGATGTTTTGTTTGATCTCGATGAATATAAGACCAGGGACAGTGAGCTTCCCTGGAGCAAGCAAAGACGACCCTTTAACATGGGCACTATCCCCAGAGCCTTCCCAGATCTGCGCAACTGCGGAGCCGCTCGTTTGCGGACCAAGGGAGACGTCCGATTTCAGCAAGCCAATGGCACCATAGATAGAAGTAGCTTGCCTACTTGAAAAGGGATAGCGGACAGTGCTGGCCTGCTCGCTCGCAACGCGAACAAGGTGCTCGCAGATACTCTGCTGCTCCTCCATTGCATATCTAGATATTGTTCCTTTGGCGAACGTAGGTCGATGCCAGTCGACTCTTGTCCAGATCCCTAGCTTGGATCGAGATTTCGAGATGTGAGTGATTACGATTTTCGTCAGCACAGAAAAGTTGTCGGCCTTCGGCAGCTTCATCGGCCGTCTCCGATCAGAAACAACGTAGCAGAGGTGATCGTTCAAAACTTCAATGACTTGATAGGCGAGGATGATCTCGCTTCCGTCAATTAGGAAATCTCGCCTGTGATTTCCATTCTCCTTCGCGGTCCAAGGCGTCCGGATGGTGGCTGCGAATAAGTCAATAAACTGGCATTCTTGTGAACGACGGTGCACTAACTTTGATTACATAGGCTCGCATAGAGCATGTGGAAGATGGTGCTCTTGTCTCCAAATATCATGTGGAACAGTGCCTTCGCACTGATCCCGAACTCCCGTTCCATGGCGGACTCTTTCATCCCCTGGGGAGTGTATACAACGGGCTGCGATGGTAACCTGAATTTTGTGGCGTTACGACTAATTTGGCCCAAATTGGGATCTTTGAATAACCTGTTATCAACCCGGAGATTCGCAGTGATCTCATGATCCCGCCTTGGATATGCTCCGTCCACGGGAGTATTGACGGAGACATCTTCCCAACTCTCCATGCTGGGGCTTTCGACGCCATCTGTTCCTTCCATTCGGATAAGGGTCTTCAATACCTCTTCTGCCGGTGCGAGAGAGTCCGCAACGGCGTTTTGGACAAGATAATTCAAACGTGTCTGAAGGAGCTTGAGTGGTTCCAAGAAAATCTTGATGGTAACCCGTGTTGCACCATCGGCCCGGACGCCTTCTTTGAAGTGAAGGAAGATGAAGTCGCAGTCACGGCCTGGTGCCGCCGTCACTTCCGAGATAGCCCGCAGGCTCGCTCCCGAGACCAAAACCATGCCCAGGTGGTGGCTGTAAAAGTACATGTCCCTCACCGTGACGTAGACGCGGCCGGGGAATTCTTGCTGATCATTTGGGTTCCACGTCCCTCGGAACACGAGGACAAGATGCTCGTCGCGTGGAACAGCCGGGAAAAGCATTCGGAATTGCGCATCCTGTGCCTTAAGAGGGAGCGGATAGTAATTCGGATATGAAGGCGCTCGGGGTGACGGCTTCGAATCGTGCGTGTCCGAGACCGTGGCAGCACTCGCACTCTTCCGATGTGACGGTGGGGTGGCAGTACGAGGAGTAAGAGGAGCAGTAACCGAAGGCAATTCTCCGAGGGTGTCCGTCGGGCTATTGATTGATGTGCCGGGTCCAACCAAGGGGCTGGTCTGTCGAGAAGACTCTACACTTCCGGAAGACTTTTTGGGACGTTGCTCAAGTTTGTTAACGTGAGCCCAGTTTTCCGATCCCCATAGGTTGGCCATCAAACCGCCAGGGATGCCGCCTATCAACGAGCTAATGCTAAAACCTCGCTCACCGCTGACGATGACAGCGGTTTTGCTGAGGTTTGTTGGAGCCGGTGCAATCGCCAAGGTTGATGGGGCAAGGCTGGACGAAGGACTGCTCTGGGGGGGTGGTTTCGTGTCAAGAGTCGCTGGACCAGGCGAAGCTCCGACCCCGATGGGAACGACGTTGTGCGTTGCTGAGACCAGGCTTGCAATGCCCCCCGAAGCGACGTTGCTACTATGACCAGGCTGGGAAAGCCCGCCTGTTCCTTTGCGATGTAGATCAAGCCTCTGAATAATCCGTGCTGCATGATCTCTGCTGCTTTCACCATCCCTCTCGACCATCGATTTGCGTGAGACATCGACGCTCCCTCCTCGGGCGGCCAGGCTCCCAGAAATACTATTATGCTCGGACACTGGCAGGGTTCCTGCACGATCAAGAGATCCTTCTTCAAGGGCACTGCTCACTGCTCCGTCGCCGGTCTTTGCGGCAAATTCTGGTGCAATAGGTGGGCTAATTGCAAAAGCAGGATCAGGAGTCCCAGAGCCAATCAATCCTACAATGTGGCTGCCTTCCAACGCTTTCCTTTTCGCGAGGTCGAAGGAATTCAGCCAATCGCTCAACTCAGCCGGTGTCTCCGCTTGCAAGGTAATTGTCGTGTCTTTAGTCTTCACCTCGAAACAAAACCGCCTCTCCTCTCCGCTAGCGGGTCGAACACCACAGAGGAGAACTCCAATTTTCTCGGACTCCTCAACCGCCCCGGATCGCAAGCCTTGGACGAGCCATCCGAAGATGCCATGCTTCACAAAAAACCATCGTCGGACCCAGAGAGTCCTTGCTGGTTTCCCTGTCGTAGTCTTTTGGAATAGCCAGCTCTGTTTCTCGGATTTCGGCGGTCCGGGCTTTGCGGGTGAAGGAAATGGGGCAGTACCAGGCGGGGCCGTCCCAGCAGCTGGGACGGAATAGATCGCATAAGAGTCAAGTTCTCTTGACGGACGAGCTGCAGTTTCTGCAGTATCTTCGATCTGTCTTCGCGCCATGGCTAGCTCCCGGCGGAATATCATCTCGCTGTTCTCCATTTCTCTACTCCAACCACGGACGCGGTCCATTTCGGGCGTGAATTTATCAAGGACGCTCGTAACGCTGTCTCGAGATTGTTTCATCTCCCTCCACTGATCCGAGAAGACTTTCAATAGGAGCTTGTCCAGAGAGTTTCGGCAGTGGGGCACCAATATGCAAAAGTCCATGGATGCCTTGAGGTAAGACTTCCGCGCTTCATGCAGCTGGAACGCATCTTCTCGTAAGCTTGAAGCTTCTTTTGTTTTCCCTTGGCCGAGATATCGTGATAGAGCAGTATCAAAGGCACGTTGCGCCGCCTCCAGGTCTTTGCGCGCATCCTTCAGCTTTCTCAAGTCATCTCGAAGGAACCCACGGATAGGTTCAGCGACGGTGTTTTCGAGCCTCTTCGTCCATCTTATCATACTGCTCGCAGACGCTCTGACGCCGTCGGAGTACAGCTTCGACGCCAGGCTCGTATAGTCATGGTCAATGGCAGCTTCCGAGATCTGCGGCGGAGGCGTGCAAGAAAGGAGGAAGTTGTTTATATGGTTTTCCAGAGAGCTAACATCGCTGGCAACTCGGCTTGTGGCTCGAACCAAGCCATCTAGCCATCGTTCGATAAGGTCGATCTGTTCGCTGAAGTGGACTGCGGTTGCGCGAAACGTGGGACTGTCGAGGGCGGCTTCTTTGAGGCCGACGGGTCTGGGGTATGAAATATTAGCAACTGGAACAGTCGTACAGCTAGAAATCCAACTTCAATGGGCTTTAGCCAACGTACATTAGACTTAAGGGACGTTGGACTGGTTTAAGAGCCGGCTGACTCTCTTCGGGAATGGGGGTCGAAGTCATGGTGGTAGTCGGTATATGACCATATTATGGTCGGGTACTAATAGCAACGTGCATTTCAAAGGCCAAAGCCAAATTACAGACGCGATAAAATGTGATATCTGACTCGAGGCATCCTATAATACTGTTTTCCGGTACTCATGATGTCGATGGCTGGGAGCTTCAGCGTCAGGCTCCGCTGAGGTGATGTGGAATGCAGGGGTCCAGCTGCAGTGCAGCACAGCTGCAGCAGGCAACAAGGCTACAAGGCCACTACTCCCCAGTCCCCTGTCTCTCCACCATGATCATCGGAGGTTTCAATTTTCGCCGCAAAAATATTAATCTGGACCTTGATATTAGGCCGTACACCTCCCCAACACCAAACATAGTGAAGAAGACATCGAGAAAATATTTCGCCATGGCTGAGACGCAACAGAGGCCCCAGAAGCGGGCGAAGTTGCTTGACCTAAACGACTCTGATGAGGAAGAGGATGCTCGCAAAACTGTCTCGTTCAAGGTCAACGAGAAGTATGCAGCACGGTTTGAGCACAATAAGAAGCGAGTGGAAAAACAAAGATGTATGTACCTCAAATGTTTGTTCATCTATGCTTGCTAACAACTGTTATAGTAGAAGAGAAGTATGGAAAAGGCGACCTCGAAACCTCCGAATCCGAGTCCGACTCCGATGATGAGACCGAAGACGACGAAGGGATGGCAGCGACGGTTAAGCGTGATGCAGAGATATCGAATCTGCTGAATGCTATCCGTTCCAAGGACCCTAGTCTCTACGATGAAGGACGGAAGTGGTATGAAGAGGAAGGCAACCCGGATGAGGCCAACGGCACGGAGGCAAAGCTCAAGGAGAAGTCCATGTCCCTCAAAGAATACCACCGTAAAAACCTTCTTGGAGGAGCACAGAAGGACGACGACGATACGGAACCACAGATTCAAACCTACGATGAGGAACAGCAGGAATTGAAAGACGATCTTATTCGAGGGTTTAAGGACGCCGGCAACCAAGAAGACTCCGATTCCGATGATGGCTTCCTTAAACAAAAGGAAGTCATCAAAGCGGTCGATTCAGCACCTAAAATTACGGCCGACGATATCGAAAAGGCGGATGAGGACCCCGAGGCCTTCATGTCCAAATACCTCTCAGCACGAGCATGGGTTCCTACAGACAAAGCACGCTTTCAACCGCTCGAATCCGACGACGAGGAGGATGATGTGCGCGCCGACGAGGTCGAGCATGCGTGGAACATGAGATTCGAAGACCCCGAAACCGCGAATGAGAAGCTCCGCACCCACTCACGTACCGTTACCGCAGAGATGTCTGTGCGTCGCGAGAAGCTAAGCTCGAGAAGGCGAGCACGAGAAGCCGAGAAGGAGAGGAAGGAAGCGGACAAACAAGAACGGGAGGCGGATAAGGCTCGGTTGAGGAAATTGAAGATCGATGAAATGGAGGAGAAAGTGGAGAAGATCCGGGAGGTTGCAGGCCTTTCTGGAAAGGAGTTCCACATTGAGGAATGGGCTCGCATTCTTGAAGCAGATTGGGATGATGATAAGTGGGAGAAGCAGATGGCAAAGCATTTCGGGAGCGAGTACTACGACGAGCGGGAGGACCGAGCTGAAGACTTTTTGGATGGAGGCATCTCTGGCAATGACAAGAAGCACCGAAAGCTCAAGAAACCGAAATGGGACGATGATATTGACGTTGGTGACCTGGTGCCAGATTTTGACGCGAACCCTGCGGAAGCGGCACGAATCGCTCTCTCCGACGAGGATGAAACACGCCCAGAGAGTTCGAAGGATACGAACCTGAAGGAGGCCAAGAAGGAGAAAAAGCATCAGGCCCGTGTGGAGCGCCGAAAGATCGAAGCGCTCGTGGACGCGAACCTCGACATCGACATGCTCGACAACTCAGCCGAAGTGGGCACCTCCTCGAAGTCCAAGGGTACGGGTTTCTTCCGCTATCGCGAGACGTCCCCGACCGCCTTCGGCCTCTCTCCCCTTGACATTCTTACCGCGTCGGACGCGCAGTTGAACACATACGCCGGCCTCAAGAAACTCGCGGCATTCCGCGATCCGAAGAAGAAGAGGAAGGATAAGAAGGCGCTGAACAATTGGGCGTTGCGGAATTGGCGGAAGGAGACCTTCGGCACGGACGACGCGCCGACCGCGGAAAGGTTTCAAGAGCTTCTTAGGGGTGAGCAGATTGGCAGGGCTGAGGAGAAAGGCTCCAAATCGAAGAAGAGGAGCCGGCCAGCGGAGACGGAGAGCAAAGTGGAGAGCAAGGCGGACGACAAGGGCGGCAACGAGCAGTCGAATGTGGTTGATGGTGAGCGGAAGAAGAAGCGCCGCAAGCAGAAGAAGAGCAAGCTTGAAGGGGTCTCCCTTGATACTTGATTTCAACGCGGAGCCAATCGATCCCTGGGTATTTAATTCCGATGGTCAAGTTGTAGAGCAATGAAGCCGATAGTGTGTATTTCGGCCATTCAATCATATCAGAACTGAGTGCCTTTCATAGAAGTAATCCCATCCCGAATTCTGTGAGTCCTCGGGGCATCCTCTCATCCTCATGTGCATAATCTTTAAGAAATGAGCCCCCCAAACAGCTTCCTCCCTCGACTCCTCGCAGCAGTCGCCTGCACCCCATCCAGACTTGCGCCGAGGAAACCTGCCCCGCCTCCTTCCTGGTCCTTCTTGTATCGTCGTAGCGCCTCTCTAAGATGGTCGGGGAGAATCGGGCCGCGGTCTCGCTCCTTCATCCGATCTGCCAGCGGCCCATCCGAAGGGACTTCTTCCCCCGTCGGCAGCGCGGCCGACGCCGCCATCCATTCCACCTGCACCTGTCTCGCCCGCTCCACGAGCTCTCCGACGAACGCCTTCGTGTATCCATTCACCGTCGTGATGACAGACGGCGGCACCGACTGACTGAGCGTCTGATTCGTAAGCTGTACCGCGTTAGCCATCCGCATCTCCAACCATCGCTCCATCGCCAACTCACCTTCCGCACCACCTCCTTCTTCAACTTCACCGCCCTCCACACCGCATATCGCTCCGTCTGCCCCCCATCAAATGCCTCCACCAACACCCGCAACCGCTCCCTCTCCTGCGCCACCTCCGCCTCATCCATCTTCCCTCCCTCCACATCCCCCCCATCCCCCTCCTCCTCTTCCTCCTCTCCCTCCCCCTCCACCACGCTTGGCGTCCCCGTCGCCGCCCCCACCCCCTTCGCCGCGCTCCCCGTCAAGCTCCGCGCGTCCCCGTCCACCTCCCCGCCCTTCCCCTTCCTCTTGCGCTTCTTCTTGCCGCCGCCGCCCGCCGACACGATCGACGGGGTGCCGGCCCCGGGGGTGCCGGCGATAACGGAGGAGTCGACGGAGGGGGAGCGAGAGAATTGCTGGGGGTGGGAGTCGGGGGGGAAGGAGGTTTGGCGGAGGAGGGAGGGGCCAGTGCTGGCTTTGCGGCGTTTATTGGGGGGCCCGGGGGGGGCGAGGGAGGAGCGTTTCTTGGGGAAGGGGTTGAGAGGTGGGGGTGAGGCCATTTTGAAGTTGAGTGGTTATGACGGTGTCGGAATGGTTGGAGACGTGATGTGTAGGCACGAGAGTTGGTAGGCCTGCGTTGATGTGGTACAGAATGCGGCGCGTTGAGCGTGATGGGTAACGCGCTCTGGCGGTGATGAGGTGCCGCCTAGAAGCAAAATCGGATAAGCTGGAAAGAACGTCTCCGGTGATGTCGACCTGGTAAGTTGCACGCAGCGCGAAAGAATGTGGATGGGGAGAAACTGTTGGATTTATGACCAATATCAACGCGAAATGTCCAGATGTCGAATCTCTTCGAATCAGACGCACGGACCATCGGAGATATCAGTTTCAAGGTGAATGAAGTGAATAATCAGGATGATGCAGCATTATCAAGTGGAATTTAAGCCGATGTAATTGTAATTGAGAATCTCTTTCTACTTCAGTCTATAAATGCATTTAATTAGGTTCACCAGGCGCAATTTCACTTCTAGTAACTTCCCCAGTGTCCTTCCTGATTGTACTACTACGAAATGGCAACCACAACTCCCGCCTCTTCTCTACCACTAGAAGCCCTCAACCTTGCGACGAAACCCTTTGATTTCGCGCGAGCCGGTGACACATCCGTTCTAAAATCATATATCGCCGCGGGAATCCCACCAAACTTCACAAATCAAGCTGGCGACACGTTCCTAATGCTGGCTTCGTACCATGGACACGCGGATACAACGAAGATGCTCTTGGACGCTGGTGCGGGTCCGAATTCACTCAACGATCGAGGTCAGAGCTCACTGGCGGGTTCCGTGTTCAAGGGCCATGTGGATGCGGTGAAGGTGTTGGTGGAGGGAGGTGCAGATATGGAAGGCGGGAGGCCGAATGCGTGGGAGTGTGCGGAGATGTTCAAGAGAGGGGATTTGTTGGAGGTGATGCGGAATGCTCAATATGTTAGTAGTTTATGACGACTTGATGTAATGTCAGCATTTCACAAGAATAGAGAGAAGACATGGTGGGAATTCAGAAAATAGAATGCTATTCCATTTGTCCACCCCGGACTAGACTGATGGTTTTATGCGCCAGTAACCGTGCTAACTGTTCAAAGACACGCCGTGATTATCGAAAGAAACCCGCCACCGTCGCCTACGGCTCGTTGATCACGTCCAGGAACAGCTCGCTTGTCTTCGGCGCCTTCTCGCCCGTCACCTTCTGCTGGCCAACCTTGTCCTTCGAGTACTGTGCCGCGTACGGGTTGAGACGGAGGAGCACCTGCCTGTTACGGAGCGGGTTCTTCTTCTGCACCTGGGTGCGCTTGGTGATGGCACCGCCCTTGACCGGACGGAGCACGGCCTGGATTTCGGAGGAGTTGATGATCTTGCCGATGTCGGGCTGCGCGACGAGGGCGGAGGGGAGGAGGAAGTCCTTCTTCAACGCGGAGGCTTCGGTAGTGGAGCCGTAGATCTGGTCGAGCGCGGCGAAGGCGGACGAGGTCCAGATGATGAAGCGGCCGAGGTGACCACCGGGGGCGAGCTGGAGGAGGTTGAGGTCGTAGACGGAGGAGGTCTCGACACCGGGGATGTTGCGGAACGCCTTGATGAGCTCCTTGCCGTCCGTCTCCGGGGAGTAGACGACGAGAGGGCCGCGTCGCTGCCTGTAGCGGCGACCTCGCAGCTTACCCTTACCGGCACGCAGCTTCTTGGAGGCCTTGACCTTCTCCAACTCCTGGCCGGCACCGACCGCCTTCAAGAAGGAGATGGCGGCTTGGGTCTTGGTGATGGCAGCACCCTCGAAAGCGCTGGAGGCAACGACGAGGGGAACTTCGGCGACAGTTGAGACGCGGTGGCCACGGGCCATAAGGAGAGCGGCGTTCGATGAGGCAGCGAGGGCGGAGGCGGTAGCGAATCGCTTCTGGCCTAGGTTGATCTTCTGGTGCCACTTCCTCCACACCTTGGTCGGGGCGAACATGCGGCCGGAGCGGCACATGTTTCCGAAGGCAGCCTGACCAGCACGGTGCGTACCACCACCGGAGACACGAGGGATACGGGCGACGGCACGACCTGCGAGAAAATCATCGTCAACGCTGAAATTAAAGGTTTGGCTGTTGAAGAATCGTACCAGTTCCCCAGGACTCAGCAGAGGTCTGGTGACCAGCCTTCTCGCTCACAGCATACGGCTGTCGCTTGTTCTTGGCCATGCCAGTGTGCACCGCCCTGTGGTATATTATCAGCCATTGTGTCCTCCAACCTTCCATTGCGCATCTTCAAGCTTACTGGACGATATCCGGGCGGATTTGGCACTTGAAGACGTCGGGAAGCGGGTGCGAGGCATTGCTCGGCTTGCCCTCAGGCGAAATGATCGTGACGGTCGGTCGGGAAGTCATTGTGCCGGTGATGGTGCAAATGACGAGTATGTGGACGTCGAATTCCTGTGGGTTAGTCGAGATATCTCGAGAGTTGAAGCTTTGCAGGGAAATTCGTGTGATGTGGTGGGCTTAGCGAAATATTCGGTCACGTGAGTAGGTCCAATCCCTGCACATCAACATTCGTGAATTTCTTCCTCACAACTGATACCACAACCAACTCCACTAGAATTCAAGCACGCTGCACGAGGGATGAGAAAATTGTCAAGGTAAAAATGGCTTTTCGGTAAAATTTGCTGTATGGGCTGGCTGGAAATAGTGCCTCATATCCAAGACACTGTTTCACGATAATGCGAATTCGTCAGTTAAAATTGAACGGTTTATACATGTACGAGCAGCTCTCACGCCCGAATGACCTTCACCATCCGCGGACTGCGATTGCACCTGATGTTGGTTCGGCTTCTGATATCAATACAAGGCTCAAATAGGCCACTCGGAATTCCCAGTATCGGTTTGCCCTCCAGTAAGAGAAATATGCCTCTCCTGATTGCGCCGATTTGCATGCACCCAAGGAACTCTCGCAATAGCCGATCTATTCATCATCGTCATCAATACGAGGCTTCTTTGAACTCCTTTCCTCCTCTCTATCGTCCAACCCATAACGTTTCTTGCCCTCGCCGGCTGTCCCTTTTCGGACGTCTTCAATCATTTGACCGATATTAAACGGATCGTCATCTTTCTCGAACTGGACCGGACCCTCACGTTTCTGTAGTTCATTAGTCAATCGTCTTCATGCGAAAGACTGTAGAAGGGGTGCACTTACGTCTTGTGAATCCGCACCCTTGAACCCTTCCTTGGCCCTCCCAAGAACCTCAAATCGACTCGTTTTAGTGATCTTGTCCATCGTCTCTCCGTCATCCTCCCCGTCATCATCGCCCACGGTCGGTCGATATATCGACCTCACGGCTTCTTGGGCCGCGAACAACGGCTTGTCGTACGCTTGATCTTCGTTGAAACCAGCCGAAAATCCACTCTGCTGGTTAAACAGCCTGGAGTCGTACATCGCCTCTCCTGACGCCGTCGGCTTCGCCAACCCCAACGCGACTCGCTCGGAAATATCTCGTCCTTGTTCCCGTGCCAGCATCTGTAGTCTTCTTTCGGTCCCCATGCGCGACTGCCGAAGTTCTCGCTGATTTTCCCGCCGTTTCTCCCGCCGTGCATCCTCGCGCTCTCTCGCCTCTCCTTCGCTCTCACTCTCGGACGCCGACCGCTCGTCGTAGCTGTCGACGCTGCGGCTTCGACTCCGTCGACGACTCTCGTCGGACCCACGCCGCCGGCCCTGCCGCTTCGCCCCGGCTTCCGCGCGCTCATCCCTGGCGCGCTGTGCCAGCCCTCGGAGATGCTCTTCCTTCGCAAGTTTCTCCTTCTCGGCCAGCTTTTGCTGCATCTGTGCCCGTTGTTTCACCTCCTCACGAGCATGGCGATCGGCGGTATACAGCGCTTCTGCAAACTGACTGAATTTGTCGTTGATCGTAACGTCCTGCAGGCCCCGCCCGTCGGCTGCTAATCGCTTGTCGAGAGGCACGGTGTAACCCTTCGGATTCTTCCAGTTGGAAATCGGTGGCGGAATTTTCCAGGCTTCTTGATCGGCGGCGGTGAGTTTTCGAGGAGGGGAATGAAGGATGGGTGGCGGTGGTGAAGGTGGTCCTCGAGGGATCTTTTTATGCTTGAACTTTGGAGGGTCCATAGGATCCTGCTGTCGTTCCACGATCTTGACGATTCGGTCTTGTTTTTGTGAAGTGTCGCCCATCTGATTTGCCGGCGTATATCGCACGAAACTAGGCGCTACTCGACTTGTCCCCTTCACATTCTTAGGCTTTTGCGCCGCCACTGCACCGGACACCAGCTTCGCGAGCGCCGTAGCCGTCTTTTCTTTTGTGGCCGCGACCTCCTCCTCCGATGGTCTCTCCAATGAAATTTCTCCCACATCTGCCCTCTGTCGTAGCGGGATCAGGTCCTTGAAGCTTGCTTGAACGATTCGATTCTCGGCATGCCCTCGTGTCGCGATGGCGTCGTACTTCATCTTGCCTTCGCTGTCGACTTGAAGCGCCAGGGCATTGGATGATCCAGTATTCTTTCTACCCATATCGAGGGGATATTGGGCGACCGCGACTTCAGGAAAGGCGCCGCCATCGCCGAAATCTTCGGCGGATCGTGGTCGCCACCCGATCCGTTGACCATACGATGGTGGTCCATGTCTCTGCACGTAAATAGTTAGATCCAACGCGCCCATGTATCTAGGACAATACCGTTTCGGTTTACCTTTAACGTGACTTGTTTGGATTCGATAGAATCGGCGCCGACAACACGAGGTCCTCGCGTCTTCGTGTGTGTCGGCAACTCCTCGTCCTCACCCGAATATTTCGGCTTCGGCAGCGCCTTGGCCAGTGAGGCCGCTATTGAGGTCATGATTGCATGTGAAAAGAAAATGGAGGGGTGTTGTGCAGGTCTGGACAAGAACTGGAATAATAAGTTTGGGAATGAGATATCGCCGTTGAATACCAGTCACGTGATCATGCCATCACATTGACTTCTCCACTTTTATTCCAGCACTGCTGTTACAGTCTCATGCGTGCATGCATGCGTACGAGGTCCTCAACTTCTCTAGCCCATCACGCCGTGATGTTTTCCCTTTCGCTGCCGTTTTCACATTTCAGAAGCTCAATATAGAATATCTGATCATTGATGAGATGTGAAGTACCGATGCATATCGGACGGGAAGGAATGTTCAATAGGTCCAAGAGTCCTAAGCCTGCAGGACGAATTCTGGCCGCCCTGTTACCATTCCCGTCCGCCAGTCAACATATACAGCACAGTTGAGGCAGACCTCAGAAGGGAGTCACATCGCGATACATTATGAGACCCTGAGATGTACCAGAAACCCATGGTCCAATTTTTGTTTCCTTTTTTTTCTGGGACTCATGCTGCCTGCATTAGACGACGGCTATACCAAAAGCTCCCATCTGGGGAGTCGGCTAAATTCCCCCTGAACCCCTTGCTCCCTAGCGGCTTCCAGCATCAATTCTTGTCCCCAGTGGAAGTGTCTTGATCGGCTTACAGGTATTACAATCCTTATTATGTCACTGAAGCTGTTCTCACACCAAGGTTCTCGATAAACCAAAGCCAAGTACATCATACCATTCTCTCTTATTCCCTGTCATACATTCACTTCGAAATCACCCCTGTATACGATCCATCGTCTGTATCATCAAATCTAAACCCTATACATTGCGGCGGATGCCCAATCTGCTTCTCCGGGATCTTAAACAGCCGGACCTCATCTGCTCGTCTTTTCACCAGTCCGGGCAGAACATCTCCGCCAGCATAGACCCAACGAGGAAGTTCCTCGGAGGCAACCTTTACTGGCTCCTCTCCAGCATTCAGTCTGTCCACGAGTGTGGAATTCTGCATCTGCCCACATCCCATGTTTAAAGTGAAGCTAACAAGCGCACCGTATTGGTTCTTGTTCAATATGACTGTGTCATTGAGCATTGTGGACAGGCATTGTTTGTATGTCTAACACTTGTCAGTTCCTTACATCGAGCGAAATTGAAGCCGAACGCACCACCAGATCATCTCTTAGCAGCTTGTCTGCACTGTCAGCTGTCAACGGGAACTTATATTCGACTTCTCCGCAGTTTTCTATTTCGCAAAGATGCCCATATCTGTATGTGTCAGTCTCGCTTGATTTTGAGTTTCGAGTTTCGAAAGCATTCCCCTACCCGACTGTAGGTAGACCAATGGGATCCGGCGCTGGAGCACAAACGAGCCCTTCCCATCTCTTGATGAGGGTCAGTCCCGCGGTATTGATCCCTTCGTACTGGCACCGTTTGCCTCTAGTGCCTGGAAACGTCGTGCAGCATTGTTCGTCAGCTGCTCCTGAGCAAATTCCAGGAGTCGATATCCCTCGACATGTGGTGTCACTTTCGCATGTTCCTCCAATATCGGTACAGGGATCCGTGGTGCAGCGTACTGTGCTGTTCGATGGAGTGCAGCATTGGATCCTGGGACAGGTGAGCAACTATTTCAGGAGGCCGATTTACTAGCATGCACCCTGCTGGTCCAGGACAGAAGCCTGGATTCGATGTCCCTTTACATGTCGCTATGGGTTGACAGATTCCAGGGATCGAAAGAACGGTGCAGGCTCCAAAGGTACAACACTGGTGAAGTTAATGACATGCTACCCATCCACCCTCCGCAGACATATCAGATCATGCCTGCTGGGCTAGAACACTTACTTGGAACTCTTCTCCTGCACAGTTCCCTGCTCCAGTAGCAGACCCTCCACTACTGGTGCAATTGGCTGCAGGAAGACATTCGCCGTTCTGGTTTGACTCTGAAATGCAGGTTTGGGCCCATGCAGAGTTCGAAATCAGTAGAGCCAAAAATAAAGTATAAAACTGCATTGCGTCGGTGGCGCAAATCTTCCGAAGCTCTTTTGGGGATGCTTTCATTCAGAACAATATCGAACACAATACTTGCGACATGCAACTGTCAATATTTCCAAACTCGAGTATTCTTCCGGGCGTCCTCGACCATTATATGTCCATCGATCATCCCCGTATCCAATGTCCGCAGTCCCGATGCTATTGAGGATTGCCAGTGCCGATTTCCCATTTAAAGGCAGTTTCCAAGCGTCGTGGAACATCATCTCGTATTCGACACCGAATACCGCCGTACGGAGTAGGTTCGGAGAGGTGGCAGCCTCGCGCTTATGAAACAACAGGGATCCAAATGAGGACCCCTTGCAATACCGAAATAATTATTTAAATCAAGTACACCTTTGGATGGTCGATAGTCCGTCGTAGAGAAGCAAGAGGCAAAATTTGCGTGCATTGCACATCACGTTTTAGCAAACGGGCAGTTTAGGATCTAATCGCTTGTCATCTATTCGAAGAGCTAGCCCCTGAACAGCGGTCATTGTGCTATCATCACTTCATGTTCTCTCTTGTCCACCGACCCAGAGCATCCAAGAAACCGGGGGCAAAATGCGCGATGACGGTACTCGAATCTATATCGTCCTGTTCCTGTTTCCCCCGTCTATCCGTTCTCCGGCCATTTTCCTTTCCAACTTTCCCCTCAGGTCCTTTACGCAACGGTCCCTTCGGTTCAAGGGGTGTAAGTAATGTTGCATCCAAAAGCTCCTTCCATCGAGCCAGATACATCCCAGGGCCGACGTCTTCTCCGAACTCGGTGCCATCAAGCGCTTCCTGCATTCGCTTCCTCGTTGCATCTTGTAACCTTTGGATATACGCCGCATGGTCGTCCAAGTCCTTCCGTACTTGATCTTTCTCTTTATCTTGCAGCTTGTTGAACATGCCTTGGAGCTCCTTCTTGATATTGACATTCAGCGTTGATGAAGGCTTGAATTGAGCAGCGCTGGACTTGACATAGTCTCGATACCATGACGCGACCTCCGGCCCATTGTGGGCAACCTGATGGAGAAACTTATGCAGGGAGTTTTGATGCTTCCTGAGTAACCCTATAAAATCCTTGACGGATGGCGCGGGTTTGGTTATTGGCGGCTCTGGGGGTGGCTTCGCTTTTGTTATATCTTCTGACGCAGGCCCTGGGGATGCAGTTCGTGCTTTAGGAGCATTTTTCACCACCCGTGCTGGTGATGCCGTACGTGAGGGAGCCTGTGAAGATGGCCGACTGGTTGCTGTGCTCTTGATAGGTCCTTCTTTCTCGTGGAGCTGCGCAAGCTTAATGAAGTCTGTGAGAAAGGCTTCAAGGTTGGACAAGGTACCACTTAAGTCAACTGCGTTGTGGACAGCTCGAATGATAGGATCATACGCCGAAACGACGTCTTTAACGGTCGGGGTAAGGATATCTGGCGACCTGGTGCAGAATATTCGAGAGATTTGCGTCCTATCGCGCATACTCATCTGCAGATCTAGATACTCCAGTGAACGATCATGATGCTCAGGAGTCATGTCCTCAACATCGGCCTCAGTCGCTTCGGATATAATTGTGGCGATAATTGATTGAGGGGTGTTTTCTGCGGTCGAGTTAGGGGTGCCTCCCGAGGATTATTAGGATCTGTTCGGCGTATACTCACGGCTTATCTGCCGACGTTTCTCACGCTCCTCTCGTGGAACCTCAATGTGCTCTTTGATGTGGCTTAGATGTACTTTCCCCTGCCCATCTGCGGTCCTTTCGGCTTTCGCAGCTTGCTTCTGCAGCTCAGCCAGGTCCCAACTGATGACTGTGGATACAATCCTGTTGCACTCAACATTTGTACCGTCGAATTTGAGGAGATACTGACTGTTGCATCAAATTCATCCCTTCATCTGCGCCTTTGCTCCATCCCATCCAATTAGTGATGCTACCGAGTGACATCTTCGTGAGAACCAATTTCACCATGGCGCCTATCATAGTGGCCGCATTTCCAATTCTCAATGTTTGTCGGACGACAGTGTAGGGGATCAGGCGATGGACCCATGAGAGGATTTTCATGATGAATTGCCCATCTGGAGACAGTACAGTAATGTAGTGGAGAAATGAGGCCAGGCTAGCACTGCGTTAGTGATTGATTTCGTAACTAAAGGCACAGCTATAACATACTTCACAAGGAGAAACTCGTGGGCAGTCTGAACTAATGGCGAGTGATCTTCCACCTTATCACTATGTGCGACAACTTCAAACAATTGGTCTATCATATCACCATGCACAATTTGATGCAGAAAGGTGTGAAAGGCATCGAAAAGGTCATCTGCCTTTGTGGCATCATAGTCCTTGTCATCCTTTAAGGATTTTTCCTTAGGAAGCCCATGCAGGACCCCCTTCGCGGGGTATTCTAGAAGTGTTGCAATCGCTGTCGAAAGCGTCCTTCTAGCCCCAATCGAACCCTTATCGTAACTCTCAGAGAGTTCCGCATCTCCAAGCTCTTCAATCAGGTTGTGTATTCTGTCCTTCCAGAACTCTTCCGAAACGTCCCGTAGTCCAGGCAGTGTCAGCAGAAACCGCGAGACGAGGGTTTGGAGTATCGGAGAGGAGGGTATGACATCGTCATCAATATGAAATGGCGGACCATAGTTCTTGATTGCGCCAGAGTATTTGAAGCGCTCGATTTCCGCATACGACTCATTGTGGACGAGGATGTCGAGCAGAGCGTCCAGTTCGGAGGGAGTCAGCTCGTTGTCTGACATGGTAGAATGGCCACTAGACACAAGTTCATGACTTTATACAGGTTCAACCTTGGTGAGGCAGTCTATATAACCCGGACAAGGCGGATATGACTGGTGTGGGAATGAAAGGTCTTGAGGGATTAACAGCATGAATCTAATGCGTCAAGAAGTTCCATCGATGTCAGCCAAATACAATGACGACACAAGACAACACCGCCACAGAGATTGCCTAGCCGGGGGCGGTGCAGGTGAGTGGCGCCACATCAGGGACAACACTAATTTATAATTACCTGCAGGCCGTGCACAGAGCACTAAGCCAGCTAGCAACAGGGAGACAGAACGCCAGGCTAAGTTGAGGTTTCGCGATATCGATTCATTCTTCCACATTCACATTCACTTTAACATCGTAACAGTTCGTTGTGCGCTGTCTGTAGAAATAAGCACGGCCTTCACAATCCACAAACCAAAGCTTCCAGGTGTGCAACGTGCCAAAGTCTGTCCTTGTCCCTCTAAACTTACCTACCGCTTCCTACCCTACACACCTTTCTTACTCTACGCCGTTCCCTAAGTGTGACCGCTAAAATTCTATGTGGATGGGATTCAGTGCCTGGTCCTCTAACAGGGTATCGCCTCCTGGGCTTCAATTTATGAGAGGTTAGTAGCTCTCGAATAATTGGTTTTTCAAGCGCTTAGAGCAGTGCCAGACAGATTATTCCTACATAGAGATAAAATGGGCTTGGCCGCTTGAATTAAAATTGCAGAAAGTTTGATTCCAGCTATTAAGTTCATTCTATGTTAATCATTGGCTCTGAGCTTCTCAGTAACATTTTCTGAAGCGCCGATAGTCCAAGTCATGAACAATCAAATGGGTGCAAAACAATTCTTTCTCTTCTGTTTGGATCTGTGTCGATTATTTAACTCCCTTCTCGTTAGATATAAAGGGGCTTTGCCGCTAGCGATTGAATATCAATTTTCAACCGAAACCATTGTCGTCATTATTATTATCTTCTCATCGACTCTAAGGCAGAATCTGCCACAGAGCACTGATATCATGGCAAAATCATACTAATACATGTAGCCTCTTTGTCTGGCCGCTCCCGAAACAGGAATACCAAACCGACCAGTCCACCAGTCGATATCTATCGGCGTACCTTAACGAACTCCTGTTGTTATAGCACCCTGACCTCTCATCCAAAAATGCCGTTTACATCGCCTTAAAGGTCAGATTCTCACAATTGAGCCCCAATCGCCGCAAACGCCTTAGTCGCTGAATCCAAGAAATAAACATCCGTCATAAACTACTCAACCCCTGTGTCTACTAAAAGGCTTCGACATGGCTGAAAACGTTGAGGCCATACTTTTTCTGGTCTTTGCTGTGGCATTGCTATCCTTCCTTCGAAGCTCTGGGCCCTGAATTTGTTCGACCAGAGTTTTATATTTTTTCCATTGTGGAGGAAGGTGATCTTTGTCGACATGCGCCCCGTGTAGGAGTAGGAGCTTGACAATGTCATCTTTACTGGATTCGACCGCAAGATACAAGGGGGACCCGTTCCCAGCATCTTTTAGGTTGATGTCTGCACCGTTTTCGACGAGGAGTTCGGCGCATCGGCGAGCACCAGTCTCGGAGGCATAGTGTAGCGCCGTCTTCCCCCCTCGACACATAGAGTTGACGTCTGCAGGCTCTTTGGCTGAAAGGAGTAACCTTATCATCTCCGAAGAATCTCGTTGGATCGCGAAGTGGAGGGGAGGCCACTGAGAACCGCTGGTTGCCCGTGTATTTGGATTTGCTTTGTAGTCAAGGAGGATTTGAACGACCAAACCGTTGTTTTGCTGCACTGCGCGCATCAAAGGTGTGAGGCCTTGTCGATCCCGGGCCTCGATATCAGCCTGATTCTCAAGAAGAACTCTTGTCATCAGCGTTTTATTGCGGAAGGCAGCTCGGTGAAGCGCAGTCTGTCCTTTTCTGCTGTCCGTTTCATCAATGCGGACGCCACGTTCAAGGAGCATCTTGACGATATTTTCCGACCCTGACTCGGACGCATAGAGTATCGGAGGAATGCCAGCCTTATCTCTACAGTTGACATCCGCACCACGGTCAAGGCACTCTCGAACCAGAGTAAGATCGCCGCTGCGAATGGCTCGAATGAGCGGTGGTCGCCCTGCTGTGTCAGGGGCGTTGATATTGACAATCTCGGCGATGTTGAACGACGATCCAGAGCTCTCCCGCCTCGATATCTGGTCGGATGATACATCGCTTCCGATTTCAGGCGACAGCATTGAGGGTTGGGGTAACAACCGTTTATAGTCCTCCGCGGTGTCAAGGTCCTTGAGCTCCTGGTAAACCCGGATGCACAGCTCGACTGACTGTACAAACTCTGGGCAGCTGTGGTCGTTAAGTAAATGATGCCGAGCATTAAATGCGAATTTGGCATTCTCCTCCGCCATCATTAGCGCAGAACGATTTGTGGAGTGAAGATATGCCTCCAGATGAGCGTCTGCCAACAGGTAGTAGCATCTGGATTCATTTAGCTCTGCGCTTCGCTTTTCCTCTTCGGCGAGCGCGTCCTTCGCACTTGCGCTTTGGTTTAGAAGGACTCTGAGAATATTCTCAGCGGAGTCAAAGTTCTTCATCCTTATCAAAAGATATGCCTTCAGTTCCAGCAATTCGCGTCTGTTGTCGAACTTGATTCCCCATGATATCTCTCGCTCTTCGAGATGTCTCATCAACTTATTTAGCTTCTCCAGTGCGATGCCTGGATTGTTTTTTTTGTCGCATGTTTGGATAGCTTCTTGACAGCTCCGTATGAATGAGTCCAGCAGTGGTTGCGGTGTCTTTTGGAAAGTCGAGGGTGGTGTAGGAGCGCCCGTCGGTTTCTTCGTTTCAGTCTCAATTGGGGCCAGCATCTCCATGCCTAAGGCTGGCGGTGGACTTAAAATAAGATCTGGGACCTTCTCGCTGATATCTTCGAAGGCGTCGTCGCTTTCCTCCGATGACGCATCTTCATCGCCAAGTTCTTTGCTATCGAGATTGATGTTCCTAACTGAGTTGCCTTCGGGATCCCACACTTGCAGCAGTTGCGACGCGACATCTACGTACTCAGTGATTGTTGTCACTTCGGAATCTTTCTCAGAGGGGCTCTTAAGTTTGGAATCCCAAGCAATATTCCCAAACAGAGTGTTACTGCTTCCCTGTCCCTGAATGCCAAGTGCGTCTGTCTCCAGACGTTTTGTCACGAGTTGCCGACGGCCATAGATAAGAGCTCGGACAAGTACTTCGATTCGGTCCGTTCGATCCACGAGCTCCGCATGGTTGGACTCAGCAGCAAATCTTGGTCAACCGTCAGTACAGGCTTGGTTAAGTCAGTCAAGTGGATCGCTACTTACTGTTGTAGACACTGAGTATAAACTTGGATTGCTTGGACATGTGTGTCAATCGAGGTCTGAAGTCGAATTATTTCAGTCTCGTGAAAATCGAGATTGAACTGGATTTTGGCTTTTTGTAACGCGTTCGGATTCGGATTCGAGTGCTCAGTACCGTGAATTGTCTTGGTAAAATCCGCCAGAAGCTTGTTGGATGCATCTAAAGAACCTTTTAAGTTCTTCCATATCCGCTCTTCTTCCTCTCTTGCAACAGAACTGTTCCTTCTTTGGATTTCTCTTCGGTGGATCAAGAGCTCGACAGACTCGACCACTCGATACAACTGCTTGATTTTACGGCGCAACTCACGCAAGTGTCGATCAGCATGTCCCGCGTCTTTGATGAACATAGCGCATCTCTTCACGACATCCAGTAATGATATTGCGGAAGCAAGAACTTGGAACACTTCTAACCCCGACATGGTAGAATATGGATTGAACGCTTCTTTGTGTTTGGACTCCAACGATCAACTACAGATATCTTGATGCATCGCCCTAGGCTGAATTCACGGGCAGAACACAGGATTTGATGGAAGCATGAAAACGGTAAGTTTGTAATTCGATAGGGATTGGGGACTAAGCCTTTTTGTCGCCAGCACAAACGTCTCAGGGCCACATAACTCCGAACTCAGCATCTCACAGGTCGAAAGATGGCCGCTCCAGGATCAGGGAGGTCGTCACACTGCAACTGCTGCGCTTATTTTGGGGAGGCAGTGCTGAGCTGCTGGTCAACTCATCCCCGCACTATTGTATCGTCCAGGCTCCAGGCTCCGTCACATCACGGCCCGACGGCCGGGATGGAGGGCGCCACAATAATTTGGCGAAATTCAAAGGCAACCCGGCAGGCAGACTTCGCCTCGTCACTCCTCGCTGTCTTCAGGGATCAGACCAGGGCCTACGCTTGAGCAGGATCGAGCAGGGTTGAGCAGGGGGGGAAACGATAGGTACAGTACGGAGAATCTCTTGAGTCTTGTCAAATCATCGTGGCGAAGTTCTATCAGCCGAATCATCCTTCGAAAACGATCGTTCGGAGGATTTCGTGCTGCCGTCACTCAACAGCCAACAGTGTTCGACTCTCGGAGAGATCTGTGTCGGGTGGTATTCGTTGGTTGAGGCACTCTTGGAAGTTGGATGGATTATCTCTCCACCTTACAAAGCGACGCCGTCTCCCGGTTCGTGCCGCCGCATCATGACCCGGGTGCTAGAGTCCCACGATCGGCACTCTACAGAAACAACGCGCGGTTGAGAGCACAGCATGAAGTAAGTAGATTGAAACTCGCCAGTCGGGTTGTGAGACGCCGCTTTTGCGGAGACAACGCGGGTGCGACCAAGGCTTGTCAATCAAAATTGTCCGCAGCTACGTACCCGCTCTATTCAACAACGGTAACATGTTATGAATTAGGATGCATTGGAATTCCACGTTTCGTTCCTCTCGGCGCCTAGCACCAAGCAACCCTCTGCACGGTATGTTCGACCGGGCTTTGATCCAACTGTAACGAGCAAAACAGGTCTCCCGCGTGATCCTCATTCCAATACGAAATTTCCGCGCCCCGCTATATTGTTTTAGTAACAACAGGTACCATACTATGCTGAGACGAAATGGTGGTTTAGTGTTGTATTTAATCTGCGCCAGAGTTAGGTTCCTTTTCGCCAACGAATTTGAACCTCTTTCTCCTTCAATCAAGTTTCATTCAGCCCTCCTATTGGTCGATGAACTGCCTCATATTCTCCAACCATGGCATCCTTCTGTCTAAATACGGCACTGCCATTCAGCCTACACTCATAGCCCAACATCATGATAGGATGGAATATTCCAGGTACATCACGAATGCACTTTTCCGCTTCAACAAGTTTATCCATCACCAACGCTACCTCCAACCAATGCCATCTAATAGAATATCATATCCTGGTCTAAAGTATATTATTTACTTCCCCTCTCCATCATGGATGCCCCGAGCGTACACATGGAATTAACCCATTTCTGGACACTATCAGCTATACTCTTTATCCTAACTTTCTTATACGTTAAGCGGTTTGGGAAGAGCTCTCCTGCACCTGGAGTTCAGAAAAGCATTCCCTTGTTCGTAAAGAAGAGTTCCGTGCTAAGTTGCGAACTCAGAACGATATACCATCCGTTGACTCAAACACGGCCCAATATGTACCCCTTTTAACTAATCATTCTGGATACTCACTAGGGTCACATTGTGAGTTTCGCACCAGTATGGTGGTACTTACGATTTGGGGGCAGCAGCTGGGGAGCTTGGGTCCAGACTGTCTAATTATTTCGAAGAGCCAAAGAGCCAGAGTGGTTTCGCAATCCTAGGCTCAGCTTTATTACCTCTTCAGTCAAGTAGGCAGCGTTCCGCATTCAAGTGGCCGGGGGCGGACGTCCAGCGCATCATGCCTCTGATCTCCTTGTATAACCACATCTCTCCCGCAGGATCTAAGCATAGGTATCGGACCTAAGTATCAGAGTATATAGTTCTGTATATATTATATATTATTAATCATTTAGTAAACCATTTGTGACCCAATTCCGAGCCTCAGTTTCCACCGCCAAATTCCTGCTTCGGAGCTAGGGTTAGACATTTATGGCACAAATATGCGAGGCGCTTTCAATGCAAGGCTCCAATGGTCCACGGCAGAACGGGGCCAACTGAGTCGTCTTTGAAGTGTGGTGCACCTCTACTTAAGTTTGAAGTTCTCAATTTTTGCACATTTCTGGAGTTCCATGTTTAGGTTCACGGAGTCAACTATATTATTAACCCACCTGGGTCGTTTTGTGCATGAATATCTCCTTTGACATCCACCAGAGACATGCATCAGTAGCACAGGGCAGAGGTGCTAGCAATCCAGATTACAGCTCCCTGAGAACTTTCCTCAGGTATGGTTAATCCCGACCACGTGGCCCAGTCGCACCAGAAGCAGCAGCTACCGGCGAGAAGAGCAATGATCGTCTCATACGAGGGCGGAGATCCAGGGGGGAGCGCAACAGCCAACAAGGCTGACCCAACTCGACATGGCGATCATGCAATTACCTAAATACAGCCATGCATGGGGGAGTTTTGGTTGATTGCCCTTCTTCCTGGGGTCTCAATATTTCGGAAACCTTGCCGTGCACAGCCTTCCGTTCGTTGACCGGAGCCTCGATGAACACAAACCGCCCTGTTGACCTTACCTAGAAGCAAATCCTTGGTCTACTGTATCTCGGCCATGCAGGCGAACCCATGGCCGGGGATTTACACAAGAACCAAACATAAAAGACACAGTGGATAATGGAAAGTTGACTTTTGAAAGTGACAGGCCTTAAGACCCTTGATATCCGATATAATTAATCAGAATTCCATCTTACTAGCATTGTTGCAATTGTTTGTTCCTTCCCAGAGCATACTATCCATACAAGAGGTGCCTATCCTGTGTTTGTTGTGTTTGCGTCTGGGTCCAGCCATTTGGGACCCCTGACGTGTACGATGGATCCGGATACCAGTAGCACCATGAGGCAGGTATGTGTAGACTTCGCTATTACTTCACACTGTCTACAACAGCACGCCTCGCTATCTGCATGTTTTACTGACAATTTAGGGGAATGAGAAATCGGCTACACCAGCCACTATCAACTTTGAGCAAGCGACGTGAGTCCCAAACTATTGCACTCCCCACAATGTCACTGTACTGACCGCATTCTCAGTATCGACAATCCTTTGAAGCAGTATAGCCCCGAAGTCATTCAGCAAAATGCAATTCAGTTTGCAAAGCACTTCGGGTTTCCTGGACTCGAAGGACTTTTCGTCAAAGCAGCATTCTGTGCCCGCGATCCACGCCTGGCTCCCACAGTGAGCGGTTTGACGACTGAAGAAAAGGATGCGCTCAATGCGGAAATCCAGGGTTCTGTACGGTTCTGGAACCAGCCGAAGCAGTTGAAGGTAAATCCTCAAGTCATTCCCTTCATTCCTGTTTCGTTCAGAAAGACTGATATTGTCCTCATTCTAGATTGCAGTCTTAACTTGCTGTCTTGGAGCCATTCTTCAGTGAGTTGTACTCTTTCAGCTCGCATCACCCTGCTAGATATTTTTCCGGCAATTATGTCTGGGCTTGAGCTTGTGCTTTGCCATAAATGCTGACCTTTCAGGGGCTGGAACCAGACAGGAGCTGCTGGTAAGGGACCATTCCAACCCCACCTCCTCTCGCTTTCTACACCCTGCCCGCTACACCACCCATACTGCTGCACTCAAATCAAAATTGTACTGACTCGTCGGACAGGGGCCAATTTGTCATGGCCTGAGGAGTTAGGATTACATATTATGCCGGGGCATGAAGATTACAACATCTCGGACGTCTTCTATTTCTCCGGCGTGAATGCAATCAGCTATTTCGTTGCTGCCCTTTTCGGATCATGGATATCAGATCCTGTGCAAGAAATCCTCTTGGGCCGCCGTGCTGCCATTTTCTTTGCTGGGCTATGCATCTTCGCTGCATCAATCGCCAGTGCGTTTGTAAAGAGTGTCGGCGGTCTCATGGCGGCCCGAGTTGTATTAGGGGTAAATGTCTTCTCGGAGTCGAATTCTAGACAAGACTACTGACACAGAGCTCAATTCAGATCGGAATGGGGTGTAAGGCGAGCGTCATACCGATCTATAGCGCAGAGGCAAGATCTTTCCTTAATTTGGACTTATCTGCAACATCTCGCTGACCTGGGCTAAACAGATTGCCCCTGCACAAATCAGAGGGACTCTGGGAGTCAACTGGCAAATTATGGTAAGCGATTTCAAGGGAATAGAGGTTCATCGTGTCTGACATGCACAAGGATGCCCTAGGTATTGCGTTGTAAGTCAAACCGCTTGCACAATGCAAGGACATACACTGAATTTTCACATAGGGGTTATGCTGCAAATCTTATAGTCGCGGATATTGGCCGTGTGGCATGGCGTGTGCAATTTGCCACTGCGGTATTGCCTACTCTATTTCTCCTAGTCTTAGTATTCTGTGCTCCTGGTAAGTGTAATTCCTGACTGGGTCGCTTTGTCACTGACCACTGTTTTAGAATCGCCGAGATACCTTGTTAAGAAGAAGCAATACAACAAGGCCTATCGAAGCCTCCTAGCTTTGCGGGAGTCTCCAATTATTGCTGCCCGAGATTTGTTCTATATACACGTCCAACTTCTTGCTGAGACGAGACTATTCTCCTCACGGCGGGACATTGGGTTCAACGTTGTCCGAAATGATACCGATAGCGATCTGGAGACGAATAGCATTCAGACCAACTTGGAGGGATTTGGCGAGGCTGAAACTTACCAGGACGAGATTGATAAGATCTCGTATTGGGACCGTGTGTTGCAACTGTGGAAGGTGAAGAGAGTAAGGAGAAGTGCCCTCGCCTCCTTTGCTGTGATGAGTATGATGTTCCTCACACGAAACAAGTTTAGACCCTAACAAGTATCAGTCTCTCAACAGCTCTGCGGTATCAATGTTCTGGGTAAGCCAACTATCCTTTTCCCCAACTATCCTTTTCCTCAACTATCCTTTTCCCCAACTATCCTTTTCCCCAACTATCCTTTTCCCCAACTATCCTTTTCCCCAACTATCCTTTTCCCCAACTTTACTGACTCAGTTCTGTAGCCTTCTACGGGTCCACGTTCTTCGAGAGCGTCAATGAGAGCCGTTATCAAGCATTGTGGTTCAGCCTTGGCTTTGGTTTGGCTAATTTCATGTAAGATATTCCCTCCCTCTTGACGCCGGGCCAGCTGCTGACATAGTACAGTTTCGCCTTACCAGCGTACTCCCTTGTCGAGTCCTGGGGTCGGAGACCACTCTTGCTCATTTCGATTCCGGGCATGATGATCAGTCTGATTGCGTGCGGAAGCTGTTTTTATATAAATGGAGACAGTGCTCGTATTGGCGCCGTGTCATTTTTCATCTTCGTATGCATCCTTATTCCCTTCTTCTCCCAATCTATACCCCATCCATCCCCTCTTATCCCTTATCATTCTTAGCAACGTATCCCCTGTGGATTCTTTTCACTAACTCTAGCATCCTACTCAGGTCTTCACGTTCTTCTACTCTCCTGGAGGTATGTGCCATATGAGTAAACTGATGAAAATAGCACCTGACATACTGTCCAGTCGGACCCATTCCCTTCGCAACTACGTCGGAGATTTTTATGAGCGTGAATCGCGAGATCGGCATGTCCTTTGGAGTTTTTATAAATCTTTTCTTCGCTGGTAAGCAAACTCCTTTTTCACGATAATCAAATCGAATGCAGGCCATGGAGAGACTATATTCACTCGCCTACTCTGCGATGTATCCAACCCTTAGCATACGATACTAATCGTTTCCCGTTTCAGGTATTCTTACCATCCTCGTACCACCTTTGACTCGCATTATAGGCGGTGCTGGCACAGGGATAGAATACTCAAGAGTGCAAGGCCGCATCCTCTATGTCTTTGCTGGCCTCAACATCATCGCGTTCCTACTTTGCTATTTCCTTGTTCCAGAAACGTCTGGGGCGACCATCAGCAAGAGCGCAGCGAATATGGAATATATTTCCTTGGAAGAAATGAACTATATCTTCGATACACCAACCCGAAGGCATGTGGAATACCAGACGAGGATAGTCTTGCCTTGGGCGATCAGTCGTGCCATGCCCTGGAGGAATCCACTACCTCGACCGGAAGGATTGTATCAATGGTCACGATATGGGACAATAGAGACAGCGGAGCCATTGAACGAAGGTGGGGCCATCGGCGATGCTCTTAGTGAAAATGAATCATCCATGTTCTGAGTAGGGCTGGGCAAGGCGTATATAATAATGATTATATTTTGATCGTTGATAGTTTATATCAACTATGATCGGGATGCAGTGATGTATTGTTTGCTGTGGTGATACCGTTACATTCCCTGCTAAGCCGCCGCCGACCTGCTGCAAAGCTCGGAAATTCGACCTGCAAAACCTAACAACATTGCTCTGAGACGTCCTCAACATCAACATTATCGCCGAAGTCGCATCAGCTAATATTTGAATATCAAAAGTTCCGATTTTTGGATTTGATGGGAAGGGAAATTTGTTAAGGAAGTAGTTATTATGTCCATGGATCTTCTGGGTCTTGACGACCTCGACGACGAACCGATTCCGACTGCTCGCAAAATCCAAAAACCAACCACAAACTCGGCTTTTCATGATCTTCTTGGTCTTGAAAATGATGAAGGCGGCCAAATTGGGGGTGATCTGGTTAAAAAAAATGCGACTAAGGCCGTGCCACCATACACAAGCGGGATACCTTCGCAGATGAAAGACACCGCACCAGGAAACGACCATGATGACGGCGACACTGACGACTGGGGGGATTTCGAGGATGCGTCTCCCGCTCCTATTACGACTGATGCCAATATGGATTCAGATATTTACTTGAATTCGATGGATTCAAAGGTTTCAGAGTCTCCTCATCAGGGGAAACAGGCGCGGCAAGAGCAGGGGCAAGCTACTGCACCGTCGCAGGAAAAGGCGCAGAGACCACCTCCTCGCTCAAAGCCGAGGGATCCGAATGTTCTTTTTGATGTAGAAGATGAGGTTTGGAATGACCCAGATGCCGAGTTTGGTGATTTTGAAGATGTCGCTCCAACGAGCGCTGTCCTGGAACACCGAGAAGCACGAATAGAGACGGCAACCCTTCCGAGAAAGGAGGAAACAAGAACAAAGTCGACTATTGCGCAGAGCCGAACAGCACCTCCTCTAATGGCCACCGACAGCATTGATCTACTTGGTCACTTGGGGGAAGAATCTCCAGCTCCCCCAAAGAATATGTCAAAGGCATCCGGTGGCCCATCCTTTGGCGCTACCAAGGCAAAGCCTGCCGTCAAGTTCCCTAAGCCGGAAACCAAGCCACCGCAACGAGACGAAGCCTGGGAAGACTTCGAACAACTTGCAGTTTCTCCACCACCAGTTATGAGATCCTCCCTTAGCCCTTTTCCGAAGATCATGGTTAGGGATAGTAAGCCAACAATATCAGCACCCCCGACCAACATCCCACCTCCATCGGTACTCTTATCTCTTTTTGTATCATTGCTGGGTCTCGTTGTGAAGCACCTAATTACCCCTCTCAATACTCTACCTCAGGAGGTGCGGACAAGGACTCTGTCCGAAGATATCACCTTGGATTTCATCAAGGCATACATATCTCTTATCCATGTCCTGGCAAGAATACTAGCCGGTCGTCAAGTACGATGGAATCGAGATGCTCTCCTTTCACAGGGGATGAAGATTGGCGCGGCCACTGCAGGTGGAAGAAGTGGCGGGCTAAAACTGGCCGGAGTGGATCGAGGCGAGAAAGAGAGGGAAGATAGTGCTGTTGTCGATGTCCTTGACGCATGGAAGGGTATTGTGGGGCGGCTCCGAGGGCTCGTGTCAAAGACAAAAAGCTCAAGTGCAAACGGGCAAGGTCTCGCTGCTGTGCCTAATATCAAGGAGAATATGACCGTCAAGTCGCTAAAGCAAGAGGAGGGTGGGATTCCTTCAAGCGGCCAATGTGCCCTGTGTGGTTTGAAGAGGAACGAGAGAGTCATGGGAGTGGATAACGATGTTGTTGATGCCTTTGGAGAGTGGTGGGTGGAAGACGTCAAGATGCATGCAGGTAAGAATAATATGCTAGAGACAGAGAAGAATTAGGCTGATCAACAGTTTTAGATTGTAGGACTTTCTGGGAATCTCATCGAGACCAGCTAAAACAGCGGTAATACGATCAGATCTTACGGTCGTAGACCATATCATTCTAGGAATACGAGCTATTCACAAAGACTTCTACGGGTACCTCGAGATGAACCAACCTGGAACTATTGGCACGTGGAATGATCTCACAGGGCTGGGTGCGTGTGGGTTTATACTTGATTATCAACCGCGGTCTACACTAGGTTTCGCTCCGTCTACTCTTCCTGCATCTTCACCAAGACCTTTCTTCGGCTCGGGTCCGTATCCACCACAGGAAATATTCGACGACTATTTACTTATACAGCGAGTTGCGCTCGTTCATCATGATACCTTAGTATGCGGTTGTGAAGCCTGACACATTGGACTGGAAAACGTTTGATAAAGGTGTGGAGAGCTTATTGCCCCCAATCAACTAGACTGCTTTCAAGGAGTTCACTATTCACGCCAAGGAGAAACACACCAAGAATGATGGTCAAACCACTTGCGAGCTCTCTACCAAGTACAGTATGGGTGGATTATATATCGTCCGGCGGCTCGATTTCGACGACGGTACCAGTTGGATAGCACGGCTTCAACACAAGCAACCTACCAGAGAGTTTCTTCAGCGTCTGATACACGAAATCCATGCAATCGAGGTCCTTCGAGGACGATCAAAGATTCCGGTCTCAGAGATATTTGCGTATGAGGCTAGCAACAATGTCGCCGGTGTGGCATTTATGATCATGGAATTCATTCCGGCCGACACCGCCATAGATTCATTCGGCAGTTATTTTGTACATAGAGGCAAAACGCCTCCGCAGTTCAAGGACAAATTTTATTGTGCAATGGCTGGAATTAAAGTAAGGTATCAAACTAATACGTCACAGGTTGAGCTGACTGTGCGGTTTCCAAAGATTGGAAATATCATCAAACTCCCCGATGGAACCTATTCTACAGGACCGATTCCTGGCATTGGCGACCCAATCGACACGGCTGCTGATTTTTTCCTAGTCTGGGCAGAACAAGCGAAGCTCCCCCCTTCAACGAAAACACCATTCGTGCAAGAACGCCCCCAGAACTTGTAGACGAGGTGCTATTATCCATTAAGGAGTTCCCATCACGACTTCCGAGCTCCTCCCGACAATGTTCCTTTCAAGAAGGCCCGTTCTCCGTGTTCCATACGGATCGCTACAAAAGCAACGACATTGTAGACTGCCAGTATAACATTCTGAGCGTCATTGACTGAGAAAACGCGATTACTGCTCCGTGGGAAGCGGTCGAGATCACCAAGGACCTGACTATCGTGCCGCCTGCAATTGAAGGACCGTTTTATCGAGAGACAGTGGGATCGAGAGATATTGACCGACCGAAAAATAAATATGTTGAAGTCATTCAGGAGATGGAGAATACAGGCAACTAGATTGCAAACTGTCAACGACCCTTGGGGACCGGAACACTGAGAACTTGGCTCAGGCGATATGGCTCTATCCCGATGGCAGGATTAGCCTCTACACCAAATTATTGGAAATGTTTCAACTCGAACGGGCTATCGATTGAATACAGAGCCTTCGAGGCGTTTAGCTTATTGGTCATACCAGTATCTGGGTGCTGGACTGATGCTATCAGTGACTGGGACCGAAGACTGCAAAAAGGGATGAACGATAATTATGCGGGATTCTAACATGGAATACCTTCCAGGTATCTGATCTCTGATTGAGGGCGGAGGACAATGCATTACTGCGTTAACACTAATTGCAGTTAAACGACATCGCTGTCATAATGCACTTTAAGCGGAAACGATTCTAGACCAAGACGCAATGCTTTCATCAACTACCTATAACTATACACATCTCGACGCCGCCATGCCCGAACCGAATTTTCCAATTCCGCGACGCTCCAAGAGCGGGCTCGAAACTGGGCCAGTTAGGACCCGCAGGCACGCCTCCCGATACTCCTGCTTGGAAAAGGTCTTGCTGACCGAGGGGGGTAATGATGACGCCGATACAGCAATGCAAGCCAAACAGTCAAGTATATACCTAACCAAGAGCAAAGAAAAATCAAAGACAAGAACGGGAGTATATTGACAGTCTCATATTATCGTCACATGTGCGGAGATTCAGACACGATGGGCGGATATGTCTGTGGAGAGGTTAGTCTTGTGGATAGGAATAATAAGAGCATTCAGGCAGAACACACCTAAAGACGGGAGCCATGGACGACCTTGTAATCAACGGCGAGCTCGCGACCATTGTCGTTGATGACCAAGACACGGAGGCTGCCACGGCCATTATCGAACGCGTCAGCCAGACGGTTGTACAGATCGCTCTGGTCAAGCACCGGCAGACCCTGCTTGATGTCACCGCCCTCGGTCATGGCGACGACGCGGCCATCCTCACGGATGTCAAGGACACGGTACTGCTTGAACACCGGGCCATACATGTTCTGCACGACCACGGATGGGCCCGGGTTGCTGATGAAGGACGACTCCTCATGAAGCTGCTTGGTGAACAGATCGACACCGAGGTAACGGTGCTGTCCAGTCTGGCTGGACGTGGTGATCCGGATCACCTGGCACGGGCGACCCTGCAGGATCAGCAGGTCGCCGATGCGGATGTGGTGGCATGGGATGGAGATGGCGTTAGACGGCATCCTTGCTGGCGGTGCGTAGGCGGTGGGACGCGGTGCGAAGTCGGCTCCGGAGACAGATGCGGAGGAGGGGCTAGGGCCGTCGAAGGAGTCTCGTTCACGGTCACGGACAACGACGCGCTCGCGTTTTTCTTCGTGGCCGTGGCGGTGGTGATGGTCGTGGTGGTGTTCAAAGGGATGGAGGACTCGATCCGCAGCTCGGTGCAATCCGCGGCGGAAGGAGTGGTACTGGCCTTCGTCGTCGTAGTATCCCATGTCAAGACGGTGCTGACGAGGAGCGTCGACGGTGGACCGAGACGAGTAGCGAACTTCTTCGCGGTTCGACTCGGGGTAGGGTGCTGCGGCGGTAGCAGCGGCTCCGGCTCCGTAAGAAGCTCCGAAACGGTTCTCGGCGTTGTCGTGCTCGTGAGGACGAGTACGTTCGCGGTACTGTTGCTCGGTGACGTCGAGCTGGGATTCGGCGGCGTGGGTGGCTGGACCGTGGACTACTTGGAAGTCGCGGTCGTAGGTGCGGTCCTGGACGTCGATCTGGGCGTTGACGTAGCGTTGATAGGGTCGATTGTATCTGTCCAGCAGAAAAGATGATGTTAGAACAGAAGAATAAGATTGTTGGGAGAAGAAATCAAGAGCATAGTGCGGTTGCTTGGACAACAAACAGCCACCTCACACCGAGCTAGGACCAAAGTGATCCCGAGGTCCCCACAATAGGGGTTGATGACAGACATAGCGAATCGTAAACAAACGGCCAATTTCGTTGAAAACGACCCGAGTCAGAAACAGGTGAGAAACACGCGTCAAATACGTACCGTTTAACGTTCTCAAACTCCTCACGCGGACGGAAGTCGGCTCTCTCTTCGTGGATACGAACGTCTTCCCTGAATCTTTGGTCCCGAGGGTCCTTGGAGGCAGCGAAGGAAGTTGTATATCGCGCTTCGTGACCTTCCCGTCCTACGCGCTGAGACTCAGTCGAAGAGAGCTTGACCTCGCCTTCAACTTTGACTTGCTCTGATTGTTTGGTGGCAGCGTCGCTCCGGTATGAGGACGGGAAGACACTGAAGGGGATCGGGACGCGAGCGTCAAAGTCCAGGTTGGCGGAGTCGCGGTCGCTCTTTCTTGTAGACCTCTCGAACTGAACCTTCGGTGCAATTCGAAAGGAAGACAAGAAAGAACTTCTTGGCTCCTTTGGAAAAGGTGAGGTGGGAAATGGGGGTTTGGGGGGTTAACTCGGTTGAGTCAATCCAGAGTTGGGAGAAGTAGTTGGGCTTGATGTATTATTCAAATATGAACTGAGATGCAGTAACGTAAATACAATCCGTACAATTGGAGGAAGTGAGAATAAGTAGTTCAGTAATGTGTAAGAAGAAGAGGGAGGAGTGGAGTGAGCGAGTAGAAGAGGTGCAGGAAAAGGCGTGAGAAGGCTGGAGATTAAAGACGGGGCCAGAAACCATTTGTTTTGTTTACGCGACTGTTGCCATGCATCGATCTGGCGCTATACCGTGTTGGGATAGGTCATTGGCCCCTGCCCCATGAAACCCAATGCATGTGATGATATGAGACGAGGTGAGAGAATAGACGCGACGACTCTCTCCCGAGTCCCGACCTCCTCCGTCTTCCTCCCTGGCTCCCTCACTCTCCCTCTCTTCCATCGTTTTCGTCTCTCGGCAATTGCCATGGTGATAGAAACGAGCTATTATTATTCTTCTGCTCGTGTTCATGTTGTGTCTTCCGATTTCCGTCTCTTCCAAATTTCGAAACTGACGACGCTCCACCGCTGCCTCGAGCTCCACTCACCACGGCATAACACCTCGTGGTGTCTGTCGATTGGATGCGGCGTACTCACTCTGTTCCAGATATTTGACGTGTTCAGCGCTGGTCGTCATATCTTGCACCAAGTAGAACCATTTCCCAGCCACCGGAACTGTTGATCTGCAATTCTGTTGGGTTGCATGCATCGCTTTGCAGCTTTCTATGCTGGTGAGGCGGGCGAGGTTGGCGAGGTGCTTGAAGAGGGCAGAAAATCCTTGAACTGTTGAGACCTCTCCTTAGATGCATTTATCTTGCAGCTCGCTTGACTGTTCCATTCAGCGGCTCCTATTATTAATTATTATTAAGTCCGCAGGAGGTTGATTCCCAGATAGAGAGAGGTGTCGTTTGTCTCCTCTAGCATCTACTATGCCAGGAGATCTCGGCTGTCCATGGTGTGTATCTCCTAGAAGCTGCCATGGATCCAATGATGATGATTCTGTCAGGAATATCAATACGGAATGGTATTATTCCAGCCTAGTATCAGACCTACCAAAAAGTTTGGCCTCTTATTTTTTATTGAATCAAGCCTATTCTGCGCAATGTCTACTTAGAAACGCCTCCTTTTTTTGTGCTTTGTTAGTTTGAAAGAAAAAACCACCATTCTCACACGAATATTTCTATGGATCAAATTCCAAATGCTATCAAATATCGTACTCGAGAGCGGTTCGAGTTCCTGTCAACTCGTATTCATCTCCTATCCAATTTTGTATCCAAGGTCGATCATCTAGAATACCTCTAACAGTATCCCCTCTCTTCCCGACCACGGTGTGCAACAACGTTGCCACTTGTCCAGGCGAAGAGGAGAGCTGTAACTGGAAGGGAGTCCCTAGGTCAGACAGTTACCAAGAGTGGTTAAACCCGTGAATTCTAATGGATTAGATATCTATCATGCCTGTCTCAGGTCACTGAATGTCTCTAAATGCCTTAGCATCCTTCGATCTATTCCCCTTCCCCCTTCAATATGTGATACTCTGACGTGAACCCCTGGCAAGGACATCAGCCAATGTGAATATCAGTACCATATCTATCTAGCCAACAGCGATCCTGACGGGTAGAAATTGACTACTTGCCTATCCAAACATTGGCGAAGCGCTGATGATATCCTCAAAACCGACCTTGATATCACCTGGTCAAGGTAAGGCGTAGACCACCTGGCAGACATTGGCCCCAGACTATTACCATGAGGTGAATACCTAAATGGAACCAGTATTCTCATGCAGTATATACCTACTAATTGGAGATTTCATATCAAGGATCCGATGATAAAGTCACCATCAGACCGCGGTTGAAGGAGTGAGTGCTCCTCCCTATGACTGACGGACCTGCGGTGGCCCAGGTTCAATCCCTGATGGGGGTCACTATTTTTGTCTTTTTAGTTCTCATTTCTTTGATTCCAATGTTTTGATTTCATCCACGTCATACATATCTTGCACTTATTAGAAATATGACGGATCACTCCTATATTAACAATTGGACTCTGCCAGCTCCCCAACCCCAATTTAAATCCAATCCTATATTAATCCTTCATTGATTGCATTAACTATTCCGAGGGGAGTCATTTCCAAACTTGGGGGCCTGGCAAGTCTGGGTCAATGAGCCACCGCATGTTTCGTCAATATTGACGGCGGTGGGTGAGACGACTGGCATGAATTAGGTGCTGCCAGCACCGAGCGTCCGGTACCAGTTCTCCTGAGGGTCACCAAGACATTCTCCAACGGTCACAAGTTTCCAGCCAGCCTCCACCGCCCCCTTGATGATGTGCTCGGTGAGGGTATGCGCGACCTGCTCGTGGATATCGTGTTCGATGTTCAACCAGGCTCCATCCGCCGGGCTCCTCTGCGGCAGTTGCTGGTCGAAGATCGCCTTGGATTCTCCGATGGTCTCCGGAGTGGTGTGGAGATAGCCCTCGGTGTCGAAATCGAAGTAGATAACGTGGTAACCGAGATCACTCATGGTGGCGGCGCAGCCGGAGGCGTCGTCGCAGTCGGAGTAGGGAGGTCGCATGTAGGTGGGGAAGAAGCCGAGGATGTTGTTGAAGGCGATTTCATTGTTGTACATCTGAGCCAGCCGCTGCTCGGTGGTGAGCGGGTCCTGGCCTTGAGCGGCGGCGCCAGATCCGAGAGCTTGATGGCCCCAGGTGTGAGAAGCGATTTGGTGGCCAGAACTATGCATGCGCTGGATTATCGAAGCCCATGGGAGGCCTGCTTGATCGATCGGGCCTTTCGAGATGCTGTTGCCGGTCATGAAGAACTAAAAAATGTGTCAGCCTAGTTTCGGGCCCCTTCTGCAGCCGAAATACTCACAGTAGCCTTCACGTTGTACCGATCAAGGATATCGAGGACATCCCCGGTAAAGTGATATGGCCCGTCGTCGAAGGTGAGCGCAAAGGTTCCCGGGACCGTGCATGCGTAAATGCCTTCACCGCCGTATGGGATAGAACCGACGTGGGTACGTTCAACATCGGACGTCTTAGGTCCACCAGGAACAACAAGAGTATCGCAGCCAGAGCCCCAATTGAATTGGCAGCCAGGAGCGGCGCAGTACTCTTCAGTGTTTCCGCACCATCCCTATTCACGGTCAGTAAGAAACAACAAGTTCCTCCTATATCGTTCTACTCACAGCTCCAGAGCAACAGTACCCATCTGCACACGCGCCGAATTCCCCACCGCATTGGCCGTCGGTGTTTCCAGATTGACGCTTCTCGCTCTGTGCAGACCCGGCGTATGTATTGGCCGCACGTTTGTCGATAGCATTCTTTTCCGAGCTCTGCGGATGAAGTTTGAATCCTTCTCGAGAATCGACATTCTTCACTGCCCTCCGACCCCAGAGTGTCGGCACTCCTGGGACTGGATTTGGGTGCGCAGAAACGAAGGCTGGCAGCGCCGCCAGGGACGCAATAAATACAGAACCTTTCATACCGGAGAACATGATTGGACTGTATTTGTTGGAATATTAGATAGAAATGATACTGTAGTATATAACGATAGACTCAGCAACCAAAATATGGGCAATTGCTGACGAAAATGCGCAGTCGCAATATAGAAAACGAATAACTACTGCCCGAGAGAGGAAAGGATTGCAGGACTCGAATCCATATTAAAGAGAACGGTGCAGACCTGGAAGAGTTCCAAAAAGGATATGTGACATCCTGCACTGTGGTACGGTACGGATACCCCACAAGTTGTTGAAAAGCTAATTCATACCAGACTCCGACAAACCCGAGCCAAACGTCGATCATCGAAGATCGCACTCTTCTAGTACGGATATCAAGGAATAAAACCTGATCAAGGCTGACAAAGGCATTACGTCTCTCCAATGACACCACGGCGTGCATTCTAGTCCCCATAGTTCTACCTGAACCCTCCAAAAATAATCTTGTTCCATAGGGGCACGTCCGTCAATGAGACAGCAATGCATGTAGCGAAACGTGACGGTGGAGAGCGGGATGCGCCACCCGGCCTTCTTGTTAGTTCCGATTAAGGGGCTGCTAGCCTGAGAGTGGTCGGGCTCGATTTGCCGATGCGGAGTGATATTTTCTGGGATGAATGATGATCTGTGGTTGGGGGAAAGATCAACCATAAATTGAACGACGTACTGTTAAGTGGTAACAGGTAAGTTAAGGGAGAGCACTGGGATTATTGAGCCATAGGAGATATTTCACATCTCACACAGCCCGAAGTCAGACATAAATGGCGGGACGAAGATCGGCTGATGGGTGAGTTGGCGCTTGGCACCGGGAACACTTCAATCTTGTATTGGAAAGAGTTTTCTCTGCTTCGATGTTTCATCCACCTCTCCGACTGTCTATTCAATATTCACAGAGTACTGGTACGTGTATTAATGGTATTAATGATCATAGACGACGGGAGGTATTATTATTGTCATGCATTGTTTCATTACGGTTGTTTACGGTTTCTCCGCAGTCGCCTTCGCTCGTACATGTGTTTCAGACAAAACACCGAAGCAACCAGACTGTTGGACAGCGCGAGACCGAACAGGAGTAACATGGAACTAGCATGAATTCGGGTGGTTGGTGAGCTGCATCGGAATAATATCCCAATCAAGATTCTTCCACGAAGCTGTCGTGAGTTATGTGACTTAGAACCGTATTGCAACCATCTGCAGTGATCAAAACATCCTGGCCGCCTCCTCCCCAAACTGCCCCTGTCCCAAATCCACATTGTCCAACCACTCTAGAAAATCCACATCCGCATCGAACCCAATCGGGACGTTCCAGTCCATTCGCTCAAACGTGGGCGCTGCCAGAATCTCCGGCGCATCCAACGTCGTCTGCGAGGTGGCGGTATTCGACGACGTTGCTTCTCGCGCTGGCGGCGTCAAGACGGTGTCCAGAACGCGCTTCAAGAATCGCCGCCCTTGCTGGAGAATCTCGTAGTGCCCGTCACTCTGGTCAATTGAGCCCAGGCATGAGACGAAGACGCTGAGGCCTTGGACCGTTTCGGAGCGGGAGAGCACGCGAACGCGGTCGGGTGGGGATTGCTCTTGCTTAAGCAGCTCGACGGCGAGGATTGCGGCGCTATGGAGGCCATGGGCGGCCATCTTCAAGACTATTAGGACGAAAGGCCTGTCGTTGGCGAAAACGGTGAGAGAGGGACTTACAAAATAGGAGATTTCGGCCTGCAGGTCCCGCATGAGATCCCGCCGCATTACGATGGTCAATGTATCGCTCAACGCCCGTTTCGCGATTTGCACGAGTTTCTCCGTCCCAGCGCCGGCGCGTTTGATCAAGACGCGCTCCAGGATCAGTTCAGTGGACATGTAGTTCAGCCGCGTGCTCGCCAACCGGAGCGAGTCTAATGGCGGCAATCGCTGGCCAAACGCGGTATCGAAATCGACTCGAAGATGCTTCGGTAGCTTTAGATATTTCTCACCGATGAGCCTCGAAATCTCTCCCGCGCGTTTTTCGAGGTCACCAGAGTCGACACCTAGCGCGAGCTCCAAGATATCTTCTCTGATCATGGACACGTAGAGGTATGTCCGAGCCCATGTGCCTCTATTAATTATCCCCGACGTATTCCACCCCTCGGAATCCAAGGATGCCAGCGCCTGACGAAGCTCTTCGCCTTCGGAGACCAGGTCGTGGTCACTTAAATCGAGAGGCACCTGAAGCATGCAGTACCGTTTGATAAGCCGCGGGGGACGGCCGAAGAAGGTAGAGAGTGCCTTGTCGGAAGAATATGAGGCGACAAAAGTGCGCTTTCGTAGCTCTACAAGGAAAAAAGGAATATCTTTATCCGGCTCTAACTTTTGGTGCAAACCCAAGGCTATAGCCGTGTTGAAGGTTTCGCCGGACCTGTTCCATACGGAATTTGCTGTAGATATTGTCAGCGGAGTCCAGATGTCTGTATCGAAGATGTACAGAAGCTTTCGTCAAGGTGTATGAAAGACTGGAGCGTGATGAAGGCTGTGTCCAACCCTCTATTCCGAACGCCAGAATAATGTCCTCGTAAACGAGCTCGGTAGCGAATTTAGCGCGAATGAATCGTCCTAGACGAACGCCGTTCCTTGTTTTACGAGCGGGAACACATGCATACTTAAGCCGCACAGTACATGATCCCGAACTCCGAGGCCATTGTCCATCGATTGAAAACCCACTTACAAGCGTTACCAGTCACCATAGTCTGGAGTATGCAGCTCTCGTACAAAAGCCACAGATAAAGATCATTCAAACTGTCGGCTGTCCTGCAAAACATCAAGCAAGCGTCCGAATTCGCGCTCATCTTACGAGTCAGCTTCACTTTACTGATTTGCGATCCGTCTTCGTTCGTGAAGATCGGATCCCATTCCGTAAGCATCGACGAAAGCAACCCGACGGTGGTGAGTAGCAGTGCGACCGATTCCCATCGCAGTCCCTCTCCCGTTGACAATCCAATCCATTGCCGTGCAGAGAATGAGCCGTCAAACTTCAGCGGTTGCTGGGTATTGTTCCAGATCTTCTGGGAAAGGGCTTGTAGCTTCGCCGGGTCTTGATCCCGTAAATCCATCCCGTATGTCGCCCATAAGCCTTCCGCCAATTGTTTAATCACCGGCTCGATAACAACGATGCCTTGACAAATCGCGAACCATCTCTTGCTGAATCTGTCAAATAATGCTCGGTCTTTGAATAGCTTGAGCACGTCGACTCCCTGTTGGATCTGGTAGTCCAAGACGGGCGCAGGACTCGATCGCCGTTCATGCCTCAGGTCTTCGCCTTCCGGATCTCGCTCGATACCGAGCGTCCCCTGATTCTCCTCAAACACAGACGAGTAGGATGTCGAGCCCATATATCCTAAGATATTCCGTGGGGCTGAAACGCCTTCAAACGCCATGGACGCGGACGGTGGAAGATCCCCGGTAGGTCTAGTGGCATTCACAGGCGTCTCCTGTCTATCCGTATCTCTTTGACTGCTTCCAGCAGCGGGAGTATCCCGGGGCGTTAGGACTTGATCTACCAGCACAACCGACGAGCCCGTCACTGAAGCCGTAGCGACCGATGATGAGCTGTTCTGACGCGTAGTGCGTGTCATCGGAGCCGCTGCGTACACGCACAACGTAGACCGATTGCGTCGTTCGCAACGGGTGCAGACGGGCATCATATGGTCGCATCGCAGCTTGGATTTGCGGCATGGTTCGCAAGACTGGAGCTGTCCATTGCGGCGCTTCTTGGTGTTCACACGCGGCCCGTCAGTTGGGGGCGCCTTGCGCTTCTGGAGGAAGGATAGGCGCGACATGTCGGAGGCAGGTGATACGTCTATTGATGATGCAGCGTTTAGTGCGGCAAGGCTGACGATGCTTGATCCCAGATCGGGTTGATACTCGATAGGAGGTATTAATCCAAGGGTGATGAGGCTCTTTCGCTGCCTAAGCTGCGATGGAGATGACGCCTAAGGCACGCGTGGCAGGTGTCGTCAAATCCCGATGCCGGAAGCGACACTTGGTCACCGTACGCGACCAGCAATCCTCGGAGTTCAGTAATGAGATGGGACACACCCACGGGCCGCAAAAATGAACTTAGACAGCTGTATTCTTTCCTTCATTTGACAAGGACGGGAGGCGACGAAAGAAGAAGGTGACAAATCAAAAACTTGGTACATTGGTGCCTCGAAATCTTGGATTTTGCGTCAGCACCTGAGGTTGTTAACAGAGTTTAGCAACAATTAGCAAAACATCACTATCCGCGCCGCATCAGTGATTGGGCTAACGTCGCAAGACGATGACGATGACAATAAGGCGATAGACTTTCGAGCGAGTTTCTTGAAGGACGCCAATATCATTCTCGACCAAGCGAGATGAGATGTAACTCTCATGTACGATCGGATATCGTCCGAAATGAGCTCCGAAGCCGAGCTCCGAATCTGCCCGTGAGCTAATTGGGTAGCGTTCCCTCCATCGCAGCAGCACATTAAGATCCGATATATCTCAATGACAGTGCGGATGATTAAAATAATAGCGACTCGATACACCAAAGTTTGGGAAATATGCAAGCCGGTAACTTTTCCATCCCAATGACGATGTGGCGCCTTGGAAGCGCTGATAAATCAAACTTCGGACTCGGTAAGGAATGAAATATACGGGAACGGTATACTCGGAGTGGAATACCGTACCATTTGCGATGTCCCAAGTCGGCCACCTCCAGCAAGAAATTGACGACGGCCGGATATCGGTGACTCACCAATTGGGAATTCTACTCTCCCTGAATCCGATCAGCAATTTTTTATCTCAAAAATCGAGTGGTGATAACTAGTATCTTGAGGCCGCAGTATTACGCGTACCTGGCTAGAATATCCAACGTCGAACTGATTAGGCATAGTCTTTCCACTGAATTTCCCTAGTGGTCAGTTATCATACAGGGGTGGTAGGGCGACGCCCTAGGGCGTCGAATTGACAAGGCTTCATGCTGATGCAAGCGATGGCGTTGCTATTTGACAAATACGGAGTTGGAAACGTCGTAATGCGCCAATTGACATACGTTCTAGTAGGATAGGAGTTAGCAGAAAAGCACATGCTTACACATTCCGGAGCTATCGTTCGGAGGACAATTAGGTGGCCTAGTTGAAGTCTTGCAAAGGGAGAGTGAAGTATATAAGACCAGTGAAATCTCCCTTTCAATGGATTCAAGGTCCTCCAGCAAGCAACCGCAAGAACATTATACCAACCCACTTCGCATCCTTAACAACAAGTCCAAGTTATATTCCATAAAACCAACCAGTGTCCCACACAAAGAGGCCCTTTTCACCATGTCTTCCAACACATACACCTCCAACAACACCCAGTCCTTCGACAGCAAGTCCTTCGACAGCAAATCGGTGGTGTCCTCCGCCAGCTCAACCACAAGCAAAGACACCCTCCTCCCCCTATACAAGAAGGAGGCCACGAAGGAACCAAACAAGCCATCCAAGGAGGAGCAGCAGCGAGAACTCATGAGATGTATGTTCTGCATGCTGGTACGATGAACCCGACTGACTTGATGTAGCTGCCATGAAAAACTCAATGAAATTTGCCTAGAGATCTCGGACGCAGGATGGTATCTGCGGATTTCTCTGCGGGAGTAATGATTGGCGAAAATGCAACGGACTCGGCGATACGGCGTTTCGGAACGGTGAAAGGATTAGATGGGAAACACACTCGCTCTAAGACAATGATGAGCATGCTCGCGAATTGACAGACGTAATGAAAAAAAACATATTTTTCATAAAAGACCGTCAGCCATGCGTCCCCCCCCGTCACTGCCTCCCGACTCGGCTGCTACAAATGCCCCCGACTCCTTTCGAACTCAGTCAGCTCAACCCTCACCTATTTACCTTTCCGCCCATCTTGTCGTACCAGATGATACGGCCCGGTATGCCCACCCACCGGCGACTCGGGCAGGCTCGAAAACGATATACCAAACGTCTTGGTAACAGAAGCCTGCCCGTCCAAGCCTTCCCAATCATTATGAATTACTCTATCTATGGCAGCGCGTTGCAATTACAACACGAAACCATCGTTCCATTCCCGCTCTTTGTGACGGAGTTTATACCCTAGAGCCGACCGGCTCCGCACCCAAAACACAGCGTCTTCGATGAACATGTGCAGCAGGATGATGACGGTACCGGTAATGACAATAGTGAGGAGTCCAAGCATGCTGAAGTTCGTGTGCACGGCGCTGCGCCCCTTGATTTGGCGACACAGCCGTCTCATCTTTTCCGTTTTCGGTTTCCGGAGGAATTCGAGCACCCTCTTACCTGGGCGGACGGTGATGTGCGACGACGCGGCGTATTCCACAACTTCGCACTGTAGAATGGCTAGGCCAGGTTATGCAGGTTTTCCATCTCTTGCTGCCACTGGTCGGGGCATACGGGAGAGGAGACGAGGCGGCCTGGGTCTCGGACGAATTGTTGCGCAAGGAGCATTTCGTCTGCAAGGAGGATGGGTCACGATCTTGCACGTCAATGCAGCTTGCCATACGCGTTAGTACACTGCCTGCTGGGAAATATCGAGTCCAAGTCCGGTGCTGTTCTGGGGATCGAAGGTGAAGAATCCAGACAAGGGAGTGCACTTTGCGCCGTGGCAAAATTGGCATCGCCCCGTGCATCCGAGAACAGACATGATGCGGTCGGAGTACCAGCCATTCGTGTTTGGAGTGCGGATATAGAGTCCGCGGATATCGACCATGGAAGAAGCCCAGTATCACGAACCTGTAACCTTTTCCGTATAGATCGCTAGGTTCGATAAGACAAATGTCGTAGCTGCATCAGACAGTTCAGATTCCGACTCTGGTTTAAGGAAATTCACCATCCCTAGGGGTCCTGCGAATGCGCCGAAGTACCTACAGAGTTGTCAGAGAAGCGTTCAGCTGGGAGGAAGCAGCCTATATGGCTCTCACCAGGTCTAGCTGCTGGTCAACAGACATCACCGAACTTGTAGTCACCTTTTTCGGTTTGATACGTTGCGAGCTGGGATAGTTTATGCCAATATGGGTGCTTGAATCAATGAAACCCGAGTCCAGGTCGATGGCTTCCCCTTCACACGTTGCCTCATGAAAAGGGCAGGTTGGTGCCCGATTGATTCGAGAGTCGATCCGCTGCTGTACGAACGTCTGACAAGGCGAAGGAGTCGTCGACGTGTCTTTGGCATAGCAGTCTGCCGGATATGCAAGCGCAGCTTCCGTCAATCTCGTGGCGGCGAGGGACATTACACTGCGAATGTCTTTCATGGTCTGCTCGGATGGATATCAGCGCCCCAGTTGATCGATATGCTACCGCAGTTGCTTTCTCGGATCAGGACTTGGTTTCCAGTCACAGGCGAGTCACACTTCCGTCTTCTCAATAACACACCCAAACCAGACATGAAAGGACGAAAACGACATCAGACTTGGAGAACTAGGAAACACGATACCCACAACCACTTCCGTGGGATGGACAAGACCATATTGTCTGAAGAACCTACCAGTCCGTTCTAGGTTCGGGTCCATCCCCGGCATGCAAGATCCAAGAGGACCAGTCGCGTTCATCATCGCAGGATTATGTTCGAAGAGGTATCGCCTCAACCGAACGGACCCGAAGGTCTTGCATGTGACCGAAGCCAATTGCAGAGCCTTCTCACAGCCTTCCAGAAGAACAGCTGAATGTTGCGCGGCTTGACCGTTGGAGCCGAGAGGTTCCGGGTCATTGTGACTGGATAGCACGACTCCTCGAGGCCGACATCATATGCAGTATGCATTCCGACATCGATATGGATTTGGACCTGGAAGTCTTGCACTATCCCGATTAAGAAAATGTGAAACTCTAACCATAGATGAACGATCAACGAAACACGTGGAGAACTGGAGATGTATATCGGTACAGTAGGTCATGATAGGTATGGGGGGATGCGAAGCAGCAGTCTCATCGAACTCATTATTGAAGCCACACCATGACCGAATGTGCCTTCGGAGATGACGGGATGTCGCCCAAGTCCAAATATTGCGTGAATCTCGACTTTTTGATACTGAATAAGTACCTACAGTATATAGAGAGAGAAAATAGGATGCTCGAAGTCAATCTTATGGGGGCCAAAGTATCAATGGTTGTTCTGTATGATTCGAGTCATGAAGGAATTCTTGGTGGAGATTTGCTGGGATCCATCGAAATGGCGATCACCAACTTCTCTCACATTGACAAAGCCATTGATATCCTCAATCTCTCTCGCCTCTATTATGGCAACCCTTTTGCCTCTTCTGTTCCTCGTTCGCTCGGCTTCACCATATTACCTTTTAATCCATTTCTTGTATACGCGTGTGCGCTGCCATTCATTTCCAATCCATTGATTGATTGATTCCCTTCATTCGTTCGTCGACGATGACATCAGCCGGCCCATAGTCGTTGCGCGACTTGCAACTCCATCTTTGGTTCCTATCTCCAGCTGAAACCAAGAGGTTGACGATCGCAAACCATCGTGAAGATGTCGCTGTTCCACCGAAAACGTGCCTCCAGCCACTCCGTATGTCCACCAGTGAATTATACTTCAATGCTAGATCACGGGCAGCTAACGTATCCGTTGAAGGTTCCGAGTGCGCCACCATCTGCAGATGCAGTAACCGCTGCATCGCAGGTTTTCATGAGGAGCCGGAACTCAAGCACATCATTATCTTCCGCCGCCGCCGCAACTGCGCTTCGAACCCACGTCACGCCGCCGACAGACGTTGCGAGTGTCCAAACGAAACGAATCCTGCGACGCGACTCGACATCTTCGGCTGGGAGCAGTGGGAGCGGCGGACGGGCACCGTTCTCAGCGGGACTGCAGAGGCAGAATAGCACTGGGTCGATGACTGAGAGGACATTCCGGGGCCAGTCACCGAACCGGAGCCCCAGCGTACATATGGATGCGCCTCCCCCAGTTCCTCCGTTGCCCAAGCAGGTGGAGAAAGACGGCACACTTCACCGACGAGCATCGAGTGCGCAATCCCCAACGCGAGTATTATCATCTCCAACGCGGCCCAGCGGCCGTGGTTCCAGCATGGATAGAGGAAGTCGTACGGCGCAGAACTTTCGACACCCTCGCGTGTCGAGCCTATCTCAGGTACCGGAGCTAGAGCGCGAGGGAAGCCAACGATCGATAAACTTCTCTCGGCCAATATCACCACCGAGCAGTCCTCCCGCCGCACAGTATCGAACAGGACAAGGAGGATGGTTTACAGCGCCTGTCATCACCGACTTGAAGCCTAGGGAGACGCCATCCGTCAAACCTGATCCTACTGGCTCTCCAGTTACGGGGTTGATGGTTTCTAGACACGCCCCAGCAGAGACATCGGAACGACTAGTCTATAAAAGGCCCCAGCAGAGACTGGCACAAGCGCAGCAAGGCACGAAACATACGGCTGGCACTATGAGAACTAAACCGAGCGGGACTGCGGTACATCATTCAATCGAGCCAGCCGAACCACTTTCACCAGAGCCTACACCTGTCTTGGTTGAGCCGCCTGAAGAGCCACCCCATGTTGAATATATTACACCGTCCCCAGAACGGCAGTCTCAGCAGCAACCGATGAAGCCGGTTGAACTCCGTCCACAGCCCGAAGAACACCTGCCTCTAGTGGCGGCAGTCAATGATAATCTTCGTACGAAACAGGTGTCGCCTAGGACATTACCACCTTTGGTAGTTGATGGAAGCAGGCCTCGGCCACAACCCGCGTCTTTAGATCCAGAAAGCGCCGAATCCACATCCTCCCATAGTTCCCGAGCAGCATCGCTAAGCCCACCGCGGCAAGCTCATTTCGCGACCAATACTCTTACACCGACCCGGCACCAACCTCTACCACGTTCCGCATCGCCCGCGAAATCCGCCCTCAAACGCTCCCCTTCTCGCGCAGTGTCACCCGAGGACACCATGCACACCGCAACAGCCGCCCCGGGCGACTCTCCAGAAGCTCAACCCGACTCTCCGAGGAGACGAAAAGGGGCCCGTGTCAGCTTTGACCAAGAAGCTGTCGTCTTCGTCCCCGATGTTGAGTCGGAGCGCCGGAGCAGCCCGCTCGCCTCCTCACCGATCGACAATGACGATTTCGACCACGAGTTCATGAAGCCTCGCCCTGCGTTGCCATCCTTTGGAAGCATCCGCGGAAGGCGGAATCGCGATTTGGAGTCCGACCCGGCCGAAAAGGTCACGGAGACGGTGTCATCGTCGATGAATAATTCCATTGGATCTCTAGACTCTTCAAATGATCATGCTGTTGCGGGGATCATCGCGCGAGATTTTGCGTCCAGAAAACAGCCTGCCGTTCGACAAGAGTCTGAGGCTCCTAGGAAAGCCATTGATCCGAACGTGCCGTTAGCCCCCGAGGTCACATCTGTCGAGGGGACTGGCTACGAATCCGACACTAGCACTTCTGGAAGTGACCTAGATGTGGTAACGGAGTCAATGAAAGCCCTCACCCTGACGAAAGGTGAGGAGCAGCCAGTGGTAGAAATTGTGCCTCTGCCGTCCATCCCTGAGGCCGATTCGGCGGGGCAGCCGACCACACCGGAGCCCTCAAATGCAGTCCCCATTATCGCTATATCACCAGCCACCCCCAAACCTGAAAAACAAGCTAAATCAAAGGAACGGTATTTTATGCCCGGCGAGTTTCCTGCGTCGGTCTCGGAACTCGACCTCTCCGCCAAGGAGCCCTCATATGTCCGGGGAGCTAACACGCCAACTAGAGTAGAACCCGCGCCTCCAATTATGGATACCTCTAGCGTACAAGACGAGGATTCATCCGACGACAGCAGTATCTACAGTGATGCCGCGGAAGACATCTCCGATGCCGAGGGCGGGTTTGCCTCGCTGGATGCCATCGTGATTAATCCTAGCGTCGCAACCGGACGAGGGACTTTGATCAACCCGGAGGTCGGCCCCTCACAAACGAAATCGTCGACAGGACCAGATGTCCCGGATGTGCGGCCGAGGCCTGGGGCGACGGATTGGGAGGCCGAGAAGGCATATTGGAGCGATATCGTCCAGCAACAAAGACAAGAGCGAGAGCGAGGGATTGTGACATCGGCGCTAGGGGACGGGATGATGCAATTCCAACATGCCCAACATGCCCCTCCTGCGGCTGAGCCTGATACCCCGCTGGAAACGGAGATAATGCCACGGAAGAGGAAGGCAAAGAATTCGCGCCCGGGTCACCAGCCAAGAGCGGCTCCAACGCGGGCAATCGATGTGGATTCTGTCGAACCGGAGAATGTGCCGCCCATGCGCAAGTCAATGCGCCCAACCAGCGCTACAACTGGCATGGCGGCATCGAAGCACGCCCCACCTCCAGGTGAGCAGCGAGGTACATTCCAGAAGCGACGCATGTCACCACCGAAAACCACAGCGCCACGGCCCGTCTCCGCCATGGCGGCCACCGGCCCCGCGGCACCGCTAGCGACACCACCGCCGCTGATCCGCTCCAATTCTGCCGATTCAGTCAGCAGCTTTCGGCGAAGTCGACCACCTAGGTCCTTGGAGGGGGGTGGTGGTCGGTTCATGATGCGACGGACGATGCGTGATTCGGGCCACGATCGCTCGCGAGCGACAGCGAATAATCATATGGCTCGGATACGTTCGCTCTCGCCTCCGGATAGCGATTCGCGAAAGATGAAGTCCACGATGCGCGCATCGTCGGATACGAGCTCTCTTTCTAAACCGGCTAGATCCAAGAGTCTCTTCCCAGGCTTTGGGAAGGGGAAGAAGAAAAATAAGACTCCGGCGGCTCTGGCGGCTCAGGGTGCTGGACTAAGGTTCAAGAGCCGGTTCGCCGATTCTAGCGACGAGGGCGACGACGACCGGCCAATGCGAGCCACATTCACTTCCCGAATCGTCGATTCCGATGATGAAGACGAGGTCATCCCACCGCTCGACCTGGCTCCTGTCCGTGGCATTCCGAGGAGAACCACTGAAGCCGACCAAGAAAGCACCGAGCTCGAAGACGAAGAGAGCGATGATGACCGATCGACGAGCCGTCCCGGCATCCCGACCTCGGACGATATCAACGCCGCCCACGGCAAGCCCGCCACGAACGGCGCCAACGGGCTCGAGGCAAGCAGACACGCGCCAGCCAAGTACCAGAAGAAGAAACGCGGCTTCTTCGGCCTCGGCAAGAAGAAGGACGAGAGCCCACTCTCGCAAGTTCAGGTCGCATCGGCCGACAAGCAGCCCCTCACGCCCGTGAAGTCCGCGCTGAAACAACCACCCAAAAACACCGACGATGAACCAACGCCGTTGAGTCCGACCTCGCGGAGCCCGAAGCTTCACAAGCGCCCGAAGCAGCCGCGGGTCCCGTCCGATTCCTGGCCCCTACCGACGCCCAAAAGGAGCGAGGCGGCTGAGGAACGACCGAACACGTCCGATGGGACGCCACAGGGTGCATCGGTAACGTTTGCCGATGATGAGACGGGGTCGCACGCTAGCGAGCCGGTCACTGGGCGGACGGGGAAGAAGAAGAAGTTCACGATGCTAAGGAAGGCGTTTGGGTTGAGGGATTGATAGATGCTGGGGAGTGGAGTTGGGTTTGATTCCGGACGTGTGTATATAGGATGCTTGGCATTTTGGGATCTATCCTGGTTGATAGTATGGGATATATAGAGGCGAAAAAGGGTACCGTCATAGTCCACGGGTATCTCCTTGGCAACATAGGAATTGCACTTACTGGTTTGCCAGTTGGTTGCGCTTTAATTATAATGTTCGTTCATATCGAAGACTTTAATGATAACCTTAACTGATGTTTAAATTGCTGTTATATCCCTTTGACTTAACCTAATACCTCGACTTGCTGCCATCGATTGCTTCTTTACTCTTTGACGAAGTCCACCAGAGCAGATCCTGATTGGTCCGGAAATAAGTCGGGGCTATGGAAATTGCGCTATTGATGATGCTTTGCATGACCGGATTCATGGAGGACGATAATAATCCAAAGTCAAACATTACCTTCAAGCAGAAACCACTAACTGGTAACTAACGATGGCTTCATACGCATCCGGATTCGCACCTCGTGTGTTGCGATCAACCATCCGCGCCCCATTGAGCCATCAATTCCAGTCAACATTCCAACTGCAGCGAGCTGCCATCTCACGCAGGTTCCTGACCACTCCTGTAGAGCAACCTCGACTACGTCTTGGATCAGTCGGTATGTACCAGCAGGCTTTCTTGGTTTCCTAAAAATTTAAATGAAAGAAGAGAACTAACATTCGGTTCAGCACCCAACTTCAAGGCGCAGACTACTCATGGCGATATCGACTTCCACCAGTTCATTGGCAGCTCGTGGTGCGTTCTCTTCTCGCACCCGGCGGACTTCACCCCCGTTTGCACGACGGAACTTGGTGCTTTTGCGAAGTTGAAGGATGAGTTCGAGAGCCGAGGAGTCAAGATGATCGGTCTTGTAAGTAGCCACCGTTCCCCATCATTATCCCATCATCCTTCCCATTTTAGTCGTCCACTCTAGTTATTTTCGTGATTCAACCCTAATACTATCTAAGTCCGCCAACGATCTATCATCCCACGCAGGATGGATCAAAGACATCAACGAGGTCTCCAAGACCGACCTGCAATTCCCGATCATCGCGGACGCGGACCGCAAAGTCGCGTTTCTGTACGACATGGTCGACCAGCAGGATCTGGACAACATCGACGAGAAGGGCATCGCGTTCACGATCCGCTCGGTGTTCGTCATTGATCCGCAGAAGAAGATCCGCCTGACGATGATGTACCCGGCGTCAACGGGACGGAATTCTGCGGAGGTTCTGCGGGTGATTGACTCGCTACAGACGGGGGATACGAAGGGTGAGTTTTCTATGCTTTATATAACTTTTAGGATTTTGGGAAGGCTAAATAGATGCACAGGTGTGACTACGCCGATTGACTGGCAGACTGGAGACGATGTTATTGTCCCGCCTACGGTCTCAACGGAGGATGCGAAGAAGAAATTCGGCAAAGTGAGGGAGGTCAAGCCGTATCTTCGATTCACTACAATCTAGATTCGTTCGAGACCGCTTGTTCGTTCTTAGACATGCATGAATACAACAGAAGAGCTTATAGGAATAAATAGATTGCTCAGACACTAAGCCGATAAAATACCGTAGATCCATCTGTCCTTCAAAACCGCTTAAATATGCTAGTGTCTTGGAGTTGCGAAATTCCTAGTTCCATTTCAATATAACTAGACATAGAGTACGCAGTACATTCGACGTTCAGATATAAGCTATCAAGATTCTCTGGAAATCCCGAACCCCTGCCCTTCTCGTCCTTATCCTTATTGCTCCCCTGGGATAAACCTCTTGCTGTTAGATCTAGACCTCGTCTTTGGAGACCTAGGGTTCTTAGTTAAAGAAGGATCGACGCTTCTCGGGCCCTTTAGGCGCTGTATTTTGCGCTTTGGGCTTCCCGGACGTTTTAGGCTGGGGACTCTTCGCTTTAGGCTTAGGATTTTTAGGCTTGGTCTTTTTATCCTCGGTTTCGTCCTCTGCCGCCAACCACTCTTCATACGGCAAGGCTCCTTTCTCCTCTCTCCCATGATGATCCGACGCATTGATCCTGACCGTCTTCTTCGCATTCACATAACCCTTCGGCACCGCATCCTTCAACTGAACCTCCCCCACACCCTCAACCTGCTCCGTCCTCACAAAATGCCGTATTCCAAACTGATCCTCCTCGATGATCCAGTCCTCGCGTTCCTCCCACCACGGCGTCTTCGGCGGTAACCTGGCCTTCATCTCTCGGATCTCCTGGCATTTTTCGTCATATTGCTGCTGGATCTGGTCGGCGGCACGGGAGAGCGCGTGCGTGGCCCTCTGTTCGGTAAAGAGGTCGTCCATGTACCCGGTGATGACGCCCTGGGCTTCGTCTCGCTGTGCGAGGAGGTTCGCGATTTCTCGCGCGGCGATGACGAGCCTACTCTCGGCTGTCTCCCGCCTGGACCTCTCGACAATAAGGCGACCCTGGACTTCGGCCACGTTCGGTCTTGTTGTGCCGGACATGTTGGTGATGTTGATTGTGAAGGGACTCAAGAATCCGACTTGGGAGGGGATTTTCTTATGATATAAACGGAGGGGATGATGAGATGAGCCCTAAGTGGCTGTGGAATGACCGTGAGAATATTCTGGCGGTCCTCTAAGTTTGCTTTTCCTGTTTCTGTGGCGAGGAAGAGCATTTCCACTTCCAGGCATTCTAACTTCGGTGGGAGGGTGGGAGGGTGGGAGGTCATGAGAGTCTGTCTTTGTTGCGAACGATTCCGCATCCGTTGTTGCTGGAATGGTCCGTCAATAAAGAATTGGAATCTCGAATTGACTTTCCATTTCCGGCACATCAATATCTCCTCGGATTATTAGATTGGATGCCAATAAGACAGAAATATTGTGATTACACAAATGGAATGAATTAGAACAATGAAATTTTGGACGTGGGCAAACTTGGTAGGGCCGGACAATGGCTTTATTGGGAACAATGAAAACACATCTCTCGAGCTTACTTCTTCTCCAGGCACTAACCAGGACACAAGTCCTAGGACAATGCGCAACGAAGCAGAGAATTCCCTGGGAATTACCTCGTACTGACAGTATTCCCCGAACGACGAGCTTGCACCTCAACGTGGTGTTCGGGTCTAGTACCCCCTCGTTAGAGGAAAGAAGCAAAGACAAGCTCTTGGAGTCACTCCACCAGGATCGTCCTGGAGCCTGCTGCTGGTTCGCCGCCAGCCCTCTGCACGATCCTTGGAGGTGCGGCCCAACCCAGGTTGAAAGCTTACACCTCAACGTGGTGTCTGGGTCTAGTACTTTCCTGAAATAGGGGGACAAAGCTAAGATAAGTTGTAGGCTATGCTAGATCACCGTGCCGCGGTAGCACGCGCCGGGCGATCAACACAGCGGAAGAGTGGCATATATACCCCGGTGAAGAGCTCACACCTTATGGTTGATGCCCAGGTCCTAGTAGTTCCCTGAAATAGAGGAATGAAGCTAAGATGAGCCTCACCAAGGCCACTCCGCTATGTTCACCGTGCTATGCGCCGGGCGATTGACATAGCGGTGGCCTGTATACCCAGGAAAATAACTCGCTGCTCAACGCAGTGCCTGGATCTAGTAATAGCCCTCTTTGTTTCCTATGAATGGAAACTAGAGAGGGACTGTAGCTAAGATGAGCTCTAGGATTGCGTCGTCGGTGAGAGTGTCGCGGACGGAACCTGAATTTACAAAAGAAAATAGCAATTAAAATTTTAATATATCAACCCGATTTGAAAGATATGACTGCAATGAAATGTATATGACACTGAATGACAGACTGAAGGAGGTGAATGCAGTTGACTGTAGGAACTTTGAAGACATGAACTCAGACCGTTCGATAGGCTAAACCTAGCCATTGATATTCAAACCATTAACATTGGCGGAATTTGAAGCTGCTGGAATGGAACTTGGACGAGATATCGATGATGTCGGTACCATATAATAATGGATAGTAACCAGCTGTTGAGTGAGATGACACGGCATCACGGGTTCCCGAATCCCGACAGAGGAATACCAAGCATATCCGCATGAACAGGAAAACCGGGTCTCGCATGATAGTTATCAGAATTCCTCCAATCGGCCATGTCCATTTGACCGAAAATTGGAGATACGGGTGACGTGAGAACTGGGGAACTGGAGAAAGAAACTCGGCGGATGGATTCCGATGGGAGGATCTTTGCCTTGCCGAGGGAAAGGTCAAAGGTGAGATGCGCACGTGACCTCTCCATATGCTTCCCAGCCAACCACAGCAGCTTCGAGTTTCGGCAAAACCAACCCCAGCCTCCTTAGACTTTCAGGGAATCCCAGGGCGCTCAGGGTCTGTACTCCCGAACGCCTCGATTAGTTCCGGATATGCCAGGATATCGCCGATGCCGTCGTGGGATAGCTAGAATTTTTGCATCGTCAATGTGATATCGTCTTCTTCTACACCTGAACCTCACCTTCTTGTCCATAGTCCGACTCAATTGACCCCTCGCGACCACCCCCCATCTTCCCATCGCCTCTCCCCTCTGCTCCGGTACCGATAGCCAGAAGACCCCGCGAAAACATTCCGCAGAGCACACCTCCGACTCTCCCCGCTCTCCCTCTCCTCCCACGGTTACCATGCCGTCCACTCCCTCCCTCCCCAAGTCCGACGCCCTGCCGTCCAAGGAAGAGCTGAAGGAAGATGTCGTCGTCGCGACCAAGAATTCGTTCCAGAGCCTACGGGCCTTCGCCGCGGGCGGGGTTGGCGGTCTTTGTGCCGTGGTAGTGGGCCATCCGTTCGATCTGGTGAAGGTGCGCATGCAGACGGCGGACAAGGGCGTGTATAGCGGGGCGATCGATGTCGTGAGGAAGACGATTGCAAGGGAAGGGTTGGCGAGAGTAAGCCGTTCATGAACATCGGATGGTATCAAACAAGACGCTGATCTGAGATAGGGGCTCTATGCAGGTGTTTCCGCACCTCTCGTCGGCGTAACGCCCATGTGTACGTCTCCTTCTTCCTAATTCACACTCCCTCAACTAACCCTCCCAGTCGCCGTCAGCTTCTGGGGTTACGACGTCGGCAAACAACTCGTCCGCTCATTCTCCACCGTCGAAAACAACCAATTCTCTATCGCCCAAATCTCCGCCGCCGGCTTTTTCTCCGCCATGCCCATGACCCTTATCACTGCCCCCTTCGAGCGCGTCAAGGTCCTCCTCCAGATCCAAGGCCAGAAAACCCTCGCCCCCGGCGAGAAGCCTAAATACGCCGGCGGCCTCGACGTCGTCCGCCAGCTGTACAAGGAGGGTGGCGTCCGCAGCGTGTTCCGCGGGAGCGCCATGACCCTCGCGCGCGACGGGCCCGGCAGCGCAGCGTATTTCGCCTCGTACGAGTATATCAAGCGGCGGTTGACGCCGAAGGACGCGAACGGGAATCCCGGGGAGTTGAGCTTGACGGCGGTGTGCGCGGCGGGCGGAGCGGCCGGTGTGGCGATGTGGATCCCGGTGTTCCCCGTGGATACGATCAAGAGTCGGCTGCAGAGCGCAGAGGGACGGCCGACGATTTCGGGGACGATCCGAGAGCTGTATGGGAAGGGAGGGGTGAAGGCGTTCTTCCCTGGGTTCGGGCCGGCGATCGCGAGGGCGGTGCCGGCGAATGCAGCGACGTTCTTAGGGGTAGAGTTGGCGCAGCAAATGTTGACGAAGGCGTTTGGATAGACTGGGGGGGAGGACCTTAGATTTGAGTTTTGGAGGCCAAAGTTATGGTCATATTACCGTATCTTGTATAGAGAGGTAGGTTGCACACAGATACATATCGCAAGAGGGCATTTTTGTCGAGTTTCTTCCGTTGCCCTTTTCGATGTCGATGTTCATGAGACTTCAGAGTCGCTGCTTCCTGTCACCATGGTTTCGCAATAGATCTCGCTATCTGTCTCATCTCCAGTGTTCACAGTCTCCTGTCCTATACATACCAGTTCATTATTCCACCGACCACCAGGTCCGTCGCGTTTCCATCCCTCGATCATTTATTTTTCGAACCTGCAATACTCATCTCGAGCATGAATACCCGCATCCAAAGGTCCCGTTCTAGGCACATCATCTTCACTTGTCTCGCCCTCATCCTTCCTCCCCTAGCCATCGCCGTCCTCTTCGGCACCCTCACCCAGTTCATCCTCTCGTTCCTCTTCATCTTCTTCTCCTGGATCCCCGCCGTCGCCTACATCATCTCCCGCTACATTTGCTCCCCCCTCACCGTCAACGTCACCTCCGACCTCTCCCCACCTCCCATCCACCCACGGGACCTCCTCCACTTCGCGAACCCCCGCCCCACCACTTCACCAAACTCAACCACGGACTCCCTCTTCCCCCAATGATGAACCCCACCACCACCTTCTGCTTCCTCCTCCTCTGCTTCCTCTTTCCCCCCATCCCCGTCGCCATCCTCTACGGTTTCGGCAACGCGCTCCTCCTCAACATCCTGCTCTGCCTCCTCTGCTGGCTGCCGGGCGTCGTGCACGCCCTGATCCTCGTCCTGATTCAGACGCCGTACTATCAGGGCCGCGCAGATTATCGGCGGGGGTATTATTCGAGGCACCATGTGGGCGCCGCGCCGTTGGTGGTCGTACCGGTGGCGTCCCCGTGGCCGCGGGTGGGGAGGATGAGGAGGTATCGGCCGAGGAGGGTGTATAGGGCGAGGATGGGGAGGTATCGGGTGAGGACGGTGAGGAGGGTGTGAGGCGATTGCGGTACTTCGGTTCGTATTGAGGAGATGGGAAAGCGTTGATCAGGTTGGCGAGGGCGATTGGATGAGCGGTTCCTGCAGTTTGGGGATTCTTCCCGCGGCCTTATGGAAGAAAGAACGAGGAAACGGAAAGCACTCAATCTGATGGGTTGAGGGTCGCTCATCAAAGGGTGTCGTACATCTTGATCTCCTTTCCCTGCTATCCAAACTGCAATATATGTTTTGGTCCTGTCTCTCCTTGCGGCAGTCGGTGCACTACAGTCTCTTCCTCTCGTCTCGGCCAGATATATTGTTCGATTTGTTTTATTTTTACCCCACGCATCTGAGCACTACTCTCTCCCAAGTCTCCTTTATTTACACTCCCACTCCGCGCCAACCACGCGACCCACCCTGCCTCCACCTCTCAACCTCCCACCCCCACTCCCCCGAACCCCTCCTCCAAGATGCTCGACTGGACCGACGTCCTCATCCAACTCAGCATCACCCTCAGCACCTTCTTCTTCCCCCCCTCGGGCATCATCTTCTCCCAAGGCGGCTGGGGCCCCGACGCCCAATGGAACACCCTCCTCACCCTCCTCGGCTACTACCCGGGCCTCATCCACAGCTTCATGGTGCAGACCGCGACTCCGAACCCCGTGCTCGGCCGCCGCGCGCTGCCGATTCACGTGAAGTGCGTGCGGATGGGGAAGCGGGAGTTTCGGATTCGCGCATTGGATCGGGTGGAGGGGACGGCGTTTAGTGAGGTGAGTGAGGCGAAGGGGGTTGGTTGGTTTGGTGTGGATGGCGGTTTGCTGATGGGGATGGGATAGGATCATATGCCGCATACGGTCCTCCCATCGCAGCCGGGCACGCCGTGGTTCGAATCGTTGCGAAAATATTTCCGCCGCGGAACTGCTCCTCCGGCAGAGCAAGCTTCCATGCGGCTCTGATTACTTGTGGCCCATATAACAGACACGGGGAGGAGTGAAAAGGAGTAGTTGGCCAGGATAGATGCGATTATCTTCACCATAGAACAACACTTCAATAACACCGACATTCAACATGCAAAGCTCCAGCTCGTCCGAGCCAATGCATATCCACATCAGTATTCTATCCATTTATATTCGGTAAGATTATACAATGTGCCTTATTCTCCCACATCTAAGTACAACGCCCTTGCACGGTCCGACTCATCTCCCACCGCCACCACACCAGCAATTCTCCTCCCCGTCCCGCTCCACGTGAATCACCACGTCCATTCCCCGCGCTTCCAGGAATCGACCGCTCCGCGCTCGCACGTCTTCGATGTCGGCGGTGCGCGTGGCGATAACGTGGATGACGCCGAGCACTTTCTGCTCTTTCTTGGGCGCGGGAGCATGGTCGTGGTTATGTGGATGATCATGCGCATGGCCGTGTCCGTGGCCGTGTCCGTGGCCGTGACCATGACCGTGATCATGGTGATGATCATGTCCATGCGCCTCCCCCTGCCCCTCATCCTCCAACCAAAACCGACATCCGCGATACCCACTCACCCCTGGCACGGTCCCCAGCGCGCCCAACGCCTCCCGAATCTTCCACTCGATCCGATCCGGGATCGTCAGCAGCAGCCGCTTCCCCGAACTCTTCACCAGTGGGATGGCGCTCGCGAAAATCAGCACCGAGATGATGCATGAAGCCAGCGGATCCCAGCCGTTGTAGGCAGTGTATTTGGTGAGGATGGTGGAGAAGATCACCGAGACGGAACCCATGGCGTCGGCGAGGATGTGAAGGAAGATGCCGTGCATATTTTCGTTCTCGTGGCTGTGCGAGGTGGCTTTGACGGTGGAGGGGGGGAGCGGGTCGGAGATGAAGCTGAATTTCGTCGGGGATTGGCTCCCGGAGCGCTTGTGCGCAGCCGCAGAGTGGCTATGGCTATGGCCGTGGTGGTGTTCGTGCGCGTGATTGTCTTCTTCTTTCTTCTTGGCATGGGAATGGTCATGTCCGTGGTCATGGCCATGATCGTGTCCATGCCCATGATGCGCATGCCCGAACGCGAAAAGGCCGACGATATTGACGAGGAACCCCAGGATGCTCACGACGAGGAGCTCGTTTAGCCGGCGCAGTTCATGCCCTTCACGAAGCCGTCCGACGGCGTCGAAGATGATTTCGACACTGACGAGGATGAGGAAGACCCCGTTCCCAAAGCCCGAGAGGGAGTCGACCTTTCCGTAACCGTATGGAAAGTTCACAGACGGTGGCCATTTGCTCATCACGGCTGCTGTGAGACCAACGGCCAGTCCAAGGCAGTCGAAGAGCATGTGGATGCTGTCGGTGAGAAGCCCAAGGGAGCCGCTAGCGAAGCCGTAGAAGAATTGAACCATCATGAAGCAGAGGTTGAGGCATCCGAAATATGCAATCCGTCGAGAGTCTTTCTCGATCAGGATGCTGTGGAAAACTGATCCTGGAGGGGTGCGATCAAGTAGGAACGCTGTGAGTCTTGAGTGGTTCCCTTGGTGAGTGTGGTCATGCGAGTGGTGACGATGTGTATGGTGATCGGCTTTTGGATCCTTTGAGTCCACTAGAAGAGCGCCATAGGAAACCGCGCACAACACGCTGTGGAACAATGGGATAGTCCAGTTTCTCGAACGGTACGTTAGAGAAAAGGAACCAATCATGACACAACTGATGGCAATGCCGAGACGACGGCTGCTTCGCAAGGATGTTGGTTGGGCAAAGAATATGAGCCCAGCCGCAGAAGCAATGCATAACGACGAAAATATAATCGAAATGTATGATACAGGGAGCGCGACTGAAAGTATGATAGACAGCAGAACCGTCATTCCGCCGAGTGCAGCACCAGCGATAACGGTGAGGTTGACATCGTGGGGAGTGACAAGGATTGGCGACGTTACGGTGGCAGAAGTTGAAGCTGATCTCGGCGTCGATGCCCATGGTGATCCAGGCGTAAGAGCGGAAGATGGGCTGGCATTGCGGAAATATGGTCGGGATGCTGCAGGAAGAGGGAGCGGGAAAGAGAACAGCGCCACGCCAAGGGCTAGATACCCTAGGAAGCGATCCCAAAAGGTTTTGTGGGCAGCGAGGCCAATGAAGTCAAATAGGACCCCTAGAATAAGCGTGCTGCATGTCGCTATATTGTCCTTCGCCTTGTAAGTCAGAGCGCCAAGGAAGGATCCCTTTTTCCCTCGAACACCATGTCCAGTCAAGCCCGCGGCGACCGCTATCAACAACGTCAATGCAATCCTGACCTCTCCAAGCTGCAATGCTGCATAGAATGGAAGAGCAATGCTCAAGCAGCGGGCAATTACCGGCTGAATGGAGGCGTTGCTGAACAAGCCCTTGCTCTTATTGGTCATCGACCGCAAAGGGCTTGGAAAGCTATCCTTTCTTCTGTCTAGGGTCTGCTGTGTGGATTGGAGTTTCGCAAGCAGTCCTAACAGGAGCAGAGTCCCCGACGCAAGACTGCATGCCTGTATTATTGCGGACTGCTCGGCATGGGTTATAGGTGATTGGTCTTTTGATTCGGAGGGATTGAGGGGAGGTGGCCCGCTATCGTTCGCCGCATCGTGTGTCGGAGGGTAGGCAAGAGTTGCAAGGAGAAATGGAAGGGGTATAAGCACTGCTGTGAGGATCTCTGGGCCGAATGAGGATGTCCTATTCATCTATCAGTCACTCAAGTCTCTATATCGAACTGCTTCATGTCACTCACTTTGGATAAGGAGACGCTTCTTGGATGGCTGGGAACGCATATCCATTCGACTGAGTAGTGATTCTGGGGGCTGTCGGATGACCCAGGTCAGACTCTCCTCGTGGACGCCCGCCCATCTGTGATATGTCTTGAGATACGGGTTCGAATCGAGTAGATGAATGACTATGGGAATGAGGGTGTATCGCTGGCCCTGTCGCGTTTACGCCCCGTGAGGCCGTCTTCACCGGTGAACCGTTATTCTCTGCTCGGTAGGATATTGTGCGATCTGCAGGGAACGAATATGTATGGGCATGGGCAGATGCATGGCCGCTCTGGCTATGAGTCCGTGTTCCAGCGTCAACTGGAAGCGCATATGACGAGGCCATATACGCTCAGGGGGTCAATGGACAGCGTGAAGTCGTGTTAATCGTCAATTGCAACAAGCGAGCGATGGAACACACGGGAGCCTTAATATTGGGGAGAATGAAGTGGCATCACGGCCATCTGCTTAAGGAGTGTCAACATTGCGGAGACATGGCGATAACAGCACGAATACGCTGGGTGATGGGATGGATCGCCAGTCGCCACTATTGAAGGAGAGTGGAGTTCTTGGTGGTCAATAAAATGAGCACCCAATCAGCCAATTGGAGACGCGTTCGCACCATCATAGTGATCAAGCCACCTACCCATTAAGGTTCTCAGATATTGGATATTGGATATTTCTCCTGAACCTGTTACCATCACATCCTATTCGTGTCCTATTTCATGTCCCTCAAATCTATGAAGTGGTAGCCATTGGAGCCGAGATCCAGCATGGGTTTTGTTGTGTTGCTGCTCGATATCGGTGCCTAGTTTCCACAGTGCATCACAGAGTGGTTGCAATGGAGTACCTCGAGATCCTCCTGAGCTGTGCTGTGCTACTGTCTACATTATTCACAGGATTCCTCCTTATCCTCCCTTCACAGTATAAAGAGCATGGACAAACTAGCACGACATCTAGGGGATTGGATCCCAAATCAAAGAAGTCGGATAGGACAAATACAAAGCCTCCGCCCACCCCGTTTCAAATCGTCGTGCTAGGTGATATCGGCAGAAGTCCAAGAATGCAATATCATGCTTTAAGTATAGCTAAGCACGGGGGTAAGGTAGATGTCATCGGATATTTAGGTTCGTAGACTTTTTTTGGCAGTGAACAATGTCGACTAACTGGAGGCAGAGTCTGATGTCCATCCAGACATAACGGCCACGGAAAACATACAGATCATACCCATCACCCCAGTTCCGAAAAGGTTCCAAGCATCTAGCAAGCTATTGTTTCTAGTCCTAGGACCGTTGAAAGTGTTGCTTCAAGCGTGGTATTTATACTCTGCCCTGGCATATTCTACGAAGCCAGCGAAATGGGTTCTCGTCCAGGTATTTACTTCCAAAAATCTTGGCATTCATCACAGACTAACATGCTCAGAATCCACCTTCAATACCGACATTGGCTGTGGCGCTATTTGTTTGCTTCTTCCGGAATTCCAACCTTGTGGTCGATTGGCACAATTTCGGATATTCCATCCTTGCCATGAAATTGGGAACGAGGCACCCATTGGTCCAAGTCTCACAGATATACGAGACTCTACTCGCGAAATACGCGACTTCTCACTTCTGCGTCACTAAATCGATGGGAAGGTACCTTAAGAAGACCTCCGGCATCGATCCACTTACGTTGCATGATCGGCCACCTGCGATCTTCAAGCCTCTGAGCCGGTCGGAACGTCAGAATGTCTTGAAAAGACTACCGCAAACAAGCCCATTCGAGGACGAGATTGATAGTGGAAGGACGCGGCTAATAGTTAGCTCCACATCCTGGACCGCCGACGAAGATTTCTCCATCTTACTCGACGCGTTGACGGTATATTCATTGAGGGCGTCCATGGTTGGCTCCTACCCCCGACTGCTTGTCATGGTTACTGGCAAAGGCCCCTTGAAAGACCATTATCTCAGCAAGATCAAAGAGCTCGAATCGCAAGGCAAATTGCACCATGTTCAAATCCGAACCGCCTGGCTATCAGCCGAAGACTACGCCTCTCTCCTCGGAGCTGCCGACCTCGGTGTCTCCCTCCACATGTCATCTTCGGGCTTAGACTTGCCGATGAAAGTTGTGGACATGTTCGGTGCGGGTCTTCCTGTTGCGGGCTGGAGCAAATTCGAAGCGTGGCCGGAGCTGGTGAGGGAAGGGGTGAATGGAAGGGGATTTGCGAGCTACATCCAGCTCGCTGACCTACTTGAAGAGCTGTTTGTTGATGGCACTGCGGCTTTGGAGAGGATACAGCAAGGAGCATTGAAGGAGTGCGAAAAGCGCTGGGATGCTGAATGGGATGCTGTCGCTGGGAGGTATTTTGGATTACTGACTTGACACAAGTTTCTGGAGCGAGGTTCTTGTCACGATCCAGTATGAGAGCAGACCTTTGCCTCTTCGACAATGGTCTTGGATGGTGCGATTTTTGTGCCGCGGCCACGTGGTGCTGCTTCATGTCCCAAATATGTGAAGCAAATCTTCTCCTTTCACATGACCAGTCGATCCAGCGCAATGGTTGGCGCGAGGAAGGGTCTTTGTTGTTCCCCTATGGCCATTGCCATCTCCATCCTATGAAGAATTTGTTCTGAGGCTGGTCGATATCTGGAAAGCCGTGGTGATAAACTCTCTCAGATCAATGAGTCGCGCGGAGACGCTGAATACATGTGCCATATCAACACTGGTACCAGGAGTAAACAACAATATAACGAGACAGTTCTCGCTTGGTGGGATGACAGCGGATTCATCTCTTTGTCTACAGCTACGGCACTGTCACCCTGCGCACAATTATTGCCCAAATACTCCGTAGACCATCGTGATACTACTGCGTAAGGTAGTAACTAATAATACATGTAACTTAAGTTAACTAACGTAATCCACCAGCGAGTCGCCCAAACCACCGAGTCGCCCACCTCAACCGTGGCCCACTACCGTAACCTGAATATCTCAACAACTACTGAAGCAATTTATTAATTAGGAAGTAGGCTAGGATCTACGTTTTCTGTTATAGCTAATTGAGGCATTGAACAGGTCTCAACTCGATGTCCTGGCTCGCGACAGCGTCCGCAACGTCGCTGGCGCCTTCCAGGAGCGTCACTAGAAGCACCATTTTGACTGATTATATCTTGATCCCGGCGTTGTTCAACTAATTGAAGCCCATCAGTAATTGAGCGCGTGTCAGCGCCCTTAAGCACCTTTTTTTTGCGTTGTTTGCGCTTTGATAGCGTCTCGTTTGCCTTCCGAAGCTTTCCTATCTCGACCTCCATGATTGAAGCTCCGTGCGCGACCATTTGAACACCCTTTTCAAGGCTTGAAAAGCTTTCTAAAAGCGGTGTTGGGGAGGTATTTTGATCTCTTTGAAGGCGCTGTCGTATGTACTCTGTTTGGGACCCTATTTCAGCGACGTTGCGTGGTGTTTGCGACTCCCATTGAGTGGTCTCTGGTAATGGCGTCGGGGTCCGTAATCGGACATCAAGCTTTGAAATAACAGCTTCTGGATCGAAAGGCATTAATCCTGCGCCTCTGAAGGCGCCCTGGATATTCTCCGTAGCAATTGCTTTTTCGAAGGCGGTCTTGAAAGCAGGTAAAAAGTCCTCTTTCGTGATGTGGTTGATGCGGCACCGGATAAAGTCCTCAATCTCCTTGCTATACGCGCGCTTTAATGGCCCAAAACAGCCAACGTCGAGGGGTTGTAGCAAATGAGATGAATGCGAAGGCATGCAGAGAGTAATGATCTTCTGGTCCTTGCAGAAATCCTGGAATTGGATAGTGTCATGGTTGTTATGGCCATCCATAATCAGAAGCCGATAGGCGCCAGTCGTACGGTCTTCTGTGAAGCGATTAAAATGCTTTAACCACTCAAATCCATGCTCAAGGGACGTCCAGCCCTTCTCGCTAACTGATAGAACCCAATCAGGCCTATCCGCAATCGCCTCGTACGAGGTATTGTAATGTCGAGCGCCTTTGAAGATGATGAAGGGTGGGACAACCCAACCTTGCGCGCTGGCAGCAATGATCGATGTCACCCATTCTGTATTGCCTGGCTGCAAGGTTTTTGGAGTCTGACGTCGTTCGGTACCCGTGATGACCATGCGCGTCCCGATTACGCCCATTTGAAAGCCAACTTCATCAAAGTTGTATGTATCTTCATCCAGGATACCGTATTTTGCCTTCACGTTGCGTACGAGGCGAAACCACGCGCCAATAATCTCTGGATCTTCGTTCAGGGCTCTTTTATAGTCGTACTTTCGATTAACACGTGTTTTGAGCTCTGGAACGCGTTGTACGAATCTTGACGGCCAATTGATACCAACGTGAGCCTGACCGCGATCGCTGAGTAGCTTGTTGGCTATATCTCGCAACATATCGTAATTGAGCTGAAATCCGCGCGCGTCGACATCGAGGCAGTAGTCGATAATCACCCTTTCTTCCATATTTGAGAGCTTTTTCGAATTCGGGACACAATCGCTTCGTGCAGTCATTCCGTTGCGGCGGTCACGTAAGGTACTCCACGGGACGTTGTAAGCTTTTGCAGCTTCTCGAATTGATTGAACTTGGTCTTGTTCGATAGTCTGGATGGCTAGGTTCATTCTAGCTTCATTTGAAGGTAATTGAGGGCGCTGTTGTTGAGACATTGCGAAAAAACCGTGATGATCGCTGTTATGGAGATGAGGTGGGCGACTCGGTGGTTTGGGCGACTCGCTGGTGGATTACGTTAGTTAACTAACTAAGTTAGTTATTACTAGAACTACCAGTAGGACGAGTGGAACGCTAGGGGATTATCTAACTAGTGATTGGCTGCTCATCTTGAAGCTAGTGAATACGCAAGCCTGATTGGCCAATTCGGTACCTCCATCAGAGCTCTGCACGTACTATACAATTCACTTCCATTGTTATTTCTTCTTCAATCAAACGCATCATATCCAACTCTCACTCTCTGCTCCTGAATTTCTGACTCGAAATCGTGAAACCTCAATCTTTTCGTTCTTTATGACCCCTGTGATGGATGAAAAATGGCCCAGCTTGCCGTACTCAACGCCGCGCCTGGCACGACTAGGTGTCTGAGCTGGTCAAACGACGGTGAGCTTGCGGTCACAGCAGGAGAAAATGTCCAGTTATTAGTACGCCTTGCACCCGATATTATTGATTCATATTCTAATGAGAATAGATACCCAATTTGAGGTCGTCAAATCAACCGGTCCCTGGAGTCCATGACCCCCTCTGGCAGAACTTGGTCATTCGCACCAACCAGTTCCGGGAATCGGAAGTGCCCATTCAGGAGCCGCTCAGCTTTCAGAACTGGTCCATCGGGGAAGAGATATCTGATTGCCATGCATTACGGACGGAATGGTCGCCTCTCGGGCTCGGACAGTACAGGCGAAGCGTGCTCGCGGTTTTGACTTCAAACCAGGTTCTTTCCATTTGGGCGTCCACTGGCTCGCGCAACAACGCTTCAAACTGGAAGCGGATGGTCGTCGTCAACCATGCATTGAAGAACTACTTCCCGCGCTCACCTTCGCGAGAATCATTCTCGTCTCACGAGAGAATCAAGTTTGAACTCGCTTTCAAGCGACAACGGATCCGCTCCTTTACCTGGTGCAAACCGGCATATCTACCATTGACCCGGACCTATGACCCCTCGACTATCTCAAATGATACCTCTTGGGGCGAGAACCTGCTTGTTCTTTCAAATGAGAATCTAGAGGTGATTGTCGCTCGGGTGCAGGCTATTCACGATATCAAGTCTGGTGAACCGACATGGATCACGACAATCCTTCACCATTTCTCGGTGGCTTCCAATATCGAATCAACACAGAAGAACCTCTTGTTCGAGGACTACACTCAGAATCGTCCATATGTAACGAATCTCACAATCAGTGATTGGAGTGCCCCTAAACAGGGCTTCATCGAGGCCTCCTTGGCATTCTCGAGCGTTGAGGGAGTGCATATCAAGAAACTCCGCTTATCAAGAAACGATAGTGAACTGCACGTCGGATTTGGACCGCATGACATTCACTATCCTGTTCAAGAGTTCGGAGGCGTCGGACCAATGGCATGGTGGCAGTCTCGTTCTGAGGATGAAATCAGATATCTTGTCTTTTGCCTCCGCGAAACGTCACCAAATGGCGATCAGGTGGTGTCTCTTTGCGATACTGGAGATGGTGACGCGCCGGTTTTCTCAAGGTATGATCTCCATACTATGTGGAACATAGTCTCTGGTACGTATTCCATATGCCACCCTGTACATCGTGCTTTGGTTAATAAACGTCTAGGCATCGCGTTTAGCAAGTCCTCAGATGGCCGCAGCTATGTTCACCTACCAACCTTGCTCGATTCAGGACAATGCACCAAATTCCCGATGCCGCTCCTAAATACAGATAACGAAATTGGAACCCCTGAATGGCAAAAGACAATTGCGGAGATGCGCACCTTCTATGCAGAAAAAACCGACCTCGGTGAGAATAGCTGTGCAAAAGTTTGGGATATGGTTTCGTCACCGCTGGGCGATTTCCAAGCTACTGCCGTCTCCTTACATCCCGCGAAAGTGCTAGAGTATACTATCCATGCCCAGGAGGAGACTATGATAAATCTCCATAAGGACTTCCCATCCGGCGAGATCCCTACGTATTCTCCAGAGATGTACAGTGGACGTGAGTGTCGACGCTTTCAAATGATCGTGCAAACTAACTTTCTCATAGGGATTAGCTCTGAATGTATACTGTTCACGATCAAGGCCTGGTGGACGGGCGGCATTGTTACCAAACATGACAAAACCTTCAAAGCTACTATTGAAAAGGGACTAAGAGAAACTATTGAGAACAGCCAGCCTTGTGACCCCATTCTAGGAAGAGGACTGTAAGTTCCTATGAACAGGTTTAATTGAATGGTGGGACTGACATATAGCAGTTCATCAATTACATCAGATCAACCTCACCATCTTGTCGCAGCACTAAGTCGTTTCTCACATCAATTGTGCCTCAAGCAGTTTGACAACCTTCTCTCCACGCAAGCTGTGAAAAAGAAGTGGATTAGAACGACGATAGACAAGGCTATTGCTAAATTAGTCATTCGAGAAGTTTTGGATTTACCTTCAATTTTGTCCCAAATGAGCGTCAACAGCACGAGGATCGTCGCATCATATGCGGCAGCTCAAGCCAAACTTCAAGCCGAGCAGGATAAGGAAGACAGCGAGCCCAGCACTATGCAACCGAGTGTGCATGAGTTCTCGGAGCTCTGTGACATCTGCAATTACCGCATCGTGTTCGAAGATTTAGACTGGTCGAAATGCGCACGGGGCCACAAGTTCGCTCGCTGTGCGCTTACATTCCTGTCGATCCAAGCTCCAGGAATCTCGAAAAACTGCAGTATTTGTGGTTTGCAGTATTTGGCCGAGAGCTTCGTTATCGGCGACGATTCGCAGTTGATTACAGAAGAACCTGCTGGCAATAATGCCAGTAACACGGGTAGGGAGGACGGTGAAGCATCGAAGGACACAGGCGGAAACATGACTGACATCCCGAGAAAACAAGGAACTCTAGCGGAGGTTATTTTTGCAGCGTTTGACGCATGCGTCTATTGTGGAGGCAAGTTTGTTCGATGAACTGGGGAAGCAAGGGATGTTTTCAGACGACATTCCAACGAAAATAGATGCCAAAGACGTCAGTCAATCCATACTGAATCAGGAGATTGTAAAACAACAGAAGATTTATGTTAACAAAGCATTCATATCTCGACTTGGTTTTTCATCATGCTCCTTCATCATAGCTTCCCTGAAAACGCTGGAGGATGGATCAAACGCCTGAAAGGAAAACCAAGGTCCGACTATCCAGCTCTCTTGCAAGCTCACCACAACTCGTCCAAAATTCATCCAGTCAAGTTCGAAGCATACATTTAAAGATGGAGGACCCCATGTGCAGCCTTCATGATCCTGAGATGCGCACTTCAGACTTCTTTGATGATAGTTCAGAGGAGGAGAGCATATTTGCTTCTCCTGACGAAATAGTATCCCCCCTCAGCAGGGCAGCTATCTCGGAACGGATCCTTCCCAGTACGTTGAGCATCGTGGAGATGAAAGGATCCGTAATGATCGAAATCAAAAGATACGAGTTGGTGGATCGGACTTCATGGAACTCACCAGTTCACCACCACAATTCGTCAAGGAAGCTCCTGCTTTGCTGCGCCAAAGCGGCTCTGTCTTCAGCGGCACTCGTGGATTTCATTCTCAGGGCACAACATGCAAACAGGGCGCTTCCCATGCACTATCCTCGAACTCAACTCAAGCGTCGAGCATCCCCTCTCCGCGACCAGCGCGTTCCTACTCTATTGGAGGGCTCGATATGCGTCCCACCCATCGTGTCTCTAAAATATTGGATGCCCATGCCATAACTCTTCGAGCCCTGTTGCAACAGGAACAAGATGCTGCGGCAAGTGGGACGGGCCTCGAGCCACCCGCAGAAGAACCGGAACGTCAAGTCGCAAGACCGGATAGCTCAGAGGTATCGCCCCACACCTAGGTCGAGCTCGAGAAAATATTCAAGACGGCTCCGCCCACCGGACAAGCGGAAGCATTCAGCGAGACAGAGCACAGCCGACTGCGTCCACAATCTGGTCCGGGTGAGAAGCGTGTGGCCTTTGTTCCGCCGCCCATTGATACGGCTGGTTCTCCACGTCACCTCCCGAAGCAGTTCATTACAACGCCTTACCCGAACAACTACCACAAGCCCCTTCCGCCGATACTAGCCGGCATTGAAACCCCCAGTTTCGACGGGCCCCAGAGCGCTATGTCCCAGGAATCAGTCCTGCCAGTGACCATCCTCCGGCACGGCGATGCCAGGGGCGAGCGGATTGGTAGACTGGTCATTCCGCCGGCACTCGACGTCGCAGCAGTGAATAATTCGAATGGGAATAAAAAGAAGGGCCACTTTACGAGTCTGGAATACGACGACGCCGCACTTTTCCGGGACTTGCGCCAGCGGTACGCGCAGCTGGCAGACATCTGGCGACTCTTCTCCGCACGGAAACTCAAAACCATTAAACAGCACCACTCCCTCGGCGAGAACGAGTTCTGTGGTGCACACGATGGTGCGCGGGGTTCGTGCATCAGCCCTAACGAACAGGACACTGGCGTCTGCTCCTGGCATGCTGGTCCACGAAGTCCTCGATTCTTAGTTGCGCGTGGGCTTGTGGATATGTTCAATGAAAGGAGCTCATGAGGGGATTCCACCATCCGCACAAGTTAGGCAAGGCACGGTATGCCTGGGTTCACTGGGCTAGGAAGATCGCCTTGACTTCTGAACGATCACATCATGCGATGATGGTACTGGTGGCCCCACCGCCCCCTGCAAAAGTACAGAAGCAGAGACAGCAGAGTAAAGACTTAGGCATCGGGAAAATCGCAAGCAAGCTTGGCATCGACATCAGACAAGGCAGCGCCGTAAGAGGGTCGAGATTATGGACGCTGAGTGACTTGGAATCGATGGATGGGGATACCTGTGTCATCGGCTTGGAGTTTGTCGAGGGCTGGAGCGTCAAGAAAATAGCGATCGCGCTTTTCATTGTCCTAACCCTAAGTGTCGCTGCTGTCCTATTGTGGACCTTCCTGGGTATTAGTCCAGGGGTGCTGAACGAGGGCAGCGGATATCGAGGGGCGGGAGAACGAGTTACAGCAGGCCTGATGATGGGAGGACTTACATTGCTCCTGGGCCCGGGGGGATTTTGTCCTGGATCGGTGTTAGTTGGTTGCTGATATGAATAGCAGAGGGTTGATATCTGGAACGCTTCGACGCGCGACTACATTCCTAATCCGCTTCCTGATAAGTTGAGAGACCACCGGGTCACAACAGAGTATATACGGTTCTGGGTTATTGCGCAATATGTTCATGTATATGAAATATAACATTCAATTCACCCTTTAGCACTTAGCAGTCTCAGATTTGACATATTATACATGATAGATACAATGACGCTGTCGTCGTGATGTTGAAACATCTAAGAGTCGGCCTGGATGTGCTCTTCGAGGACATGGTGTCAAAACTTGACACTGCGGCATATATACTCCATAATGTCCAGGATCTCCGTAACTCCTACTGACACGAGTGACGAACGACACTAAAACCACTCCGTGTGGATGATCTATACAGGGAAACGACACTACGGTGCTACCACGGTATCGACACTGGTGCTATGCCCCTGTTCCCTCCGCTAAGGTATGTAGAAGATTGATTCTATCTAGAATTGTTATGGTCTGTGTTTTGTATGTGTAGAAGATTGTCCTCTCTAGAATGTTACCTACCGAAAGCATCGTCATAAGGATAGGATAGGGATCGCCTGACCCCTAGCATTGGTGGTTGAGGCACCAACAGTCAGTGGTGATCTATGCTAACCATCCGTAACAGCTCGGCCCGCCAACAGCATGGCTCGGCCCGTGCGAATCCACAACGGCACGACCGCACGACTGCACGAGTCCACGAGACTGTGGCTTGCTTTCACCTCACTCGTGGATCCTTGGGAAATAAAAAAATCCACCCCGCGCCGCCTCAGATTGCAACTCTCCAAAGAGAATTAGAACTCCTCATTCGTTGACGCTTCCAACTTTTGACGGATAGGAGCGCTCCGTTTGTGTCCGATGAAACACTAGTTTTCGCCGAAATCGCTCCTAACCGTGTCCAGCATGAACAACATCGTCAGATCATGGTATTCGCTGATGACGAAGGTTTCAGCGACTCTCCCGCGTGGCGCAGCAGTGCTAAGACAACTTACTGCGCCACCATACATGCTTGTGGATTTAGTGGTGCGGCTTGGGCTACTCCAACTTCTTCAAACAAACAACACCAAAACATCGTTTCCAATTCCTAGCCACACACGGCTTTACCATGCACAGCTTACATCTGCCTCTACTTCAGCAAGACTATTGATCATTGCTGCCAATGCCCACCAAAAGGAAATCACCACCACCAGCGCAGCATCCATTGCCTCGTTCCTCTTGCAACTCCTCACAGAAGAGGCAAAGGTTGCTTCACGACCACGACCGCGACCAAGCCAACCCGAGGTGAGACTGTTCTTCTGGCCCAGCTGCGGGTGTCGCCCGTGTCTTCGCTTTGCTAACTTTATGCGCTTCTGCTAGTTCGAAATGTCAGCACCGGTCTGCTAGCCTTGAACACCAACACCAGCCGACTTGTCATCCCCTCACCACTTCCAACCTCCAACTCTTCAACTCGCTTAATCCACCCATCTGGCATTCGTCTCCGCATCCTCCGACCATGAGTGCCACTACCTACCCTCCGTCGTCTGCCGCATCCATACCCTCGTCGTCCGGTCGCAAGTCTCCCACCAAAACTGACCAGGAACTCAAGCTCAGGGCACACAATGTATTTGCACCCAGGGCTGTCCAGCTTCCAGAAGCGTTGAAGGAGCTGATTGACGACCTTCGTGATCGTCCTCGCGAACACATTTCGCCTAACGCCAAAGAGCTGGTCAAGCTACAACCGCTTGCTGCCAACAGAGCGGAGAAGGACGGCTTCGACATCATCCAAGACAAGCTTCTATACGAACGTGCATACAGGAGCACCACTGGCCAGCTTCTTGAGCCTGTCGTAGAGCTCAATCTTTCACCGCAGTACCGTCCGCCGCACAACTTTTCCGAATATCCCGATACCAAATGGATGGAGAAGCCGGTTCCGGACCGTGCATTTGGATATCTCACTAGGACAGACTTTGAAAGAGCACCGTCAATCTTTCAGTCTCGCGACCTAGCCTTTACCCCCGAAGAGGAGTTTGTCCTCAATCAACTCGGCCCGCTATGCGAATACATTCATGCTCCCTTCTTCACTTGTCAATGGAAGGCTTGTCGCAATGGCGGAACACACTACGCTGCACAGTTACAGGCTGCAAGGGACGGTGCAACCATCGTTAATTATCTCAAGCTTCTATCCCGCGCCGCACTCCCTAGCCAGGAGATCGATATCACCCGCGTTTGTCATTTCTCAATGACCTGCGATCTAGCAACCGCCTACGTTTACCTCCATTGGCTGAATCCTAGCGACGAATTCACCGGCTCTCCAACCTACGAGATGCAAGTTATTAAACAGACCTTCCTCAATTCGGAATCCCAAGTCCTTGAGCTGCGGAGGCTGTTACGCAACCTTTCCGACTGGGCTTTTGAGGTACGCCTGCCTTGGATCAAGTCTCTCCTTGCTGCAGTTTCTCTACGTCTTAAAGTGAGAAAGGTTTCCAAGCTTTGGGAATTGCAGACACGCCCCCTACCCACGCCATCACTTACGGCTAGTGTGCCTGAGGACGAAGCGCGGCAACCGACAAAGCGACCGAGAATGGCTGCAAGCGATTCCGCTGGTCAAGGGGACGTCGGGTGGCCGAAGGATGCCCTGCCGCTCGGATACTCAGGCTGTATGAAAATGGCGATGGCAATTGGGTTGGAGGTAACGCGGAAGAACGAGAACAAAACAAGTAAGCTATCATCGAGTACGTGGGACGATCACGTTTCCAAATGGATATCCCATAAATTGTTCCTTGGAATTCATGTCTAACGATCTATGGAATCCTCCGTCAGCTTACTGTCTTGCGGCCTAGATGTCGCACGTGATGTGCTAAAATGGTTGGGAGTGAGGTGCTGTTGTTCCAGCAGCGAAGTTGTTGTATTGTGTAAGTTGTGTGTAAATTGTGTGTAAGTTGTGTGTTCTAGCTGAATGCCTGGTCCCCCGGCCCTACAAATATACGAGAGTCACGGCAAGATTATTAATGCAGTTTGTAGCCTTGGACTCCTAGAGCTCATGCCAGGGTGGCTATTTAAGCCGGGTCGGCCTGTGTAAACTGTATTTGGACCCTGAATTAACGGCTTATAATTGACTCGGCCTGCAAGCCGGTACGAGCCAAACTTTCTTCACCTCTAGCCTACCATAACTTCTTGGTTTCTGATATGCGATTTTGTATGAAGAGATACAAGGTGGAAACGAGCCAGCCCGAATCACTCAAAAGTGGGGACAAAGCCGGAATGGCTTGTATTTGCCTAAATAGCCACCCTGGCTCATGCCTTGGCCTGCGACACTAGAACACACAACTTACACACAACTTACACAAGACAACAACTTCGCTGCTGAAACAACAGCACCTCACTCCCAACCATTTTATCACATCACGTGCGACAGTTCTCAATAGACATTCTGGGCATAGAATGACGCTGAGACGCCCTTTCCGTCCAAACCAAGGCAATTGCCTTCACCGAACAAATACTTGAGGAAAGGGTTCTGAAGTGGTCGTCCTCGAGTATGGACTGCATGGTACACCAGCTACTTAGCCAAGCAATCCGCCGATGATATTCGGTTAAACATTGAGATGAGTACTAGAAGTGTTACACGTGGATACGCCGAAAGTTCCAGTGCCAGGTCTGATTTCCACCTATTTAAAACATCCGCCCCCTCTGACATTGAGCAGCACATCCCAACATGACACCCGAGCTACGATGCAGCACCCAAAAGTGGAGGACGACGATAGCGACGCCGAGTTAGATCTCGAAGTCGATGAACTCCTAAACCGCGACCGGTCCTCGAATGATGTCCCAAGCGACGGGGAGTTCGGGATTGACGGGCGTGAGCCCAGCGACCTTGAGAAGCGCACACTCCGAAGGGTACCGGATGCGCTTCCAAAAAGCGCGTTTCTCGTCGCCATAGTCGAGCTATGCGAGCGATTTGCGTACTACGGTCTCAGCGGTCCGTTCCAAAACTACATCAGCAACAAATATAACGATCCAAACGGTAATCCAGGGGCTCTGGGGCTGGGACAGACGTCGGCAACCGGCATCCTCAACTTCTTCCAGTTCTGGTGTTATTGTACTCCCATTGTTGGGGCGATCGTGGCCGATCAATACCTGGGGAAATACCTGACGATCGTCTATTTTTCCATAATCTATATGATTGGGATCGTCGTTCTATTCTTCACGTCACTACCATACGCCATTGAACATGGCATTGCCCTTCCGGGTCTCATTGCCTCGATGATCGTCATTGGCCTCGGAACAGGTGGGATCAAAGCGAATGTCGCGCCCCTTATTGCTGAGCAGTATCGTGGAACGCGAGCTTATGTCAAGACACGCAACAATGGCGAGCGCGTTATCGTGGATCCAGCGACAACTATACAGCGGATTTACATGGTCTTCTACCTCTGCATCAATATTGGGTCGTTATCTGCAACACTTACGACCACACTAGAGAAGCATGTGGGATTCTGGTCTGCGTATCTACTTCCGTTGATCGCATTCGGTATTGGGTTCGTTATCCTTATTGGGGGGAAGAAGAAGTATGTCGTTCGTCCGCCTCAAGGCAGTGTCATCGTCCATTGCGGGAAGGCTATATGGATCGCCTTGAGGAACGGAGGAGACATCAATGCCGCAAAGCCCTCTCACCAGCGGAATGTCGGTAAAGGATATAACACCCCTTGGGATGACATATTCATTGAGGAGTTGAAACGAGCCTTCATCGCTTGTAAAGTCTTTCTCGTGTACCCTGTGTATTGGTGTGTATTCAGTCAGGTATGTCTGATTCTATCCAACTCAGATCAACTCCAATTGACTCCGCTCCAGTTGCTCACAAACTTCGTTTCCCAAGCCGGACAAATGGAACTCCATGGCATCCCCAACGACATCATGCAGAATCTCGACCCTTTGGCTCTCGTCATCATCATCCCGATCCTCGACCGTGTCGGCTACCCTCTCCTTCGGCGGTGCGGCTTTCCCATGCTGCCAATGACCCGGATATTCCTTGGGTTCCTCCTCGGCTCCCTCGCCATGGCGTACGCCGCGTTCGTCCAGCACCAGATCTACGCTGCACCACCATGCTATGGCGCGCCGCTCAAATGCGATGCCGCTCGGCAACCCGACGGTAGCATTCTACACAACAAAGTTCATGTTGCCCTGCAAACGCCCGCATACTTGATCTTAGCTCTGTCCGAGGTCTTTGCATCTGTGACGGGATTAGAATTCGCGTATACGAAGGCGCCAGCTTCGATGAAATCATTCATCATGTCTCTTTTCTTATTGACGTCTGCTGGTGGCTCGCTGCTGGGTGCATTGGTCTCTCCGTTTGCAAACGATCCAAATCTGGTCGGGCTATATATTGGTATTGGCACTGTTTGCTTCATATCTGGTTTGGTATTCTGGGCATTGTTCCGCAAATACAACGACGCGGAGGAGTCTCTTAACGACCTAGATCATATCATAGACAAGGTTGCGGTGGTCAGAGGAGTCCCTGAATTGGCCGTACCACTTCAGTCCCTCAGAAACAAATACGAGGGGTCGTCGTAAATTCACGAAATTTCACTGCACGTCAGGTTCCGTTGTCTGAGGCGTTCATTGCTCGCGTAAATCAGTTGAAACACTACCAACAAGTACTTCCATCGAGTTCGGCTATGAAAGAAACCACATAGTACAAGAGGAGTGCGCCAAACACCCACAGGCAAAGGAGGTGCACCAACTGCTGCCTCTGCCACGGCCACGGTCGCTTAAAGGTTAGAAACGCTCATGTTACTAATTCAGCACCATTCGAACGATTAATAAACCCCTGATTAATCTCCGCGAATTTTCTGCCAAGCTTACGACTTCTCACTTGGCTGCTCAACTTGCCTACCGCGGAATTGTGCCATAACTTTGACCAAGTCCTTGCGCATGTGGCCTTGGAGCCAAAGTGGCAGGGCTCGCAGTTTCATTGCCACTCCCCAGCTGTTGGCTGGCAGAACGATATAATTGCTTCGGCCAGAGAGGACGGCCTTGGCGATCTCCTCTCCCACGGTCTCCGGGTACAGCATGTATTGCATGAAGCCGTCACCCTTGGCGAAGCCCTCGAAGAGAGGGGTCTTGGTGTAACCCTGGCAGACGAGGACAGTCCTGATCTTCGGCGCCTTGTACAGGGTTGGGATCTCCGCCGACAGACCCTCGTGGAACGCAACTGCAGCGGCCTTGGACGCGGCGTAGTCGACCATATTCGGCGCAGTGACGTGGCCAGCCAGCGATGCGACGGTGACGACCATGCCGTGGTTGTTCTTGATCATGGAGGGGAGGAATTCCCGCGCGAGATGGTAGTGAGCCACGGTGTTGATGGCGAACGTAAGGTCGACAGCTTTGGGGCTGGACTCGACAATGCTCTGCTTGCGGGCGAAGCCAGCGTTGTTGATCAGGACGGTGGGGGCACCGAGCTTGGCGGTGATCTCTTGCGCAGTCTCCGTGATGGCGCTGGCGTTGGCCAAATCGCAATTGAAGTAGTGGACGTTTCGCGGCGCTGTTTGCTATGGTTAGCGCTGCGCGACAACTCAATTTTCGAGAGGCGCTACGTACCGGTGAATGTGAGTGGTTGGATATCAAGAACCGCGACTTTAATGCCCTTCTCGGCGAGCAAGAGCGTGACAATCTTGCCAATGCCATCGCTGCCACCAGTAACGACGACAACCTCCTTGTTCCAGTCGTAAACGTCGCTCTTGAAGTTGTTCAGCACAGCCTTGTCAAGCCATGAACTGGCGGCGCGAATCGCCCCAATGGCAAGGGCGATCTTCAGCCGGTCGAATATCTTCCCATTCTGACCAGCGATCTCTTGTCCTTTGGCAGTATACTTGCCCAGGAGGTAGAGTGGGAGAGTCAGATGAGGGTTCAGGGCGGTGCTCGTGATGAGATTGACGACCGTGTCGAAGGTAATTCCTGTGTCGATATATGAGCGCTTGGGTCGTAAAAGGCATTTCTCGTGAGTGGGAGAGGCTTACCCTCGCGCGCAAGGCTCCAGTTGCTTCGGATAGGCATCTCGTCTTTGGTTTACAAGGGGTTATAAAAGTAGTTTCGCAGAATCAGACGGTCACAGAATCGAAGTTAGTTCAGCAAAGGTGCTAGAGTATTAGTGAAGATGAAGAGTAGCAAGGCCGTAGTACAAGGTAAATACTGTGAAATCTCCCAAGTAGCCAAGTCCCAACGCCCACTCAACCGGCTATTTCACAAAGACATGACAACCACATGCAATTCAGCTGGTGCCAATCGCTGGACGATGCACCCCCATAATCACGGTCGCATGTCCGGGACGCCTGTCCTGGACGCCGAGAGAGTCGCCTGGATCGAGTCAACTCTAACACCAGTTCGGTCTCTCGACCGTCCCCAGATTAGGCGTCATAGCGTGCGGAGAGGTGGGGTTGGGACATGCCGAGGATCAATACAGGTACAAGTTGGCACGTGGTGGTTTATGAAGTGCAGACTGCTAACCTGAGTAATAGTTGCCAGAGGGGAGTAGGTAAGTGGCAACTATTTATCCAGTTGATAGATGATTATTGGATGAGGAAATGTTGGAAGCTAGGAAGTTTGGATCGTGATAATCATAGTACCATGCGTGGCGGCAGCGTTCTGGAGACTGGATTGATGGTCTGTCACCTCCGGCGGCTTCCTCCTATTACATTCAGGGAGAGTAGTAAATATCGACTTCCGTAATGGCAATGAATGAGTCTAAGACAGCATTTTATATCTCAGGAGAGGTAACGTGCGGAGAATAATGGTCTGGAGATTTCGACACCCTGTTATATAACCACTTAGGGCATCTGAGGTAGTTAGCAGAATCGCTCCTCTGCTAGTAGTATCTGACTCGATATAACTAGTTAACTACTGTATTTAAATAATGGATAGTTAACTAATAAGCAGAAGCTATTAATAGATATCTAGTCTACTATTGTTGTACATCGACGTCCTCTTATAGCAGCCAATGCAACGGAATTCGCTCAGAGCCGTAATTCGTGATCTGTGGGGTCATATTCCGTACAAAGTCATCAATCATAACATCCAGAACCCATAAATCAAATCACCAGCTAGGCGCCATGCGCTTCACCTTCGAGGATCCATCTCCTCCCGCTATCATAATAAATCCACGCAGTGATCTTGCTGTCAATTAAACCAGTCTCAATCTCTGATGATGACCCGATCATAGTGATGATGGTGATGTCCGTGGCTGCCATGACTGCTACGGCTGTCTCGATATTCTATCAATGGAATGCTTCGTACGCTCCTCCGGCTGTCCGGCCGCACAAGATCGTACTCATAGCTCCGCCGGTGTGGGTCTCGTGGAATTCGGGCGACGCGGATGGATGAAGAGTAGCCTGGATGGGCTGTGTAGTGTGATTCGCGACGTGGTGGAGGGAGGTAGTCCCGGTCGCGTGATGTCGTGAAGAGACACATGTTGAGAAAGGGAGATATAGTTTGAGCTTTCTGGGTGCTTGAAGATTATTGTGATAGACTTAAAGTAAACTCTGACGAAGAGAGAAGTGATAGAAGGAAAATCGATATTGGGTCGGACGGCTACTTGCTTGAGGATGTGACTTTGGACTGGACAGCGACGCGAGTAGACTTGCTTACAGGCATGAAACATTATTAAACTCCGGCAAGATTAGGAAAATCGGAGGACATTAAATATTTATACTGTGATCATTGTCGTGCGAAATCAGCACACCCAGGGAGGCGGAGTTTGAGGCGCAGTTATCATATTGGGTGCTGTTGCTTCATGTGCAATGGGGGCTGGAAGTTGAGGCTTAGGTTGTATGACAGTCTCGGAATACGGTACGTCACTGCACAGGTGTATTGACTTTCGAGTCTGGAAGCCAGGAAGAAGTGTTGTACGTGAATGATTCATGAACATGTTTGAATTGAAAAAGAGAACTAGTCTAGCACAAGAAGGCCGTCGACGTCGTCATCGTGAAGCGCCGTTATTATACATGTAGAAGTGAAGTATTCGCTCATCAGAAAACATGAAAGAATAGAAAAGTCCGAACGCCTCCACCATACCCTGCCGTTTTGGAATTATGGACAGAAAAAAGGGAATGATTCTAGTATAGAACAGGAGCTCTATGCGATGCTTCCTTCGCCCATAGCACTGACACTCGGCGCATCGATGTCCATCACTGTACTGAGCATACGGACAACCTTCTTCCCGGTTGGCGGACGAGCCACTAGCACTTGCGCTGGGCAGATGACGATTTCGTCTTCGCCCTCCCCACTATCATCTCCTTTCTTGACGACGAGCGGGAAAAGCACAATCTTGACCACGGCGCCCCTAGCTTCGAGGTCATCATTGCTAGCATTTTCTCCACTCCGCTCATTCATGAGCGCAGCATTGAATCGGATCTTCTCTTTCAGATCGCCGTGAGTGTCGTATTCTGGTTGGAGAGGCGGTAGCATGATGTATTCAGCTCGCTGCGTCCGCATCTCGATGGCAAGGGCGACAGCGAGTCGCAGCACGACTTGAAGAGAGTCTTGAAGTTGCATGGACTTCTCCGAAGGTGGCGGGAGGAGTTTGCTGAGGGTTGAGAAGACCTCTCCTGCAACAGCAGATGTGTCTTGGTCGCGTTGTGAGATGAACGCGGGTCGACGAGCGAGAAGGGTGAGTGTAATTGCGCGCCATTGAGCGACGGCGCTTCGAGGACCTAGAGAATGTTAGCAAACTTTCACTATAAGATGGATCCAAGCAACACATACCGACTTCGGTCAACAGTTGCTCGAGGCTCTTGAGTTTCTTTCGTTGCGACTGATCCAACCCGAAGAGGTATCGCATGAATACGAACTCCCAAATCATGCTCATCACAACGCTCATGAAGACGTCTCGCCTCTTGACCCGATCTGCGAGCAAGATGTCGACATCGGATCCATCGAGAACGGCATTGTCGACTCTTGTCTCGAGCCGTTCGTCGCGTAGATCCGATGTTAACCTGCATTGTCTTGTATCAGAGTTCTTCGAGAACCTCATCACCCATGATCGGACATGGTCGCAGAGCTGCTGACAAGCCATGTCGAAGTAATCATCATCTCGGACCTTGAGGAAGTCTTCTGTTTGAGTCGAGTTGAGCAACTGGTGTTGAAGTTGTCTGACTTGTTCCCTTGCTTGATCCAGTTCCGCCTGCACTTCTGCCAGTTGTTGGTCCTTTTGCTCCAAGGCCGAGTCGATCTGTTGTCGAACAACCAACGCCATCCCTGCCGTAAGCTCCGCATGCTCCGACCTGATCTTCCTGATTTCCATGTCCTTCTGTCTGGTCTCTTCCTGGAGAGTCGCATAGCGACCATTGACATCCTCCGCAAGATTTCTGTTTGCAATGGCCAAGTCCTCATTGTCTCCTGTGAGCCTTTCCACTTCCTCCTTGAACTCATCCACCATCGACCTAAGATCGACCAGCTCCTCCTCTTTTGACCTTAACTGTATTTCCCTCTCTGTTACCGCCTCTTTCACCCGCGCAATGGCGGCGGCCCCAGCTTCAGCTTCCGCTCGAGCCTCCTCAATGCCGTGTTCGGCTCGGAGTTGGGCATCTTGTAAGTTTCGATTTTCGGCGGCCACTCGGTCAAGTTGTGATTGTAGGTCTGTAATGAGAAGGGATTGTCGTTTTCGGAGGGTCGGTGCACGACCAGTCGGTGACATTGGCGACCTTGGGGCCTCGCCATAGCCTTCCTGTAGAGCGAGCAATGTCAGCTATCAACTCAGTTGCTAGATAAGTTGCATCATCCCCGAGCATATCCGAAGATGGAAGCATTATGGTGGTAGGAGAGAGCTATACTCACGAAAACATCACCCATCGCGTTGGCAACAGCGCGATTCTTGCCCTTGTCGCTCACTTCACTGAACTTGTCATAATCGGACGGACCGGCTTCGCCAAATCCTGGAGGTGAAATGTTACGAGGCGAATCCTGATCCTGCGCCGCGATGCCCAAAAGCGACAACGGCGCGGAGTGAATGGGTGCAGGTGTTGAACCTCTTGTCGCGCCAGGTTCTTGGGTTTCACTAAGGCGGCTGGCGATTCGGAGATCACCTGACAAACTGCGGTCCGTGCGCCTAAGTGATTGGTTGGAGCCGTGGCTGTGGTGGCTGTGAGCGCTCATTGCACTCAACGGTCGTCGTTGTCCTGCGGAGTCAGGGGTTCTTGTTCCTGAATGTAAAGGACTACGAAGTCGATTGACGGCTATGGATCTCTCGCTGCTTGGAGGAGGTGATCGAAGATCCCTTGGAGATTGTAGTGACGGGGATCCTAAAGAACGAGCCGAGTCTGCTGGGAGATCAAGAGTGTGAGGCGAACGAGGGGATTGAGCCAAGACATGGTCAAGACCAGCGGAATCTCTATGTTCATGATCAGGACTTGCATGTTCGGGTGGTGATAGAGATCGGAATCGGTGATGAAGACTGGCCTCTGGAGGAGATGTGCGTTGGGCCTTGTGGCTCAATGGAGACGAACCCGGCTCAGAGCCCTGCTCCTCGATCGTTGCAAGGTTCCTTGATGGAGTCATCGTTGAGTCTCTTCCAAGCGATCGCATGCTTGATCCAGTACCGAAAGGAGACGGGCTTGATTGATCGCCTGAACCACGGGGTGCCATTGACAAGGCTCCGGTATCAGAAGGACTGGTTGGAGTTCTACCAGCAATGGATGGTGTCAGATCCTCATCTGGGATAGCTTGTCTTGACTCATCCGGCGTCCTTGGTCGGCGTATAGGAGTATCTCTGATCGAAGGAGAGGAGCTGAAAAGGTACGAAGTTCTAGCCTTCGTGGTAGCATCCATTGGTGATGTGAAGGTAGAAGGGGGAGCAGTACCCTCCGCGAGGGATACCGGACGGCTGCGGGGAGGTACCATGTCTCTTTGCAATTCATCAACTAGTGTTGGATGAGCCGAGACTTCCCAATCCGATCCAACTTCGTCAGAACCCTGAAGCTGCTCCTTCGAGCTAGGCATGTTGCTGGATAGGGGCGGAGTGCTCTCGTGAGTATCTACACTCCTGGGTGCATGGTGCTCAGGTGGCAGAAGAATCGGTGTATCGTGATAGCCACTGTCTCTCGTTGTATCCGGCATCAATGGCAGGCTCTTTGTCTGGGGTGACCCGCCAATGTGGACAGCACTGTCACGATGCTCTTGTGGGGATGCCCATGTTGGTTCCTGAACGTAGTCGCGAATATCCCATATGTGATGGGCCTTCGATGGAGGCTCAGCTGTATTTGCCGCGGCTTTCCGCTTGACCCTTTCAAGGTTAGGGGATACCGATGAAACAACGCTTGTCTGTCGTGCTCCTGCGGCGGAAGGTGATTGCCGCTGCGGGGAATCTATGGCTGCAGCAAAATCTCTCGTCTCGATGCCATGTTCACCGAGCTCCTCGTTCTCCTGGTCTTGGGTTGAACTATCTTGACTTTTCCTTGCCATGCCCTTCAGTGCGGTTGCAGATGCAATTCCCAACCCTGCTCCCAATGCTCCGCTAATCTCGCCTCGAGTTCCCGATCGCTCCTCTTGCTCCTCCCACGGCAGTGTGCTGCCTCTCTTTCCCTTCTTGCCTTTCGTGCTTGGCTTGCGCATTGGTTTTATTCGCCGCCCCGTTGGCGTAGATGAGGACTCGATATCCCGAGGCGTAGAAGGGGGGTCGTGTGTCGTTGCAGTCGTCTTCTCCAGTTCCTGATTTGATACCTCCACCGGATTCTCGAGTTCATATTTCTGAGAGGTAGAGGGGTCGTGAAGATCTCCGACCGAATTATCAGCTAGGACTGCCCGATCCTCCGGTTCAATTGCAGCTGCTTCTTGCGTAGTGTTTGTCTCTGCAGCCATAGAAGCCTGCTTCGCCTTCTTGCCTTTCTTGCCTTTCTTCTTCTTCGTCTTTGTCACGGGGAATTCTTCCTCCAAATCTGATATTGCCGCCTCAGCTAATGCTTCTGCAGGAGGAGCATCCTCGGTGACGGCACGCTCAACAGCAGAAGGTGGAGGACTTCCAGGTGGTGAACGAGAACCCGAGCTGCGCTTCTTCCTTGGCCGTTGAAGAATAGGAGGGAGGTCGTCCGTAGTATCCAACGCTTCTTGCGGGCTATGTGAACGAGAGAAGACAGGGTCATCGAGTACAGCTTCCGGGCTGAATGTATTACTCTCCGCCTTAAGTGCGGGTGAGGGGCCTGGAGTAGTAGTAGCTTTGCTTGAAATGTGGTCTTCGAGGACCCCCCTTTCAGATCCAGCTTTGCGTGGACCAGATTGATGGACATCATCATCGTTGAAGGCAGATTCGGCTAGCGTAGCCGAGAATCCTGCGCTGACTAGGCCTGCAGTTGCAGCCGCAGCGAAATCGACATCTCTCTCAGCAGTCTGTGGTACGTGATAGGCGGTACTCGATTCTTGCGGCAATTCCGGGAAATATGAACTTCGCTCCATCGAAGTAGGTTGCCCAAAGAGAGATTCCGCAACCGATGGGATTGATGAGGGTGCATCGTCATTGAATTCAGTGATAGGCAAGTCTGGGGGTTGACTGATTTCCTCCGGGCGAGTACCACGTTCAAGGTCATCACGATCGTACTGCGGTTCTGAAACCTCCAGAGAAGAAACAAGATCAGTGTTGGGGCCATCGTCCACAAATTCTGCCATTTCAGCCGCTTGGTTGTCGGGAGTGGCGCGATCTTGCGTTTCCATACTGCTGTCTTTAATCTCCACATCCGTTGATTTCAGAGCCTGAGCACCTTCAGGTACTTCCATTGTATCACGTTCTGGTGAAGCGTCCCTTGGGGTTGCCAGGTCTGAAGGAGTTGTTGATTTTGCCTTTTTGCCTTTCTTCTTGCCCTTCTTACTCGACGTGACAGTGAAGGGCTGTTCAACGGGCTCACTAACAGAAGAAGGTTCGGCAACAGCGGATTCACCTACATCCTCAAACAGGAATGGCTGCTTCTTTGACTTCTTGCCCTTTTTCTCTCCTTTCGTGACGGGGAAAAACTCTTCTGGAGCATCGACCTGGTCAAGAGGGGTTGCGAAATCCTCTGGCATCTCTTCGACGGCGGATTCCTCAACCAATGTGAGCCGAGGAATTTCAACTGAGCGGTCTGAAGCTGGATTGATGGGCTCCTCTGTTCTTAAAGCCTTAGGCTGTTCGTGAGGGGTTGCGAAGTCATCAACTGCCTCCTCTTCCGGCGTAGGTTTAGTGGTTGCAATCGAGCGATCCGGCACAGAACTGGCTGGCTCCTCGTTTTTGGCGTCGGTTGAAACCTCAGCAGTCAGGTGTTCAGAAGAACCGTGTTGATCGACGGCAGCCAATTCCTCGACCATTGGTACGACATTCGTGTCCACGATTTCATCCTTAGCGGGTGGGGTTGGAACTTCAGGCCCGTCAAAGTAGGAAGCTAATCCAGCAGTCTTCTTCTTGTTCTTCTTGTTCTTCTTTTCCGCTTTGGTGAGCGCGGGTGTGAAGTCAGGATCCGGGGCCGATGATACCACGGGGGTGGAGGTGCTCGACTGCTCGAGCGATTCCTCAGCAACTGCCTGCTGGCCCTTACGCTTCTTCTTGTCCTTCTTTGACTTCTTCGATGGCACAGCCCATTCCTCTTCGACCGCCTCAGCCTGGGTCTCTGGAATAGGGGTAGGCAAATCTCCAGATTCAGCCTCCACAACAGCCATGGATTTAGGCGCAGGAGGCTCAGCTGCGAACGTGGAATCTAACGGATTGGTGGCAGTTTTAGCATCCTCGACCAAAAGAACGGGCTCGATCATATCTGAACCTGGGGGAGTTTCCAGTGGTGGCTCCTCTTGCGTACCCGAAGTTCCAACTTGAGTAGGACCCTCCTCTGATTGCGGTATGTTTTTGGTTTGGATGGGTGCCTCTGATTCGATGCCAATGTTCTTCCGCTTGTTTTTCTTGTCCTTTTTCGACTTTTTCGATGGCACCCTCCATTCCTCGTCAACATCAGCAGGCGCTTCCGTGTCCAAAGTAACGGAGTCCATGACTTCCTGTTCAGCCCCGACCACAGGTCCAGGTACAGTGGCCTCTGCTGCAGCTGTGAGTTGTGAATCAAGGAGCGGCGGTTCAGTAGCTTCGATGGGAGCAGAATCATCCGCTGTCGCATCACTTATAGCCATGCCCCCCTCCGGCTCCTTGACTTCGATGGCAGAAACGTCGGCTTGGGTTGAAATGCCCAATTGCGGTTGAAGAGTAGTCTTAGCTCCAGCAGGCTGATCTTCCTCGATGACGAGACCCTTCCGTTTCTTCTTCTTGTCCTTTTTCGACTTTTTGATCGGTTGCGTCCATTCGCTACCATCGGCCTCGACAGGCTGTTCAATTGGCATATTAGCTGTCTCGGGTAATATGGTTTCGGTGGGTTCAGAAAGAGAAGTTGATTCTTCGGCCGGGCTCGGTCTGGCTTCGTCTGATACTAGTAACCCTGGTGCCTCAAGGGTTTCTACGCCTTGATCGGTGGTCATGTCCCGATCAGCGAGGGTAACCGGCTCCTTCGGTTCAGGTTCAGCAGCCTTTGCTCCTTTCTTCTTTTTCTTGCTCTTCTTGTCCTTTTTCGCTGTCCAGGCCACTGCCGGTTCCAATTCAGCTTCAACACCTTTTTCTTCAACAGCTTCTGCAATATCCTGATCTTGGACGACATTGAATTCTTCAGCAGGAACTGTCTCAGCAGGTGCATGCTCGGTTTCGATAGGCTTGTCAAGACCCCCGTCCTCTACAGTCAGAAGTGGAACTGTGGCGGCGTCAATTGAGACATCATTTGTTTCTTCCAGTCGGGTGGCTGGATGTTCGGCTTGTGGCTCATGAACATCCTGTAAGTGGCCAGGCACAATCGTGGCCTCAACAGGGGATTGGACCTGGTGTTGTGTAGCTTCAATGTCTTCTGTTGCAGCATGAGGGTCGGTCACAACTTCAGAGGTACCCAAAAGGTCGCAGTCCATGTCAGAGAATTCAGGCAGATAAGTGGGCTGATGCTGCTCGGCTTGAGCACTCTCCGGTTTATTGAGGATCTGCGAAATATCCGCGAGGTCCTGCATCGGTTCGAGATCCCGAGATAATTTGTCATGCGGTGATTCGAAGGGTCCGTCGATGTCATCCGAAATTGGTTGGTCGTCCGGCTCGACCCCATCCTCGAGATTCTCGTCTTCAGTCACCGGCGGAAGAGGAATCTTCCGTACGTGGCCATCATCCAGTTCAGCCACAGGAGGGCTGATGTTCCACTCAGGTAAAGTGACTGAGTCGCTTTCGTGTTCCTCGAGTGTTTTTGCTGTGTCCGTTGGCTGCGTGACCTGTTCCTCCACATCGGGATTTGACATGAAGGGCTCATCTTGAAATTTAGCCTTGCTTTTTCTTATCTCTCTCTTCTTTTTCTTGCCTTTGCGTACAGGCTCGAAGGTCTCAGGCTCGTCGGGAGTGGTAGCAACAGGCTCTTCAGCCCTTATCTGGTTTTCTGAGTCTTGTTCCACAGGGACTTCGCGTTGAGATTCTGTGTTAGCAGGAACGTCTAGTTTTGGAGATTCCTCGATGGGAGTTCCTGCGAGAGGAGCATCCTCCAAAGCGGTTTCGGAGGGTGCAGCCACATCCCCGACAGGCTCAACTTGGCCCGGCTCAGTATCCTCCCATGCAGTCCAAGCGGCACGCTTCTTCTTGTCCTTCTTGCTCTTCTTTCCTGTTGACGCGGGAACAAATGGATCTTCCGCATCATCTATAGGTTGAACGGCTAGTGTTTGCTCTGCAGCGCTGGCGGAGACATCTCCAGATGGCGCTTCAGGAGTCTCTTCAAATGCAGTCCATGCTTTGGATTTCTTCTTATCCTTTTTGCTCTTCTTCCCGGTCGGGAGCAGCGGTGCCAATTCCTGTGCGGAAACCGGTTCGGGCCCTGAATCAGTCACTTCAATGGGGGTGTCCTCAGTGCATGAGTCTACAGTGTTCTCAAAGATTGATTGACCCTTAGTCTTCTTCTTGTCTTTCTTGCTCTTCTTGCTGGACGTGAAAGTGAAAGGATCCTCGTCAGGTTCAACGATGCCCTCAACCTCCTGCTGTGGCGGTTCGACTTCTGCTGGTGGGAGCTCCGCACTCGAGGAGTTGACAGAAATTTCTCGTTCGTTTGACTCCTCAGGAACCTCATTGAATACGGACTGGCGCTTGGCCTTCTTCTTATCCTTCTTGCTCTTCTTGCTGGACGTGAAAGTGAAAGGATCCTCGTCAGGTTCAACGATGCCCTCAACCTCCTCCTGCTGCGGCGGTTCGACTTCTGCTGGTGGGAGCTCCGCACTCGAGGAGTTGACAGAAATTTCTCGTTCGTTTGACTCCTCAGGAACCTCATTGAATACGGACTGGCGCTTGGCCTTCTTCTTATCCTTCTTGCTCTTCTTGCTGGACGTGAAAGTGAACGGGTCCTCTTCAGGTTCGTCAATAGCCCGAGGCTCCGACGGCTCGTCTTCTGGTGCTAGCAAATCCACACTAGGGGTATCGATGGGAACGTCACGTTCGATTGACTCCGTGAGCTCTTTATCAAATGTTGCTTCCTTGTTGGACGTCCAAAGAAAAGGATCCTCTTGGGGTTGGGCACTATCGTCCTGCGGTTGGCTTGACGGCGGCTCGTGGTCTGCAAGAGGCAAATCCACACTTGGGATATGAACGGGAACGTCGCGGTCGATTGATTCCGTGGTCCCTTCATCGAATGTGGTTTGGGGTTTGACCTTGTCGGGCGTCAAAGTCAAAGGATCGTCTGCTACTTGGATCGACGGTTCACGCTCTGCAAGTGGAAAACCCGGGATTGGCGCATCAATGTGAACTTCTTGTTCGATTGACTCGGTAGGCTCTTCGAGTACGGATTGGCGTTTGGCCTTCTTCTTGTCCTTCTTAGACCTTTTCCCCGATGGCACAAGGAATGGCTCTTCTTGTTCTGGTTCAACGACGAAAGACTCTGGAAGAATCTCAGCTTCGATTTCTTCGTTCAGAGTAGGAAAGGCGCCTGGAGATTCGTTCGCAGCAGCATCTGACTCCACTTCGTCAAGGACGGACTGCCGTTTGGCCTTCTTTTTGTCTTTCTTGCTCTTTTTACCCGATGAGGTGACGGACGGCACTTCCTTGTTGATCTCTTCGGCCGCGAGAGGCGCTTCTGATGGCTCTTGTTCTCGCAGTTCGACAGCGAGGGGCTCTTCCGGGATCTCGGCTTTGATCTCTTCCTCCAGACCGGGAACAGTGGCTGGAATATCCCTCGTACCATCATCTAAATGTTCTTCGTCGAACGTGAACTGGCGTTTGGCCTTCTGCTTGTCCTTTTTGCTCTTCTTGCCACATGGGACGGGGAAGGCCTCTTCTTCCATATTCGCTTCGGCCGGAGGAGGATCTTCCAAGGGCTCAATTTCTTCTGCGGCTGCGATGGTTTCTTCCGGAGTAGGAGTGGAGGCTCGGAATTCAGTAGCACCAGGATCAGGAAACTCCTCAGCAAATGTGGGCCGACGTTTGGCCTTTTTCTTGTCCTTTTTGCTCTTTTTGCCAGATGGTACGACGAAGGTGCCTTCTTCCTTGTTCACTTCGACCGCGGGAGGAACTTCTAGTGGCCCAGCTTCTTCTGCTGCAGCGACGTCTTCCTCCAGAGTAGGGGCGGCTCGGGATTCAATAGCCCCAGGGTCTGGAAGCTCCTCGTCGAATGTGGACTGACGTTTGGCCTTCTTCTTGTCCTTTTTGCTCTTCTTCCCTGTCGACAGGACAAAGGGTTCGACTTCTGGTTCTGGTTCCACCTCAAAGGGCTCATTCGACATCTCAACTACTTCTGGCACAGGAGCACCCTCGTGAGCATCCGGAGCAGCTATTGGAACGTCCGCTCCACTCGGAACAGGAATTCCTTCCTCGAAAGGCGAATGGCGTTTGGACTTCTTCTTCTCTTTCTTGCTTTTCTTTCCCGTGGGCAGGACAAATGGCTCCTCCTCTGGTCCACGTGCGACCTCGAACGATTCTTCTGGTACATCTTCTGGCATAGGAGAAGTTTCATCCTCGTCAGGCGAATTCGCTAGACCACCAGTCCCGCTTGTATCAGGGAGTGCTTCCTCGAAGGTCGATTGACGTTTGGCTTTCTTGACTTTCTTGCTCTTCTTTCCGGACACGAAAGCAATAGGGGCAGTCTGCTCTGATTGGACGTCGACATTGGGTCCCTCAACCACTTGTTCGGGGTTGGATTCTGTGGCGGAGAAGGCAAGGGGTTCGGTTTCTTCATCATCGAAGGCTGCCCAGCCCTTTGCTTTCTTTCCCTTTTTCTTACCTTTCTTTGATTTCAGAGTCTCCGTCCATTCCGGTTCCTCAGTAGTAGCCGGAAACGCTTCTTTGGACTCCTCTGACCCAGGCAGTGGTTCAATAACAGACTCATCTTGTGTCATGTCTTTGTCTTCAACTCCATGCTCTACTGGTTGTGGTGCAAGAGCAATGTCGTCGGCGACCAAGGAATGTTCAGTGTGTATCTCAGCTATACCACAGTCGCCAACAATGTCGTCCGTCTCCGGATCGATGACTGAGGGCTGTGCAAATGGGCCTTCGGCCACAGATACTTGGCCAATGGATTCCCCCACCGGTTTTGCTGGTTCCTCGAGGACGATTACCACATCTTGGTCAACATTGGTTGCGGCTGGCAGTTCGTCGCGAGTATCAATACGATGATCTGCCTGTGGGACAGCGACTTCTTGTTCCTGTGCAAATTCGGCAGCTGCTCTCGGAACGCCTGAGCTGGCTTCAAGTCCAGTTTCGATGGTGTCCCCAGCTGGGCTTGTAGTTGGAGCCTCCTCAACATCGTGGTGCTGGTCAACGGCTACGTCATCCGCAACAGATTCATCCGGAGTGGGCTCGCTCGACTTGCCGCCTTTCTTTCCTTTCTTCTTGTCTTTCTTCTTGGCCTTTTTGCTCTCACGGCGGGCTAGGAGGAAAGGGACTGGCGTCGCCGGTTCTTCTTGGATTAAGGCTGGCTTGCCAAATGCCGGTTCAGATGCCTCTCGCTCATGGATAGTAGCTGCTAAACCAGCATCTTCAATGACAGCGCGTTCTATTGGCTTGTCAGTCGGGTCGTCAGGGTGGGCTTCTTTGGGCTCTGGGGCAGAAGGTGGTGGCATAGCATGACCCGCATCTTGTCCAATCGTCTCTGGAAGCTTGGACTGCGTGATTTCGCGAGTTGGTCCTTTCTGATCATCCTTCAGGAGCTCATGCACAGCGAGACCAACAGCACCACCAATCGACGCTACTCCGGTGAACTCTCCAAGGGAAAGACCCGTAGGTACTTTGTCAAGATGCTCAGGAGTTGAAGGCCTGCTTTCCGGTAGGGCAGGTAGTGTAGAGATATCAAAATCTTGTACTTCCTCTGCTTCCAGGGTCGGCGCGGCCTCAGAAATTGGCTCGACGATTTCTCTTGGGGAATAGTAGCCGGGTTTTTTGACTAGCTGCTCTGGGGTCGAAGGCCTGCTCACTGGAAGTGCCGGTAGCGTAGAGATATCCAAGTCCCGTACGCTCGCTCGTTCAAGAGCTGGCGTGGCCTCCGGAATTTGTTTAGCTGTCGACACTGTTTCCAACCCCTCATCCAAGTCGCGAGTCTGTGTTAGGATATGATGCTGGCTCGCGTCGAGTTCGACTTCTCTGTCTGCAAGCAAATCCAAAACACCCGGTGGGAAGGTGGTAGCTCTTGGTGTGACCTCCTGCGATCCTAAAACGTCATCGAGAGTAGTGTCAACGAACAAATCGCGACCCTCATCGAAAGGCGCCACATCCGCGAAATCTGCAAAGCTTTGCTCCGGCGACTGGACCGCTGACACGAACTCCTCCATATCCTGCAGTGACGGGCTCCTTGACGTTTCTGCGCTCTCTGGAAGTTCTGGATAGCTGTCCTCAACCTCTGGAATCTGGCGAGTTCGCTCGACGAGGTAGAGTGGCCGCACTTCTTGAGTGTTGGTCCGATATTCTGCGGAATGGGTCTTGGTGTGCCGCAAACGGGAGGTGGGGGAAGGGGATTGGGGCGATTCAACAGGGGAGCTCACTGATGTGAGCCGTTGAAGGGTAGGCGTTGAAGACTGCCATCTGAAACGTACGGGGATGGCGGTTGTGGATTGCGAGCGTTGATATTCGAGCGGGGAAGACGGTGAATTTTCCGCGAATTCAGAGGAAGTTAGTCGCTCGAATGGAACGTCAGTGCTGGTGAGGCGGGGAGATGGTGGTTGGCTGATTGATCTTGAAGCAGCCTCGTCTCTGTTTGCAGCAGCCACAGCAAACGGATCCAACTGCATGCCATGCCAGGACGTTGGGCGCTCCTGGGATGGCAAAGTAAGGGGAGGGATTCGCTCCATCGAGTCCATCGGCGAACTCGATTTCGGGCTGACAGATGCTTCTTCATGTACATCTGGTTCATCGCTCGGAGCTGGTATTATTGAAAGATCTTCGAGATCTATTTCCCTGCTAAGGTCCTCTGTTAATGATCGTGATGATTGCTCAAAATCAGTAACGACAGGTTGCTTAGCGGGCAGAGGACCCTGTCCCATCTCTGCCCGCTCGGCTAAAAAAGACTCCTGATCGGAATCTCCATGTCTGCTACTACTTCGATCGTCTCGACTTCGGTGTTTCCGTCTGTCGTATTCTTTGGATTCTCGAGACTCACCATTTGACCGCCGAGATGAAGATTCTAGGCCATGATCGTCTTTGCTTCGCTTCTTATCGCTCCTCTCCCCAGATTGATGGGAGTGTCGATCTGGTTCATCATCAGAGCCGTACTTCGTCGAACCTGAGCGCTTCTTCTTGACACGTCGTTCATCAACGTCATGATCATCCACAGATCTTGTAGAAGTTTTTGACGCTTCAGATTGAGATGAGCCTTTCCCGAACAAGTTTCCCAGGATACCCGATCGCTTTTCCTTGACCTTGCTGCTGGAAGATCCCGGCTTTGCAGGTAAAGAGACCGTCGATCCAACCTCAGAGGCAGCATCATCGTCAACGCCTTTGGACCTCCGTTTCGACTTTTTGGGCGTTTCGAAGAAATCGGCAGGCTCTGAGACGACAGAAGTAGTTTCATATTTCTCGGAATCCCGTCGGCTGGCACGTTTGGAAGATCGATCTTCGTCGTAGTCATACTTGTCTCGACTCTTCCGGCGTGATTTCTTGTCATCATCGAATCGAGCACTCGCCTTCGCCTCGCGACTACGCTCATGATCTTCGTGCTCGGAATCTTCCTCCTGGCGAGACTTCCGCGACTTCGAACTCTCACGATCGCGCTCTTCGGCATACGAATCCGGTTCCTCGAAAATCTTGCGTGTCTCATCTCGATCAATATTGGCATCGCCAATACTTTCTACGGACCTTTCGAAATCGTCATCGCGATTCTTGCTCTTCTTCTTTGCCTTCTTCTTTTTCTTCGGCTCCTCAAAGTCGGCGAAGCTGGCATCTTGAGGAGCATCGGCTACATCCGCGACGGACTGACTTGGCCGGGAGACATATCCCGAGTCAGCCACGGACTGGGAGAAATCTCGGGAGGTTGCGAGCTCATCATCGATGTCCTCGGGCAGTGACGCCCGAGAAGGAGAACTGGTTGCTTCAGGAGAGAAGGCTCTGGAACCTTTCTTCTTCTTTTTCTTCCCCTTCTTGGAGGATGGAGGTTCTTCTTCGACGATGCTACGATTCCCATTTCGCGTTGGCTCATCTTCCATGCCAATTTCGCGAGCGATCGTAGACGCAGCTGCACCCGCGGCTGCTGAAGCAGCGATGTCGGCGAACTTGGACTTCTTCGACCTCTTCTCACGAGGAGGTGTTGGTTCCGGAGCTCGGTCGAGTACCGGGGAGTCTTCCTCATCGTCAAATCCTCCAGGCATGGCTGAATGTGCAGACCGTCTAGGTGTCCTCGGCTCCTCTTCTTCCACTTCGCCTAAGACAGCGCCATGTCCAGTACCAGGAGGCTCGTCTGCATCAAATCCAAGGTCTGTGACCGTCTCATAGAATGGGGTTCGATATAACGAGCCCCCCTCCTGTTCACCAGGCGTAACGACCACCGGCTCGACGTGTGGTGAATGCGATTCATACACCTTCTCCTGTTCCTCATCCGAATTCACGACGCGCCGGTCATCTGTGATGTCACCCTCGGTATCTCGTACCGGAGAGTGTGAGACGCTGCGGCGTACAGGAGATGGGATGCGAATTGGTGAGATATCCCGGGACGCAGCCCAAGCTGGCTCTTCCGTGTTCTCATGCTTATATGTTGTCCTCTTCGGACCCTCTGGATCATCCACGTCGACGGCAATCTCATAATGAGCTCCCCTGGTATCTGGGTCGGCATTGTAGCTGTCCCGGTGACCCTCAGGCGCCTGTACCTCGTAGTGGTGGGTCTGATCTTTGCCCCAGGTGACTTTGCTTCCCGTACTCCTGGTTCGCTCGTCCGCAGCGCCAGCTGTTGTGGGTTCAGCGGTTGTGGGTTCAGCGGTTGTGGGTTCAGCGGTTGTGGGTTCAGCGGTTGTTGGCTCGGGGACCGTTGGCTCGGCGACTGCTGGCGCTGAGGGGGTTGGTTCGGCAGTTGTCGTTTCAGCGGCCCCGGGTGGCTCCGATGGAACGGGAGTAGTAGCCCGGCTTGGAGGCGGAGTAGGCTCAATCAGCTTAAGTGTCGGCACCGGCCAAGGATGCGGGCTCAACCCAGCCACATGCAGCGCATATGGCTTCTCATAAGGAGGAACGGACCTGCTTGCCATTGCAGCATCGTGCGGGTCATGGTAGACCGTCATATCGTTGTCCGCATTCGGTTCAATCCTCGGGCTTGCCGGCGCGCTATGATCTTTGAGGATATCTGGCGTGAAGAAATCGGCTTGGTTGACTGGTCCAGCTTCGTACTTGTGTTCCAGATCTTCGATAACTCGATCCGCCGCACGCCTTGCAAGCTCGGCTTCTTTCTTCGATCTCGCCTTATCTTCAGGCTCTGGAGGTGACTGCGGCTGCGCCTGTTTTGCCTTTCGCCGTTTCTTGAAGAAGTCGGGGTCTGCGAGCGCGTCCCCGTGAACGAAGTCAATAGCGACTTGGGAAGGCTCAATCGTGACATGGCGCGCCTCGCGCACAGCATACGATTCTTCTGGCGCAACGATTGGGATCTCTTTCGGTTCCACGACCTGATACGGTTCCTTTGGAGCCACCGTTCGGAATTCCCTCGGCTCGACAACCTTCTCATGCCGACTCCCCTGATCGCTTTCAGATCGCGACATCATCGTCCCAGCAGCCACGGCGACCGCACCAGCAACGGCGGCTGCTGCAATCGGCACGGCAGGATTATGGCCCAGAGCTTTCTGCTCCCGCCCTCGAAGCTCGATTTGCTTCCGCTCGATCTGGCGATCGATCTCCGCTTCGTGGGGTTTCGGTTCGGAGCTTTTCTCGTCTTTGCGACTGTACAATTCGCGCTGTATCTCTTCTCGTCTGGCTCGGGCAGCTTCGTATTCTTGTTGTGCGCGCGCCGCTTCCTCTCTGGCACGCGTCGAAGAAGAATCACGTACTCGTTCCTTCGCCTCTTCTTCCTCTTTCTCTCGTCGGCGCATCCGGTTCTCGAGTTCCTCCTGCTCCTCTCTTTCTTTCTGCCTCATCCTCCTCCTTTCGCGCTCCTCCCTTTCCTCTTGCTCCTTTATAACTTGGCGTTGTCGTTCTCTTTCTCGGTCTCGGTCTCGTTCGCGTTCGCGTTCCCGCTCCATCTCCCGTTGTCGCTCTCGATCTCGCTCCTGCTCCCGCTCCGTCTCCATCTCCTCCCGCTCCCTCTCCTTCCGCCTCGCCTCCCTCCGACTTACCTTCTCATCCTCAAACCTCACATCCCCCCTCTCCCTCCCCTCTCTCCTCCCCCCACTACTCAGTATCCCCGCCACCGCCATCCCCGCCGCCCCCGCCACTCCGGCATCCTTCAACACTGACCCCGTACTCGGCGCCGGGCTCGAATCCCGCCTCCGCAACCTCTCCGCCATCGACGCACTATGCGACGGAATCTCCGAGTCGTCATGCGCATGCCCATACCGCACTCGCGCATCATGCTCCGCTGGCGCAGATACCGGAACCCCAGGGATGTAACTCCCGGACGTCGCGTACACCTCCCGGCTTACCGGCATCACCGGCCTGGGCGCCTCCATCGGCACGTCAGGCCGCGAGGTGAAGATCATGGGTTGCTGGTTCGGCCCCGTAGGCTGGATTAACGGCGACGCGGAATACGGCGTGATCCGGTCCCCTGCGTCAAACCGCGTCGGGTCGCCTGTCGCGACGGGGTACACCGTCTGCATCGGCCCGGAGGGGAGGACGCTGCTCTGGCTAGACATGGCGCTCGCGGCGGTGCCGGCAGCCGCACCAAGAACACCGGCGGCAGCGAGGTTGGTGGATGAGTGCTTCCGTTTCTTCTTCTTATCGTCGTCTTTCCCACCCCAGCGCCATCCCCACTTCGAAAGGCCGCCCCCACCACTGGCCGAGCTGGCAACGGAGATGCCAGAGATGAGGCTGTCGGTGGACTTGCGGGCGGGGGACTTGGATTTGTAGGCGAAGTCGCCGTACGCAAGGGCGCTGGTGATGCCGCTGGAAGCGGCGGAGACGTCGGACTCGACGCCGGACTCGTCGACCCAGGTCTCGTCGTCGTCGTCGGCTGAGGAGCTGAGGATCGAGGAGCTAGAGGAGTGGCGGCGGCGGCTGGATGCGGCAGTGGAGCCGAGGGTGTCCCAGCCGCGGTGGGAGTCTGCGCGGACGGGGCGACGGCGGTCTTTGATGGCGACGACTTCGCCGTGGGAACCGCCTGCACCAGTGTGGGCTCTATGCTTGCCTTTGCCGTGCTGTGCGGCGGCGAGGGCAGCAGAGGTGGCGGCCAGACCGGCAAGAGTGGCGTTGAGGTTTTCATGGGAGGACTTGCGCTTGGCTTTGCGGCCTTTGGAGGATCGGTTGCTAGAGTGGCGACTGAGGTCGAGCTTGGAACCGTAAATAAGGCCGTCGTCGGACGATTCGGAGGAGTTGGAGCCGTTGCCGAAGTTGAAGAAACCAGTTTTCGTCTTCTTCTTCTTCTTTGCCTTCGACTTCTTCCGTCCTGAACTCGACGCAGCAGAGGCACCTAGCATTCCAAGACCAAGCGCAGCAAGTCCGGCGTTCTTTCCCTTTGGAGATTTTCGATGCTCGCCGTGCGACCGAGATGAAGATGCAAGAGAATAGCCGCTGTGACCGTGCCGCGGATGGCTCACGCCAATGGCTGCCAGCTTATTCGGGCTTCGACTGCGACTCCGGCTCTTATGGCGTCGACGCACCTGCACGTGCTCCTTCCTCGCAGGGCTCCGCGAAGCATGTCGATGTTTCGAAGAGGACGATGCTCCCAAAAAGGTCGCACCTGCGGCTGCCCCAGCAGCGGCACCGAGTATCCCACTCGTCCGGTCGCGAGACCTAGACCGAGATCGCGAACGATGCCGATCGTGTCGGACTTTGTATGCTTTTCCATTGTGCGTGATGCCGGTGTCCACGCGGGATTGACGGTCTCGGCTGCGACTTCGATGACGGCTGTCATATCGCGGATCGTTTCCGATGTATTTGCCTGATTTGACGGAGTATGTATCATCGAAGTCCTGGTTGTTCCAGATGCCCTTGGCGGCCTTCGCGAGACCATATGCGCCGAGTCCAGTAGCGAGAACACCTGCCTTGCTGGTCTTCTTCTTGCGCTTTCTGGAATCGCTATCCGAGCCGGACAGACTGATCTTGCTGGAACCCGCCGTGTAGTAGCGCTGGTCTTTATCCACTCTTCCACCGAATTCTCTCGACCTGCGTCGTTTTGCGGAATTATGTTTGCGTGGCGCATCCGCAGGGCTACTATGAGGGTCAAAGCAATATCGACAGACACCAATGTATTCGGTATATGCTTCCATCTTCGCGATGTCTTCGTAATCTTTCCACCATTCGACCAACTTGCCTATCGGACCATGGTGCCGCTGATGATGCTCCATGTGATGTTGAAACGCCATCGCCCCGCCGCCCATCCCCGCCGCATATCCTGACGGACCGAGCGACCCAGGTGGACCTGCACCCCCAGACATGTACGATCCGGGCGGTGGAGCGGGGGAAAAGCGTGGTGAGGTTGATCCGTTGTGATGGTGGCCCAGCGCATACGCACCAGCAGCTAGACCAGCTGCACCAGCCGCATAGGCAGGGAGGTTCGAGTGGTCGTCCGAAGAAGAACTGTCTCTTCGCGAAGGTTTCTTTCCATTCTTGCCGTTCTTGCTAGGCTTGCCAGACAAAGATCCAGCAGGAATGACTGTCGACATGGACGAATTGGCCCCTTGTTGGTATAAAGCGCCAGCTTGCGTTGAGCCATTCGAGTGTCCACCATGTCCCAATCCATAACCCAGGGCTGCGCCTCCAGCCAATGCTGCTGCGGTGCCAGCAGATGAGTGCTTGCCATTCTTGCCTGGCTTGCCAGGCTTTCCAGGCTTCACAACGTTCTCCGGTCCACTTGGTAGGTTGGCGTGTTGTTGTGACCAGGCACTCGATGCGCCCTCCATGCCCGCTGCATGCTCCGTGTAGTAATCCGCAGCAGTTCCCTGCCCAGTATCTTCCGCAGGCGTTGGAACAGCTGACGCCGACATCAAATGCGGCTGGGCGCCGGTAACAACTGGAGTGTGTGGTCGAACGCCGGGTTGACGGAGAACGGATTCGCCGCCATCGCCGTAGAAATCGGCGGCAAGTCCTGGGCCTCCTTCGGATGCGGCGATCAGCGGACGGAGCGGTGGTCCGGCGAAAGTCGCAGGATCCTGGCCGGGGAATTGCGAGGAGACGTGTTGCATCTCTCCGTATGAAGTCGAGGACGGTCGACCGATTGGGCCGGGGCTGGTTGATGCGCCAACTTGGCCAGGGAATTGCGAGAAACCGGCACCTCCGACTTGCGCGCTGAAGCCAGCCCTGGAAGTTGAAGGAGCATCATCTTCTCGTGGGCTAACGATGCTGGGAGCACGAGAGCCGGCATATCTCGAACCTTCCGAATCTCGTTTGCTTCTTTTCTTCTCGCCATTAGATTCGCTCTTTTCCTTCTTATCCCGCCGCTTCTCCTTCTCGTCATCTTTACTCCGCTTCCCCTCTCTATCTCGACTTCGTGACCGATCTCTGCTCTTCGAGCTCTTCTTGCGATCGTGGCTGGTCGATCGCTCCCGATGTTTGTCAGACTTCGACGATCGTCGCACCTCGCCTGTTTCGCTTCTGTCGTATCGTGCAGAGTCATCTCTCGCATCCAAAACATAATCATCCATTGTGCTTGCTCTCTCTAACCGGCCCGTTCTCGCTGTTGCATACGATGATACGGATACGGATGAAGGCGCCGGAGGAGGGTATGAATTCCGGTGACTAGGCTCGCGAGGTCTCGTCCAACCTTCCGTTGTCGTCGCAGGTTTCCTGCTCGTCGATGAGGTAACCACGGACTCAGTCCTCCGTTTCGAAGACGATGGCACATCCTCCCAGTCTCTATCTTTCTCTCGTGTTTTATCTTTCTCTCTCTCGCGATCGCGCTCCCGCCTCCGACCATCATGCGACGTGTCGGAGGACTTTCCGGTGAGCTTGCTCCACATGGTGTTGGGCGAGAGCTTCGTTGCTCAGCGGCAAACAGATGGAGTGCGCGGTGCAATAAACAGTAAACATAGGGTTTAAGGGATCATGTCAGGAACTGGTACTGCGAACCAAACTTCGTCGCGATGAGCTCTCCAACAAAGCGGGTTAGTTATGGGGATACTCCACTGAGGGTTGTTGTGGCAAAACTAAGGACGATTCGCAATTGGAGACTGCACGCTGGTGTCGTTGCTAGCTGAAAAAGGCGTGAGGCTGGGCCAATAGCGCGGATCCCGGTTCGTATCCCTGATGGTGAACCGCCGAAAGAAGCCGTAAACATTCGTCGTCAAGTCGTTAATTCGTGATGGGATTTATACAGCACTTTTCTACGGAAGTAAGGCAATGAAAAGACGATAACCAAGTTGCTGTCGGACAGTTCCAACTGGATCATGATCGTCGTTCAGGATTCCGTATCAGGATTCTGTGTCATCTGATGTGTGGACGACAGGATAAGATGCATGATTATGTAACAGGGTGATATCACGTGCCAGAGCTCTCCTCGCAGACACAGGAGCCATCCCTGAGGGTCAGATAAATCTACCGACTCACACCCCAGCCAAACTTCTAGTTCACAACTTAATCTAGTTAAAATAGATGTTCGACGGATGGACTAGGTCGTCGCCTGGATCTGGGAGGCTCATGGCTAGGTTTGAGAGTTGGTTAGAGTTGCGAGATCTGGCCTGCAGGCGGGCACTTTTAAGGCTCAACGGAACGGTTCAGTCGCTGAGCTGGTCCCGATCATCCGGCCAAAGCACTTTCAAGCTGTGTATGATGATGTAGGTAACTTACCTCTTATGCAATCCGTACCTCGATTCGGCGGAGAGAAGGAATGCCATTTCATTAGGCAGAGGATGATATCATCTTCACGTACACCATTCGTAGTAAGTGGCCATCATAAGTCTTGACCGGGCAAACCTTGAGTCTATCCCTCTATCATCATCACAGTCACCATCACTACACTGACATTATGAACTCAAACTACTCTTTCGAAGTCTAGGTCGCTCACGATGCCTCTTCAGTTGATGGTCATATGAAGTGGGAGTCCTATGAGCCAAAACCTTTTACGGATACGGACATCGACATTGCAATCAGTCACTGCGGCGTTTGTGGTAGCGACATTAGTTCTCTCCGCTCAGGGTGAAACCCCACCGACTACCCTATTGTTGTGGGTCATGAAATTGTTGGACATGTCATCCGCGTTGGGGAAGCAGTGCGTGATATTAAAGTTGGCGATAGGATCGGTGTCGGTGTGCAGTGCAATGCCTGCCTTCGAGCCGACTGTGAAAGATGCTCGGCGGACTTGGAGAACCACTGCAAGATCGACTTCGTCGCAACCTACGATTCGACGTACATGGATGGACAGAAGTCGTACGGAGGATACGCGAAATACTGGCGGGGTCCCGCAGCTTTCGCATTTCACATACCGGACGGACTGGCTTCGGGAGCAGCAGCCCCAATGCTATGCGCCGGCTTGACAGTGTACTCGCCTTTATTGAAAACGGAGCTGGGCCAGGCAAACGTGTTGGCGTGGTTGGAGTTGGAGGATTGGGCCACTTTGCCATCCTATTCGCAAAAGCTCTCAAATGAGATAAGGTTGTTGCGATATTGCGGTCCTCAAGCAAGCGAGCGAATACTCTGAAGATAGGGGCCGACCAATACATCGCAACGGAAGAGGAAGAAGGGTGGTCAAAGAAACATGCTGATTCATTGGACCTCGTCATATCAACCGTCTCAGGTCCAGGCATGCGGTTGGAAGAATATCTAGCCCTCTTGGATGTGAACGGTACAATGGTTCAAGTCGGCGCACCGGCGGGTCCGATTCCATAATTCTCGGCCTTTGCGCCACTATCAAAGAATCTCAAACTGGGGGGCAGCCTGATTGGATCACGGAGCACAGCGAGGAAGATGTTGGAGTTCGCGGCCAAAGAAAATCTCACACCATGGGCTGATGTTCGGCAACTGGCTGAAGCAAACCAAGTCGTACAAGATATGGTTAAAGGAAAGGCGAGATACCGGTACGTGCTAGCGAATAAATAGAATGCGTCTTCATATGGCTATCTGTTGTCCTCAGAATGCGACTATTTAATTCATTCAGTCCCGTGATATCTCTCCGAGTCCATCCCTCAAGTCGTATATCTAAAGGTCAGCACTGGGAAGATAAATACAGTCGGATGCTGCGGGATATATAAAACGTAGGAGGGGCCGCTGAATAGAAGGGCCATATTCTGCCGGCCCTCGTAAGCCACGGGATTGTATCTCTTATTGAACACCGAACTTCTTCATTCGCCGAGATAGTAAAAGGTGGGCGTCGTGGCATATACAGGTTTCGGAAGTGGATGCTCCACAATAGCCTCTCCTCTTTGCCTGGCGTGGTCCTATTACCTAGCACTGGTCCCTTTGGCCCCGATTCATTTGGCCTGGTATCTGTACTGATGATTTCAGAGGCCTGTACGACTCGGAGGTCATGCAATAACGCTTCGTGCAGTCCCTTTTTTCTACCAGTCCCTTGATATTTGTCCTGACGGTGCGTATGGTACTTATACCAGGCAAGGATGTCTGCGGATACCAGTGTTGTGTTCCAATTTCGACTAGATCGTTGAAGCGGTATATCGCGTCTCCTTCTGCGGTCCTAGAGCGAACATTGTTCCTTCAAGCACTGAATGCGACTAAGCTGACTGTCGATTGAATAAGATGTCTTTCAAATTTGTAAAGAGCCGAAAAAGGATGTTTGTTTTCTGTTCATAGAACACTAACGGCCTGGTCTTATAGGAGAAACCGCTGCCAGAGGACTCATATACTCAGAACAATACGCGTCAGTGTGGTTACTATAGGGGATAGAATTCTTACAGTCAGATACGTCGAGCTCACCGACTGATGCTGCTATTCTGGAGTCGGGGACACAGTTGTCGGCGGTGCCAGCTGCTGTATCATCAGTCGTTATATGGAATGACATGCTAGTTGTTAGGCGAACATGCTAATAGTATTCCGATAACGCTATAACAGCGTTATACTCGGACCAAGGACGGCCTTGACCTACAGGTACTTAATCACATGCTTCATTTAGTTTACCGTTACCCGTACTCGATCGAAAACGGACAATCTTCATCGTTCCAGTCTCTGAGTCCATTAGTTTCATTGGAGTCAAAGAAGCACATCGTGGACGCCTATCACTGTTGGGTTCCGCCAACGAGGTATCGATACGTTCGCTGTCTGTCGCTGATTCAGAATGGCTGCGTTAGATTTCGACGCAGTTCCAATCATGTATCGATACGCGACACTGGGAGTAGTAGTTGTGCAGCCTCTGCTTTATATACAGAACCAAGTGAGTCATACTTTGTCCATCAGGGGTGAAGTCGATTCATGACACTGACAAATGATGCTAACTGCTGAACCATTTGGTTAATCTAAATCATGACTAAATCCCTAGGATATCTCATATACGCAATCATGTCACCAAAATCTACAATCCATCTCCCCCGTCAATTACAGCACGCACTCCCATTCGTCTCCACCGTCCCCTCCGCCGTCACCACCCCCTCCACCCCCGGCTGACAATGCTGCGCACTCACCAGCGTACTCTGATTGAACCGCTGCTCACTCGGCGGCACATCCATCGCGGGGTTCTTCGTGAAGAAATTCACCGGCTTGAAATGGCACTGCAGGGTCTCCACCGGCATCACCGGGAAATCCTCGATGCGCGGCACGTGGTTGATCCCCATCTGCACGTACACCACCAGATCCTCGTCGAGCACGTTCTCCTTCCGATTTGCCCAGCTGCGCACGCCGGTGCCGCCGCGCGATTGGTTGGTATACTGACCCCCCGGGTACAGCTCGTGGTCGACGTACTTGACGACGTAGATGTTGTGATCGGAGAACTCGGCGCGCTTGTGGTTGAAGGACGAGGGGTCCGAGAGCGTGAACTGGAACGGCGGCGGCACGATCTTGTAGGCAACGGGGAGGCCGTTGATCGGGTTCTTGACGCCGGCATTCTGGATCTTGAAGAGCCGGTTGCGTAGCGGGTCGAGATCGTAGCCGCCCGACTGCGTGATCGGCGTCGTATGCACCTCGTACCCGTTACCGTGCGGGTTGAAGTCGGATTTGGGCATCGGGGACGCCTCATCGTAGACAACGCGGTTGCTCTGCCCGTCGAGGTGCGGGTCGACGCGTAGGGAGAAGATGTGCTGGTGATGGACGGCGAGGACGCCGGGGTGGACGACGGTGCCCCAGGGGACGGAGAGGCCTTCGTCGATGGGCTGGGTGCTGAGGATGCCGGTGGCGCGGACCTCAAAGGTGAATTCGCCGGCTTGGTTGAAGATGAAGGCGACGATGTACTCGTAGTTCGCGACGGTCATGATGGTTTGGACGACCAGCTGGCGCTGGCGAACGACGGCGGCGCGGCCGGTGCGGAAGTTGGTGTGCTTCCAGCCGATGCCGCCGTCTTGCTCGTGGATGCAGATCACATTCTCCATGGGCAGTGGTTTGCCTTTGGTGTCGGACAACACGGAGTTGAGGTAGTGGATGGATCCGAGACAGTCACATCCGAGCTTGAGGTTGTTCGCCATAAGACCCGCTCCAACATCACCCAAATCAAAGGCCGACTTCCGGTGGAAAGGGCTTCGTGGATCCGCATAGGGGACGTTCATCTCCGCCAGTGCCACTCTGTAGAAGAGCGGTCGACCCTCGTACGAAATCTAGAGAGTCAGTAAATTCCTCCTACCACAAAGGGGTGCACCTACATCATGCAGAACCGGACCCTCTCTCATATTGAACCCCACCCTCATCCTCCACTTCTGCCACTCTAACACGCTCGTCTCCCCCGCCTCCGTCACCGTAAAACTCGCCCCCTCCGGCTGCACCATCTGCAACGGCTTCAAATCCGTCCTTAGCGTCTGATACTCCGGCAAGTACTCATTCGCCGGATACACCGTGGTCTTCCCCAGCTCCTTGATCGCATTATCCCTCCCCGTCGGCACCACATCCACCCGCACCACCCGGTGATCCACCGCGCTCATCACCGGCGAGATTGGCAGCGGCAGCGCATAGTAATTCGAGTCCACCTCCTCGCTGTTCGAAGGGTCGCGCATGTACATTAGACACTGGTGCATCCGCTCGTCGTCGTCCACCCCGTCGCTGCCGTAGATCCATGGGTCCAGCACCACCACCGTGCCCTCGGGCAGCTGCAGCTTCGCGATCGCCGCCTGCACGGACGGATCCGCCAACGCGATCTTCTCGAGGTCGATGAGCTCCTCGCTATCGGCGGGGGCATGGTAATTTTTCGGGAGGAGTTTGTTCTGGACGACGGAGGCGGAGGAGAGTTCGACGATGGCTTCATGGAGGCGGTTGGTGTTGCGGATGTAGTAGTTGACGAAGGCGTGGCGGGGGAGGGAGGGGGTGGGGTCGCCGGAGCGTTCGGCGGCGAGGAAGGGGAGGACAGAGGCTTTGGGGGGCTCGTGGAGGGTGATGGTTTTGAAGTGGAGGTCGACAGTGGCGGGGAAGAGGGCGTGGATGAGGGAGGCGGCGGATTGGATCTCGGCAGCGCTGAGGGGGGAGAGGGGGTGAGGGGTGGAGGAAGGTTTGGAGCGGATGGGGGGCGAGGAGCCATTGATCTCGGTGGCTGCTGGAGGAGACATAGTGAGATCGTTTGCGGGAATGACTTGAAGATTCAATAGGAGATGAAGTTCGGGGACAATGAGGACGTAGAGGTGACGATAAGGGAGTTCGCCTCCCGTTATATATAGTACCGATGCTAGCCAGTAGTACAGAATTGCCCCCTCATCCAACAAGCAACTCGTCCATCAGCGTATCTATCAATACACAAACGGCAACCGATTACGCGTGGTATCAGTTCGGTGTATTTGAGAATCTCACCTTCATCACCACCCACGTTCGTGGCGATTGGACAATGGTTGCTGGTTCTAGGGACGTAGTAACTGCAGGGTGAGGGGTCCGGAACGCCTCCATGGATCATGGTCTCCTCCTTGTCGGATATAGTGTACCGTTTCTGTATAAGGGGAATATCCTAGGCGTCTAGGCAACATAAGCGTCAGATTACTTATCTCTGTCTCGGATTTCCTGCGAGGAGATCCTGCGAGAACCGGTCATCGTGATCATTTGAGGGAAGGTGGGCTTTTTGATTGGGCCAGGTTATTTCTATGTAGTTGACTATAGTAATGACTTCCACCTCGCCCTTACGATTCAAATTCTAGGACAATCGTGCTTTGATTGCTGCAATGCCCTCCAATTCAATGCGAACTGGATGGGTTCTAGTTAGTCCGGAGTCGTACTGTGGTTCTGCGCTATCCCCGCCCTTATCTTAACACCCCTCACTAGCTGGATATGGCAATCCGATGCGTGCCCACTGCCCACCAAACCCCAATCGGCGGATATGGGGCACGGTACTTTACGTATGTCGTATATCAATCGGATGGAGCAAAGGGAATTCAGGATGAAGGATATGGTAGCCAGACTGATTCACCCAACTGTTTCCCACGAATCCCGAACAGGCACCTGGATATCCACCTGATAGTCCTCGCCGTCCACCGATTGTTCAGCACCAAGAATCTAGCCTACTCCACCGACCGACAATACCAAACTGAATCTGGATTGTTTCATTGCCGAGTATATCCATGTAGTCTCGTTTTCTCATCTATCATACAATATCCATCCCGTCCGTTCAATCCCCGTCCCTTCATCCTATCCTAGTCCGATCATCCGTCCCTTCTTCCTCGTTCATGTGCTTTTCGTTCCGCACTGCGTCGGATCGGCCTCCTCGGCGTCGGGGATGATCCGGTTCCCCGTGTATGAAGAAGGGTATAATGATGCTGGTGTGTGTGAGAAACATGCGAAAGAAAAATGCTGGCCGCTGCGCCGTGGTGATGCGATGTGCTGTGGTGATGTGCTGTGTGCTGCCCGTGAAGTTCGTCGTTGAGACTGTCTCTTTCCTTTGGACATGGAGAAATGAGTGAAAAGGAAAGCATATTGTGCCATGAGGTTGGAGGCAAAGGGAAAGGGGGGAGTACAGGAAGGGGGTGTAGCGTATAGTGGGGGAATTCGCACAAAGAGAGATGGGAATGTTCAGTGATCGCCTCCCCACCCATCGCCGTGACAGGTAGAAACGCCGGATGGCAACATAATCCCGAGTCGAAGCACCGCCGTCTGCTCGTTCATCTTTTCCAGCAATGCACCGTTCATTAAGCAACGAGCACATCTTGTTCCGCCCCGCCTCAATCAGCGGCCCCTGACGCCCAATCCACGTCCCACGCCATCAAACCCCTGACCCCACGCCTTCTGCCAACTACTCCGCTTCCCCCTCCCCTTCTCCTCCGCATCCGCCTTCCCACCCCCAGGCGACAGCCCCTCCTCCACATCCATTTCGAATAGTTCCTCCTCCTCCGTCTCCGCGATGCCATGGCTCGGGATATTCGACGACGTCGACGTGATACGCTTCATCGGCGGCGCGGGCGCGGGCGCAAGACTCGCGGTGTCGGCAGTCGTTCGGGAGGGGGGCTGCTCGGCGATGTCGCTGGGTTCGGTCGTGGAGCCGCTGCGTTTCGTGCGTTGGAGTTGCTGGCTCAGGACGCTTAGGGAGCCGCTGTTCTTTCGATGCGGTGGGGGGCTTCTCGAGAAGCCCGCGTTGAGATCGCCTTCGGGCGAACCGACGCCGAAGCTGGCTGTGCGGAGCGGGGAGCCGACGTGGCCGAAGGGGCTGGGGCCGGGGTTGCTCGGGGCCTTACTGATGGGCATGGCGCCGTTATTGGAAGGGGGGTCGACGGTGTTGCCGTTCGTGGTGGTCGAAGACTCTTTGGTGGTAGATTTCGAGAAGAACTGGCTGAAACGCGAAGGGCTGCCGACGAAACCGCTGGGGGGGCTGCCGACTTTGCTGCCCGGGGTACCGACAGCGCCGAAGCTGCTTCCGAGGACGTTCTCGGAGCCAAGGCCGGAGAGGGAATGGCGGTGGCCGAGAGGACGGAAGCTGGAGGATGGGTCGAGGCGGGGGGAGCTGAGCGCTGCGTTCAGAGGTCGCATGTTGAAGGCATCGTCTTCACCGTTTCGAGAGAGGCGGCGGTCGGTGAGAGGTTTGTGGGGCTTGTTGTCGATGTCGAGGCTTGCTCTCAGGTCACGTTCGAGGAGGTCTTCATCCAGCTGCATGGCGGGGTCCCATTCTCCTGCGTCGGCATCGGATGCCCGAGCTGCATCGTATCCGGATGGCGAGCGCATGGAGTTCATGGGGCCGAACCCCATGGGACTTCGCGAGCCGGCCGCTCCAAGGCTGGCGGACAGGAAAGGTTGCTTCAGATTCCGGTACCGATCCGAATGCATGGTGCGGCGACCGCTAGCTAGATCATCACTGATGGTAGGTGGGGATGAACCAAAGGATGGAAATCCTCGGTTGGTGCTTTGGACGTTCCGGCTGTTGACCACGGCGTCAATCCCAGTTCCATGACGAAGCGGACCTGCAGCAGGCGATCCGGAGGTAAAGCTGAGGCCAGAACCGGTCTTGTTATTCCCAGTCGCGACGGGTTGGGGACTGGCTAGATCGATGCCGAAATGTGCGGGAACGCTAGCTGCCATGGGACCAGTGCGGGGGATGACGCTGACCCCTTGCGGATCGAATGATTCAGGTAGGGGGGCGTCTCGGATGGTGTAGCTGCGGGCCATGGAGGTCGGAGAGGAACCGAGATCGTGTGCGGAGGGATCGAGCAACGAGTTCATATCGCCTCCAATCCCCATGGAGCCCATATACTGCTGAGCAGGCCCGTAGGTGTATTCCCCATTTGGTCCCGGTCGAATCGCGCCGGGTGGACCTTGGTTGCGCTGAGCTTGAAGGGTGAGGAGTGATGACGGTGGTGCGGGTGTAGTGGGTGAATGGAGTGCGACGCGGTTCCCGAGAGCAACTGGAGGTTGAGAGGAACCCATTCCGTAGTTTGGACGGTTTGCGATTCGGCCGTCAGGCATGATATGTTGATTGGCGCATTTCATCCCAAACTTGCAATTACCCTATGTGATTGTCAATCGGCTGTTCCATGCACATCAACCACCCTTGACCGGACTTCGTACCTTTTGATAATATTTGCACGGGGTAACGACGTCGAGGGTGTGGAGGAATGGGCAAGCCGTTCCAGCCTGGCAGGCTCCTTGACGGAAGAACTTGCAGGGTACATGCTTCGTGTCTGCGATTGATATGTGTTAGTCACCGTGATATCTCATTCGCAATGCTCGAGTCCCAATTATCACGTACTCTTGTTTGGAGGACTCGCGGGTCCAAAAGGACGTTGAACCGGAGCTGGAAGTCCACCGGTCGAATTCCGACCACCTGGAACTGGCTGCGCTCCTTGAGAACCACCAGTGGAGGAACGACGGAAGTCACCCGAGGGACGCTGGCGGACCTGACGAGCGTTGCCAGCCCCAGCACCGCTCCCAGAGGTACCGCCGGTAGATTGGCCATTGGCACCGCTTCCCGGCGCAAACGGCGGGGGTAAACCGCTCATGTTTGGCAGGATAGCTGCACACGGAAGGCAGCAGGGAGGGCTGAAAGGAAAGTGTAGCGATGTTGCGATATGGCGATGGAGGAAGCAGCGGAGGAGAGATGTCGTCGATGTACCGGTACGCAATATCGCAAAAACGACGGCAAGCAATGGTGGGGTTGAATGGAATTGGTGGAGCGGAGATTAGATCTCTGCAGTAAGCACTCGGTAGCAGCCGAAGAACATCAAGATGTCATTCGGGGATGGTGCAAGGGAAAGGAGGATTTTCTGTGAGTGGGGGAAATTTGGGGATAGAGAGAGAGGGAGATGAAGAGAGTGAGTGTTAGGAAAAGGATAAACGTGGGAGGAAACGTGCAGGCGAAGAAGAAGGCGAAGGTGAATCGGATGCGCGGATTCGGTGGTGGACGCTGGCGGTGGTGATGAAGAGACACAAAGATTGACGTGAGAGCAGAGAGCACGATTCAGATTGAGGCAATGAGGCAGTAAGGCGACAATTGAACCAGGCAACAAGGCAACGTGTATCGTGCGTTCGTCTGGTTCTGTTTACACCAAAGCATCACTCCAAGTACCTGCTATCACTGCAATAATAACAGTGAATGCAATAACGCGTCCGGGTATTTTGAATACGTACTCGATAGCGGCAATCCCGCAACAGCCACCTCCCGTCCCACCCGATCATACTCACTAGCGACCCGTGAAGCCACGGGGTTTCCTGCATCATTTCCCTCCGCTCACGGCAACCTGCACCCATCCTACCAGTCATACCTCATACCCGATCTTATTTTGTCCAGCTGCCGAATGACAAATAAATACCAACTTCGATGACTGTTCAAAACCCACGATTGGGAACGAGAAGGTTGGAATGGAGGGCGGCAAGGTGCATGGGGGATCATCTGCACAGCAGCAGCTGTTCACGCGCTGCTGCGGGCACCAGGACGCGTGACTAACCTATCGTGGCTCTGGACGGGTCGCTTGTTCAATCGAGTTGAAGACCCGACAGAGGAGATGCAGCACGATTTACTTGACATGGTGGGTATGATATCGATCATCATTGAAATGCCATTATCCGAATATCGATATTCTGTATCACCAGACTGACTTCGACTCCCATGTCTATCCTCTACCTGCCCGTTGTTCATAAGTTTCGTATCCTGAGCTTTCCGTCCATGCATGGGCGCAGCAAAAAACATATTTTCCGAGTCTTGCCCAGTCCGATCGGTAATCCTGTTTCAGCCTTACTCCCAACCGGGACCAAGTAGGATTCGGCCCGTCGTCAGGAAGGCTTATCACCCGGGCTTGGGCGTCCTGCCAGATCAACTAGTTTAACAATAGTCCAGTTCTAGTCATAGCATGGTTGACCTTGGCCTGCCTTGCTGTCTGATACCGGATGCTACAGCGTGGCGTCACGTGGCTCCTTCAATAGCCTCTGAACCGGTCAAAGGCTGAATGGAGCTCTATTGTCCCTCGATTGAATCTGGTGTTCAGTTTGAGAACCGACTGACGGGCTGCTTCCCCCAGAACGGGTTCGGATCGAATGATGTCCGCTTGATCGGGATGGCCTGCTCGTCGTCATCGGCGAGACGCACCTGATCGTCAGCCATGGGTGACGGAACGGTCATTTCACCTATGACACGCGTGAGTATATCTCGGATCTTCATCCAGCCGTGCTTCTTACCTCTGAAGATCTCGACGGCAGACATGAATGGCAGCAGTAATAGCAACAGCGGCAACAACTGTCCGAAACTCCACACCTTCTCCCCTTCGTCCGCAAGGGCTACCGAAGGGGTCCCAAACGCCTGCGAGAGCATAATGACTTTCGCCGCCGCCCCGATCCCAATCGCCATCAAGACCATCAGACTAATCACTTGCATCACCCTCAACCACTTCTTCCCCCGCAGATGTAGATACCACACCGCGAATGCAAACACGACGCAATTCCCCACGATCACCGCCAGCGTCCCTGCAAACGACAGCGGCGCGCGCGACGGCGGCTTCGACGGCCGGTCCGAGAACGCACACGCGATCGGTAACGTCTCGGGCAAGTCCTTCATCACCGCGAACAGCACGAAAATTCCCAGCGCGCACGACAGGACCAAGTTGAGGAACATCAGCGCTTGGCGCAGCCAGCGCAGCACCCAGTCACGGCGGAAGTCGTTGTGCAGCGCGAGCAGGGTCACGCTGTGGGTGGCGGTGGAGATGGCCGAGAGCATCCAGACGAGGAAGAAGTGGTAGGGGATCATCCATTGCAACTTGACGATGGCGACGCATTGGATGCCGATGCCGGTGAGGATCTGCTGGTCGGAGAAGGAGAGGAGGAGCTTGCGGGTGATTTTGGCTTCGGATTTGCGGAGGTGTTCTTGGATGATGACGATGGCGGAGAGGATGAGGGCGAGGGCGGCGGTGAGGATGAAAGAGAGGAGGACCTAGACGCGGAGGTGAGTATTGGATAATCATCTATAAGGGGATCCGGTTGAGATGGAACAGGGGAGGTAAGGAGATGTGATGCTTACACCAGCGCCAGCGACGCCTGCGTCTGAAGGTGCGGTATCAGGCACATCGGTGCAATTGCTCGTATCCAGTAGCATTATTATTATTAAGGTACGGGCACAACAGATGCAGTCGGTTGTGTGTCCCACCACGCAAAACCCTCTGTATTACAACAGCTCGAAAAACACACGTTGAAGACTCAGAAGAGAAGTAGAGAAGGAGACAAGACAGAGAGGAATACGAGAAGTAAAATCACCCACCCACCAACATCCTCAAATCTGCCCTAATCATGAGGATCACACTCAAACGTAGCCCTCACCCATATACCCAGATATTATCTCCCACCAACCTGCCCTTCCACTCCCCCTATTCCCCATCTCCTCCCATTCAATCCCACTGGTCAACCACCCAACCCATCCCATCTCTCCCATCAGTTCCAACCGAAACCACGCACTTGAGTCACCTCTCCATCCCAAATCTCCAACTCTTCAACGTCACTGGCGTGGCCCCGGCCGCGTTGAAACAATCCCAATCTGCAGCATCTCGGGAGTCGGCGCGTCGCCCGCGCTAGTGCCGTTCTGGCCAATCAGCGCGCTCAGTGCTTTTGAGCCGCCAGTGCCTCAGGATGGACGCGACAGGGGGTCATGGCCCTATATTTCGAATTTATGGGGAAATGGCGTGTTTGCTCACTTGGAGCGGGGGAGGGGAAGCGGGAAGGGGAGCGGGATGGGAGTGGTGGGGTGGTCCGCTCGGGAGGAGGTTCCGCTGGTGGACGGAGTGGAAATAAGGGCGGAGGATCGGATACGGTTTCGGGATTGTTCTGCTGATTATCTAGGTTTCCGGAGCGGAATTCCACTCCCTGAACCATCGCGGACTCTTTGGGAACCTCTTCTATGGAGATTCGGGTGGTGTCTTCGGTCTCATTCGAGCTCGCATTTCGATTGTTGGACTTGGGCAAGGTGAACGATACGGAGTCGCCTCCTTTTCAATAGGCTGGACTATCTGGACTAGAGTAATACAACAGATGACATTTCGAGATCTATTCAATGATCGAAGCTGTTCGGAAGAATCCCTCATTGATGGCAAAGCTAATGGAGCTGTACATGTGTCTTCGCAGGTGCGGTCCTTTTCCGTTTCAAGGTTTCCTGCATGTCCTTTGCAGTCTTCCTTCTTCTTCCACAATTTACCGGCCTCTACATTCAGATATCCTAATATTGACCTTCAGTTGTTTGTTCACGAAGCACATATCTGCTTCAATCAATACGTGAGACACTTCTATCCTATTTCACACAAGCCTCTGCTATCTATGAGTGCTACCCAATCTTCCACCCCTGCCCGCTGTTTCATATTGCATATCCCTAGATTACGACCCCGAACCGGGCTACTGCACGCCATAGCATGTCGATCTTATATCTGCCGCACGTCTTAATGTCGTGTCGCTATATCTCAAGTTCACACGAGCCGCCGTGATATCCCTCCGCCCGCAAACGGGTCATCCCCAGTCATCGAATATAGAGTGGACGCAACGGGGGATTCGTCTGGTTCGGCCAACCCCTGAATCAGTGCCAACCTCACGATGCACCTTATTCCAACCACTGCTCTCCTTCCCGTGTAGTAAAGGCGGCACGTGAACGATTTATTAACCTCTGGCGCCAATCATGCATCTAGGCGGTGATGCAATCCTGCGTCTGGTTCGAAACAAATGATACATCCTGGTCATTGGATCACGACTGAAACGACCGGACCAGAAGGAATACAACCATGAACGACATAACCCTGTCAAGCAGGCTATAGATAATTTGGCGATGGCGGTCCGCAAACCATAGCATCACTGATAACGGCGAAACTGCTTGACTGAACCGCAAACTTCAGCCGGTTGATGAAGTTCACGAGATGAACCAGACGGCACTCTGGTCATGAGTTCGTGAACTGCCTTTATTTTCATGCGGGAGATGACCTTCGGTGGGGGGATGGCATGGTGATATGGACGGTGAACGGTGACCGTGCGAATGAAGAGCTGTGCAGCAATGGTTTCGAAATCCGAGATGCCTCTGAGCGAACCCTGCTTCATGCGATTGATGAGGGGGTAGCCCGTGTGAACACGCGATAGAATATCCAAGAGTACTGGTCATTTGGGGCAACTCCTTCCCGCCGTTAAGAGCTAAGGAATGACTTCGATGAAGCTTTGACTCGAGCTCATCTGAACTACGCCATGTGCTCTTTTGCTCGAATCCTTTGGGAGCGGACAGTCCACTAAGCAGCAGCTCTTTGATTGCTCTCCATCTCTAAAGGATGTATGTGCGTACAATTGCTATGCTAATTCCAGCGAAGGCTTTTGTGCGCCCAACCATGCAGAGTTCCGTTGAGCAGTTGCCTTCTGGAGATCCGAAAGCAAGTTTGTGTAGCGATGAGCTGACCATTCCACCTCTTGAAATGCGGTAAAAAAAAACAATTATAAAAATGATAAAAAGTGACCAGACAATATTTTCAGTAGAAGCTACAAATGAGAGAAACGAATGGGTATCTTGGGAGATCATGGCCCTCGTAGATTCATCCATGATCATCAACAACATTATAAGGAGATATGGAAAGAAACACAGGAGAGTTGTTGGGGATGAAAAGCACCGACGTCCAAGAACAACGAACGTCCCCAGAAGACTCCAATGCGTTGATCCACCCAATTCATGCCCAAAATAGAATTTCCGTCCTGACCCCCAAACCCACAAGCCATGTTTACGCCCAGCACCAAGAAATCGGAGCAATTGTTTCGAAGTCGTGAGACCGATAAGAAGACGTCAGCTAGCCAAAAGCAGACCCGACAACGAAGGTTCGGCAAATGCCTGCATGTCGAGGAGCGTCCGCCGCTATGTTCCCATCTCTACTTGCTCGAGGTCCGCGCTATCGTCGCCATCTCCTTCCCTGGTGCCTTCTCCTTCATCGTCGTCCCCGCCGTCATCTCCAGAGGGGTCGATCTCCCCGGACGTGTCGGCCGTGGACACTCCCGCATCGATCGCCCGTATCTCGTCAGATTTCTCCTTGCACGCGGTCGGAGAGAACCCCGAGCCAAGCTTGGACGAGATCACCCTCCAGCGATCATTCTCGTATTCTTGCATCGCGTGTCGCAGTTTTTGAACCTGGAGCCACCGTCGTCAGTAGCAATCACCTTTCCCTCCCGATGGAGTCAGCAACTTACGGTTTCGGACGTCCAGACCGTGGTCTTCGCTTTCAGTTTCGTGCAATACCGCACCTGCAGCGTCCCCGAACTCCGCCCAGGGAAAAATTCGGAGATCTGTTTCCAGGTGAGATTCTTCTTCTCTTTGAGTTCTACGAGTTTCGCGTCGTCTTCTGGAGTGAATTTTAACTTCGGTCCTCGAGGTCTCAGCGCCGGTGCCGGCATTCCCTCCTGCCCCACCATTGATGGCGGGCCGTGCTGGGAGCCTGCTTGCGGCGAAGTCGGCGAGTAACCGGACATGGTCAGGCGACGGGTCTTCGCTGGAGGAGGTTGATTTGGGAGACGGTGATGATGATGCTGGGGGGGCTGCTGGACATGATGTGAATGGTGCAACCCGGTGGATGGCGGGCGGTGAGAGGGCTGGTAGAGAGACGCGGGTTGAGCATGGTGGCCGTGAGGGGTTAGCTCGACGGCGATGTCGCCGCTGGTGGGGTCGGAGATGGAGGCAGACAGGCTGGATAAGGTTTGCAGATCGAGGTGGAGATCTCCTCGTGCGGCACGCGAGCGTTTTCGACTGTGGCCCTGGGAAGTATAGTCGAGGTGCTGCGTGTGCGGATGATGCGGCGACACGCCCGCCGCTGCGAGGGCGGTTGCGCCATAGGACGGTTGCGACATGCCGTGTTGCTGAGACTGTTGCTGCTGGGAATGCAATAGATGCGCGGGTAGAGGTGCGGTCAAGCTGGGATGACGGTCGACATTTGTAACTTCCATAAGACCATGAGGCATCCCATGCTCCAGCGTTGAATGGTGCGGTCCTGGACCAGTCTGGAGAAATGGGTTCGCGACATGGCTTCCCGTGGGGATATAATGTTGCAGCATATGATGCCCAGCTCCGCTGCCGTCGTCGACGGTAGAGGGGTCGTCTTCGTCGACATTGATGGGCTGATTTTGCGCACCGTAGTCGAGAGAGTAGTCTCGATAAGATCTCGCCAGCGTTGCGGATATGCATGGAGCCTGCCAGAGCTAGATTGCTCTAGCAGGCCGTGCTGCAGGTGAGGCAGAAGACCCAGCGCCGTTTCCAGGTCTAGTAAAGTGTTTGGACCTGCGTGTGGATGGGAGCGGATGACGGTTGAGCCGTATCGATAAAGTCCCAGGTTCGAGGGATTCCCCGTGTCGGGGGGTGGGTTGGCAGGCCTTGGAGGACTGAACGGCGCGGAGTGGCTGACGATGGTATATTGGCGAATCCGGCAGACTGATTAAGGCGGTGGGGAGGATCCTTGGAGACGTAGGAAACTTATTGCGTTTCGTTATGGATTTAATGTTCGTCGATATAGCCTGGTTCAGATGAGACGGCCGTAACGTGCAACTTAATAACAGTTGCAAGAATTCCTTCACCTTCTCTGTCGGGAGCGTTGTGCATTATAAAGGCGTCCCGGTAGGAGAAATATGCCAAACCGACGGGCTACATCCGTCGCCGTACAAGCTGGCGATCGAGGTAGCATACGGATGAATGGGGAATGAGATGAACTGGTGCCGACAAGCCCGATCGCCACATCAAGCGCTACTGGCCCTTGGTGCGGTGCGATTGACCCACGGACACAGGCGCTGAACCGCAATGCGGCGCTTGGAGTGATGCACGAGACGGGCAGTGTTCCTGAAGCGCATGTTCTTGGCCGTATAGGGCAACAAGGAATGGACCGATTCTACCGCGGACATAATGCAGTGTCAACGCCGGGGATCGAGGTACCATCATTTGACAGGGAATGGCGGTAAAAGCAAGCCTTGCAGAATATCTCTCGGATCTCTGGATCCAGATGACAGGCAGATGGTGGTGGGTACAGACTGCAGTCAGCTTCAAGGAGCAGCTTGCCGAACGTACGGCAGTGACCAAGCCGACGACTGAGCGGCACTGGAACCGATATTGACATATGGTACTCCGTGACGAGGGTAGAAATGCATCTATTGGAGAAAAAGGAAAAAATGGCCAGACTAGGAGCAGTTCTGCCTGTGCCAATTGGAGGAGGTCCCGGACGACGCAACCCCAGTTTCTAGAAGGTGTGCAGAAAGATCTTCAAACCGTTACAAAACTGGCATGGGCCTCGACCGGGTTTGCTTCGGCATATCCGTCCCTCATATCAACCAACTAAAATGAAGTCAGTGATGCGAGCATGGATTATTAAGGACACGGGCACCCATCCGGGAGCATTGCTTCCAGGAACCAGAATATCTCTGCAGAGCTTAGGATTTAGGAAATGAGACGTATTGGCAATTTGCTTTGATGAAAAGACGGCATGATGGCTTGGTTTCGCCAGAGCCTGGGCTGAAATGATTGGCGATCCGGAACATGTAGAGTTCCACTGGATCGACCCCGAAGGACCCCTAGTGTGCCCGACAAACACAATAGAGCTGAATGAAGGAAGATTGGGCAAAGATGATCCTTGCGCCCTCTGCTGGCCGGGGTACACAGCATCAGAGGGAGACATCAAAAACCAGATGAAGGCACGAGCAGACAGGCCAGAGGCGACGGTTGATGCAGCCCCGTCCGCAAAAGGCATACCGGGATCCAGATCCTGTACCAACATGAAACAAAAAGATAGATCTAAAGGGAAAGCCCACGAATAGACTTTGAAAATGAAAAGGCGCCAGAATGGGGCGGAAAAGAAAGTCAAGCCAGCTCATCGTAGCGCCCGACTGTGGATTTCAGCTCAGTGTACAGAAGTACATGACGACTTGGTGGGAAAGGCAGGTGGTCTTTCTGGATGCTAGAGAATTGATGCAACTCACACCATTCCGCAGCAGCGAGGCCTTTTCCTGCACGATATGTTTCGAGCTTGGAGCCGCGCAGCGGTCCGACATAGACATATAGACAGGGGAGATCAAATATATCTGCGGCGCCACTCACTGCCCACCAGGTGGTGGACCGCTGTATCAGTCAACAATTCCGGGCTGACAACCCTGCCGCTGAATGAACTTATCAGGTTGTGTAGCGACCTCTACCGTGGATAGTATTGCTCCTCAAGGCTTGTCATTTTATGCTAAAACGGTAGAGCATCCAGCTACCTGGTCCGGCTGAGAAACAGGTCCTCGTATCGTTGAATCGTTCATCATACCCTTACACGGTCCAGGCGGCCCCAGAGGTTGACCATGACTGGACGGACGCAAAATGCATCCGAACGATATGCGCCGTCATATAGATGGTGAAAAAGGTAATAGTGGGTGTAAGCCATGGATTCCTATTTTGTCTATTCGACTCTAATGATGTTTTGTAATAATGTTTTGTGTAAGGTGGATCGATCGAGCCTGAGTCTGGCGTCCGCTAACATCGACGCGTCACGGCGTTAGGAGGATCTCGGCATCGATTAGACCGTCACCTCTCCCCCTCTCGTGTCTTCAATTCCATTCAATAATTAATTCACACTTAAGGTATTATCTTCTTCTAAAAGAATCCCAATTCCTAACCATCTCATTCGCTCCAACCCCCATCGAGTTTTCCTCGTTCCACCTTGGCGCTAATGGGTTGGCTACGCGTTGGGCTCCGACTCTAGATCCGTACCTCCGTATCATCCGCTTCGACCACGTCATGAAACGAGAGCAACCTTTGACAGCAAGAGACTGACACCCAAGCGGCCAGGCCGTCGCAGTTCGCTGACCACGCGAGCCTCGACCAATCTGTTGGAGATCCCTCACATCTCGCCTGCAGCATCGGGCGTTGGAGGCTCAGGTCGGCCTCATTTCCGAGTGGTTAAACGTCCCGTCTCGTTTGCGGCTAAGCTCATGTTGACGGCAAATGCCTCTATACTTCTATAATGTATTTTCCTTCCGGCTTCATGTGAATCATCAAGAACGAGTTACACATGTGGTAAATTTCTTGTATGACAAGCAGACACTTGTTCAACAACATGGACGAAGCTTTCCGGTATTATCTCGCTTACTGGCCTGCTTCGGGATTCGGACCCTTACAGTAGAAAGCCCCGACCGGATTTCAAGGCGCATGAATTCCCGATCATGGGGCTGATACCTCATCTCCGGTTTTACATCCGCGACCGCATATCTATGCGCTTGTCTAACCGTTGAACCGATGTGCCGCACTGCTCAACGGATACATAAAGCAGAACAGTGTATCCCGTGCCGCTGCTTCGATGAACAGCATCCGAGGTTCAACTCGTGATGTTCAATCAATCTTCTACTACGGAGCGAAAGAAATTTTATTTGTGTCTCCCGAACCCATTGTCCGGTCGCGCTGTGGCTTCAATAATGTGTCCACATTTTGGCTCATTCAGTTTGTGTTATCAGTTAATAATTATGGCTCTCAATGGTGGACGTGCTGTATTTGTTCCAATATTATTGTTCATGCAAGAGGAGGATTGATGCACGAGCATGGCCGCCGCAACGACTCCTTTATGCATGGTGTCACACACTCAGGAGGTACAACATGTGCTTACTGCACTGCGAGGCATTCAAACCGTTCTGATTTCTGAGTCTTGCATTGCCTTGCTTTAAACAGAATCTCCTGATGATACATTTCCATCTTTGCATATGATGGACTCATGAGACTTTCCTACCCCCTTCGCTTCGTATTGGACTGGATGTTAACGAGACCATTGCCTCGGAGATCGGGTCTTATTATATCCAGCGCACCTAATCGCGACACACCGAATGCCGGACGTACATTCCTCGGTGTGACCCAGCCGGACTCCCAACCTGAGGTCACTGGTAATACGAGGACACGGCATTCGTCGATGCCCGCTCCCATCTGTCCCGACATCGAATCCGACCCACCGGTTCCTCGGTCTCCTTTATAGCCATCGAGCAAGTCTGTCGGATCTCATATCCATTCCATTTTGAAGGAGATGGCCAATTCCTTTTCTGCGGGCAACTTCCAATTTCAAGGCGGTGTGGATGAAAGATGGTTTATAGACCCACTGGGTCCTGCGAATGTGATGGACTTCTGCATGCGTACTGTACGACCACTGTTCCACTGCATCGGATACGCCCGCTCAATTGGTGTAACCGTTACCCTCCACGACCACTCCCTTGCCTCGACACTGTGATAGCGGAATTGCCGAGAACCGAAAGGAACGTGATCCAAAGGGCCCCTATTCTTCCCATCAATGGAAGTTGACCAGACAGATGGCAGGAGAAGGTAATGGCCACTATATTTGATGTTAGGTTATCCGTCCTGGTTTATTATCGCCGGAACATAGGCGATGGTCTATCTCTTGCCTCCGTAGCATCCCTCCAGCGTCACTATGGGGCTATAGTGGCATATCCCGGGTGAAGTGGTGTTTTCCTGACTTGTCATTTCGACGTCGCAGTACATCGAAAGCCAGTAAGAAGGAAGTCTGACCACCATCGTGATTCGAAATGCCGAATGTCTCCCATGTCTGGTTTCTGAGCTCGAAATAGCCCAGTTTGATTCGGTTCGATCATACAATGCTGAAAATCCTAGAAGACAGTACACAACGTTCGTGGACTGTCCGTGGAGCCTCAAAATAGCACAACAGAGGGGATCCTACACCTAAGGAAACGCCTCAACCTGTTTCCGGGTCAAATGGAGGCCGTTTGGGAAGACGAACTGTCCAGGACACTGTGTTCCTGTGTGGTGGTCAGCACATAATTATCACGACTGCACCACCCGGGCTCTTTTTGGGTGGTATCTTCATTCACAACTGATCAACTATGAACAGTAAGGAGATTACTCCTGAGCAGACCAAATGTTCAGCTATCCCTTCTGCTCTACGAGGAGAGGCTTTGCTTTTTTCTCGTCTCATATAGGACTAGCGTGTAGAGCGTTGGCTTTTTAGTAAGTGAGGGCATTTCATATTCGGGTCTACGCCCTGAGATCAGTTTCCACTGCTTAGTCCGCTGAACTGTTTCCTATTACTGAATGTTTTCCTCTCGCCTTGTTCAATTGCAGTCTTCGCCGTATCCTTCATTAGATGTCTGTCGTCATCGTAGTCACAACCCCTACATTGGCCTCTATACTAACGTCGGTATACAACAGTGGGCTAATACAACTCTCCAGATGAAGCGCGTTGGTATTTTCAGTCACGTTCATCTGTTAGCAGAGTAATTCGTCCACGAAGAGGTATCACTCATTCATTGTAATCCTCCGTTGCTCCTAAGGAATAGCTGTTGCCTATCACTCATAACCCGTGGTCCGTAATTGAAATCGTAAGGCTGAGCGCGCACAGAGGGACCTAGAGTTCACCTCATTCATTCACATCAGTTAGGGAAGCCGAACATGCAAATCAACAAGTTACAATTCCGAGAAGAAAACGCTCCTGTGGCAACGCCAAATAAAAGGCCATGCTCACGACCCTTCGAAAAGGGAGAGAGGGGCGCCCGCTGTCTCCTACCCCCTTCTCGCCGACAAGTTGAAAAGAAAAAGCCGCGCATTTCAATTTTGATGACCGAGCTATGCCGCCAGAGGGTCCTAATGCCGACCAGTGAGCCTTCACAGCTGGGTATCATAACAGCTGGAGCATACAACCCAATCCCGCACGTCATAAAGGCGCCGTTTGCGAAAGAATATGTCAACACGCGTAACCTCGTCCTGTCGGCATTGACGAGATTCGTGGGGTCCACAGCGAGGAACCGGTCAAAGCTTGCCACCGAAATGCTCTTTCGCATATTGCTCGCAAGCCTGTTGAGATTGTTAGCCAAGAATACAAAAGTCAGGAGATGTGGTCATTTCGACGTACTTTGGCTGGCTTTCCGACTTTCTGTCCTATCACTTTCCATTTGTTTCCTTCATATTCCTTGATGGCTGCAAGGAGAGCGGCGCTCTGCTCATGACTTAGTTAGCCGCCCTTGCTTCGTAATGCTCGATCTGAGCAGGCATTCCAGCCTATATCATGGGCGGTGAAGAGCCGCTGCTTACCTCGTCTTCTGCGAATTCCGCATAGTGCATGTCCTGTGGTGATCATAAGCATTCCATTCAATCATGTCACTTCGTCACAATCATGTACCTTATACCAGTGCTTCTTCACACTCCCTTCTGTCCGTGCAGGGAAGCTCTGCGGCCAGTGTTAGTCCCTGTCTTGAACCCCGATACGGTCCTATCCAGACACGACATACCTTGGCAATTTCACTCCAGCTCAGTCCCTGATCCCGCATCTGCTTCAGCTTCTGTTCCTCCGCCGCAGTCCAAGGCGTGTTCGTCCTCCCTTTCTTAGCTGGTGGCGGCTGTCCCGCTGCCGTTCCGGGGACTGTTCCACTCGAGCCCTGATCACCTGCGTGCGAGGTCGCCATACTTGACTCGGCTATACCCGAAGCGGAGCTGGAGCCCGGAATGGAGGGATTGGGTGCAGTGCTGCCGGGTTGGCCGCTTGCGCGCCGTTTGCGAGGATTTCCCGAGGTGGATTGAGGCTGTAGATGTTGTTGTGCAGCGCTGGCTAGGGCTTGCTGGCCTGGAGGGGTTGCCTGAACGGGTTGAAAGGGGGTAGAAGTTGAGGAGGTGGTGGGCGATGGTTTGATGGCTCTGGCAGCACGAGGAGTGGTATTTCTGGAGTGGGTTAGCGAGTCGTCTGAGACTGAAACTGGCTGATTATTCAGTACAAGATGGGATAAACTCAAGCTCAGACGAAAGACTGGTTGAATCACAGGTTGGTGAAGAGGGAAATCAGTCAGTGAAAGTGGGGATGATTGTTTAGAAGACGATAAAGTGATAGTGAACCACCGATCTTGTAATCTGAGCTTTTGAGAGCCGGCTTCAACTCATCAAATGAGGGCTCTTTATTGAATCAAAGTAAGGGGTATGTGTTAACCATGAATATGATGTACACTGATACAAGTGATTGATGGTAGGGTAGGTAATTATACCTTTGCCCTGGAAACAACTGGTACCATATAGAGACGCACTATACTTACGACATCGTTCCTATTCAAGTGCATTCACACCGCCATAAAAGGTTGATCCCTGGTACTTGGATCACCGCCGAAGTTGACCACCTGCTGTTTTTGTTCTTGTCGAGGGACAACAAGTCACCAAAAGGAAGGTCCTCCGCTCCAGTGGCGCCGAGCCAGTCGTGTTGAACAGTCGAATGAGTCGCAAATGAAGTCAAGAATTGCCCGGTGGATTTGCCCGATTGGTTCGTTTAATGAGGAACAGATGACTGACTTGTCAAAAAAGGTGAACCGCCGGCTCGGTCCGTATTTCAGCTCGACCTTTTGGCCTGCAGCAATAAGACTTGGATCGTGCAGGAAATGTGAACTTGCTTCTTCGAGTTTAACTGAAGGCGGTGTGTGGCACAATGTAGGCTGCGAATATCCTCTCAGGCACAAGAGAGTTGGCAATAGAACACCGGTCCGACAGTGATCTGCACTCGAGATAATGACGGAGCAGAGACAATATGGGACGCTTTCTTGAGGTTGAATAGTTCAAGCGAAGCTCGATAATATTACACTTCCAATAACGGGTCCAAACCAGTGGCTGGGCTTTCGGGATAGCTGAGCCTGATGGACGTGGGAGGCGGGGTGACGTGCGTAATGAGATGGCAGGTGAGTGATACAAGAGGCAGCTCAATATAGTGACACTAGGAAAAATAAATGAGCAAGGAGGGACACGAAGGTACGAGAAGGGAGGTCCAGGTCTCCAAGATTAGTCCCGCCCGGGATTTCGATGGCGATCCGGGATGGACCAGTGACCGAGTGGAGAAGAGCTTGGTTCGTTCAGATTGTCGTTTGACTTCGCACCTCGTACCTGTTGTTGATCGACAGTAAGTTGGCTGAGCCACTGCAAGTCATCAATGTGCGTCAACCTTTCATGCGGAACTAGGGTGGTGGGGAGTGGAGGCAGTGGAGCGGGATTAGGGAGAGGCGGAATGGAGGAATAAGACTCGAACGGTGACCATGAACGGGATAGAATATCGGATTCTCGGGAGTCCTTGTCTCGGATGGAGCTGAAGTCCAGCCGTTGTCGAAGGCTGCCACGACTGACCCAAGCTCCAGCAACGTCGATATATGCGTCACATGGAAGGGTTGACCGGAAGGATATTAGGAGCCTTCGTCGACAATGGACAGCCAGTCGGAGCACGTCAGAACAGCGCGAAACCAAGGCAGGCCAGGATGGAGAAAGCGCCCAGTGTCCGGACTAAGGGGAGCGGACAGGACGTCAATAGGTGAACAAAGGATGGTAGGGGAGCACAGAAATGCTACTGGTTCTCATGACGTACGTAGCGTCGCGGGCGAAGGTCGAAATGAACAGAAGTACACGAGTCTAAAAGGAAAGGCGAAGAAGGCCGAAGTATAGTAGATTTGAGCGTCTCGATGTTAACCAAATGGTAGCATAAATCCCTGCGGGGGACCTGGTTGCCGTGACCGGGTATGGGGTACATGGGGAGGAGTATCGTGGAGGAGACATCATCACTTCTCGGTCCTCATCGTAGAGGGATGGTAGTGGACTAGGGGATTCAAGTCACTGTACGAGAGTGCCTTAAGAAATTGCATTGTGTTAGTGGACTGGCGGCCCGTTTCTTAGGCATGGTGGCTTGAAAGATGGGCACTGGGTTATCAGTCAAGCGCAAGACAGGCGAAGACGTTGAGAGGTCAAAAGCGGGGTAAGTAGGTGCATTGCTGGACAAGGGAGAATGAAGAACCTGCAGACAAGAAGAGGTCAATTAGACTTAAGGTGTACAGAAGGGCTGAACAGGATGCGAAGAACAGTGCTGGGGATGGGCCATGGGAGTAGCTGTACTGGCGCCAATCGATAGGAGACGAGTGCTGATTCGAGTACAGAACAGAACGCGAAGGCTGTCGGGTGCTCCATTGCAGCCCAGGTGCGTGTGATGGACTCATGCAGATAGATTATCGCTGGATGGATGACCTTGTTATGTCATTTGCTTATTTCTCCCGTTGGTTGACTTGGTTCCAATGTTTCCTGGCCGAGACCCTTCCTGACCCTCAGCCTAGGGCAATACCTGATCGACATTCACACCAATGGAAAACCAACATTCTTACCCGTAATATGCGAATCTCTTCACTTATTAATCTTCATTTGCAAATTCGCGAGACTGACTGCCCAAAGTTCCTTGACATCCAAGACTTTGACCCCGCGATTCGAAGCCAAAATGTCCGGAGGCGGGGGAAGGCGAGGGGGGAATCTCGTTCTTCTCCTCCGTGGAAGTGTCCAGCCTCCAATTTCCTTGCAATGCTCAGCCAACAGCTAATCTTCCACCCTGGTTTCTCCGCATTGTTCTGTTCCCGTCTATCAATCAATTTCATCCGTTCCGTACAAGTTCCTCGCTACACGGTTCGGTGACCTCTCTTTTGACTTTGGGCTTTCGCTATCGACAGATTCCCCCATACTCCATAGACCGTATACGTTCGGACGGACTGCGCGGAAAAGCCCGTGGAATATCTCCTGATTCTCGGCCCCTCATGCCCTTCCTGCAGCCATCCCGGCCAACCTACCAGTCCGCTATTAATTTATGCAAGCCCCGGTCCTCGACGGGCGACCATGTGGTACAAACATGTACTCGACTACTCGTACACGCTAACGTCCGCCAGTTTGACTTCGGGACCAGACATCTGGGCACTCTACTTCCGCACCCCGAGCAGGGAATGCGTACTGGTTGGAGGGGTCATCCGACTCTGTGCTGCCAACATGTCCTTTCGTTCACGGAGCCGTTGTGTGAGATGGAAACACGAGTCCCCACATGCTCGAGCTAGGTCAGGCCCGATTTTCCAGATTACAATGTGGTTGGTCATTAAAAACAATGTACGTTGCTGGTGAGTCTGGTGTATCCAGGTCGGGTGTCGCAAAGACGGCCTCGAAAAGGGTCTGGATTGATATCGAAGCGAGCAATAGTTTCCACATGGTTCTTGAGTCTTGACGGATGTGCTCACGGCTTCGAGTCCTGTAGACTGGAGGTGTGGGTATGCTCGACATCAAGAGTTTCCTACACCAGTTGGAACCTAGTAAAGGTACTACTACTTGTTCAACCATTCTTCTAACGAGGAATCATGCTCTTGCCTTCATACCAACCTTAACCTTTTGTGTCTCCATGACCTGTTTGGAAGACATGCCTGCAGGTATGCAGGTCGAGTGAAATCCATTGGGTGTCATTGTGCAGCTCGAGCAGAACTCGGAGATCGGAGCACCCTCCCAGGTGCAATCAAACGTCAACTTCGAAGGTGACGAAGGATGATAGGCACCACTTCTTGTCTAGCGCCGGCACGAACCCTTCTTTCCGTAGACGTCATGCTTTGTAGTCTAGGGCCACGCCTCACATGCCACTTATCCCGTGAATGACAGATGTGAGTGACAGACAATCCTTGGGGCATTGGATCAGGAAGAGAGCCATCCGTTGTTAAGCGAAGAATCAAGCAAACTCGATTCGGGGTATGGTACCTACATAGTATGCATCCAGTATCCACGAGTCGTTTTGGTCGAGCGATCATTGATCAGGACTTGAACAATGAACAGGAAATCGAGCAGGGTGTTGATTGTTGAATCGTGAATGTGAAAACCGCAAGCAGATGATTGAAACAGCTGCCACTGACAGGGACAGGAGAACTAGCGAACCCTCCATGAAGGGAGATGATTAGCCCCGTGTCGCCTGGTGTTTTGGCTTTTCCGCGATGAATCCTGCCCCTCAAGTTCGCTAGCAATTGACTTTCGGGTCCGTCCGTGGCTTCCGTCCAGGCAACCAAAGAGAACGCTGCCTGCTATCAAGCTGGCGTATTGTGATCTACGCACCTTGCGCCGGCACGCAGAGTCGCAGCCGTTTGTCTAATTCCTTGGTGTGAGGTATCATCAGGTGGCGGGCATAGCTGGAGGAACAAGAACAGCCCGAATGTGATGGCTGGTAAAACACGAAATGCGAAGATATTCCGATTGTGCACAGTCCTAAAGCCTTCGGGGCCCTTGCTACTCAGTAGGGCGGGTAAAATTTATGAAATAAACATTTGTTGCGAAGAAACCCCCAAATTTGTGTGAGAAACAAAGAATACAATGTAAATTTCGCAAAATCGCTAACCCAATTTGTTTAGCGCATTATATTTTAATGCCTAAGGCATAAAAGTTTATGGGCGAGAAATCCAACCGCCAAAGGGCTCCTACGAGATTTCTGATTAGGTAAGAAAATAATGGAAAGAAATAAGCTACTTTCTTGCATTAATTCGGTAATTTACAAGTTCCAATTTATTTCATTTGTGTCTTACACCCACCCTACTTGCTAGGCAATGGGTCCTCCAGACGTTTGTCGCGCTTATGCAGCCACATTTTGAATATTGCGACTCCCCCTAGAAAGTTGAGACTCCAGAGTCGAGCTTGACTTTGTGGGACAACCGCTCCCATAGGTTTGAAAAACAAGCGCTGCGACAAGTTTTGACTCTCAAAGATATTTCCAAGAACTTCGCCCCGGTTTGATACACTCCAGTACTAAACATTTGAACATCTTTTGTCAGTCATGAATAGACGGCGCTTGTCAAAGTTAGTGCAAGACGATCAAACTGGAATGTCATGCAGGAATTCTATTGCGCCTTTGATCCGATGTATCACCCCCAACTCTTCAATCTTCACCTAGCATCATTGCACTGCAGTCCATGATAGGATGGTCTCGACTCGAATAAGACTCCTAGCAAGCAGACTCAATCAAACGTGAAAGTGACAAGTCGTCGAACTTCTATTTTAGAGCATGGAGGGATACTCCTGCGATAAGCCAAAGCCCAAAACGGACCACTCCCTGGTTTCTGGGACAGAACCTCCCCATGCAAGTTTTCCCAGATCTGAGACGGTGTCAGTCGGAGGCCCGACGCCACTTAGACTTCCGCAAGAATCCCGATATAGTAAAACAGCATTGCCCAAACACACGCAAATTACTCAGTACCCTCATCATGACATAGGGTTATTTGTTTCTCATGATCAACAAGGCAGTTAAGGGTGGATAATATGCTGAAGTCTTGAAGAGCAATGGCAATTGATAGATTTAGAAATGTTGGTGAAGACAGGAATAAGGCGCCAAGTCCCCAGACAGGCATCAACGATATTCCAATCCCAACCTGCGGCTTCTTCTCCAAATGTGCACATCAACTATCGACTGTTGCGTTTTTCAACATTACTTTTCTCTTCTCAAAGGCTCAAACAGGTGGAGATTGGCATTTGCATACCCTAATCCAGATCCGATAGCAGCCACAAACACCATCGGTCGCGGAGTTGCAGTGGTTAGCGCCCTCAGCAGATGCCCCGTCATGGTTTCGGAGACACCAAGTCTGACACTTCGCTTGACCACCAACCGCATCGCTCGTTCTGGCCGTCGTATTCCATAACCCTCTGGTTTTGAAACCATATCTCGTAGAATATTCATGCTCACAAGGTTTCGTCCTAGACTCTTTGGACTTTTCTTCGAACCGACCCCCATGCTTACTCCCTCACCCCGCAGCAGAACAGCGCCAAGGCCAAGGGGCACAGTTCATCCGCTCACCACTACAGCCACCGTTCGCACCACTGATACTGGAGTTTGTATCATCGTTTCTTCCCCAGTACGGAGTGCATCCCAAGGGCCAAGGGTCAGGCAGGCCTCTCACACACCGCTAGAATCCCGATATGGCAATATGTACGGTCCACATCGATTGTGGCAGAGCGCCCAGAGTCTCTCCGAGGTGATGATCGTGTTTTGAAGCTTTTCAGGTTTGCCGCAAGTCCTTGCAGCTATGGAGTTTGAAAACGTACTGAACATCATCTTCTGCCACTCTAATCAACATGCTGTTTCTAATGGGTTTGCTTGATGATTCTTGGTCTTATAATATCCTCGAACCATCCGTGTTTTGGTAGAGGTTCTGGGTTAGTTCACTCTTCACCATCCTTTGAGAGCTTGCTTGTCGTTGGCAAAGGAGTCTTTCTTTTAGCAGTCCTCATACTTTCTTTCACTTCCCACTGGTTGGGCTGCATATCGTTCCTTACTACACTCTGTTGCTGGCCAATTCCTGTCACTGTTGCTTCAATAGGCCAATTATAATCCGTCCTTCCTTTATCCGCTGCATACCCAAGCCAATTGCTCTCCCTGGTCATTCTTGTGTTTGGAGCTTTCGAGGAATATCGCGGCACAGTTAGCCGCCCACAACTTCAAGCAGCCAACGGCATTGCTATACAACCATCCACCAACACACAGCCACGACCCTCCGCCGAATATTCCCTTGACGACAGTGTTGTTGTCATTGTATATCTACTACGAGGCAGATTCCCGTCGAACTTCAAATGATGCAGACATCCTCCGTTGTCTCTCCTATTTCTGAGGTGGACGTTCACGGCCGGGCAGCTATGCGCTCTTCTGGACGTAAAATGTCTTCCACCGGAGGCAATAGGTCATGGTCCGAGGAAGAGGTAGGTCCATTACAGCTTTCACAGCTTATCAACGTGATTTCTAATGTATCTGGTCGCAGGAAACCTACCTCTTGCAAACACGCCTGCAGAAGATGCCATACAAGCATATTGCCGCTCGCCTCAAGAAAACCGAGCTGGCCTGTCGCCTGCACTATCATCAGCTCTCTCACGGCTCTCATCGCCGCAAAAGGACGGCTTCTGTATCTTCTTCGGCTTCTTCGACGGTGTCAAGTGGAAGCTCCGTCAGCTACGGCCAATATCCATCCAGCGAAGCGACTGAATATGGCACTCGTAGCCCGTCTCGTCAAGAGTCTCCCTCAAGTCTTGGATCCACTAGTCCTGTTCAAGGTTTCTGCTCCGTGAATGGATCTCCCCATCGCGGGGTGGCCCATTCATCTCATCACAAGATGCTTCTCCCGAAGCCTAGCCAACAAAGCCAACAAGGGACTCCTGAGCCCAGTACCGAGCAATTTCAGTTGCCGGCGCTCCACAACCAGAGTCTCCGCATCAACACCAGCGATAGTATCCTCCATGGCCCTCAACCCCATGATAAACCCGGCCCCGTCGACACTGACCGACTGCGTGCTATCTACGAGGCGCACCGTACCTCCTTCTGGTCCGTCATTGCCGCCGAATACGGACCCGACGTCTCCCCTGCGCACCTTGAATCCATATGGCACTCCACAACCTCCAACCACACACTCCATCGCCTCCCAACCCCCGACTTCAGTCCCCGCGCCGAACCCCTCTCCAAATTCCCCACCTCCCACCCTCACCCCGCCCAATTCCCCACCCCATCCACAACCACCTCGTCCGCCAAATCCGTCTTCCCCCACCTCTACCCCCCCATCTCCTTCTCGGCCTCCGCCGACCGTCCCACTGGCCTCTACCACTGCGCCCCCCATCTCTCTCGCGACGGCAACCTCCTCTGCTCCGCCGTCTCCCCCGACCGCGCCGGCTACACCCTCCCCCCGCCCACCCCGTCCCTCCGCAGCCGCGCCGGTTCATGCGCCAGCAGCATCGCCGGATCCAACGGCAGCGCGACGCAGAGCCGCGCGAGCACGTGGGGATCGGCGGTGGGGAGCCCGGAAAGGAGGGATGGCGAGAGCGGGGCGCCGAGGACGGCGATCGCGTCGCTGCTTACTGAGGATCGGTGTCCGCGTGGGTCACAGGATGAGGGCATGAAGGAGTAGGGGTCATGTGATGATCGCCTATCTGCGAGGTGGGATGGAAATCGACGTTTGAAAGCGTTTGTGGTTTGGGGTTGGGAAAGGGGTCGCTCAGCTGAAGCAGGGGAGGTCCGGCCTCAGCGCGAGGTGAAACGAGTGCATGACCGTCTCCTTTTCCTATTACGACATTTTCATTGCTTATATTTCCTTATATTTATTATCCTCGGGTCGGTTTGGCGCTTTTCTATGGAGTATGATGGAGCTGTTCATATGGACCTGTGAAGGAGTGAAAGGCCTGTATCAGTGGTCGAAATGGTTATGAGTCCTGTCGTGGCAGTTATGAAGCGCATTGTGTATAAAACCGAACGGACGGGTCGATTTGATTAAGTGCGAGGGACGATATTGAGATCAGGCTGTTTAGACATGCCACATACATATCGGCATCCAATTTTGATACCCTTAAGATCGTCATCACCGTACATACGAACTCGACGTGCTAGATACCTAATATCTTCAGTCGCCTCACAATACATAATCCGAGGAACGGTTTAATAATCCAATTGAAGAATCCCGCGATGATATGCTATCGGTCATGACGGCGCCGCCAAGCGACCTCGCGGCTTTTCGCGCCAACTGCCAAGGCGGTTCGATCGACACACGAGACAGGAGTAGACATGATGAGACAGGGCGGTTACATGTTGTCTACGGGCCCTTGACTGTTGATGGCGTCAACAATCGGGCAAAACAGACCCTCGACTTACATGGAGGTTTGGGGGTGGAATCACAATGCTAGCCTGGGCACAATAGCGGAAACCCGGTGCCAGGAAATTAAGGACACGAATATCGCATTGCGAGGCTACCTATGAACATAGCCTTCGGTCCGCTGATACAGTCACCAGACTGACAGCCACAGCAAAGGGATAATAATATACAGTATGGAAAACCAGAAAGCCCTACCAAACTTCTCAGACCGGTCACCATGACCAGTGCAAGTCCCCATCCAACACCTCAGTCACACACAAATAGAATACTTCACTACCCTCCCTGTCCCCACCCATCTACACCGCAGCCCTCTCCGTCTCCTCATCCTCCTCCCCCCTCCCCGCCTCTCCCGCCCCTGTCTCCTCCGTCCCCGCCGCCCCCGCCGCCCTCCTTGTCGGAGTCGGAAACTCCGGCAAACTGTTCGTCCACGTCGCCAACTCGCCCTCCGCACTGTTCAGCACGCCGCGCGCGGCCACGAAGTCAGTGAACACCGGCCGCGTCTCGTTGGGCAGGAGGGTCGAGTCGTCGAGGAGGCCGAGCATCTCATGCGCGTGGCGGGCGAGGATTGCTTGCTTTTCGGCGCGCTCGAATACGGCGCGGATGTGGAGGTCGATGGCTCTTTTGAAGGTTTGGCGGGTCTATTGGAAGGGGGGTCAGTGCGTTAGTCGACTGGAAGAAGGGGATGCGGGGAGGCGTACGACGTTGTTGAGCTGGGCTTCCGTGACTAAATAGCCTGCTTCGGAGCGGGTGAGCTCGTTCTGGAGTTGGGGGCCACGGGGGGAGTTGGGTTCTTTAAGCTTCAGCTTTTCGAATTCGTCGTTGAGCTAAAGATATCCGATTAACCCTCGTCATTGATTCTCCTTCTCTGTCGTCCGTCAAACTCACCTTCGCATGCTTCTCCCTCACCGGGACGACCGAGTTCTCCATATTTCGAATCTGCTTCAACAAGCTGCGATACTCCTCCAACTGATCCGCGTACCCCTCCTCCTGATTCGCGATCTCCAACAGCAGCACCGCCACCTTATCGGACACCTGGCTGACCGCATGGTCATCGGTGTCCTCGCCCCACTCGGTCAGCTGCTGTGCGATGGCCGCGCGCTCCCTCCCGGCGAGCTTGGCCGCGCGGATCGCATACTTCTCGGACTTGATGAGGCGGAAGATCTTGCGGGAGATGGTAGGCTGCTGCATGCCGCGGAGGGTGTCGACGCTGAAGTGGCGGAGGTTGGATTTGCTGGACAAGACAGAGTGTTTGGAGGCCTTGGAGTTGCTGGAGGCTTTGGAGGCTGTAGAGGCTTTAGAGGCTTTAGAGGCCTTAGAGTCGGCGCGGTTGATTGGCCTGGGAGTCATGGTGGTTAGCAGGAGGTTGGATTAGGGAGTATAGAATGGGCAAGAATGATGTGTGATCATGAAGGAAAGCCATAGAGAGAGTATTTGGACGAAGTCCGAGATAATGAGACTCGTGGCTGGAGTGGTGGACAAGGAGACTCGTGCTAAGAGGAATAAACAAAAAGACTCGAGTATAGTAGCCGCAAGCGGACAATTGCAAAAGAATAAAGCATACGGAATGTCTCTTACATAGCACTAGGAACTTCCTAGACCGCTGTTTACGCCGGTCGTATTATAGTCTTTTGAGGCTATTGAATGTCAGTCAACCAGTACGTAATAGGAGGCTACCAGGTCATACCGTAACGCGATGGGGGTCATGTAATGGGCTTTCAAAGGATATCGACGAGAATTCCGGCATGGAGAGAGGTCTGAACATGGCGATGACAGACGACATCTTGATACCGCACTACACCTGATGTGGGAGCGATATTGGGAAAGGTCAAACAGAAGTTCGTGCTTGAGCATTCAGTATTCCTTCTCAGTGGCAGTTGACAGCCATGGGATATCAATCCGATCCCGAACCCATGATAATACCTTGTTGCCTTATGGCCTGACATCTGGCGCCAGGCGCCAGCGCAGAGAAGCGGCGCCATCACGTGCCCTCCCCCAACCCCACGTCTCACCGTTTCTCATGAAATTGACGAAATTTTTGGACTGTCAAGAATCGGGAACCTCCAGTTCATATACCCTTAAACCCAAGAAATATTCCCGGTTATCCTCGAATCAAAAGCAAAATGGCTCAAGGCGCAATCAAAAAGAGCGCGGCACAGGCGAAGAAGGGTCAGAAGTTAGCCATCCATACACTCGGATTATGCGGAGGACATAGTTGACACACCGAAAAGATCGGCCAGCACCACCCCCAAACGCGGGTCTCGAATCATCGCCCCTAAGAAAGCGAAGCTGATCCAGAAGAAGAAGTTGATGAAAGTATGCTACGAATCGTTACCCGCAACAACGACTGAACAACTAACGGAGCGTGTAGAAACATTCAGGCGGACTTTGCGCGGTGACGGAGGAGCGATTGGGGGCGAAGGCGGGACATCTGGAGCTGCTGCGGGTGGGAAAGAACGCGAAGAAGGGGGAGAAGAAGGGTCCATTGACAGCGGAGAAGAAGTGAGGGAGGCGGGGTGGAATTTCCAGACGAGTAATGACGGGATGGGTGCGAGGGGCGTTTGTCGATGTTTTGATATTCTGAAGTGACGCTATTACACGATGTCGAACGCCATGAGGACTTCTTTCACAGACTCGGGAAAGACGTCAATCCAACCGAGGGCCGCCGGATTCGATACCCACGAGAAACTCCAACGACAACCATACAGATTCGGACGTTCATAAAGTCAGGGCAAGAGACGCAACCGCACTACAACGCGCGAGCCAGCTCCCCAGCACCAGACTCAACTGCCGCCTGCCTCGCCTTCCCTCGACCCAACCCACCCTCACCGACCCCCATCCGCCTTGCAACATACCGCTGCGCCACGACGCCGACCGCAAGACTAATCACCTCCTCCACCCACTCGGCAACCCACTCCCGCGGATCCAGCCCCCCGCTCTCCATGATCTCCCAAATCTCTTCGGGCGGCGTCCCATCCTCCGGCGCCGCGGCATCCAACCACTCGATCCACTTCAACGGCACCGCCTGGCTCAGCGACCGGAAGCTGATGCTGTGGATCGGATCGTGGAGATAGATCGCGAACACCACCAGCTCCTCGCTCTCTTTTGGCTCTTCCACCCCGCCGGTTTCCTGGCCTTCCTCGCTTGCCGACCGCGTGAACAGGTCGCCCGGCTGGGCATACGACACCGCCTGAATCGCCAGGAAGATATCGCTGCTCCGCACGGGGTTCGACGCGCTCAGCACCTCGGTGGCCTGCTTCGCCGCCTCCTCGACCCCGCCGCGCTGCGCGAAGAACTCATGCGCGAACGCCTCGGCTCCGGCAACCACCAGTTTCGTCCCCTCGACCAGCCCCTTGACGGCGCCTATGTCCCGCTTAACGTCAGCCTGGCGCCACCAGGGGCCGTCGTTCCAGCCGGAGGGGCCGGAGGCGGGGACGCCGGCGGAGGAGGAGCGGCGATGGGCAGATTCGGAGCCGCGCTGGATGACGAGGAGGTCGCCGCCTTCGACTTGGGACATGACGCGGGAGAAAACCTGGTAGATCATGGGGTCGAGGGCGGGGTAGCCGACAAGGTCGTGGGTGATGTGGATTTGGAGTCGTTCGTGTTGGGAGATAGGAGGGGCGAGGGTGTGGAGGATGTTGGTGAAGGTTGGGAGGGCGCGGGACGTGAGTTCGCCGCCTGTCGATCAATATTAGTACCAGTACCCCAAAATCAATATACCCTGTAAACATGAACTGTCGAACTGTCGAAGGACAAACTGTAACGAAATGCACCACTTACCCAACCCCCGCAACACGCCCACATTCCCTCTCACCTGCCCCACCCACCGCTGCGCATCCTCACTCCTCTGCACCTCCCTTACCGCCGCCTCCGCTGTCTTCACCGCCGCTGTCGCTGTCGCAAACAACCCTCCCCACCACCCCCCTCCCTGCTCCCCCTCCGTCACCACCTTCTCCCCTTCCGTCCCCGGCTCTCCCTCCGACCCCGGCGTCCCCACCGCCCTCAACGACCGCCCACTCTCCGCACTCTTCCTCCCGACCGCCCCGCGCTCCTCGCTCGTGCGCGCGGACGGGGCGGCGGTGGACGGCGGGGTGGCGACCTTGGGGGAGCGGGTGCGGGCGAGCTGGGGGGTGATGGGGCGGAGGGGTTTGGCGAGGTCGGGGAAGTCGGGGAAGTCGTCGGCTTCGGTGGGGGGGTTGGAGGCGGGTTTGTCAGTGGAGGAGCGGGGGTGGGCGGGGCGGGTGGATTTGAGGGAGGATTTGGGGGGGGGCTTGTATTCTTCGGATTCGATGAGGTCGAGTTGGGCGAGGAGGTCTTCTTTGCTGGGGCCCTTTTCGGACATGGTTGGGTTGGGGGAGGTGGTGTTGGAGAGATAAGAATAGAGATGTGGAGGTGTAGAGTGCACAGTGCACAGTATACAGACAGTCTAAGTGAAGCGTAAAGTGTCGATGGTTGAATATCTGACTATAGAGGTGCAGAGTAAGTGTTGATGTCAGGGAAAGCGCGACCAGCAGCGGCGGAGAGAGAGAGGAAGGAGCCGTTGCCTGTTTCAGCCGCGCTAGTCTCTTCCCGGTAGCTTGGTTGTGAACACTTCTCTCTCCGTCTCTCTGTTCCCTTGTGCCACCACGACACAGTTCACCATCATCCACACACCCTACGAATGCAAGTAATAGAATCAAATATCGTACTGTGTTTATATAGAATAATCCTCTACTGTCTCAGGCTGTGAATACCATCTAAATTTTCTCGACGGTTTCAAATTCATTATCCCCTTACAAAAAGGTGATAATATGTGATCCATTTTAACCTTCTCCCTCCCTTGGGCCACGAGATGGTTCCACCCTGGTGGCCGCCTTCAGAAATCCTGTGCTCTGATTGGTCGATCCATCGTCCATCACCAACTCTTCTTGTTTCGCTCTCCAGTTCTGAACAATAAAGTCTCTTCACCATCAATGCTGTTGCCCTCCTCCGTATATCTACCGCTCCTCCCCATTCTCCCTTCTTGAATGCTTTTGGCCCATCCGTTGTTACTGATTTGATATCCCGCCCCATCCGGAGACCTGCATAACTCGCCGCCTACTTCTCACATCGCTGCTCCTTTTCACGCTCGACCAGCCACGAAATACGGGTCTCCCACCAAAGGATTACGAGGCAATCGAACCCGGTAATCCTCTTCGTTGGATGTCATCAACATGTTTTAAATTGTAGATAAATTCCCTATCCTTCGTTTGGTTCGTGCTGTCGGTTGCCTTTTTCGTTACATATTGCTTTCCGCGGCTAGCATCCGTCAGCAGCCACGCTGGCAGACTTTTTCCGCGACATGCGGACCCGACGAGGAAAGCATGAGGAGGGAGAGGAGCCGGTGGAACCGGATCCGAAGAAGATAATATCGCCGTCCAAGAGAAGGCAAGCTCGCGATTTTTCTCATCTGCCAAAACGAGTACAGGCGGAGAGGAATGCCAAGAGACCTCCACCAAAGACTTCATGGGACCATCAGGTCTTCCGAATCAAAGGCCTGGATCGCTTTCGATTAGCTCGGATTTTTGGGGCTGGCTCGGAGGACTCAAGAGATGATCCGTTTGGTTCATCGACCCAGTCGTCATTTGATGTGAATGGCACACATCCTGTCACCGACCACAATGACGGTGACCAGGGATATGACCAAGAATTGTACGAGCCTGACAAAGATTTGGATGGCCCGGCTTTGAGTGCGAACTCTTCTCAATCCACACATCCAGCCGTGAAGAATGAATCTGCGACGAGAAACCATTCGCAACAATCGAAACTGTCTGAGACATCGGTTGATTGCAATAACGGAGTCCGGGCGGAAGCACTTCCTACACCCGATGCGGATGCAGTTGGGACCAGAGAAATCGGGAATACCAAGCGTGGATCAGATGTCCCCGAGCATGAGACTGCGAAAGACGAGGAAGATATTGAGATCATCGAGGAAGAATTGCCCTCCGAAGCCTTCCCTCCTCCCTATCTATCCGATCGGGAAGCTGCCGACTTCGAGGAGGAGCCGGACCTCGATGCAGAGGTGGTCGCCCTCCTCAAATCCCGATTTAAAAGATTACCGAACCCACACGCGTTCGTGCAAGAGCTGACGAGGTTTCCTGCGAAGAACCGAAGTTCCGATGTGCTCTATCGTCTGGCTGAAAATGCACAGGAAGCCTTGGTGGCTTGGCAGGATGAATTTCTCAAGCTCGACGCATTCATCGCGAGGAACACCAACCCGCCGCGGAAACGAGCGACGGGTGGACGCCAGCAACTCGGCGCCGAGGTGGCGGATGCGATGAAAGAGGCGGACATCTATGGATATCGGTACGATGCTCGGAGAGGTCCAGGAATGCAGGTGCCTGAGCTGCAGCGTTTCTTCGATGATGAAGATCATGCGGAGGGTCGCTTGCTGCGACGACGGAAGCCGCATAACGAATACGCTATGAGCGACGATGACGCTGCGAACACCGAAACAGGGAAGCGGAAGCGAAAAGCCGTGCATCGCTATGATGCCACCCCAGAAGATGGATCGCGAAAGCGGATGAGACAGACCCCAGATCCGGTCCATGTTCGGCGACGCGGACGTCCTCCACTCAAAGCTCCACCAAACGCGCTCCTTCCGCCGCGCATCCAGGCCATGCGCGCAATGCGCGAGCAAAGCACCGCATCTACCTCGGTCACGACGAGCGATGATGAGGACCGTGGATCGACGCCGGAGAAGCCGACGAAACGTAGGGGCCGGCCTCCTGGGAGCAAGAACCTGTATCCACGGAGCGACGCGGGGATCAAGAAGGGACCGAGGAAGAAGCTGGTGAGTCTGGAGGAGACGGTGCCGGGGAACGTCATGGCGAGGGAGCCACCCGAGAAGATCCCCGGAATAAAAACGGATGCGAAACCAAGTGACGACGGTAAGTCATCCAGAACCAGTGTGATCCCCCACCACGTATCTAACCCCTCCCAGCCGTCCAGAAAGCCGCCAAAATCAAGTCCGAAAGCCGCTCCGAAAGCATGACGCTCTGGTGGAAAAAGCGCAAAGCCGAGCAAGCCGCCGCGCAAGACGAGCGCACCCGCCTCGACGCGGAGCGGAAACCTCCCCACTCGCGATCCAACTCCACCACCCTCCC